CCGCCCCCGTGGCCCCGTTCGGTTCCGGCTGGGCATCGCAGTAGGTAACTTCAGGTAACCGTGTTTGGCGATTCCCTTCCCGCGGCCCGCACCGCACCGCAACTGCACAAAACGAGGGAGGGGGGAGGACGCAGTCACTGCAATCTTCCGAACGGGCACCGCATCGATGCATTTCTCCATCCATTCATTCAGTTGCCATCACGTAAACCCACCGAAGCACGACATATAGAAATGAGGGGTCCAGCACTGCTGCACCTCTTAGCACACACACAAAAGTCAGGACATCACCACCACCGTAGCGAAACGATGGTGATGCTTGGCGGCGTGAAAGCCCAAGATGGAGAACGGCTAAACCCGCGAGCCACGCACGCCCTTGAAGAATACCTCATATTATAACCAATATATAATCAACAAGGTAGGTACCTAGGTATAGGTAGGTCTACATACAGCAATGTGCCCTGTAAATGCAAGTGGGGCGTGCAGCCGATTTCCTTGCATTTATTGGGTCCTAGCATTTATTGGTACGGGAGCAGGAGGCTTGTGACTGCTAGTAACCGCCCTGATAAGGGGTTCTGATAGCTGGTAACAACCCCGATACAGTAATGTGCCCTGTTAATGCAACTAATTCCGGCACTATGGGGGACGGCTCAAATCTTTTGCATTAAGGGGGCTTTTGCATTAAGGGGTACCTCACTCACATACAAAACTGGGAATCCGGGCCCAAGAAATCGTTTGCATCTAATGGGTCAGTTTGTATGTGTTTGCAAAAGGGGGGCCTTGCATTAACAGGGCACATTACTGTATAGGTAACAGGGGTGCTACAACCCCCTGTAAACTACCCTCTTAGCTGCAAATTTATATGGCGGGCCGGCTGGTGGCTAGCACTTAGCAGCTAGCAGGCATACCATACTAAAATAATCCGTACACAGAAATTCCTAGCAATTATTGGGTCTTAGCATTTATTGGGTCTAGCATTTACAGGGCACATTACTGTAGGTAGTCAAACAACCTGGACTCGAGAGCTGGAACTACCCTTAAACGAGAAAAAAAAACTCGTATGTGATGCCGACGCTGTGAAATACGAGCTGCTAGAGGAAGAAGGGGGGGCTGAAACAGAAATTCGGTCACCGCTTTTACCGAGACACACAAGGAATGTTTCGTCATGTGGGGTTGAACAAGTAGTGTTTCGTTTCGACGAACAATGATGAGGGCGTGCAAGAGGGGGGGGACACGACAGGCGCCTGGATGTGAGATGTGATATTGGTTACCTAGAGAGCCTAGGTAGTGTTCTCCTGCTAATGTACCAAGTCTAGACTGTAGAACCAGAAATTCTCGTAACTCGGGAATTTCTTTCCAACACTGGAAGCAAGTGACCTGTCGTGTAGTATTTAGGTACTACTTACTCACCTACCTCGGTCGGTGAGCTTGAGTGTCCCATCACCATCCCGAACAGTGGTGATCCAGATCTTCAGCATGTCCAAATCCGTGGTGATAACTGTATAATCACTTGCATCTCCGCTCTGGAAATGGATAACGATGGCGTAAAGGTGCGTCTAGAGTCTCGATAGTCTGGCAAGTCGCACATCAGCCGTGACTACAAGTCTAGCCAATACATACGACTAATCAATGAGTGCGTGGAGTTGTTGTCTGAGCGCCTCCTCCACTTGACCCTACACCGGGCTTTGGCCCGCTCCTACCCCCATGCTGGAATCTGAATGCAACAGACCGGCTCGGCATTTAGCCGTCCCGAATTGGGTCCCGGCCAATGAGACAAGAAGATCACCCGCTCGGATCTACAGCTGTGCGCTTTGCGATCTCGGTGGTTTCCAAACATGGTATGTATCGGGACCTCGGGGGGCCAGGGGGCTAGACTGACTGCAGAGGTTAGAGGATGGCGTTTTTGTTCTTTCCCAGATCTTCATTAGAGGCTTGAGACTTGGGGACCTCCCGTCTTGACTGCTCATCTGACGAGACCGCTCTCTTCCTCCCCCTTGAATGGTTCGGGATTCCAGGCCAATGGCCATATGCACGAGGATTGTCTTGTCGGGGTCCCTAAAAAACTTCCGGTAACTAGATAATACGAACAGCCTTGAGCATTCGGTGTTTGAAAGGGACGCGTAACGAGTACACCACACATTCTCAACTCGATCCTTACAGCCTGGGGCGGGAAGTGGCCATGATCCTGCAGGTCGCCGACTGCGAAAGCTTGGTGGTTACCTGTTAGCGTCACCCAACAGCCATCTCCGAAGACCTGCGTGGTGAAACAGCCCCACGAGCACTTACATACAGCACAAAATAACTGGTTAACCATCGATCTCGCCCCCTTGATCATGGACTAGTGTATGCATGACGTGAGTTCCATTGTTAAGGATCCTCCAGTGTTTTTCTCTTCTGCTGGCCATCCACCCGCCCGCCCGCAAAACCCAAACCGAACCTCTTCGAGTTTTCCCGATCAAGGATCCCTTGCCTTTCGAGAATCCCATCGGGAACTCTCTGCAGTTCCATGTTGGGGGGTTAACCTCTCTTTACAGACGCTCAATCTTAGGTAGTCAACCCCTATCCACTCCCCGTCAGGGTCCGAATTGTGTGACATTATAATTGGTGAGTGTGGGGTTAATGTCACACTGACTTGGACCGGCAGGGACCAGAAACGGAAGGGCCATCGTAGGTGGGGGGGTAGCTACCATTCCGGAAGGTCTCAGGGTATTCCCAGCTTTCAGCTATGCGGCAATGTCGATCATTAGACTGCTGAGAGATCTTATCTAGGCGGCTAGCGGGGACTCGGATTCTCATCTGGGTGGTTGATTGATGCTCTCCATTGCTGCTGCTGCTGCTGCTGCTGCTGCTGCTGTAATTCGCATCTCCCTGCTTGTATGTCATGTCAACAACAAATCAATGTTCCGATGTTGACCGTAGCTTCTTCTTCCACTGTGCTTCTAGGGCCCTCCATGTTGAAACAGGAAAGAGGCGTCGAAATGAGACTGAAAAAAGGGCATGAGACTGCCTTCGCTTTTCTCCCCCCCATCGTGAGAGTGACACTTGGGACAATTTGTCAATGCCGTTCACTCATCTTATTCAGCCAGCTTCTCCGTCTCACCCTACCCATCAATATCCCCGTCCTCAAACCTGTCTTGGTCTCAAAGTGGTAGCTCCGTTACACCAGGTTGAAGCCCCCTCCCATCCACTTTTGCACGCCGTCACTCGTCAACCGCCACCATTAGCAACATCTCAACAACAAGCTGACGGGATAATTCACGCTTGCGGTTGCTCAGATTGCCCTTCTTCCTCCTTCTCCAATGCCGTCGGGACAACGAAGTAAAAGTGGATGTTGGACTTGTCGTCTACGCCGCAAAAAGTGTCTCGAAGGAGGACCACCCTGCTCAAACTGCGAATCTCGAGGCATATTTTGCCATGGTTACGGTCCCAAACCCAACTGGAAAGATAGAGGAGACAGGGAAAGAGAAGAGGCGAACAGGCTTCAACTCCAGACACGAAGACGTCGAAGATCAACGGCCACCCAAAGCCATGCCTCTCACCCATCCGTATCCGAATCGTCGACATCTTCCAGGGGCACTATCGACATCGGTAGCCCTCCTATCCTGGCCGCCGAGTCACCTTCGCTGTCGCCGTTCTTGTCGTCCGACTTCTCGTTCGCCTTGTCCCCTTCCTCCGGGCATGAACGAAACACAGCGATAGAGTTCGAATTTCTTGATGCCCTAACAATAGCCCCCGACTCTCTCACTGCCTCTTACAACGATGATATCTGGGCGAGTCATGGCCAAACGGATGCAGCGCTGGTCGAGATTTCACCCTTGGACCCCACAATAGCCCTACAGCGTCTTCCTGAAGTTTCGGAACACTCCAAGCAGCCATCAGAAGTGCCAACACCGCTCAGTCTCTCCTGTTTGGGCTCCGACAATGGCACTGGTTCGGGAATGCATGGTCCCCCAACTTCAGAGAATGATATCGAGTTGGTCATGCACTTCATCGGCGAGACGTGTCCGTTACAACATGGTTCCTATCGTTCGTCATCAGCAACACAGAGGAGTTGGGCACTCTTCCTGCTGATGAGGTCTCCGACATTTTATCATGCTTCTCTCGGCATGAGCGCCTATCACATGTCCCTGACTCTTTCTGGACATAGTGATGCTCGCGCTAGAGCAGTCCATGACTACCAATCGCACAGGATGCAAGCTTTGGACAGCTTTTGTGAGCTTATGGACTCTAAACGGCAACGTTCTGGGGGAGTGTTTGGCGAAAGCTTGATATGCTCGGTACAGCTTGCCCTGTTGGAGGTGAGTAAGATCAGCCGCTGACCCAATGCAAGGTTTTCAGGTGGTTGTTGTTGTTGTTGACTTTTACCCCAGGCTTTAGGCAAAAACATGCAAAGCTGCCACTCGTACCTCTCTTCGGCAGTCCAAATCCTCCTTGACGACCTGCGCCAGGCCTCCTCGACGACTGATAGCGGGAACAACACATCTTCTATAGCTCCATCCCAGCAACAGCAACTCCCTCTCAGTCTCCCATTAGGCACCAGTAGCCCAGTGCCACCTGGTCCGTCTCCCATGGAGCAAACAGCTCTCTCTTTCTTTCGTGCCATTCTGATCTGGAATGACATCCTCTCGTCCTCTTCCCTCAAGAAAATTCCTTCTGCGGCCGCCTCCTACCGGGACCTCCTCACCTCTTCACCCTCTTTCTGTGTTTCTTTCCAGTCCACCACGGGCTGTGAACCATGGATCCTCGTAGCGATAATGGACGCCACTGCCCTCGAAGTTTGGAAGAGAGACCAGGAGAATCAAGGCAACCTCAGTATAAGAGAGCTGGTCAACCGCGCCTCCAAACTGGAGAATAGAGTTGAAGAAGGGATCCAGCGCTTGGAAGGTAGCGGTAGCAACAGCGGTCTTCAAAGCTTGGTCTTCTCTTACGCCTTGCTTACACACTTGCACTCCATTGTGTCAGGGCCATTGGCCAGTGTGCCTGAGATAAGCGAGAGTATTGAGCGTTCCCTTGCGGTCTGGCAGCGGATCCCCGAGTCTATAAGCCCCAGGAGCTTGGCTTGGCCATATTGCGTCTGCGCGAGTCTGGCAACAAGGGAGCAAAGGGAAGTATTCAGAGAATTCTTGATCCCTGACCGCTTGTCAAGTGTTGACTCGACGCTGGGAAGTTTGAGAGAGTTGAAAGCTGTTGTTGAAGAATGCTGGAGGCTAGTTGATGGGGTCAGAAGGGGATCAGGTTTCATGTCTGAGGAGAGTAATGGCGGTGGAAGAGATCGGTTGCTTTCTACCTCGTCCGTGAAGGTCGATTGGAGGGAAGTTATGCAGCGATCGAATTTGGGGCTGTTGTTTACTTGAATTTCTGTAAGATTGGTCCCAGAGACTATTAGGTCAGTTGTCTGGGGCCTTTGTGGAAAGTAAGAAGACATCCCAGTGAGCAGTCGGACACGAAAGCATTGTTGAAATATTGCAACAGTGTGCGAAACAATCTCTCCGGATGCGCTGGGCGCTGGAGATTCGGTCCCCTGAGGTGAACTTGATCTTTTATGCTCAAGAACCAGAGACTTCCCAGAGCAATCTCCATAGCAGAACGATTACTGGCGGCGAGTCGCTGACCGCTGCAGCTGGTTGGCGAGCAAACCCGAGGAGTGAACTTTGGTAGTAAGGAAACCAACAGAAAGGCGGACAATTTGCTCCGGTTCTGCGTCTCCTGGTCTATGGCCCTAGTTGACGGGAATGCCATAATCACACCGAAAACATCTGCTCCCACACTTTCCAGATGATTCATTATGCGCTTGCCAAGACTCAGGATGCCATATTTTGAATGCCTTGGTGCACTGTTTCACTCCCAGCAAATTTTCAACGAGGGTAGCGCTTGACAGATTGAAAGGGCAGTGCCGTTCTTGACTCGTAAAGGAGCCTTTACGGAGGGTATGATGAACAGGGCGCTACTGACACCCTTAAGTGGAAAGGAACAGGGAAATTGGACGGTAACACCCTCCGGCTCGACGGGGTGGTGAAACCAACCTGACCCTAGGTTCCTCTCTGTAACGGTCTCGTAATTCGAGTGCCTTTCTTGCGTAGCTGTTTCTCAAAGCGAGGCGCTGGCCTACTGAGCCTTGATCGCAAGAATTCATAGAAGCGCGGCGCTTGAGCTGCGCCAATGTGGAAGAAAGGGGGCAAGCGAAAAGATGTAACAAATGTACGAAACGGAAGTCGCGACCCTGTTCACAAGGAATTCCTACTAGAATACACGTTGGATCGTCAACAGGGGAATATAGAAGGCATCAGATATGTGATGCCGCAGGTAAGTGTGTAGTGAAAATAACGCTCGCAATGATGAACTGCGTTAAACGCCGGTGTGAGTGCCCGAACTTTCCGGCGCCGTTCAATTGCCTGCTCACAACATGCGCCTTAAAGCTTGACGGACACAGCTTTGGTAATTCATCACCGAAGCGGATCTGGCGAGCGATGCGTTTGTGTGGCGCTTGTCGTTGGGTTCGGCTCGCTGAATCGACAACGTGCTGCCCAAACGCTATCTGGCAAGGAGCATCTTGGAGCAGGGTGAGGTGACTCGGAGGCGCCACGATTGTAGTCGGCAAAGATCGAAGTAGGCTTTTTGGGTATAAGTGATCAGGGAATCTTCTTGATATTCCAGTCGTCAGTTATCACTCAGTCACACGTCTTATCACCAGACTAAAGGCAGACACCTACACCTTACTACGCCATTGAAAATTTCCCCACTTAATCTCGAGTCGACACGCAACCCTCACCATGAAGTACTCGAGTTCCATCCTGATCGCAGCTTTCTGCGTTAGCGTCCTTGCCGCTCCTGCTGCCAAGGTCAGTCTCTCACAGTAAGAGCACCGTGATTTGATGTCCCATGTTGCTAATCAGAGAGGGCGAATAGCGTTCATCCGTTGAGGATTACGTGATCGAGGTCGACAAGCGTTCTTCGGTTGAGGACTATGTCATCCCCATCGACAAGAGGTCTTCGGTTGAGGATTACGTGATTTCCGTCGACAACAAGCGCAGCTCGGTTGAAGACTACGCAATCGGGGTCGATAAGCGTGGTGCTGTCGAAGACTATGTCATCCCCATCGACAAGCGTAGCGCCGTCGAGGACTACGTGATCGAGGTCGACAAGCGCCACAACTCCGTCGAGGACTACGCCATCGGGGTCGATAAGCGTGGTTCTGTCGAAGACTATGTCATCCCCATCGACAAGCGTAGCGCCGTCGAGGACTACGTGATCGAGGTCGACAAGCGCCACAACTCCGTCGAGGACTACGCCATCGGGGTCGATAAGCGTGGTTCTGTCGAAGACTATGTCATCCCCATCGACAAGCGTAGTGCCGTCGAGGACTATGTGATCGAGGTCGACAAGCGCCACAACTCCGTCGAGGACTACGCCATCGGGGTCGATAAGCGTGGTTCTGTCGAAGACTATGTCATCCCCATCGACAAGCGTAGTGCCGTCGAGGACTATGTGATCGAGGTCGACAAGGCCTAAATGACCGCCTGGGACAGGTCAGCACAATGAGATATGGTGAGGGACCAGGCTGGGAACGGGCGGAACAATATGGGATGCTTGGAGGACTGCGACTTGGCTTCTCTTTGGTGATTGCTTTGGGTCTGGGAAATCGTGGAAAGGGCATTGACGGCAACGTGTTACGACTTGTGAGGACGACTTTTGGCCTAGGAATGTTCTGGACTTATGATGTAACGTTTTGACGTACCTTCACTCTTTTAGCTAGGAAAGTGAGCACAGTGATGGTGTATCCTTCTCGTTCGTCTGATTTATGTGCTTGCTTTTGTGCCTTTGAGATGCTGACTTGGCGATATTTCCATGTGGATGGCCTCCTTTGAGACCAGGACGGGAAAAAGAGAGCTCACTTTACGGATGACAAAGACCAAAGTAGTACCTTGCATTGAAAAAAAGACAGCAATAAGCATTTCTTGGAGGTGTCTGTTACCTTTGAATGAGATTCCAACTCGAGGAATCCATTGCCGACACGGGCATCGATGGCTACAGTGGCTCAATTGAATGTGCAACTGAAAGGAGACGAAACGAAAGGGACAAGAACTCGAGAGTTGCCTTGACAAGACGAAAACTGGACCGGCAACAGCGCACCTAGGCAAGCATGGGCAGTGGGATGTCCAAACGCCACCTGCAACCGCGCTTGCCCGCATTTACATACGCCACACAGGAAGGCACGGCAGGCAGCATTGATAGGACACTGCGAAAAGATGGAAATTACCTGGAAAAGCCTCATTGCTATGGAAGGAACGAAGACAACAACCCCGCTCCTGAAAATTCTCTACCTATGTCAACTTAATCCACCCGTCGACAGAATGGACTTCCTCTCTGAGACTTCAGCAACCTCACCGCCTCCGTGTCTTGTGCTTCCTGCTCTCGCAATCTCCACAGTTCCCTTTTCCTGGTCTCTGGAATAGGTTTCGCCCATTTCTCTGCCTCCTCTTTTCTTTTCTTCCCCTCCATCCATCTGTTTCTATCTTCTTCAGTCCAGCGCGGCGGGAAATAATCGTCCAATCCGTTCTAGGGATGGCGACGATGTCCATGAGACGATGGTGCCGTTAGTAGCTCGTCACTGAAACCCCGGCGACGAGGGCGACGCATGTTGGCGGTGGGACCAGAGACATGCTGTGGCGGATAAGGATCGGCAGTTGGGTGCACGCGGTAGGAGGGAACTCGATATACGCGATGAGTCGGATCCTCGTTTTCAGGTTCTTGCTGATAATGACTGCTATCATCCGACTCAGAAACAGTCACGACGGTTGGAGGAGGGGGGTAGGATGGAGAAAATGAAGCCTGGGGACGGGTGGGGACTGGTATAGCAGAAGGCGAAGCATATTCGACCCCCGAAGGCCGTTCCCTCCTCCAAGAACTTCTTTCAAGGTATGCCTGACGAGATGGGCTTGGGCATGCGTTGAGTTCTCCAATGAGCTCGGCCGTGTTCTTCTTCGAATATCTTCTCTTCGGTAAATTCCATCCGCGATTCGAACCTCTGGATGACCGAGAGTAGCTGGAAGGGGGTGGAGTTGGAGGACTGAAACTGTTCCCAAGGTTCAATCCCAACAATGATTTCCATAAGGGCGCTGGTGCTACTTCGCTCTTCATCTCCATGCCCTCCTCTGCGTTCTTCACCTTTTGCTTAGACCGTTGGTTATCGGTAGTGGGGTTGCTCCCCAGCTGCATGCTATCCATGAAGTCTTCCAACCGCCGGAGTATTTGCGACATCCGGCCTCGATCATCACCAGCAGTATTCTCAGTGACAATACAGGCAGAAGGCGGCCTAGATGACTCTTTGGGTGAGCACGTATCCCGCGGTTCCTGTTTCACGTACCGTTCTCCATTGATGAATATCTCTTTCTGCCTTTCCCCTTCATTTCCATCTCCCTGAATACCCTCTTCTTTCCTTTTCCTTCTAAACCTATCCCAACTCTCCCTCTCCCTCCTCGCCTGCCCCTCCAATTCCGTCTCCTTCATCGTCTTGTGATGTACATTACTCTGACTTTGAGTGGATCCCGCCTAAGGATCCTCACGCAAGGAGGGCATGTAGCGTTCATAAACGGTCTCGCGCTGATCGTTGTTCCAGTCTCGTTTCGCAACACCATACTTCCGCCGCCGATAATTTGGCTTGAGCATTTCATCATGCCTTGCTTCCTCCTCCTCCTCCCTCATATCCTCAAGGACGTGATGCGGTAGCTTCATCAGCTCCTCCATTTTGTCGTCCAATCGCTCGGCCTCATTACGATAGCCATCATCATCATCATCATTATCATCGTCTCTGCTCTGGCCACCTTGATGACCATGACCGTGACCCCACTTCTCCTCCTCGAGGTCCTCCTTCTTGCCTATGTGCTCTCGATCATTGCCCTTGCCCTTGCCCTTGTCCTCACCAGAGGAGGCTCCAGAACCGCCGCGCTTTTCCAGGCTGTACGTGTGCTTCTTGCGGTCCTCCCTGCTGATTGCCGCACCGGCAACCCATAGCAACCACTCCGGATAATTAAGCTTGGGAGTGTACTCGCCTTCCTTGACGCGCTTGCGGACCAAGACCTTCTTTTCTTCTTTTTCCTCTTCTTCTTCTTGTTCGCGCTTGACCTTGCCCTTGCCCTTGCCCTTGTCAACCTTATCTCGAGGGGGCGATCTACGAGGGGACCTGGACCGGTCGTGGTGGGGACGGTGACGGTAGTCGTCGATGTCGGGGTGAGGGTTGTCCCGCTCTCTCTTGATATGGGAGCGGTTTCTGGGCATCTCGTTTTGTGCCTTGTTGTTCTTTACGTACTTGCTGAGAGGTTTGTCCTTTATTTTGGTATTTTGGAGAACTGGGTTTGGAGGAAGAGTGAGAACAAGATCGCAGGTCGGGGGGAAGAGAGCTGGTCATCATTCCTTTATAGCACCTTGTGGCAAGTGGAATATTATTTCCACCATCTTGGGATGTAATTCTTTGACAATAACCTCCCTACGCTATTATGAAATGAAGTATGGGTTCGGGATTGAAGCTGATCAATAGGTAAGTCAGTATTGGAAGAGAGAACAAAGACAAGGTCCGGTCCACCGCGGTGATGGTGAAGGTCTGACATCGGTACAAAGCAAACTTTGAGCACACCGGCGGCATAATAACAAAGTCTAGGGGTTCATATGAACCATGTCATCAGACATGCGCACAAAACGGTCTCAGATGAAGATTTCACTCAGTGGTCAAGGTTGTTAGTGTCAAATCACCCAGTTACCTACCTTCTTGATTTAACTTGAAATCTCGAACCGCGCACTCCTTGATAATTTTCTCGTACCGGCAGGAGTCAAAGGGAAAAGAAAAAAAAATTAATCCAGGTTGAGTCAATGTCTCAACGTCAATGAATTAGGGACATCTACCCTACGTGTGTTCACCCCATTTCGACAATGAATATAAACCATTTTCCTAAGCGCTCCATCTTCACTTCAAGTTGCCTGTCTGTCAACCACGTACGTGTTCGTCTCATCTTGACAATGAACCGTTCATCCCATCCCATCATATGACATCCCATCCCATGACATCCCATTCCATCTCATTACATCCTATCCCTTCCCAACAATGACCGTCACCTAGGTACACTAACTCGCCCGCTTACCCTGCTGGTACATGTACCTACACAGCAGTTACTCAAGTCAGTTGGCCGTTCATGCACTTGGTTACCTAGGTATTCATTTGGTTAGGTACTTGGCCACTTACTTGGTCAAAGACAAATCCCGACGAAACCATTCCCTCCCCATCCACTGGCCTCTTCGCAATCTACCCACCGCCTTCTTCGTAAAGGCTGATCCTGAACACAAAAAGCAATTCAAAACCTATGCATCTCCATTGATAATGACGGCTTGAGACTTACCGTAAGAATTGATCATGTGGCATGGGTGGTTAGTCGTTAAATACGAAGTTTGCGAGTACTTTGAGAGAGTGATAGAGTGATCGTGGAAAGAGTAAGCGCACAACAGGCCGGGATGGGTGGAGATTGAATGAGATGCGGTCTTATCATTTTCCCCCGCGTATTTAACGACGCTGTAGATAGTGCAATAACAGCCATACTTTTTGCGTACTAGTCAAGAACCAACATCCGAGTTCAAGAAACGCCAACACAACGAGTTAACTGAGCGGAGGACAGGTCGACAGCACAAGGATTTGCTAAGGCGATGCTCATTCATATTTAATCTCTCAATTACACTATTTATCTGAATAAACCGATTGCTAACTTTGCTCGTACCAGTATCATTCCAATTCGTCTCAATACTTGCCATTCCGGTATTGACTTATCACGTCTTTCAGTACTCTTTCTGTGTTTTCTGGACGCGGTAGCGCACCCAATCCGGAGTCCCTCCACTTCTCAAGGTCGTCCAGTGCTCTTTTGAACCAGCGCAAGGCCTTCTTGTAGTGATGTCTTTGAATCCAATCATCCCAATGATCCGCTCGACTAGCCTCCATCCAAGCAATCCGCCAACGCAGCTCTCTGCTGTACAGCAGTACCTGATCAGCCTCCTAAAGCTTGGGGGCATTCTGGCCCCGTCCCTCCTGCTTGAGATCGAACCGATCAAGGTTCATGACCTTGTGCCAAGCCGCCACAAAGTCGCGCTTGAACTTCTCCTCGCCATCCACCGCGGCATACACCTCCGCAAGCGCGCGAAGCTCAGCATGCGCTCCGAAGATGAGATCGGCCCTTGTCGCAGTCCACTTTTTATCGTGTGTCTTGCGGTCATAGCCAATGAAGACCTCGCCCTCATTATCCGCCGCCTTCCATGCCGTGTTGGTGTCCAACAGGTTGACAAAGAAGTCGTTGGTAAGCTTGCCGGGTGTTTTGGTCAACACACCGTAGGATGAGCCATCATAGTTGGCCTCTAGCACACGGAGACCGCCAATGAGGGCAGTAAGCTCGGGCGCAGAGAGAGTGAGCAGCGAGGCACGGTCAATGAGAAACTGCTCGGTGCGTACGCGCTTGGTACCCTTACCATAGCTGCGGAAGCCGTCGGCGTGGGGCTCGAGGTGAGTGAAAGAATGCACATCGGTCTGCTCCTGAGTGGCGTCGTTGCGGCCTGGGGTGAAAGGGACCACCAAGCCAGAAGCTTGCTCAAGGGCGGCGACACCACCAAGGACGATGAGATCAGCCAAGGAGACCTTCTTGCCGCTCGAACTGTCGTTGAACTTTTGCTGCACAGACTCGAGCGCAGCAAGGACCTCGCGGAGCGTGGAAGGGTCGTTGACCTTCCACTCGTTTTGAGGAGCGAGACGGATACGGGCACCATTGGCACCACCGCGCTTGTCAGAGCCACGGAAAGAGGAAGCCGAGGACCAGGCAACGAAGATCAGCTTCTTTGGAGCGACACCGGTGGCCATAATCTCCTTCTTCAAGGCCGCGATGTCGTTATCGTCAATGATCTGGTAGTCTACGGGAGGAATGTAGTCTTCCCAAGGTAGGATCTCAGATGGGACCTCGGGACCGATCCAGCGAGTACGCGGGCCCATGTCACGATGAAGAAGCTTGAACCAAGCGCGGGCAAAAGCATCGGCGAACTTGTCTGGGTTCGCAAGGTAATCGCGGCAGATCTTGTCATAAGCGGGATCCATGCGCAGGGCAATATCGGTCGTCAACATGGTCGGGAGCTTTTTCTTGTTGGGGTCGTAGGCATCTGGGATGGTGGGCTCGGCGTTCTTGGCCACCCACTGGTTGGCACCAGCAGGGCTCTTTGTCGGCTCCCAGTCAAACTTGTAGAGGTATTCCAGGTAGCCCATGCCCCACTTGGTAGGAGTTGGTGTCCAAGTGACTTCAAGACCACTGGTGATGGTGTCGGGACCCTTGCCCTGGCCAAAGCTGTTCGCCCAGCCGAGACCTTGGTGCTCGATAGGAGCAGCCTCGGGCTCCTTGCCGACGTGGTGAGTGGGACCGGCACCGTGAGTCTTGCCAAAGGAGTGACCACCCGCAATCAGAGCGACAGTCTCCTCGTCGTTCATAGCCATGCGGCCAAAGGTGACACGGATATCCTTGGCTGAGGCAACGGGGTCGGGAATACCGTCAGGACCTTCGGGGTTGACGTAGATAAGGCCCATATGGGAGGAGGCAAGGGGGCTTTGCAGATCACGGTTGTGGATGTCCGTGTGCTGTTTCTTGGACTCGTCACCTTGGACGACACCATGTCCTTCGTGGCCTTCCTGACCCTCCGAGTAGCGGTCCTCGTTGCCCAGCCATGTGGACTCGGCACCCCAGTATACAGACTCGTCAGCCTCCCAAGTGTCGGGACGGCCACCGGCAAAGCCAAAGGTCTTGAAGCCCATGGACTCGAGAGCCACGTTACCGGTCAGAAGGAGCAAGTCGGACCATGAGATCTTGTTGCCGTATTTTTGCTTGATGGGCCACAGGAGACGACGGGCCTTGTCGAGAGAGACGTTGTCGGGCCAGCTGTTGAGGGGAGCAAAACGCTGCTGACCCTCACCACCGCCTCCACGGCCATCCGTGACACGGTAGGTACCGGCGCTGTGCCATGCCATGCGGATGAAGAGACCGCCATAGTGGCCGAAATCAGCAGGCCACCAGTCTTGCGAGTCGGTCATGAGTTTAGTGAGGTCCTTCTTGAGGCCTTCGTAGTCGAGGCTCTTGAAAGCAGCGGCATAGTCGAAGTCTTTGTCGAGGGGGTTGGAGACGGGGGTATGTTGGCGGAGGATGTTGAGCCTAAGCTGGGCGGGCCACCAGTCGTGGTTCCTGGTGCCACCACCGCCGACGTTGGACTTGCGGACGGGGCACTCGGACATGTTGGTCGATGTTGTGTGGTTTATTGATCTTTCGAGACGAGATACTGATTCCAAGTTGAAGCTCTTTGCTGATGTGGGAGCTGAACAGGCGAAGAGAATAGTACGCACGTTGATGAGAAAAACGAAGAAATAGAAGACAGAAGACAGATGATATCAGAGAGCGGAAGCACCGGTATTAGTAGGTAACCTAAGAGAGGGGTTTGGTAGTGGAGGGTGTGGGTGGGAACGAAGGCGAGGTTGATATGAAATCGCCGAGAAGGAGGAATACAAAGGAATTATTCTACGTACCCCGCTTGATTGTCACCTTTGGAGGTGGTACGGTAGGTCACTGCCCGCTCCTGTCTCTCTTGTGAGTGTGAGCTTCCTCGAATCATGATTGCTCGATCCATCCCGGCTTCCACGCATCGCGGTGAACCCCTAGGGATGGGAGTAGATACCTCGTACTGTAATTACGTAAGGTAACGTACCTGCTTACAGCATCCCTGGATCTACATAGTATCTCGTCCTTGGCTTCGACTGATGTCATCCAAGTTGTTGCTCGTTTTTCTGTCGACACTCCAGATGGCGATCATATCGTGAAGGTGTTGCGTATCTTTAAACCCTTCCATATCCCTTTTCTTTTGTGGCAGCTTGATCTATCCAGACCGAACATCATGTGATGCTTGGAAGTGTAGATACTCACTGTACTTGTATGAAACACAGTACATATCCATGTATGGAAGCAAGTGCCGCCCGTGATCCTTCCGTTGTTGCTCGACCCCGCACAGTAAACACAGGAGGGGATCGATGGCAACTGCAACTCCAGTCTCTGAGGGTGCAACTGCCCCTGCAAGCAGGATGGATAGAAACGGGTAGAAAAGGTGGTACAGGGTGCATGAACGCAGGCTGCATTGAGTGATTGTTGTTGCCCTTCCGCTGATTGGCGGGTGGGGAATGTGACTCGCACCTCGGAGAGTTCTGCCCTTTTCTGGTTCACACTGGAAGCTTGACGGACTCACCTCACGACCCTCTCCAGTCAGCCACGGCAACGAGAACCTTGACGGCTTCCAAGTTCAACGGGAATTGATTATGAAGGCCTGGCTGGGTTTCCATATGGCTAAGTGGAGAAGGAAGTCATGTGAAGTCGCGTTAGCTACTACATGGAAAGCGCGGTGCTATTGGTATCAATACCACCTTACAAAACTGGGACGCGTAACCTCGGAAATGCCAAGAGCGGCGGGAGAAACATATCGAAGCGGGGCAGGCAACCCTTCATTGTGCTCTCTTGCCATCCAATTACTAATATTGCGTGCTGGAACCAGTTTCACCACTTTCATCGGCCTTTTGCTTTCGTGAATATTTACCGCCGGCTGTTCTTGGTTCCCCATGTTCATTGTCACTGTTATGTTGTGGTGATGTCTGCTACCTCGATAGAGTCGCACACGTAACCCCGTCCCTCCATCATCTCTACCCAGAACTCGTATGATTGCCTGGAGGCCAGTTCATCTTGCCCCCTTCGGTTGTTGCCATGTTTATTCTTGACTTCCCATATCCATCAGAGTGTCCCGGCTTGCTTGCCACTCCGCCTCACACGTGGGGAGAGGACCGGGAAGAGGTCGAGATCGATCTCGGCCACTTCTCCCGCCGTGGAGCTTTCCCCCGCTGGCGGCTAATCCCTTTACGGGGCCAGTCATGCACGCCTGACAGCTAATTGTCGAGCTAGGGGTCTTGGCCGGCTCATTGCTGACCAGCGGGGTTTGTGAATTGATATCCTTTCAGATTGTCGCATTCAACAACAAAAACCAACACATACTATGGATTTTCGGTCCAAATAGTCTGTTTAATATCTTTTTCTTTATAGAAACAAAGAACAAAGCCTGTGAGGATGGAATGTCTGTTATTTCGAATCGTCAGTGGGTCTAGATCCAGTCGCATCCAAGTGAGAACCTCTCTGGACACCTCAACCAGCGCGCAGATAGACTAATGTAGAGTAATTAAAACATTCAAACCAACGGCTTTCCAAAATCAGGCAGCAACCGCGACCTTCTACATGTGGCGCAGGAGAGAGCTAGAGAGCTCGGGTTAACAACAGCCCAAACTGCCAGGCGAGGCATAAAGATTGCTTACCGATTTGATTTGGGTCTCTGAAACCATCAAGACCGTTTATAACAATCTCCGGCGAGCATCGTAGCGGCACTCAATCTCCCGTCCGCTGGAGATGTGGCAACTACCGACCTCTAACTTCCGCCTCGGTCTTTCAGGCAGCAGTCTAGTGATCTGGTATCTGCACTTATCCCTTCTTGGTGCGCGCGGGCTCAGCAAAGACCTCCCTCGCCCGGGATAGAAAAGCTGAGACCCGTGCCAGGCTTGAGGCCGGTTGAATGTCTGGAAAGGGGGTCTCAGCTTTTCTGTCCCGGGCGAGCCTCCTCAAGATCCTTTGATAGCCCGGGGCGAGAAAGATGCGGTTGAGGACAGTGGCGCCTCTCCATCCGGAAGGACCCAGGTATGGTGAGTCATCGTATGTATGGCCGCAGGTCAGATCAGTCCACAGACATGGGCATCGTCGTCACGCCACCTCCATCTCCCAGGATTTCTCCCAGCTTGACAAGCGTGTTCTCATACACCTGAGCGACGTTCATGTGCAACAGCTCGTCTTCGTCGTCGTCGTCCCCATCATCGAAATCGCTCATGTCGGGAAGGCGATCAGACTCAGCTTCGGCCTCGGTATCGTTGTCCGGCTTCGGGGTCTGGATACCCTGACCCCCAGTATCGCCGTCTGGATCCTCGTCGGCTGGCTCTTTTGCCATGACCTCAACTACCAATACACGAGTGCGCTCAATTACGCTTTTACAGCGGACCATGTCGGTGCGGGACAGGCCGGCTCGAAGGCCGTTTTCGAAGCCTGGTAGAGTTTCTTTGGTGTCGATGTCGTAGCCGAAGAGTAGACTAGCGAAGCAGTGGTCGAGTTTTCGTAGTAGCGCGAATGTGGCTGCGGGCGATGGAGGGAAGCCCTCGAGCCAGGTGGTGAACTCGCTCGCAATGTTGAGTAGGTACGGGATTTGTAGGCTGGCTAAAGGGATATTAGTGCTAGTAATGACGGGTTAGAACTCTGAACCGTTTGGCGCTTACGAGTACCGGATAACCAGATGATATTGATAACGTCGTCCACGTCTTTACATAGTTCGGCCATGGACTTGTAGCCGGTGATTTCGTCGTCGGGATGGGGAATCGCAAAGTGCTTGACGTATCGGCGACTGATGTGTAGCATTTTGTCGGATACATAGTTGCGGACTTTATCCTCCTTGATGGACCCGGGGCGAAGGGAAGTTCGGCGAGGATGTGGAAGGTTGGATACGGCAGCCGCTGATGCTGAGCTGGGCGCTGGAGATGGTAACGAGTTTGAAGGGATCGCGGGAGGCACAAAGCCGCCTGGGGCTGGCGCGGTCGGGGGATTGGGGGTTTCGTTTCCAGCCATCGGTGTATGCGGTATCGCGGAGACTATGGGTGAGTGTTGATTGAAGCCAGGCAATTGGCGATGTCACGAACTTATAAATGGCTCTGGAGGGGACAATTGACGGTTTGCGACAGAAGAACTGCGATGGTTTCTAGAAGATGACAGTGAGAGTTCAGTGACAGACGCCGGCACATGACAATGGATGACATAGCAAATGGCGGGGCAGTGGGTCTCTATTGAAGCCCCACTCCTGGTACAGTAGATACCCCTGTTTATGCAAGTAATTCCGGCACTATGGGGAACGGCTCGAGCTCTTGGCATTAAGGGGGGTTTTTGCATTAAGGGGTACCTTACCTACATACAAAATCGGGAATTAGGGCCCCAAAATCATTTGCAACTAATGGGTCAATTTGTATGTGTTTGCAGAAGGGGGGCTTGCATAAACAGGGGTATCTACTGTACGTCGTGTAAGTGATAACACCCAATGACGGTGCCAAGCACCCTTTGATAACAACCTCAAAGGCCCGTGGCCCGTGCAGCCCCTGTCTCTCTGTCCCTCTCTTTGCCTGCCAGAAAGTCCAAAATTTCCATTCGACGTTCCCAGTCTGCGATTGCGAGTCTCGTCACGGCGTCACAGTTCCCAGCTTCATCAACCGAGAGCCCCCGTTATCGCGACAACTCTCAAGACACTCCATCACCATGCCTTCCGCCAAGTACATCGAGCGCCCCGGTGGCAGCCGCAAATCCAAGGGCTTCATCCGCTCCACTTACGATTCCCTCACCTCTTCCGAGAACGCTTCCGTTGTCCGCAGCATCGCCTTCTTCGGCGTAAGTGTCCTCACCAACCCGGCCTCCGACGTCCGAACCCCGGCCCCGTCCGGTCCTGTCCGGTCCATTCCTACCTAGTCTTCTACAGTCCGATTGTACTAACACATCCCCTCGTCACAGGCTGCTGTCGCCTTCCTCTCCAGCTCTTGGGGCGAGATGCTCGTTGTGTTCGTATACCCCTACCTTCACATCACAGTCCTGTTGGGCTCTAGTGTTTCCTAACCTAACCGTCGACGGATCATACAGGCAATAAATGCACACTTCATCGCCTCTCCTCCACCCGACACCGACCTAGACTCCGACTCCGAGTTCGACCCGCTGTACTACTCTAATACCCACGAACCCGGATCCCAGATGGCGGAAGCGAATGCGGGCACAACGACTCTTGTATGATATCAGATGGATAGACAAAAATCACAAATGAACGGATGCCCGACGAGCCAGTCATGAAACAGCGACGCCACAGGGAAATATGATATATCGTGATTAGGGACAAGGACAAACAAGGGCGTTGACGGGCGACGGTTTCACCTCTTCAAACTCAATCACACTTGCGATCAAGCGATGCGATGCGACTGTCTTTACTCGACTGTCGGCCTGTCGGTCAATCAATGTCTGTGAAAAAAGGAACATGGGTCAGAGGAATAGATGAATTCTGTCTTCGAATTTCAAGTCATTGACTGGACCGGATTGTCGCCTGTTGGTCTCCGCGGATGACTGCCGTGTGGTCCAACGACAAACAGCTTTTAATTTGCACAAACACCAAGGCTACCAACATTCACCAACGGTCAAGCCACAGCGTTTCAAAGTGTTGGAGGTGTCTAACCGTGATGCATTCTGTTCCTCTCGCTGTTTCATGTCTCATATCTACGGGTGTTAGGTTCAGCTCAAGGCTCATATGTCTCCCTGCTCACAACGACAGACCTTGTCTCAACCTCCAGCCGAGTTTACTTAACACCCACACTCTTTCTTCTTCCCTCGCCACGGAACCATCTCCCTAGACACTCACTCACATCCGCTCGTTACATCGCCCAGTCCAGCAGTCCAACAGTCCAAGATGATTCTCCCTGCCAGCCTCGTCTGGCTAGCATGCCTCTTCACTGCCACATTCGCCCAACAACCCACTACCTGCATCAAGCCCCAACCCACCTCCCAAGCTTTCTTCGTCATGGGCTGCGGCAAGCCCATCACCGTCGACCGTCTCGACCCCATTGTCTCTCCCGGCCGCCCTTCTCAGCACCTCCACACAGTAATGGGTGGTTCCGCCTTCGACTTCGACTTGGACTACAACAAAACGCAGACTTCCAACCGCACCACCTGCGCCGTATCCAAGGACTTATCCAACTACTGGGTACCCACCGTCTACTTCCACCATGCGAACGGCTCCTTTGAAGCCGTGGAGCAAGTAGGCGGCATCAACGTCTACTACCAAGAACGCATGGAATGGACCGATTACTGCGCCGGTCGCGAGTTGCTCGCTTTCCCTCCCGGGTTCCGGATGATGGCAGGCGACACCACCCGCCGCGACTTCAACTCCTCCAAAGTCGAACATCGCGCAATCGAGTTCATCTGCCTGCTAACCGACGGTCAGGAGGGTCTCCCTCCCTTTCATGGGTTCCCCAACCGTACTTGCGACGGCGGCCTACAAATCCGCATCCGTTTCCCTTCGTGCTGGGACGGTGTGGGACTTGGCACTTTTTCTTCTTCCTCCAACTCCTCTGTCCCCGGTTCAAACTCAACAGCGATAGCAAGCGCCTACAACTCCTCCCCCGTAACTTACCCATCCCGCCTCGACACCGGCGTCTGCCCTTCCACTCACCCTCACCGCATCCCCGCCCTGCTCTACGAAATGACGTGGAACGTAGCTGCCTTTAACTCTTTCAGATCCATGGGAGAAAACCAACAGCCGTTTGTCTTTTCCAACGGCGACAAGACGGGGTACGGATACCATGCGGATTTCTTCAATGGGTGGGATGTGAATCTCTTGCAAAGGGCGTTGAGAGATCCGAGCTGTGGAAATGCAACGGGCGGAAGGATTGAACAATGTGGGACGTTCAAGGAGTATTTGCAGAGTAATGAGGTGCAGAATGAGATTGCGGGATTGGGGCAGAGGGTGGAGGGGGAATGGAGGGGGGTTTTGGAGGGGGGGGAGTTGCCGGGGGGTGTGAGGGTTGGTTGAATAGTCAGTAGTAAGTGGTGGGTTAGTAGTGGGTGAGGTGGGTGAGGTGAGAGGGAGTTGAAGTGTTTAGTGCTGTCGTGATTTTGGCGAGGGATGTGGTGGGTGGGGGGCGGGATTGACTTGGATGCTGTTCGCTTGGTACATGTTATGAATGAATGTCCAGATGATTGTAAGGAACAGGAAAAAGAATGAATGAGCAGCGCATCGATCACTTTGTGCCGTCATGTCCTCTCCGTTGTGTCCCTTCTTGAACAATGAGAACCTGGTAATCAACGAGTGGTGAAACGGTGATCGGTTACATGGCGGATGATTCAAGGATGAAAGGTGCTCCGTGGCCGCGTTTGATATTCGATCATGAGGTACCTTCTGGGTTTAAAAGAACATGAATGTAAATGGGATCTAAAACTATCCTCAGGCATAACTGATGTGCCGTGGTTTCTATCAGTTATATATTAAGACTGTTAGATGCTACGTTCCCAACGGAATGAACATTTGGAGCACTCTGAGCAAGACTGTCCAGCCACCAAGCCAGAGATTACCAGAGACTACGAGTTGTGGTCAACAATGGAAGGAGTAAAATGAAATTATCGCAGTGATTGTTGCATCGAGACCGAAACAAACGAGTATCTGTCTCAACGTAGGACGACGGGTATAGGAAACCAATAAATTATAGCTTACCATCTAAGTAATCAATACCCAATTCCTTCATCAACCCAAAAAGACCACAAGAGATAGCCAGACTTGCTAACCCCAACGTTCTGCCATATATATCATAATCAAACTCTTGGCTATTCCCTACAGGATTTGCCATATTCTCAAAGGTAACAGCGCATGGGGGAATCGAGCGTTGTGAAGATCGACGACGCGGAATTCAGAAAGAGACCATGTAGCGTGAGTAATGAGTGATGAGAAAGGATGAGGAAGTGACGAAGTGACTGTCCTGGTCGGGAAAATGCGAAGCACACACAAGCCTCGATTGGTGAGACTGAATGAGATGGTTACTTATCAGGCAAACTGCACAATTTGGCTGGAACGCGTTAGTATGATAACATTCTGTACCTTTTGCACCGAGACTGACAAGTGGAAAGGCAACATCAAAATGCAAGAAACACCAACACAAGAACACAGGAGTATCAGGAAGACACTATTCATCCAGATGAGCCGCAAAAAATGGACTACCAAAATACTTTTTCTTCCTCTTTTTTTTTTTTGAAATGACAAGAATAGACGCTGAACCAAATCACCCAATCTGAACTAAAAGGACAGAGTGCCCATAACTCCAACCCCGACCGATTAACCCGATCCGATCCTCCGCAAGACCCCGAAAACGCCGTTGTCGCTTCCTTAACCAACCAAGCATAATCAGGACGAAACCCTCCTCACTGCCTCCATCCATCACTTCCCTCAAACCTCACACCTCAATCCTGAATCCTCAAACCATCCGTCCCACTTCTCACTAACTATCTCTCCACACCACCCGACTACTCAAACCCCATCAAACAACCACCCCAACACCCTCTCCGTCTTGTCCACCTCCTTGAGACTTCCATGTCCCCAACTCCCAAAAGGACAAACCACCAACTCACACCCCCCAATCAACCCCGCCGCTTGTTGTGACAGTCCCAAATCAACATACATATCTTGCTTGTAAGCCACCGCTCTCACTTTCACTTTCGTCATCCCCTTCTCATCCCCTTCCTCCTCCTCCTTCGCAGAGTTTTGGTTCCGCCGGAGCGAGCAAAAATCATACAAAGCAGGCCAATCGGCCTTTTGCGCAAGGATATGCGCGGCGCCCAGAAAGGGAGTGAGGGCGGGACCGCCGAGCGGGGAGAGCAGCGGGGTGGGGTGGATGGCTTCGCCTGTGAAGTAGTACTTCTTTGATGGGATAATAGAAGAGGTAGGGGAAAGCCAGGAAAAGGCGCCCGAGGAATGGGACAAGGCGACGTCGATGGCGGCCCAGTTGGATGGTTGGCTGGTTTGGGGGCAAGTGGACGAGCAGTAGATGGCTTCGTGAAGGAGGGCGTAGAGCGGGCGGCGGTGGAGGGCGAAGGATTCGAGGTTTGCGTAGAGGGAGAGGGTTGTCTGGGAGATGGTGTTATCGTGGTTTCTGGAGTATATGGAGTGATCAAGGTCGTAGATGAAGCTGGTTATGAGGCGATGGAGTTTTTGGTAGGGGATCGGGATCTTGGGTTCGATGAAGCTGGTAGGTGATAAGGGTTCCTCTTCTTCGTCTTCTTCGTCCCCATCCCTACGGATGACAGGCGCTGACCCGAACGTCCGTCCCAGAGTCATAAATGTCTGGTAAGTCAGATAACACCCTTTTCTCTCTCCATTTTCGCCATAGAGTTCGTACCCTCTGAACGACGCCGGCTGTCCTTCAACCCCCTTTTGCAACGGTGCCTTATCTCGCAAGTACTCGATGATCGTTCTAACATGCTCTTGGTCTTCCGGGAAGTACTCGTTGAAGTAATCCTCGTTTCGCCTGACGATATGGACGTATGTCTTCTCGTATACCTCTCGTGGGGTCTTGCCCAGCGGTGGCATCCCGGCACTGATGTACACTGCTTCTAGAGATCGAGGGAGAAAGGAGAGGTAAGTGGTGGCGACCCATCCGCCGAAGGACTGGCATATAAGTGTCCACTTGATTTTGGTAGCAAGTTCTTTTTCGAGACATAAGCGAATTGCTTCAAGATCGCGAACAATGTTATCTTGTCGAAACTTGGCGAGGTAGTTGGCTTTGTCTTGGTCGGACATGTTCAGCACTTTGGCCTTGGCGGTCGAATCGAAGAACAAGGGGCTGAGACCCGTTCCTCGGTAGTGGACATAGAGGACTTGGTAGCCTCTGTTGATACAGAACTTGTTCAGCTCGGGAACCTTGCCGGAAGGGTTTCCGTCTCCGGGACCGCCGCAAAGGTAGAGGATGAAGGGCTTTTGGGGGGATATAGGACTACTTGGGGCATCGGGGGTTGTTGGGTTAGGGTTGGGAAAGCTGTCTACAAGTTCTGCATGAAGTTGCAAAAACGCATCTTTCTGCGAGATGCCGTGATGATGGTGGTCTAATGGTACTTCAAATTCCAAAGTCCTGAACGTATGGCCATCGTTGTTGGCTTGACGAGGTTTGATACCGAGGAGTACAGCGGGTTTGATCCCAGCCCATAAACCCTCGGTTGAAGTTTTCTGACGGCTACCCATATTGACCGAAAGCGGAAGTCTGTTGTCTTTGCGCCTCAGGGGTACAGCTAGTATGTCGTATTCTCGGTAATCGGTGGCGTGGGTGGGACCCTGGTCCAATCGGTTTCCTTCCGAAAAGGGGTCCTTCGTCGACACTGCCACAGATCGCTTCGGGACCACGGGGGTGGTAACGGTGACTGGAGTGTAGGGCTGAAGGGTAGGGTAGAGCTTCGGTTTTGCGCACTGTGGGTATAATATGGCTGCTTCTTGAAGCAAAAGAGACAAGTTTTGATAGTCGATATCGAAAGTCGTGGGCAGGTCGTGATCTCCTGGCTCTTCGTATCGTTGAACAGCCCACGGAGACATTGTGATATCTTGGGGCTTATGTAGCCCTTCATCTTTCAAGGTCGCCATCGTGAACTCGACAACTGTTGGGTGAACAGATAGCGGGAAGTCAAGGTCGGTTCGTTGGAGATCCTAGGTCTGTCAGGTTGTTCACTCGATCCAACTATGAACAATGAAAGACGTTTGAACCGGCAGGATCAATCAAGCCGCCAACGATAGAGTGAACGAGCAAAACTTGGAGGACAACAATGAGACACAACGGCAACGAAGTTCTTCCACACGGGAAGGAGACGAGGTTATCAAGTACTAAAAGATGTTGATCACGCTAGTCGGAGTGTGCAAGTCCATCAGTATCATTGTCCTATGTCAAGCCACCAACAGGGACAGAGGGATGTGAAGAAAAACAAAGCATCTCGAGCCGTGTTGCATTTATACCGTACAATGCTAGTGTCTACTGCATAGGAGATATCAAGCCCCCATCGTCGGCTCTTTGACCACCAACCCAACCAAACCTGCGGTTGCTTCGGTTCTCAATGGCATAACCTGAACCATGACGAACAAGGGTTCCATCCATAAGTTCCCTCGGTCTACAAAAGAAGGTGACCGGGAACATGGAAGACAGATAGATGGTGTTCCACCGACATGCACCACGTGGTTAGACCAAGGCAATAACATCGCAGTTGGCCCGACGCCAAAGCCCGTCCATTCACCCTTGTCAGTCCAAATTCTGTGCGACCCATCACTTTGGATCGCGTTGGATTTGGCTGCAACCCTGATGGGTACCACACCCGAGGATATGGATGAGGGGGACACTGGGAGATAATGCCCATAATACCACAGTAATTGGAGGCGAGTTGTTGTTGATCAACAGGAGATAAAAAAGATGAAAAGCCTGTCACGAACGTACGATACACTTTATTCACTTGTCCGGTTGGGCTGTTTAAAACAAAGGAGATCTTCAAGTTGGCCTTCGGAGAAAGTCCCAACTCCCCGATCTCACAGTTCACATCTCAAACCACTAGCCCACTGTGATGAGCTTAGATCTCCTACAGTACACAAGCTGACTGGACGTCGTCATTTGGACTGACTGTCTTGAACTTTCCAATATTTTTCAAGCCAATAAACCACCCTGGAAACACCCTGAATTCGGCTCGCCCGCCATTAACCAAACACTGCTCGCCCGCCACTTTCCTACCTTGACCTATCAAACCCCTATCCTCCCATAGCATGTCGTGTAACAACGACCGCCGTGCTTGTGCTTGGACGCCTCCCCCGAAATATCCGAGCACATGGCTTCCATCGCACATCGAAGCACCGTGCCCATGCAACTCTGCCTGATAACTCTGGGAAATGCGAACATCTGTGTTCTGCCGGTGTGTTCGCAATGACCCTGTCTTCCGCAGCCCCTGGTTTTGGTGTTTCCTTCCATTATTCCACGCCTCACCGAAAAAGCATGACCATCTCCAGAATTTTCCGACCCAACAACCATGGATTTGTTGATGCGCGAGACACATGGGGAGATTGTAGGGTAGTAGTGTGGAAAGACGCCACCCGCACGGAGAGAAATGCACTGTTTGGTGTGAGATGACGATCTCGGCGGTGTTGTTGTGTGGAAGGATTGTGAAGATGGAGAACGGTATTGGGCTGCAAATGTGCCTCGGTCTGGAGAGATTGATACCTAAACTCCGCTCCTAGAGAGCAACTGCTCTTTTCTGACCGACGGCCTGACCGACCGACAGACTGACAGACGCGGTCAGCCGTCTCTAGGCGATGTTGAGCCTGATGCACTGCGGATGAGAAAACAGTACGGGTTAGCAACTCGGGCAAAGAAATGGCAAGGCATCCTGAGATGCACCGGGGACAGTGTTACCAGATACTCATCACATCCGTTCGACCCAAGTCCGGGGTCACCAAAGTTGATGATTGCCTCTTCCCTCACCTCCATTCCTTGTTCGCTCTCGTTGCGATCCCAATCATCTGTTTCGAGATCCGCATCTGCCGTCCAATTAACTTCAAATCCCGGACGCACAGCAATTCTTCCATCCTTCTCCGTCCGCTGGACCGTTCTGCACAAGAGTACCGCCAGATCAACATGTAGCAGCCACTCGTACACTTCCTCTCCAATACGCTTGCCAGGCATTTGTTTACAAAGTTTGTAAAGCCAGGCCAGCTGGAGCTTCTGCGCCGGAGTCAGATCGGCGGACGGTTCGAACTCCTCCGTGCCAGATACTTGTCTGTTCAGGATGTAATATACCGTCCGGTGGATCCCATTCTGCTGGTCGTCGTCGGCGTTTTGGACTCTGTTGCGCCATGTGACGAGTCCGTCGAGAAATTCCTTCTCGTAATCGTTGAGAATACTGACTGTGTTCTTGGCCGTATTCTGTTCTGCCATCTTGATTGTGCGGACATGTAGCTGGTAGACTAAAGCGATACGGTAGCCGGAGGTCAGTTGATATGCGTCAACGAAGGCGCCACCGCCGCTCAATCTGCGTGTATTTGGTTATTACACATCAATGAAAAAGCGGATGTTCCGAACACTTACGTAGCAATGAGGCATGGCTCCGCCTTTGGATCAAAGTAATGGCACCTGTTCTTGCAACTGAACGCAAACTCGCCGCCTTCGTAGTCGAGTCCAGCTAGAATGACCATCAGTCTACCCGCAAGTTTCTTTTCTTCCTCAGCTTGATATCTGGTGATAGTTTACGCGATTAGTTTTGTCCATGAAGCGAATGTGTCAGATGAGGGAAACGTACAAGTCGTAGTTTGGAAAAAGACTCTTTTCTCCCCATACCCACATATACTCCAGCTCTGGTGTGAACTTTACTTGGGGTGTCGTCCCAAGAACACCTAAGGCCTCTTCCGCCAGCCTCTTGATGTACTTGTTCCACTGTCCGCCTTCATCACCGCCTTCATCACTATCATCATCGTTGTCAGAATCATCACCATCGACAACCGTGATATGGCCTGTGTATGTTGGCGCTTGTTCCTGCTCTGACCCTTGTGCCTTGGAATTTCCTTTCGTGACTTTCTTTTTGGTCTTGGGCTTTGCCTTGGTCGTCTCGTCTTCCTTCCTCGCACTCATAAAGAAGGTACAGTCGCGTTTGAGGTTGCCAAACTCCCAACCGATCTGCTTCTTGTAAATCTCCCTTGCCACACCGAGGAGCCTTTCGAGTGCTTCTGGGTTATTCTCCAAGTTCCGCGTGTCGAATTTGTGTTCATTCTCTTCTACATCGTAAACCTTGAAGGCCACATGTTGTATGTCGTCTGGTTGGTCGAGTGTTCTGCAGTAGACAAAGTGCTTTGATGGAATGTTTTGAATCAAGTCCTTGATGGTTTGGTAGATTTCAGCGTTCTCTGCTTCGTTGGTCGATGCCTGGGTTTCTGTCGTGGTGTCGTTGTTTCCTTCCTCATCGATCCCCGTTCCTTCCTGCTCAGCGTGTTCTTCTGCATCTGCACCTGCATCTGCATCCGGAGAATCTCCACCAGCCCCTTCCTCAAGAAACTCCCTCTCTGCACCCTCGTCTTCATTCTCTCTTTCCTCTTTATTTTCTGCCTCATCATCTGTCCCTTCATTTTCAATTTCTTCTGGCTCGTTCTCCACCTCCACCACCTCCTCTTCCTCCTCCTCTTCCTCCTCCTCTTCCTCCTCTTCCTCCTCCTCCCCTTCTTCTTTTTCATCCGCTTCTTCATCCTCCCCGTCATGATCAATTGAACTCCCTGAAGACTTCATTTCATCCCGTTCCTCATAGTCCCCTTCCTCAACATCGGCCCTACCGGCATCAGCCACTTCTTCTTCCCTTTCGCTCTCAGGAATCATATCCGCATCTTCCCCATCCTCTTCCTCCTCCTCCTCCACATTTTCCCGACTCTCTTCAAGCTCCACCTCCTCCTGGATTGAGCCATCAGGAGCCTGGCACGCGTTGTTCACATCATGCATAGTAACATTTCCTTCTCGATCCACGTGGACACTCCCATCATCCATGTCAAAATCATCGATCTCGTCACCCATTTCCTCCTGTTCTTCTTCGTCATCGTCCTCCTCCTCCTCTTCTATCGGAACATGTCCGTTATGACCAGTTTGGACACTTCCATCGTCCATGCCCTGATCATCAGCTTCGTGACCGATATCATCCTGTAGGTCATCTTCCTCCCTCTCCTCCCCCTCCTCCACCATCTCCGACTCCTTAAGCCGCTTTCGCGTTCTGCCTGTTTCTTCCTCTTCCACTTCACCTTCCCCTTCTCTATGCAGCTCCTTCATTGGACGCTTCCTCCCGGACTTTTCCTGCTCCAACTGCTTCTTCTTTTCTTCGTGTCGCTGCCTTTGACCTTCCTCTTCCCCACCACCCGCATCCTGCCTCTTTTCAGATTCCAACGAGTTACTCCTCCGTCTAGTCTTACTTGCTTTGGCCATCATCGCTTTGAGATCCATCCCTTCGAACATCGAGCTTTCCTTCTTTATTTTGGGGTGCTTATCGGGTCTGGTTGCCTTTAGCTTATTTGTTGATTCTTCAGCCACCGGTAATGATGAGTTGGATGTCTCTGCCGCACGAGCGACATTCTTTCTAACTGTGTTTTTTCTTGCCTTTCTTGCGGCTGTATCCTTTCTTAGTGAGGTACTTGGGTCTGACTTGGAAAGTACGTCGCTGGGCTTGCTGGAAGTAGAAGCCAACGCCGAACTTGCATTGCGGAATTTGAGACCTGGTGAAGCTTGCGCAGTCCTTAATGAATCGGAAGCGGCTTTTGGCGCTTCTTTACTAGAGGTAGGCAACTCATCTCGTAGAATGGAAGGAGAAGGTCGTGTTGGTTTGGGGGCGGAGGCTGACTTGGCCGTTGGTTTGGAGACTATCTTGGATGCCTTTCTGACAATAGGCGTAATGATTGGGTTCTTAGGTTTTTGGGAAGGCGCTGTCGACTTTTGCTGCGCGAGCCGCTGCTGATTGCGTGCCATGGCTGGAGCCATGGCTTGTGTCTCTGTGGTGCGGTACTTTGAAGGGTAGCTTAGGACCGGAGCTGCTGCCTTTAAGGTGTGAGGATGATATAGTATGCTATGCAGAAACTTCTCACGGCCACAACATCTTGTTCTTATAGAAATCCGGTCGATACCTCATCTTGCCGCCCTGGTTTAGAGCATTGATCTTGAGACAAGGACAGAAAAGCGGCAAAATGGACGGATGGTCAACTAGTTTCAGAACGTATCAATGTTCATTGCATTGCCGCCGTTGGGGGCTTCTTTGCATCGTCATCCACTTGAAGAATGAGGCTTTTTGCTTCAGGCTTCTGCTGATAATGGCAGGAGCTCTAGTGCCATCTATCACCATCTTGGCTTCAAAGCGCATCAGCTTTGGTGGAGTGTCGTTCATACGGCTCTTGAGCAAAAGAATCAATATTGTCCCTCAAAGACGACCACCATGTAGATGGTTCCTTGGAGTTCCATGCTGAAAGCCAGACTCAAAGTGGGTTTCTCTTGAATGAGAGATAATACAATCTCTGGCGCTTCCACCGTCGTCTCAAGAAACATCGACCAACAAAAACCAGCCTCAGGGAATTTCCATTGCTTGAACTTCCGATATGATTGTTTGAAAATATTGAAATGGTAAGCATGAGCGCAACAGGGCTCAGCTTTCTTATCCTTCAATAGCGACCTTCATGACGCGAACTCTTACAATGCCAGAATAATCATGATGGACGATGGGTGTTCTTGTAAGATGGCTTTCGATGGCATGAATCCCGCTAATGAGAAGGAACTTGAGGGTATTCTAGCCTCATTCAATTTGGAGTTTGGGTATATCTTGGACTTTAGCCAGCCCGCCCGAGTGGAAAAACCTCGTTACCGCATGTCCTTACAAACACTCGGTAAAACCATGAACTATGCTATGGTTTGAATGGCCCATTAACATTTCACTTTCGCTCTACCTTTTGTGGCAGGTTCTCTCTTTGACTCTTATTTAAATTGCCCTTTCCTCTGTCGTCTAAGCGTTCCCATCCTAGTCAAAGTGTCTGGTGTCTCGTCTTTGTGTTAATATGGCGATGGTTACGGCCTAGTTGGTGCCACTGATCGATCCATCTCGAAAGGGCTCTGGTTCATCTGTTCCGTCCTTTGGGTCTGGGCGTGAAGGCATGTGTAGTAAATATGCATTGTTGCTGGAGGTGGTATGTTTGAAGTGGGAAGAGGAAGGAAGGGACATGGCGAATGCCAATGGGGAAAAGTACATGCCTAGGAACTGGTCAAACAAAGGCCGTGGTCATTCTCAACTTTGTCTAACAATTTTGGTTATGATGGACCTTTGCTCAAAGTACTTTTGTACACAGGCGTACGCAAAGATTTACTTCTGGTGGAATGCATGCGCCTGTGCTCTGTTAGTTACTGTTATTCACTGGAATTCGCTGGACCAAACCGGGATCAGTGACCTCCGCCGCCAACAACCGGCCGTGCTCATGAATCGACGAGGCCGTGCTTGTCTTTATTAATCAGATCGAGATCTTGCAGCTGTTGGAATTCATCTCCCATTGACTGTGTAAAAGGATGCTTCGCTCCGACAGGCTGAAGTTTGGTTGTAAAGGGTGGTACACCTTAAAGTCATCCAAACGCCAATGACATCATCCCGCCGGGCATTAACCGTGTACATGTCACCCCACGATCGACTGACCCCCGTCCCGTCTTTGTTTGGTTGGATAGAGGTACCATTTGACCAACACCACCATCAGACTTCCCGCTCCCCTGAGGAAACACACCGGCTTTTTCAACCTTTCACGACTTTTTCCCACCATCCATTTCAGTTTCCATATTGCCGTCTCGGTGGTATCCAAGTGATTGACCTGCGGGCAGGTCTTATCCCACCCCATCAGCACATCTTTATCTTGACTCAACCACCATGTCAGACAAATCCATCACCTCGTTGACCTCCCAAGACCGCCGCGAAGCCGAGGCACAGGTTGTCGCCGAACATCTTCCCGCAGGCTACACGGCCGAATTCGACCCCGAACACAACAGCATAACCACCCAACATGGCTCCGAAGCGACGACACACTCACAGGCCAACAAGGCGGTCTCAGCCGGCAGCGCCGAGGGGTCCTCCTCTATACGGACGCGCTCGACAACACCAACACCAAATGAAGTAGAGGGCGGCGGCGCCGCCTCCTCCCTCAAACTCCAAGGAGGTGACATTCACCGCAACATCTTCAAGATCGACGCCTCGGCCAAACTACAACAGCTGCACCGACGAGCCAACACCTTCCACACCCCGCGAGAGTTCGAGCAAAACTCCGATGTGCCCATGACCGTATCCGACCAGCTTGCCCCCGGCGGCGCTCGCCGCGCCTTTTTACACCAGAAACACGGTGGCCGCGGCGGTAACGACTTCCTAGCCGCCCGCATGCCCATCACCCGCAACTTTGTCGAGTTCCTCGACCTCTACGGCAGCTTCGCCGGCGAAGACCTCGCCGACTCAGACGAAGAAGCCGTCGAAGAGGAAGAAGAGGAGGAAGAAGCCCGCATTGGCGAAACCACGGCTCTCCTCCGCCACCGGCGCCCTTCGATCCGCGTCCCCAAAGCCCGTCCCCACACGGCCGGCACCACCAAGACCTTCTTCACTTTGATCAAAGCCTTCGTCGGCACCGGCATCATGTTCCTCCCCAAGGCCTTTGCCAACGGCGGCCTCCTCTTCTCCTCGCTCGCCATGGTCATCGTCTCAGCAGTGACCATGATCGCCTTCCACCTGCTGCTACAATGCACCCACCACCACGGCGGCGGCTACGGCGAGATCGGCGCCGCCATCGCCGGCGAGCGCATGCGCACCTTGATCCTGGCCTCCATCACCATTTCGCAACTCGGTTTCGTATGCGCCGGCATCGTCTTCGTCGCCGAGAACTTGACCTCCTTCCTAACAGCCGTCACGCCCGGCTCCCAAGCCCCTTTATCCTCCGTAGCACTCATCGCCATCCAAGTAGTTTTACTTGTCCCCCTCGCGTGGATCCGCAACATCTCCAAGCTCGGTCCCGCCGCACTTCTAGCAGACGCCTGCATCCTCATTGGCGTATCATACATTTACCAATTCGACATCCGCGCTTTAGCAGCGAACGGGATCCACAAGTCCGTAGTCCTCTTCAACCCGGAGCGTTACACACTGATGATCGGCTCCGCCATTTTTACTTTCGAGGGAATCGGCTTGATCCTACCGATCCAGAGCTCCATGGCCCAGCCGCAGCGCTTCGAGTGGTTGTTGGCTGTGGTGATGGTCATCATCACTCTAGTCTTCACCTCCGTCGGCGCCCTGTCTTATGCCACCTTTGGCACGGAAACGCAGATTGAAATCATCAACAACTTCCCGCAGGACAGTAAACTCGTTAATACGGTACAATTCCTCTACTCGGTTGCTGTCCTGGTAGGTACACCCGTGCAGCTGTTCCCGGCGTTGAGGATCATCGAGAGCAAAGTCTTTGGGCATCGGTCGGGCAAGAGGAGTCAGAGGACCAAGTGGATCAAGAACATGTTTCGGCTGGGACTTTTGGTGCTTTGTGCAGTGGTGGCGGTGTTGGGAACGGGTAATCTGGATAAGTTTGTCGCGTTGATCGGGAGCACGGCGTGTGTGCCGCTGGTATATGTGTATCCGGCGTATTTGCACTACAAGGGCGTGGCGACGGCGAGGTGGGCCAAGGTGGGGGATGTGGCCATGATGGTTTTGGGAGTGGTTTGTATGGTTTATACGACGGCCGTGACGATTTATTACAGTTTCATGTGAGGTGGTGATGATATTGGGGGTTTGGCTTGGCTTTTAGGGCGTTCTTATGTGGGAATATGGACGGACGGGTTTGGGAGTTTGGGAGGGAGAGGAAAACATGGGGGAATTTGATCTTTGACCTTGCGGCGGACTACTCGGTGAGTATAACGAGGGTTCATGTTTATTATGTCATTAACTTCAAGTAAACAAGCGTAGCACAATACATGCTTGATTTTTCTAGGAAGACTGAGCCGGAAACAAAATGTAGAGCGTCTTCGACCTTCCGCCGCGTAACGATCCACGACCCTGCGCAGCCCTGGATTACCAACCAAAACATGCCTTTACGTCCAAGGTATCTGCTTCGCATTATGAGTAACCATATCCACCGCGATTCTCGGTCCTTCTCCACCAAGCTCGTCCACATCTTCAAGTTTTGGCTCCCATTCACCGAAGTTATCATACAGTCGCAAAAATATGTCCTCGCAAAAGATGCAATGTTCGATCTCATCCCGTCATGTGCGCCTTGTGTTTTCTTCTCATCATCCCAGAACCGGCGTCCCTGATGGTAGATATACCCAATCACGTCCACCACCTCCCGGTACACCTTTTCTTCTAGGCCAAAACAGCCCTCAAGTGCAGTAGGACGCCGCATCAGTACCTGAAAGGCGGTCCGTAGGTCTTTGTAAGCTATAGCCTGGAGACATCCAATTTTGTGGAACATGGCGAATGCCCAAATCTGCGCAATTTGTCGGTACACTGATCCGGGTGTGGGTGGCTGCACAAAGGGACTGCTTTCGTATATCCAATACGAATTCTGGTTCCTTTTCCTGGCATCGGTGTATCTTTGGTGTTTCTGCAAAATGTCTTGTTCGGGGAACGACATGATGAGTAGCTTGTAATTGCCCATGTATGCATATTGCACGAATAGGTTGAAAATGTCTTCGTCGATGAAGGTGCTCCAGTCGACCGGCTTGGCTTTCCCACCTTGACGGCTGGAATTTTGATCATGATGTTTAGAAAGGATGGCATGAAGGGGGTCGGATAGGCTGGCGATTAGAGATTTGCTGATATGGTATTCGCTTTTAGAGGGCCCGATGAGGAATTTGACGAGATTGGAAGAGCATACGCTTAAGATGGGAAAGGATAATGTCAACATACAACCTAAATATCTTCGTGCGAGCAGTTTTTTTTTTTTGGAAGAGATTCAAGGATTCGACTTACAGCTGGAGATCCCTACTTAGAAGGGCGCAAATTCCAGTATCGAGTGGGCTCCACCAAAGCCGTGGAATGTTCCCATTCCCCGCCATCACGTCGTTAGATTTCTTACTGTTAGTTGATGACTCAGGAGTAAGTAATGCTTTGGTGGTCGACGAAGAATATGAAAGGGGTGGTGACACTGGCTTACTATATCGAAGACTAGTCGGGTTCGGAGCCACCAAACTGACACATCATCAGGTAGCCATACATACCTGCCCATCATTAGGTGAAAGCGGAAGGCCAATAAGTAACGGGCCTCCAGCAGGCTATGTATTCACCCGGACCCGAGCAGTCTAGCAAACGGCGATAGTAACCCTCATGCATGTGAACAGACTTCCGTTTGTCCTTGTCGACGACAGTCTCTCCCAACAAGCCGGGCTCACGACACGTACAACACGGTTCCTAGCATAAGAAATCATCTTGACCTACAAGATGGCTGGCTTAGTTGCTGAGAGCCAGAGACTGACCGCCGGCGAAGAACATGGAATCAATCTCAATTGCATTCCGCACGATATCCGAGCAACCACCGGGGCAGTTGCGCTTGATTGATGAGCAACGTCTGTGGTGGCCCGAAAGGAGACGAATCCCGTCGCCTATACTTGAAAGACTCCATGTTGGTACCTCTAGGTAGCTTCGCCTTTCTTTAGTTAATTGATTCTACGGGTTCGGGTAGTGAGGAACTCAGGTCCCTTCGTCTGGACGTAAACTCTGTGGCCTAGAAACTACTTCTGGTGCAGTGGCGGTTGAGATCTGTTACTATCGTTAGTGCATGAAAGCACCACGGTGCTCTGTTAGCGCAATAACAGAGTCCACCCTCCGAATTCCAACTTGCGATCGTATGGGCACCCTTGAGACACTATGAAATTTCTGCGTAACGAAAATTGAACGAGAGTTGAAGCCAGTCGATATAGATTGTCAAGTACTATGCCGTCGACGTCCTAAAGTAGCTTTCGTGATATCGTGGTGCTATCGCCTTCTGGCTTGTCAAGAGCGCCGGCTTGGTTTTGGTGATTGAAGGACCCCTTTTGCTTCAAGTTTCGGGTTTCCATCTGAAATAATTGTCGTAGAAAGATTGATTGTTTTGCTATGGTCTTTCCTTGGAAATAATGCCAAGTTGTAAATCGAGTTCTACAAAGGGCTGCTGCAATCGATGGGCATGATGGCGGGCCAAGCTACCCAGAACCAAACAGCTTCTACCATATGCTCATTCACATTGTCATTTCTAAATGGGGTATCTATGTACCTATTTTTCCAGCTCTATCTCCTCAAAACTTTTTTTTTCACGTCTACCCCTATCTACCACACCCATCCCTGTTTAGGCATCCATCTCTAGATGCACGTGGGTATCCAATGATGTTTTAATATCCAACGGTTTCCGACACCAGCATCCCGATGCCGCACCATCTGTTTCCCGTTCACCACTCTCCACTGTATCCTCATGCACCATAATAATGCTCTCAAGTATATCCAATTCATTAACATTACCATCTCGCTTTTCATATCCAAGAGTCATATAATCTATACATGAAACAGTTCATCGCTCTGTTCTTTTTCTCTTTCACCCTAGTTGATAGGGGGGAATGGCAGCCAGCGTCCACTTGGCCACCTTTCAATCCTTCTTCCCCAAGGATCCCTCTACCGGCACTGGCTTCTTGACATCGCCAGGGATCGCCGATGCGGCACCTGTATTCATGGTCGCGACATCCTCGCCAACCTGTTCTGTGGGCGGGCCGGCGTAGTTCTTGTGGCCCCAGGTGATGTACCACGCCAGAGAAACGGAGGTGAAGCCGACGAAGACAACAGGGGCGTAGTTGACGGTGCCGGCGCTAACGGGGATGTAGGCGGGCATGCAGAAGAGGGGGACTGCGAAGAAGGACCAGGCTGTTTTTATGGGGGTTAGATCTGCACAGAAAAAAGGGTTGAGGGGCAAAGGAGGGGAGAGGAAAACATACCCAAAGCAATAATGTTGCAAAACCACCCAAACTTGCCCAGCGGGAACTTGGCACCAATGACATGCTTCCGCTTTTCAATCATCGATACGGCAATGGGCACCGCGTATGAAATGGTCAAGCAAATGACACCAACGCCACTGAAGGCGTTGAAAGCCGCCGACGAACCAAAGTAAATGACGCCCAGCAAGATTTGGATGACCATGGACAACATCATGGCGTTCAGCGGCAGATCCAGACCGGTGTGCACCTCCTTCCACCACCTGGCCCCGGGGATGGCACCGTCGCGAGCAAATGCCCAAGTGCAGCGAGAGGCGGCGGTGGTGCAAGCAGTGCCGCAGAGGATACCCAAGACCATCAGGGGAATAAGCAAGCAGATAGCTCCAACAGAGGAGCCGACAGCGGACTTGAGGATGGTGGGGACGGGCTGACCGGACGGCAAGGCGACCAGCATGGCAATGTCAGGGAGGACGAACATGAGGGGAATCATGAAGACCAGGCCGCCGATAGCGTTGATGACGATGGTGATGACCATGGCCTTGGGCACCTGGGTGGCGGGGCGCTGGACTTCCTCGCACATGGAGATAATCATGCCAGTCGAAGAGGTGGCGTAGCCGGCATGCAGGAGACCGACGCAGAAGGCCCAACCCTTGGGCCAGCCGGAGGTGGGCTCGAAATGGCCGAAAGCGTAAGCGCCGGAGTGGCGGCCTTCCTTGGCTACGACGAGGATGGTGACGAGGATGCAAATGAGGCCGACGAAGGTCCAGACGATGGCGAAGGTCTGAAAAGTTGAGGTTAGCATTGTGTACCGAATCCATATGAAGGAGGGCAAAACTTACATCCAAAAGAGGCAGGATCTTGTTGCCCAGCGCTGAGATGGCGTTACACAGCAACGTAATAGCCAGAAATACCAGGAAGATCTGGTAGGTCTCCGCCTGCCAGATATCGCTGCCGTCCTCATTTTGGAAGACATTGACACAAGCGACAAAAAACAGAGCCGTACCAAAGTTCACAGCCAAGGTAATCGTGATATTGCCAACGACATAGGCCCATCCGCAAATGTAGGCTGACACTCTCCGATACTTGGCGGGCGCAATCATGAAAGTCTGGTAGTAGACACCGCCAGCCGTAGGATAAACCGAAGTGATTTCACCAAGAGAAGCCGCAACGCAGAGAATGATGGCACTGATGATGACCCAGCCCCAGATGACAACGACGGGACCGCCGTTTTGCAGCGGGTAGTACAGGGTGGTGGCCAGACCGTAAGGAATCGAGGCAAGGACGAAGGACATGAAGGCGACGTGCCACGTCGAGCGGGTGCGCGCTAGTTCGGCCTTGTAGCCGAGGGCGTTGAGGAGGTCATCGCCGTCACTGGCCGAGGCCACCTCACCACCGAGGTCGTGGCTGCGCGGGCGAAGAATGTCGGGCGGTCCGGCGGCATAGCTGCCGCTCGCCTTGGCGGCCGTTGTACTCATGGCACGGAGGAGGAGGAGCTGCAACAGCGGGACGGGGCTGGATGTGATGCTTCCTGTGACGTCAATGCAGATATTCGTCTAGGCGGGCTCCGTGCGTCGGTGGCCGGTGTTGCAGGTCGCGGGCAGGTGGCACTGAGTCGGATACTGGATTCCCGTCAAGCCGAGCGAATGTAGGAGAGGACAGTGATGGGTGACAGGTTGTTATCGTTGTCGTTGTCGTCGATTGGCAGTGCGACTTGTCACCGTCAATGTCTCCCAGAAAGGCTGGATTCGAGTGCCAATGGGTGGTGGGTGGGTGGTCCAGTCGTTGTGAAAGTCGGATGATGTGAGATGGGATGAGTGATGGGCCAAAAGTGGAATAATGTACGTATTTCAGGTCAGAAGGAAGTTCAGATGATGGGCCTTCCAAACATTTATTTGCCCGAGCTATCGGGTTCAGTTGGTTGCGGTACGGACGGTGCAGCAGCAGCTTGGGACCTTGCAGGCCAAGCAGGCCTGAAGCTACTACATACCCTTTTCGCGTGCGCCCTGCAGCGGGGACCCCTGCTTACAAGCTCTTCAGTTCCCTCTTTCCGTGATGTGCCAATGGAACCTATCTCTGGACCCAAATCTTTTTGCAATCTGTGGGGTCTTCCGTCCTCGCCCCGGCCCATCACATCCGTCTCTTATCCATTCTTTCCCCCACTGTTGCTTTACCCTTTTGGTGCAATTATCCCACCAAGCCCACTCCCCCACGAGGTTGGTTGCCATGTAATGGGATGTGACTATAGTGACCCCTGGTTAGTGATCCATTATTTTAGGCCCCATCTCATTTTTTCAATTCACGGTAAATTTTAGAAATTACTAACGGTCAGGAGTCCGTGCGGGGTGCCCGTGCCCCCTCTACACTGTAATTTGGTAAAATATAGTAGATTTGTACCACTCCTTACCTTAAATTACCTCTATTTACAATAATGACTTAATAATTAAACCGCTAACTCACAATACGATGCCCCTTATACGCCTCGCTATAAATAACACTATTAATAATAAGTTCGATCTTCTCCCTAATCCTAGCTATCCCTACCAAATTGCAATATATAAGCACTATCAATTAAGGCAGGCTAAAAATATTATACATCAGCACAAATACTTCACTAAGTATAAAGCCTACTTACAACATTGAATTAATTAGTAAATTAAAAATTGTAAAAATATTAGAAAGTATACCGTTGCTATAACTATAGCCTAGAAAGTCTCGAATCCCTATATTCTTAATATAGTAAATTTCATACTAACCAATATAGTCTCTCTAAATTAAAATCGACTAATATACCGCTGAAGCTATCCTTTTAAATAGTAAGCTATTTACCCTCTTTGAAAGTATACTTATAAGAGCCTTCCTCTACTTACTCGTCCTTATATATACTCCGCCGAATTCTAATAATATTTCTAACAAATAGCTACTAAAAATCTACACGCAAATAAAACTCTAAGTTATAGAATAATATATTAAGAATAATATATATATTAATATATACTTCAATAAATCTAACGACTACGCTGGCCGCCATATTATTAATATCTCTATTGCTATTTTTAATGGGCTAACTTTCTACTGGAAGAATATAGATACTAATTTAACTAAATACACGTTAGCGAACTTAGCCAACGTTATTACCAACGTTACTATCGATCTTATAGAAGGGAGGACTTCAAAGATTGATAGCTTTATTACTGATATGTATAATACTGTACGCAAAGCTACCACAAACCTTATAGCCGACCTACGGTTTAATAATATATTTACTATTCTATATAATTTATACTCTTTATAACTATTAATGAAAGATGTATTAAATATTCCTATATCTAAGACTATCGCTGCGCAAATTAACCAGCTTGTTACCTTCTTTCGTACTTCTAAACTGCAATTCGCCCGCTTACGTAGGTATATACTAGTATACAATAGCAAGATTATCTCTATCCTTGCCACGTAAGTATATATTTCTCTATTATTTATTTTATATATATTACTAACTAAACTAGTATAATTACTCGATAGAGATTACAATATAAATTAATTAAGTCAATCCAATGGGTAAAAGTAGTATTGTAAATTTAGATTAGTGTAATATACTTTGAAGGCTAGTACAACAATACCCCCTAAATTAACAATACCATTATAGTACAATTCTAATAAGTGCTTTAAATTATCGAAAGCGCCTACTTTTAGTATAATATCGATAAGCTAGAGTGCTTCCTCTTACCTTTTTACAAAGCTTAGCTATTATTAGAAGTAAATAGATTATATATCGGTTATACTATTCCTCGATAAGTCGAAATCTAGCGCGCTTAGTTACATCTCTAATACTCGATTATTACTAAGAGTTAGTAGGATCTTAAACGTACATATATTACTAGACGAACTAAGTAACTTACCCCTATTAATTAACTTTCGTACCTCCTACTACTATCTACTACTATAATAATACTTAACCAAATTGCCCCCTCTATTCCTAATATATAATACTATACTATTAAATACCTATATAAGTTCGTTGGCTGGTTGGGAGTTACAAACCAACAAATTATCTCTAACTTCCTCAATTTTTATACTCGTAAGAGGAGATATACACTATACGCTAACGTCTAGCAAATAAGCCTCAATGCGAGGCACTTTTAGTATTATATATAAAATATAGTACAAAATAAATCAGTTATTATACTACTAATAGTAAGGATATTTACAATACTAACTAATAGTATACCGTACGAGCGAGCCTTCTCTATAATAAATTTCCTCGAGAGCCTGGTATATATTCGACTAGCCAAAGAGAAGATGGATATAGCTACCTTCGTTTATATAAATGGTAAGCGACTCTATAAATTAGATTAAAGCTAGGCCTAACTATCTAACGAGTAAAGAGACGTATTATTATTAGAAATAGAAGAATAGTTATATATCAATATACAATTTAACGATCTCAACAATCAACCGATTGAAGACAGTGTTATTTAATAGATTAGAAGCAATATATATTACAAGGTTTACGACTCTACAAGGGTCGTGAGAGTAAATAAATTATTCAATTTAGATAAAATTTGAGCATTTTGGTGCAGTTTGGTGTGCAGTCTGGTGTGCTGAAATACCAGATATTACGATAAGTGAGTCACGTGCACCCCGATAAGCCGTCAGACAAAGCATTTTTTCATTACTCTGACTGTAATTACTGTCACTGACTCTGACACATTCTGACGAATGGATCACTACCCCTGGTAAGCTCTACGACAGGAACAGGTTTTGTCTTTGTACCTCTAGCGCAAACCTTTTGCCTCTCTTGCCCCCGTACGCTATGTACATTCCGGTACACCTGCTAGAGAGAAGGAGGGAAGCTCTCAGTTTACGATGATGAGAATGGCAATGGCAATGGTGATGCTGTTGTCTAAAATCCATTCTGATTTCTCCCCATGGCCTCCAGTGCCCCAACATTGCCACCAGTATTGCAAGCACCAGCAATCACTAACATCGCTAGCACCAGGCAACTCACACATGTGATATGTACTATTCCGCATGGGGCTTAATAAGAGAGATAACAGGGCTGATTGCCAAGAACGAAAAGCTCCGTCAAATACAATAACTTCGTGCTTACTGCTACTTCCAGTAATTCGTGCGCTCATCCTCAGAGTTTGCCTCCATTTCGCGAGTTTCCCGATATTTTCTCTTTCAATATTCCTTTTTTTTTGTGCGGACCACTGTTTGGACATTTGTGAACTCTGAACGGCTTTTCACTTTCACTAGTTATCTGTTGCGGATACTCCAGTCGATCAGTCAGTGTCGGTTGTCCGTCCCTTGTCTTAAGTTGTCTTTCAACTTGTCTTGATTCGGATTCTTTTGTCTCGGCCGAGACCGCCTCTTTTGGCAAACCGCTGTACGTGTACCTTTAACTGTTAATGCAGAGCCCCTTGATAGAGTTCATCCACAGGGTCCAAACGACAAAACCGACTTAAAAGAAAAGAATTATCTAGAATCTCATCTGTCTTCTGCGTTTCAAGCCCCTGAAATCCGCCCCTCGTCGTCTCCCTCATCCCGTTTCTCTTGTTTTGCAAACCTGCTTGACTCGAATTCCAGTCTTCCACCAAACTTCCTCCTAGGTCCCTACGTAAGGGTAATTTGTCCACAACCTCGCGGTCCCGGAGAACTCGCAGCGAAATGTGCCTGACAACGAAGCCCTTGAAGCCTCCACCTTTTTCCCAGCCCGCCCGCCCGCCCTTCCCCGAACTTTTTACCCGCTTTTCTATCCACTTTCCATGGAACTTTGCAGAAAGTTTAGTGGAGCCACACAAACCGACCGCGACTGTACACTAGTGCTAGTACGTAGTGAAGTCAATATCCCAAGGAACCATGCCATTACAAACGAGACTTCTTTTGACATGTGATAGTCGTTGAGAAAACCTGCGAATGGTGCTGCTGCCTGGAAATGGAAAACTCAACAAAAAGTTTGATGTCCGTTGAGGATTGGGGCTGTGTTGTTTGATCGGGTTCCTTGTATCATTGCCGCCCGCCCGGTTCACCGGATGTGAGTGAAGCGCGTCGAGTCGAGAGTGATAACCAACGGCCACACTCAATTTGTATCTGCGGCACATGTCAAACTGGACTCATGGTTTTGATATCGTATCGTGTCGTTCAATCGATGCCATACCTTGACGTTGTCCTCGACCACCACGCTCTTCTTCGAGTAACCAACAATTTCAGTTGTGCTTAGTTGTGCCTGGCAAGGTGGTGAATAAGCAATTTCGACCATATATGGGTTAAGGGCAAAATGGGAGAAGTTTAAGAAGAAGTTGAAGAACGACGACAGACGATGGAAGTGACAGGAGCCAGGAATTGAATGAACGAGGTCTCAAAGAACCACGTGCAACTTGCTTGACGCGTGCTGCGGTTCTTCCCGTTCCCGTTCCCGTTCCGTCCCTCCTTCAATCCGAACCTGTACGCACGTCCAATGCAGGAGATATTAGTTGAACCCTTTAACAAAAAAGGAGTTCCATGAGTGGACAGGGAGGAGTTAAAGACCCGATACGGCGTGCTATTTTACGCAGGGTAATAGGCCAAGAGTAGATATCATATGCGTTGTATTCGTATCTTCGTTAATGTAGGCATGTACACATCTCTTTGTTCCCGCTCAACTCCGATGCCACTTATACCAACTCCTCGCCCGTCCCGATACTGAATAACTGGATGTAAGCCCTGCTGTGATTTACACCCGCTTGAAGAAGTAGACATAAGCAGTCTTCTTCATCTCCTCAACATCCACCACCTTGACCACCTTCTCATCGTTGAAAAGGACCCAGGAGGTCTCGTCCTCGCTGAGCTTCTTTCGGATGAAGGCAACATAGTGTCTATTTGCCATGATTAGCACGTAATTCGATAAATGGATTTGTTGAAGCAAACTCACCCAGCGTGAATACTCGTTCCCTTGTGGCATACAATCGACTGCAACTGAAACTTAGCCGGCAACTCACTGCTGCCCGCCTCCTTCTTCGGGCCCTCATTGCCAGCTGGTGCCTCCTCTTCAACAGCGTCCGCATCATCATCAGGATGACTGAATAGCCACTCGATGGCTCTTTCCACATCACCACCGGTCTCCTTCAGTGCCTTTACAGCCCTCGGTCCAGACAATCCCATCGACTCAAGCATGGCCAACTTCTCCGGGTCAGCCGCGCCAGCGCCCCCTGAAGCCGCACCACCGCTGCTGGCACTGAGGTCCAAAGGCACATCAATATCGGGGTCATCCATGTGAGCAAACAGCCACTCCATGGCAGCGTTGGCATCCGAGTTGCCTGTGGCATGCAGCGCCTTCTCACCACGGACTCGTGGGAATCCCATGGCCTCGAGCATGGCAAGCGCCTCCGCGTTAGGCACAAATGCAGGAGCGCTGCTCTTGGCCGACTCATCCTCGGGCAGGGCTTCCTCGTCAGGCTGCTGACCCTTGGAAAGGTATTCGTCAAGGTTAAAGGGCTCATCATCAACAATGACGGGAACATCAATCTTGACGGGGACCCAGTTAACAACAGCCATCTTTCGGGCATTGACAACGAGGACATCGGGGAAGGTCTTGAAGGCTTGACGCTTGGTAAACCCATCCTTGCTTCCGCAGCCCGCACAGGTCAACTCGACGACCTCGGAGGCAGTCAGGCTGTCAAGACACTGCTTGAGTGTAACAGGCTTGTACTTGGGCTCTTGACCCTCCTCCTCGGGTGGAAGCTTCTCCATGGGCACGTCAATGAAGACGCTGTCCTGCTCATTGCTACTGTAGCGGACCTTCTTGCAGTTGAGGCACTGCAGACGCTGCTCCATGACGAAGCGCATGGGCTGGGTGGGATCACCAAGCTCTACTGGATGCTTGGATCGAGTGATAAGCTTGATCAGATGCTGCAAGAGCTCAAAGGCGTCTTGCTGCCGCATGGTCGAGAACTCCTCGTGGCCACGACCCATGAGGTGCTTGAACATGGAAGGCTGGAGACCCTTCTGGTAAGGGACGTTGGGAGTGTGCTCAGAAGCAAAGACATCGGTATCTGACTTGGAGTACCGTCCGGAAAGAAGACCATCACCAAGCTTGCGAAGCTGTGTTTCGAGGTCCTCGGCAGGATCTGTTACGCTGGGGAGAGGGCCAAGCTTGTCGCTGTAGTAACGTTGTTGGAAAGAGGGCAAGTCGTAGAGACACTGTAGAATACTGGCAAGGTAGCAGCTATTTCCGAGGTTCTTGAGGCCAGTCAGACCAGGGCCAAAAACGGGTGTCAACTCCTTGCCGTCCTCAGTGGTCATGGAAAACTCCCATCTCAAGTTCTGCTCGATCTGCATCTCCGTCAAGCTCTTTTCCGTCTTTTCGCGCTCAGCAAGGATAATGCCCCAGTTGGCCAGGTGGGCGCCCAGGTTGTCATCGATGCGCTCTTCGTCGCAGTTGTAGCAGTATACATCGGCCGTTCCCTCGGGGGTGATGGAACCAAGCTTGACAGCGACGCCGTGCTTGGTCTCGGTTGCGTGAGCCAAACCATGAGAGTTTCCGCTGATACCACCGAATTGGGCGCGGCCACAGCCAAGATTTCCGCATTCCAAACACAGCCAAAGGTTTTCGTTCAAGTCGCACTTGGAGCAATGGCCCAGATCCTGAGACTCAATCTTGCGAGGCTCTCCTTGCTGCATTGTCAAGATGTGCTCGCAGGTAGTGAGCTCTTGTTCCCAAGCCTTGACCTCCTCCTTGCGCGAGAACGTGTTGGCCTTCATGACGGCGTCGATGACGGGGGCGATGGTGGCATCTTCCTTGTTCAAGTTGTCGATTCCGCAGTCCAAGCACTTGACTGTAAGTGTTGTATCGTAGCGATCGCTTTCGGTCTCGGCCGCGATGGCGAGTTTGGACATCTTGAGAGGCGGCTCATTGCGCTCGATGATCTTGCGGGTTCGGCGAATGTTGAGCACGAGCGGGTGGTTTCGTGAGGTGGCATGGAGCTTTGCGTGATTCCGGTCGCCAGCGCAGCCGCCGTTAAAGCACTTTAAGCAGACATCCAGACCAGCTGGGTCGTCCTATATACGGAGAGGTGGTCAGTTGCTAGGCTGGACATGGTAGATGCAGCTAGAAGAAGAGAGGAAGGGCCAGGATAGAGTACGGACAATGGAATCGAAGCATTGGGTACAATCCTCGCGGTAGACATTGTCGGTAGGCGACGGCTTCGCGAGGTCTGTCAAAAATGGTGTGTCAGAAATACGTCCAGTCCTGAGTTAAAGGCGCGCCACACATGATGGAAGCTGGCTGAGCTGAGCTCCAAGAAGCATGCCAACAATAAGCAAGACTTACTTGCGGACCCGATGTGGGGGCACGACATGTTGGGCGGATTCGCGATGATGTATGAATGAAATCAACCAAGCTATGTTGTCTGTATTCTCTGCGTGTTGTGTACAACTAGAAAGTCATCGAATTGTTGGATGAAGTCTACCGCCAAGTTACGTTGTATCGCAGAGGAAGAGAAGATGGAAGAAGCGTGAAGGAAAATGGAAGCTTGCCGTAGCTGCAGGCAGTGAGTGAGCTGAGGTATGATGTTGTGGGGTAACTTTAGCTGACGCGGCAGGCACTGGAACAGCGACCACTCCCCATGTTCCAGGGAACCGCGCTTCATGGCATTCGCCCTGCCGCCTTCCATTCGAACCCCGCTGCCGTTTCATGGATTGTGACAGCGGACAGGGATGATGTGCTGCAGTCTGGGGACAATTGAGCAGGGATTGGCGCTTGCTTACTGTGTAGGTATTGGTGGTAGACGATCTGTTATGCAGCTCTTAACATTGTAGCACGTTACACAGTGACAAAGCAGATAGGGTTTGTTAAGAAAGTGTCCTTTCCCTGTTTGCAAGCAAAGAGCCAGAGTTTTGGGGGTATGTTTGACGGCGACAGAAATGCCCATTCGACGAGGTAAGAAAAGAGAACGAGGACCTGACTGAGTATCATTATAGGAACTCGTGATTATTAAAATCATTTTTCACTGGGTGAAAAGAGAAGCCCAAGTGATCGTCCAGAATTCCAAGTCAACAACCAAATCGCGAGACGTACCTCTACACATTCGGTGTTCCGTAATCTGATCATCTTATCTCCGCGGTAAGTGGGGCTCCAGGACTGTCTTGGCTCTCTTTTGGGATCTTTTGTCCAACCGACCAAGCCGACGTCGGGGATGACGCCCCCGTGTAAGCAACAGCGCGTCTTTGTCACTGACTTAACAGAATCCTGCTTCTCAAGCGGCTGTCTGTGCTCCGCTTTTGTTAGAGAAAGCTCTGACCAACCCCTCTTTTTCGTATCCCAGTCCCAGTCCCGAGTGCAGCAAGTCGCCCCCTTGGGTCATCATCGACTTTTGGCGACCAAGTGCCGCAAGCCCGCAAATCCGCAGCCAAATCCGCAAATTCCAGCAACTTTTAACCCTAAGTCCCGTCCGCCGCCAACCTCTTTATCTCGGCCACTTTGACTTTTTGCCATCCACTCATCACCAGAACTCGTCTCTTGCATCTCCGATACCTATCCTACAGAAACAACCAAACAAACCAAGACAAAACAAAACATCACAATCACCACATCCGCAACCATGTTTTCCAGATCCGTTCGCGCTGTTTCCGGCCGCGTTCTCGCCAACGCCGTCCGCCCTACCGTCATGCCGGCTGTGCGCCAGATTGCGCCCGCCGTTGCCGTCGTCGCCAAGAGGTCCTACCACGAGAAGGTCCTTGACCGTGAGTATTCCCATCGCGGCCACGCATTCGCGCCCTATTCCACCTTGGATATGGCATATCGGCAAACATATACAGATGCTAACATGTCTCAATATCAGACTACTCGCGCCCTCGCAACGTTGGTACCCTCGACAAGAAGGACAAGTCGGTCGGCGAAGGCCTCGTCGGCGCCCCCGCCTGCGGTGATGTCATGCGTCTTCACATCAAGGTCGACCCCGAGACTGGAGTCATCAGCGACGTCAAGTTCAAGACCTTCGGCTGCGGCTCTGCCATGTGAGTACTGTCTCTTTTCCCTGATAGACACGGATGCTTCGGGAAGCCATGGGGACCAAGAAAAAGTGTCCGAAGCCACCGGCGATACGAAACCGATACCACGCAACGACCCAATGAAACGCGAGCGACGACAAAATAGTTTCATCGATATATAATTGCAACCACGACACTTCGGTTCAACATAAGCAGGGAGGATAAGCAGAGAGATGCGACATCTGAAAGTTGAAACCTCCAAGCCGTTACACCCCAGGTTTCGGCGCTGCCTGGATGTCCGTACGAATAAGCGATATATTCTTTTTTTTTCAAACACCTTCGACAAATGGAGAGCGATATCAAGAGCTACTCAGATCCACTACCTACGATTCCACAAAAAGACAACAGCTCGACCATTGGCTTCCCAAGGCTTCAGTGTCACCACAACGTTCTAAGCTCAGCTTACTAATTCCCTCCAGTGCCTCTTCCAGCTACGTCACCGAGCTCGTCCGCGGCATGACCCTCGAGCAAGCCTCCAAGGTTAAGAACACGGAGATTGCCAAGGAACTCGTAAGTCTAGACCTGTTCTCTGTACCATGCTCCTATGCCTCCCGTGCACTATGAACTAACCGTGTCACCCAACACCCACAGTGCCTCCCCCCTGTCAAGTTGCACTGCAGCATGCTTGCCGAGGATGCCATCAAGGCCGCCATCAAGGACTACCGCACCAAGAACCCCCACGCCATGCCCACCAACCTCGCTGGCACCGGCGCCAAGTTCGAGACTGCCCAGGCCGCCTAAATTGGTCATCTACTGACATGCTAGCTTGGGAGGATCATAATGGGGCGTGTATGTGGAAGAAAGCTAAAAGTGGATTTTGCACAAAGAGCCGCAAACCTTGAAAAGGTCGGCCATGCATGCGTCGTGGGGTTTGTTGTCTCTTGTTTCTCATGGCGGGGGTTCTTGAAGGGATTATCATATCATCCATTAGCGGAGTCTTTCGGAGTTTTGGATTGTTTTTGGTGGGTAGTTCTATTCTTGTTGTCGTTGTTGTTGTTGTTTGTTCAACACCACAACCACTTTTTTGGACTGGTTTGTTGTTGGTTGCGTTGTCATAACAGAGAAAAGCAAGCTCGTTCTCCTTTCTAAATCTTTCATCCTGTTATGCCGCAACCTCATTGTCCCCATTTGTATGTTTATCACGACGACTTATGCATATGGTATAATGACAACATACAATGCACCCACACCACTGAGATTGTTATGGGCTTTGAAACCATTGTAGTCATTATTTCTTCTTTAGTTTGATCGAAGTATCCATCGACTACTAGCTCATCCCGGTGTCTCGTTCGTCAACGATATAAGGCACTTCTCTCCCCAGTCCTTCCTCAGCACAAGTCACTCTACTACTACTTCGATAATTCACACAACCAGCACGTATTCACCCTTCCAACAAGAATCATGGAAACAGACCCCGACTCCAACGTCTCCGCCCTCCACTCCCAGCCCTCAAGCGACATGGCAGACGACCAGCTCGACATTGAGTCCACCCTTCGCTCTTCCCAGCTTAAAATCAAAGAGCTGAGAAGAGAGCTCGACGCGGTCGACATTGTCATCGACAAGTTAGTTACGAGCTATACTGCCCTAAATAAGGCGTGGTCTGAAGTTGATCAGAAGGCGGGTGTGACGAGGGTGCGAGAGTCGATGGAAAAGGATGGGGAAGAAGGTGGACATGAGCAGGAGGGGAGCGAAGAAGGTAGAGATGAGGCAGAAAGAAAGGAGGAGGGGGAAGACGGAGGCGATGACGACAAAAAACGCAAAAGAAAAGATTCCAGTGAAACAGAAGATCCTACGACTACAAGAAGTAGAAGAAGTTCGAACAGTTCTTCTCCTCCTATAGACGTGTCGGAAGCTACACTCGATGCAGTAGCGAGGATCTTGCCGCTGCCACTACCGCAGTTAGAAGAAGACAGTAAAAATAATTTGGAGGATGGGGATATGACTGAAGCTGCCACTGGAGGTGGGGGAGGAGGCAGCAGTACGAGTCATCAACAACAACAGAAAGGAAATAGAAAGAAAATCCACATGGACAAGAGAGAGGTGAAAAGGGTTAGGACTGTTAGTCCTGAATCTGGATCGGGGTCGGGATTGGGATCTGGATCTGAATTGGGATCGGTGATGAAGAGCATTGAGGGGGATGAGGTTGATGGGAGTCAAGAGAGGGATGGTCAAAGTCTGGACAGCGAGGGGGGATATGAACAAGAAGAATTGCCCGACAATGGGGGGGAAGTCAACCTTCGAAAGGACTTGCAAGTCAATGTTGTATTTCTGGAGCAACAGTTCAAGAGGTATGAGGAGGATACATACAAAAGGTTGGAGATGTATAAGGGCGATATGAAGAGGAGAGTCGAAACGTTGGAGAACGACATGAATGAGAGGGTCGAGAAGCTGGAGAGGGTTGTACACAAGAGCATCGAGAAGTTGGAGAATTGGATGAGTTGGAACGAATGGGTCGGGGAAACGATTACTTATGGGGGAGATGATACAGATGATGAAGATGAAGAGGAGGAGGACAGTGAGGAGGACAGTGAGGACGATGAAGATACTGAAGAGCACGACGACGACGATGACGATGACGATAACGATGATAATGACGACAACTACAACGGAAACCTACCTTCGCCGCCAGACGATCACACCCTGACAAATTCGGCTAACCATTGATCTGGAGATGACCCTGGTGATGGGTAACGTCCCGGATTGACATTGCAGATAACTCTTATCAACAGTATTGAGGTGGGAGGAACAGACATGGAGCATAAGCTCAGCTTTGAGCTGCCTGAAATTGATGAGGTGTTGGACGATAAGGCTGTCAAAGGAGAGGTAGTCAAGAAGAGAGGCTAGGTCAGGAATCAGGGTGACAGACGGAGGAGACCGTTTCGAAAGAAACCGTCAAAACTGATGCTTCTATTTATGAGGAAGATATGGAAAGCGATAAGCACGAGGGCAGCTGGTAGAGTAAGGGACATAGTTTGAAAAGAACACTGGCAACAGATATACGAACGGATGATGCCTCCAGGACTCCCTCATGGGTCAGGAAGGCCGAGTAAAGGAAGATGTCGCAGGCATTTGACCGTTTGCAGCACCATATGACAGATTTTCGAAATGTTTCACAATAGAACACATGTTACCTGCCAAACAAAGTTCCGTTTAGTTCTTGTGGCTTATAATCACAAAGTGTCTTGAGATACCATTGAGTGTGCACCTACACTATGTGTGTGTAGAGGGGCAGTAGTTCACAAAGCAGGAAACCGATCTGCAGGCTCAGCAGGCAAGCAAGTGTGGGATGTCAAAGTTGGAATACCCGACTTGATAGGCTGAAAGCCCGGAAAGGTTAATTCATTCTGCACCTTCAGAACCCGGAATTCGAATCGGAAAAAAAAAAAAAAAAAAAAAAAGGAAACATATGGAATGTAGCCAAAAATATAGAGACCAATGCCATTTAATGTCTTGTGTGACATCGCTCGGTGGCTGTTCGCAACAAAAGGTTAGAGGTAACGAGATGACAACATCCTAGAAGACTTTGGAATGTGTTTGGTGAACATATCAAGGTCTGATGACCACGTGTCGTTCTGTGAGATTCTGATGAATCGAAAAGAGTCCAACCTCTCAATAGCTATTGTACGAGGTTGTCGTCGGTTCAAAACGCCGAAAGTAACAATCGGCGTCTGTGATGTCCCGAACACCGCGTTAAACTAGGGGGCGGCGTTACCATTTCTCCACAATCTTCGACGCTATAACGGCCCAAAGCTTATTTCCACCTTCAACATTTGTCAGCTAGCGAAAGGAGGCTCCATAGCCCATTATGTAAGCTTATACGCTGCGTGGGGGGGTACAAGCTGGGAGGGAGTACACCATGTACCTCCTATCACCGAGTCGGTGTTTCCAGGGGCAGTTTCGAGTGCTGCAGAAGCTACCTCGGTATGGTTATGCAGAGAGGACAGGTATCGAGATGCATCCAGTACCTCAAACACCGAAACTCATCGGGTATAAAGTCCAAAGACCATCCTCGTTGTGCATTGCTTGATTTGTTTCCGTAGACATCTTCCACTCATCTTCATCTCAAAGCATCAAAACAGACACCTACCATCACATTCATCACAATGGCGGACTCCTCTTCCCTCAAGCCCATCAAGGTCTACGGCCACACCGGCCCCAACCCGCCCAAGGTGATCATGGTCCTTGCCGAGCTCGGCATTCCCTATGACCTGGACAACATCCAAATCTCCCAGGCCAAGAGCCCCGAGTTCGTCAAGAACGTCAACCCCAACGGCCGCCTGCCCGCCATCCAGGACCCCAACACGGACCTCACCCTCTGGGAGTCCGGTGCGATCCTCGAGTACCTGACCGAGAAGTACGACAAGGAGCTCAAGCTCAGCTTCACCCCTGGCACCAACGACTTCTACCTCGCCCGCCAGTGGCTCTACTTCCAGACCACGGGCCAGGGCCCCTACTACGGCCAGGTCGCGTGGTTCAAGAGATACCACCCGGAGCCGGTGCCCAGCGCCGTTGAGAGATATGTCAAGGAGCTGAACCGCGTGTCGAGCGTGATGGAGGACCACTTGCAGACGCAGAAGGAGAAGTACGGCACCGAGGAGCCGTGGTTTGTGGGCAACAAGTTCAGCTATGTCGACATTGCGTTTGCGCCGTGGCAGCACATTGTCGGCGTGATGCTGACCAAGGAGGAGTATGACGAGGACAAGTACCCGTTGATTCACGCCTGGTTGGAGAGGTTGAGGGCGAGGAAGCCCATCAAGGAGGCTTTGGATAACATGATTCCTGCTGGTGGCGCTCCTCCTAAGCAGAACGAGTAAGGAAGGGCTTGGACTCGACGAATAACTAGAGAGGATAATGTATTTTTACAAGTGTGTCTGAGCGAAGCCTGCTGGATAGTATATTCTAGACTGCTGGGTCAAAATGGTATGAATTTTTTTCAAAATCGAGTAGCTGTCGGATCTGTGATGCTTGGGTTGCGAGAACTACCTCTAAAGTTGAACGACTTCCTTGTTCTGTTATGGTCAGTTGTGGTGGGGTCAAGCTTCATGCATGAGATCTTGTACAACCAAGCTGCGCTCGGGGATCCTGTCGCATGATACATGTCGGTTCGAGTAGGCAAGACTTTATGGTATCAAGGTTTTAGCATCCGACCAAGTGACTTTGAATCTCAATATGGAGAGTTGATGAAGAGAGAGGTGGTGATGTTGCAACTTTTGGTGTTGATGACAACATTTACCTCTACACCACCGCACCAAGACTAGCCCAGGTACCTAGCTGAGCTAGCCTACTGTAAGTTGCCTGCCGGGACCCTCTTGTAGTGGTAGAAGCTTGGGCCTTGGCACTGCCCCTCCAAAAGTCCACGCCAAGTCCACTGTTTGGATTCTGGAGCTCCCTGACAACGGACAAACGCCCCAAAGTAAACAATCCCACCAGCCATTCCCGGTCCATCTTCCTGTCATCACCAACTCCAGATTTCAATTGCAAACCCGTCAATCTTCGACACAGTCACGGCCGCCCCAACTGTCAGAACCAATTATTCCTCATCCTCAATTCACATACCAACTAGACCAAGCAACCGTCGCAATGTCTTCCAAGGCCCCCGAAAAGGAAAAAGACAAGGACAAGTCCAAGGTGCACCGGCTGTCGCTCAAGGGAAGCGCAAAGCTCGTTGCCGAGTTTGTAAGTTCTGCGCAGCTCCCTGAATCGTCTGTCGATGCGATTGCATAACTAACAATAGCCCAATCATGACAGTTTCAATACTCCATTCATACCATTCTGTATGCCAATCATGCCGTTCCCTTTCCCGTTCGACCTCCAAGCGCTGTCGACTAACCCGTCGCAACCAGTTTCCAACGAGGCGTCTACCCGGCCGAAGACTTCACCACCGTCAAGAAGTATGGTCTAAACATGCTCGTCTCCGCCGATGACCAGGTCCGCGCATACATCAAGAAGATCATGTCTCAGCTGGACAAGTGGATGGTGGGCGGCAAGATCTCCAAGCTGGTCATTGTCATTACCGACAAGGACACGGGCGAGCACGTCGAGAGGTGGCAGTTTGACGTCAGTAATCTCCCTTCCCCTCCTTCTGACTATACTCCGCTAACATTGAGTCTGTAGGTACAAATATTCTCCAAAGCCGCCCAATCCAAGACCAAATACCAAGCCGCTTCCTCTACCACCGACGACAACCAAAATCAATCTCCCAACGAAAACGCGGCCACTTCCACCACCGCCTCAACTCCCGCACCTCCACTCGACAAGACCGAAGCCGAGATCCAAGCCGAGATCGCCGCCATCTTCCGCCAGATTACGGCATCCGTCACTTTCCTGCCCCAGCTCAGCGGCGACTGCACCTTCAACGTGCTGGTCTACGCCGACGCCGACAGCGACGTGCCTGTCGAGTGGGGCGACAGCGACGCCAAGGAGATTGTTAACGGCGAGCGCGTACAGCTAAGGGGGTTCAGCACGACGAACCACCGGGTTGATACGCTAGTTAGCTATCGCCTGGCGGATTAAGGGGAGTTTGAGTGCCTGATGAGGGACAGTAACGAATAATGTGTATTTTGGCGTTTTGAACTTGGAGTGGGATATGGATGGATGGGTAGGTATTTGCACATATCGCTTTTACATATGGATTGGCACTTTGCTGGCGTGGGCGTTTTTGCGGATAGGCGTTGGAGGGATGCAGGGTACGATATCAGGGATTAATTCACTGTTGTTCACTTATTCTTTTTCGACCCCCTTTGGTGTCTGCTAAGGGCTATTGAAGGTCTTGAGATGTTGTACACCAAGTCGTCGAACTCTGAGAACATGAGATCAAGCGAAACCATAATGGTATGTTCAGTCATTCATTAATCCAATCCACAGTATGTACACTAACCGTTACCATTACTCATATCAACTAAGTAATTGTCTAGATGCTGTTATTCCGCCTGTCCTAAAGCCCGTTTTTCGACACCAATTCAGTCTTATTGTTTAGAGCTGGGCAACAGCAGCAAGGACGAGAGGGTTTGCATTTCTGTTTCGCAATGGGATGGGATGGGCTTGGGATGAGCGGTAAAAACACTGATACCTGGACCTGGACCTGATCTATAGGGAAAGGGTTCGAGCAGTGCTGAGGGCATCTCGAAATGAGTGCCTTGTGCTTAACGTAGAGGTATCTTGGAGCTCAAGCATACTCGCTTTCAACCCTAACCCTCTGTATCGCCAGGTAATTACGACTCGGGGCTGACATCAAACCATGCAATTACCAAGACCCACTTTGAATCTTCAATCCCCGACACTACCAGCACGCAACGCCCAAAGAAACCCAGACCGATAAAATCCCTAAACTCGATACGTATAAGCAAATACGGCGGTACCTCCTATTCTTGAATAGCAAAGAAAAAATGCTTCTTGTATCATGTTGCGCTGTTTCTTTTGATTGTTCACAAGGAGCCCTGATGGAAATAAGTGGACCCGCAGGGATCGGACGGGGCCGGGGTCAGTGACAGGGCTTATCGATAAGGAAATTTTCCCAGCCGGCGCAGGTCTGGCGATAACAGAGCGGCACCCTTTTGGCCTCCTTCGCGACCCTTCCCTTCCCTTGAACCCTTTTCTCTTTAGCGAGTGTTGTGTTTCCGACAGTCGCCCATCCATCACCTTTCGCCAATCGCTTTCTGTGCGAGTGCGATTCCAATTCTACCACCATGTCTTCCACCAAGAAGCACTCCCGGAGCGAGGGCGAGGAGAAGGATGCCCGTCTCGCCAAGAAGGTCAAGACCGACGAGACCCCCGTCGACGGCGAGGTGAAGAAGGAGAAGAAGGACAAGAAGGAAAAGAAAGACAAGAAGGAGAAGAAGGATAAGAAGTCCAAGAAGGAAAAGAAGGACCAGGACCAATCACCAGCCACCGAGTCCACCGAGGATGTCTCCATGCCCGATGCCGCCGCCGAGCCCGTAGCCGACAAGAAGGAGAAGAAGGAAAAGAAGGACAAGAAGGAGAAAAAGGATAAGAAGGAGAAGAAGGCCAAGAAGTCTGACGAGTCTACGACCGAGGAGTCAACCAGCGCTTCCAAGACCACCACCAACGGCACCACCACTCCCGCCGCCTCTACCAACGGCGCCTACACCTACAAGCAGGCCGACGCCCTCAGCGCTCTCCCCGAGTCCGAGATTGAGACCTTCCTCAAGGAGAAGGAGATTGTCATCAAGGATCCTTCCTCCAGCAACCTCCGCCCCATCATGAACTTCTCCCAGCTCCCTCAGTCCAACCTCATCTCCAAGAACCCCTTCGCAGCCTACACGAACCCGACCCCCATCCAGGCCGCTTCCTGGCCCTTCTCGCTCTCCGGCCGCGACGTCATTGGTATCGCCGAGACCGGTTCCGGCAAGACCATGGCCTTCTCCCTGCCCTGCGTCGAGTCGCTGGCCTCGCGCCCCAAGCCCAAGTTCAACAGCCGCGACCGCACCGCCCACCCCCGCGCCGTCATCGTCTCGCCCACCCGCGAACTCGCCATGCAGACCCACGCCGCCCTTTCCGGCCTCGCCTCCCTGGTCGGTCTGTCGGCCGTGTGCATCTTTGGTGGCTCCGACAAGAACGAGCAGCGCAACCTCCTCTACAAGAACAACGGTGTCGACATCATCACCGCCACCCCCGGCCGTCTCAAGGATTTCTTGTCCGAGGGCTCCATCTCGCTGGCCAACGTCAGCTTCGCCGTGCTCGACGAGGCTGACCGCATGCTCGACCGCGGTTTCTCCGAGGACATCAAACTTATTCTGAGCGGATGCCCGCCCAAGGAGCAGCGCCAGACGCTCATGTTCACGGCCACTTGGCCCCTGGACATCCAGAAGCTCGCCGAAAGCTACATGATCAACCCCGCCCAGGTCACCATCGGCCACAGGACACGTGCCGGTGGCGATGGTGAGGGTAACGGAAACATCGAGCTGCAGGCCAACAGCCGTATCGAGCAGAAGGTTGAGGTTGTCGACCCCCGCGGCAAGGAGTTCAGGTTGTACGAGCTCCTTAAGGAGGCTCAGAAGGGCAGCCAGAAGGACGACAGGATATTGGTTTTCTGCCTGTACAAGAAGGAGGCCGTTCGCGTTGAACAGTTCCTTTCTCGCAAGGGCATCAAGGTGGCTAGCATTCACGGTGACTTGAGGCAGGATCAGCGCACGCGCAGTTTGGAGGCGTTCAAGTCTGGTACTACTACCGTGTTGGTTGCCACTGATGTTGCTGCCCGTGGTCTGGATATCCCCGAGGTCAAGCTCGTCATCAACGTTACTGTGAGTCGAACCGTGCACACCTTACTCCCGTCAATAGCCAAGTGCTAACAAATTTTCAGTTCCCCTTGACCATCGAGGACTACGTCCACCGTATCGGTCGTACTGGCCGTGCCGGCAAGCTGGGCAAGGCCATTACTCTCTTTACCGAGCACGACAAGGCCCACTCCGGATCGTGAGTTTCTATTCTTTCTTTCTGCCTCTAATATTTCCCCATGCTGACCACAATTTCTCTCTTCCAGCCTCGTCAACATCCTCAGAGCCGCCAAGCAGCCTGTACCCGAGGAGCTCCTCAAGTTCGGCACCACCGTTAAGAAGAAGGCCCACGACGCTTATGGCTCTTTCTACAAGGACATTGACCCGAACAAGAAGGCGACCAAGATCACGTTCGATTAAAGGAGGGAGGATGAAGATGATGTAGATACCACCACCATGCCACATGTTGTGTAAACATTGGAGCCATTTCTGTTATTCTTTCGGAACAAAAATTTCATTGGGCGTCTTTTTTTTCGATCTCTGTCTGGTCTATCTCCCTATGTAGTGTTTTCTCAGGACTATTGTTGTTGTCTCTTATCCTGAAGGGCGCGATACCCGCTCAACAAAAACTCTCTTTCGGCGATGGCCCTGTCGTTTATCGTCGTGTTAGCTTTATATATATTCAAAATAGATGACTGACAAATGATCGAATCGAACTAAAGCATGTGAACTTTCACCTCAGAATAAACGGAAAAGAAAAGGGAATACTCACACAGCAACAACAAAAGGCACCGCCACTCCCGCAATCTCGAACAACTCCCAAACCGCCTCTTTGGCACCCATCACCACCTTCTGCTGACCAGCTCCCACAACCCGTCCAACAACACTCCTAGCCACAACCGCAGCCGCCACCGCTCCAGGCTTAGGCAAGACGTCCAACACTCCGAACCTCACATTTTCTTTTTCTTTCTCATCCTCCTTCTCCCCTTTCTCCCCACCAGTCCGTTCAGCAAACCACCGCCCAACAAACCCCCAACACCACGCAATCCGACACGCCATATTCACCGCATTCGCCACCACCAGCCCCCTCGCGCCCATCCCCCACACCTTGAGCGTCAAGTACCCCGTTCCCGCAAACACAAGCGAAAAAGCCGTCATGAACAGCGATTGTCGATGGACTTGTGCTTCGGACGCCACGGACGAGACAAAAGCTTCAAGGATCCCGTTGAGCGCCAGCAGGGGGATGTAGTACATGTAGAGGGATAGGGTGGCGGGGGCGCTGTCGACCGGGACTGTGGTGGTGGTGGAAGAGGAGGAGGACGACGAAGAGGTCCAGCGGCGGCCGGCGATGAGAGTCAAAAGGGGGGAAGAGGCGGGGGGGCCAAAGACCAGGAGAGGGAGGGAGAGGAGGAGGTAGGATTTTAGGAGGGTGGTGAGTGAGGAAGAGGCTTGGTGGAGGGCTGTTGAGGAGGGTTTGGAGGAGGGGGTCTTGGGAGAGGGGAGTTTGGAGGAGGAAAGGGACGGGGAGGAAGAAGGGGAAGAGGGTGAAGGGGAAGGGGCAGAATCAGCCAATAACCGACTAAAGTAACTCCTACTGCTCTCTTCTATCGGCTGGAATACCAATCTGGCTAACAAACCACCATAGTTATTCGCCAAAGCGTAGACCCCCTGTGCCGTGGGCGTAGACAAGATGCTGACGAGAAAAGTGTCGCCTTGAGTGAGGATGTGTTTGACGACGCTTTGGGCCATCATGCTGGAGGCTAGGTCGAGGGTAGGGCGGTAGAAGTATCCTAGGACGAACAAATCCTGTTTCTTTCCTCCTCCTCCTCCTCCGTTCCCTTTGCCATCCTTCCGCTGCTGTTTCTCACCTCCAGACAATAACAACCGCCTCGGCCACAGCGAGAACCCTTCCCTTCCCGAAAGTCTCCACCCCTTCCACAAATAAACCGCCAACAACCCCACCGCGTAGACACACTGCCCAACGGCAAACGGCAACGTCCCCATCTCCCGTCCCGTTCGCGCCCCCCAGACCGCTATCCCCAAGGTGACGGCGCACCGCAAAAAGGTAGCCACGCTCTCGGCCGCGGCGCGCACGCCGAACTGGAAGCGGATCTGCATCACGGCGAAGCAGGGCTCGGATAGCAACTCTAAAATGGCAGCGAGACCGTACAGATACAGACTGGGTACCAGATAGGGAGTGGATTGGAGGGTGGAAAGAGAGAGGGAGGAGAGGTAGACACGGCCGAAGAGGAAGGACAGGGGTAAAGAGAGGAGAAGGGAGAGGTGGGAGAGGTTGATTACTGCTTGTGTGGCAGCTGCAGCAGCATCTTTTCCATCTTCAGATTTGCCATCTTTCCTATCTTTGGCGGATTCAGATGAGGTGGAGGAGGAGGAGGAGGATGGAAGAGAGGCGGATAAAGTGGTGGTGTCTTGGCGCTGGATGGCTACCCTGAGGGATTCCCGAGCGAAGAAGATGACGGAGAGGTAGTATACTTCTAATTGGGTGGAGACGCCTAGCAAAGAGGCGGTTAGGAAGCGTAGTAGGATTTGGTTGGCGATGAAGGTCAGGGCGCGGGAGAGGATTTGCAGGAGGATGAGGAGGGAGGCGCCGCGAAGGGCACGCGTGGTGGTGGTTGTTGTTGTTGTCGGTGGTGGTGGTGGTGGTGGTGGTGGTGATGGTGACGTTGGTCCGGGTGGCTCTTTGAGGTCGGCCATGTTGCCGTTCAGGTGGTGTAGAGACTGTTGACGAGTGAATGTTGAAGAGCCTCAAGTCAGGGGCATCACGAAGCTGAAACTGAAAGAGATCCCATGGACAACAAAATCCCCAAATCTGGCTTCAGTTTGAGGAAATGACGATTTGACAGCTTCCGTTGTGGTTGTCGAAGAGACTCCACCAACCCGTCCCGCCCGCCACGTGGCAGCCCTGCTCGCTGTGGAGTTCTCGCTGAGCCCACTGTAATCGGAGAGATTAGAGGCAATTTCCAGGGGTTGGTGGTCCCCTATTTCTGCCTGTTCATCACCCTTTTCCCCGTCCGTTCCATGTCATGGAAAATAGGAGATAATCATTTTGAAGAGAGAGCCCTACTGGTGCATCGGGCAATGGCCCTAAGGGATGGCTCTTCTCAAAACGACTTTGTCAGGCATGTCCGGTAGTGAGGCTCTAAGACTTGGGATCTGGTCCGGTTTCGAGGGGGTGTTCGGCATTATCTCCAGCCCCGGGGCAACCTCAAGAGCTGCTGGCGGAAACACGGATGACACAGCTCTATCACATTGGAGCCAAAGCAAAAATGGACGGACTCATGTCTATCCTCCCGCTGGGTATGAGCCCAATCCATCAACTGAGGCAGCATCCATCTCAACACGCAGTACATGGAAGCAGCCCGGGGTTGAGGCGAACAATGGAAATGGAATCGCCGAATCTAATCCCGCTCTCCCTACATCGAGATCGAGCCAACGAATTCCCAAATTCTACTCGTCTCTGTAGAGGTGACCGTGGTTGAGTCACTTGGCTATCTTTTTGTAGGGCATAGTTGTACAACAACAATATCTCAAATCCCGTGGATATCCATCTCCCTCAACACATTCGATCCATACCGAGACTATGACTCGGCTCAATGGCTCAAACAAACTGAAGTAACATTCAAAATCGCGATGATGCTTCTCCGATGCCCAACCCTGGACATTCCGTATCACGATGATACCAGATGAAAGTCCACGCCATACATCAAATTGACCTCAGCCTAGGCAGCCTGTGGCACAACCCTGCTTGCTTGCCTGGTCTAGCCGGGCCGCAAAGGATGGGTTGGGTATCATTTCTGATTCACACCTCGGGTCACCTTGTCTTCAACGTATCTGTTAATGATTCACCTGGTTACCCGATCAACCGATTCAAGCCAGGCCATGAATCACATCTTCATTCAGTCTTACCGCAATACTGCTTCTAATGTCAGGTACCAGAAAACGAGGCTTGGCTAGTCACAGAAGAAGCCTAAGCCGGCAGACATACACTGCATATTTCCACATTTCCACATGGACATACACTACTACATCAGTGTCTTAACATCCTGGTAAATCTTTAGGCTGCAATCTCCACCAATCACCTGGTTCAAGGCCTCTGATTTTTTAGCGTGGCAGATATCGCCTTCACAACGAGACAAAACCCAGTAGTCTGGTTTGCCAGCAGTTTGGTACAATCCGAAGCCGAAGCCCGACGATGGCCATCGTGAAACAGAATGAAAATCATATGAACAGGATTTAAATGTTCTCGAAGTGGCCTTGTCTCTCTTGGGGTGGGAGAGCAGTGGCTCAGTGGGCAGCTGGCAACGAACGGTTTATCCGAAATGGATGGATGTTTCTGAACTCACAACCCCATACCGCCGATCACCCCCAGTCTTTTGAGTCCGCCTTGTGATCATGACTGGTAAGTAGGGTAAGTATGAGCTCAGGTGAGTATGAGGTGCCAGCGCATAACGAACCTTCATTCGGCACAAACCCTTCCTGCGAAGAAAAAGAATCCCATCCAGATCCAAATGTCTCTAGGGTCTCTTTGTTCCATCCATGAACCCGATCCCGTAGAACAGTGTGGTGAGCCCCGCGAGTCCCGTACAAGCCCCCAAGTTTGCCACTCAACCCTTTCGGGTACTCTCGTCCTATCAAACAATTGGTTGTGTTAGTTCTGAATTCGGAATGTCTGTAACAAAGCCATGGAGTCAGTTGCGTGCTGAACGAGGTGTGTCCGTCAAATGGGAGTTTCACCGCTCCGCCTACCGCCTAGAATACCGCCTAGCGTAGAAGTAGTGTATGTACCGCCGTACCTACCTATCAAATCAGCTGCTGTGCTTTGGTGCCGTACCGGGGATGGGCGTTGGCGGCCTGGGGGCCTAATGGGTCTCTGCCTGGGCACAAATCACAATTATGGGTGTGGTCTCAGTTTGGTGGTGTAGTGTAGGGGTACCACAACCAACCGCCGCCGCCTGGAGTGAGGGAGGGCGTCATGGATGGATCGCCACTTTTGGGCATGCCTTTTTTTTCCATTGTTACCTACTGTACGCGCAAAATGAAACTCCGGCTGGTATGTATAAGAGATGGGGCGGTCGCAGAAAGGATTTTGCTTTTTTGCGTTTGAAAGTTCCGTGACCTTTTGTTGAAAAAGTCGAGCATTATCATCATCTCCACACATCAGTTTGTAAACAAAACACACATCAATTATCAATACAATACACTATAAATACACAAAAACATGCTATACCGCGATCTCATCAACTTCAACATCAACATGCAACATCAAGAAGATCAAAACCAGGAGGGCAGCCAAAGTCAAAGTCAAAGCCAAGGCCAAAGTCAACCCACCTACAGCCAAGCAAGCGACGACGCCAATTTCAGTCTTCCCAACAGTCGCCGCTACGCCCATCCCCCCCGCCACAGGATGCCCTATCCTCCCTCCTACCATCGTCTCCTCACTCCACCTAACGAGGAGTACGCGACCACCTTTCAGTCGAGCATGATGACCGAATCCCAGCGATCCATGGGCTCGGCGGCATCGTCGTCTTCAAGACGCAGCATCATGTCTTCGATCCCTACTCTGAGGAGACAGGATGCTACTGTTGGCCAGGGCTGAGGATGAGGATGGACCAAGTGATGGCGATGACAAACGGATATGCGACTGCTGTTGATGGTAGGTAGTCGACTAGCTACCTACCTACCTATCACTACGAATTTTACCAAGCCTCATTGGAGGCCTGGGGTTCTACTGCGGTGGACAAAAGCGGGGACCCTACCTCTACCTGTAAAGAGACGGGACAGGAATTCATTTCAGATCACGACACAAATAACGGAAATGAACTGGAAGGAGACCAGCTGGGTTACCATACCATTCATACCGCGCCCTGACCGTTCTGCAAGAGAAGGAAGAAGAAAAAGAGGAGGAACCCGGAATCAAGTGTCAGCCATCGTCTCCGTCCGTCGCACCAGTCCCACGAGTACATCACTGCGATTTGCGAAGAACGGAGTGCGACACACACCGATGAGACACGCAGCTGTCACGCTGACGGGATGCTTGGCCCATCTGTCTCTCTGCCTTCCGAGGTAGCACGGCTTACACGGGTAAGCTGGCTGCGGCGGGCGGGCGGGCTGCCCGTGGGTGGGAGCTGCGCCTTTGATGGAATACCCAGACCAACCTAGAAACTTTGAGAAGGGTAGATTCCAGTCATCGCGCCGGGATATGAAGGGTATGAAGAGCGGGAGAAGATTAAGAGAAGGGTATCAATGGGATAGACGAAGGGGATGGAGGATTGGTTCAGTGGTGAATGTGATGGATCTTGATGAATGAGATGCCCGGAACGGATGGAAGTGGTGAATAGTGGGGGTGGGGTGGATTATAGGGCTGTTGGTGCCTGTCAGCCAGTGTTGCATCAGCAACGCCGATGCGACTGTTCGCGACGCTAAGAAAACCACCGGTGGTGCATGTGTAAGATGGGTGGCAAGGACGGTGGAGGATGAAGGAAAATGGGGAATAGAATCTTGCAACAGCGCTCCGGTTTTGGGAAAGACGCGAATGAATGGTATATAAAAAGGATAGAAATGTGAGGATTGTATATTCGTTGGTATTTTGATGTTCAACTACTAGTAAATTCAATCTCTTGATTGAATCCTCCATGTTCTCCGTCGGCGGTCTCCAATGCAATTGGACTTTGTACCTGCAGACGCTCCAACATTTTCTGCTGAGCATGTAAGGTAAGCAGGACCTCGTGTTGGTTGTCACATCGCAGTAGGCAACCGTGACATACATACAGGATTCGGTTAAAAGGCTCCGGATCCTTTCCGTATCGTGAAAAGAACCGGCTTCACATGTAGTGTTGTTCGACGATAGTACCTGCCACTACATGTGGTTTGGGTTTGTCTTAGAACAATATCTCTACCGATACCGGTGACAAGGTATCGTAGTGGACGATCGATCTGCTTGCAACGCAGAGAAAATCTGTTTCAACTGTCTGCACCTGCTCGTGGCAAGACTGAACCTCAAGGAAGGAAACGAAACAACTTAACAAAGTGGTCGAGTCGGGGCAGCGGCGACGCGATCAAACAGATGGACTTCCGGAGTGAAATGGCGCCCCCCTGAGTTCGTCATCGGGATCGCCCTCAGCACGCTTTCCCCCTTTCAGGCAGATCTGTCTGTGCTCCCCGCGTCTTGCTGCGTCGATTGACTGGATTGTCGGGATCCACAGAGGCCCTGAACCCACAGAGTGATCTCATCCACTTGCGGATTTCCAATGCCAAGCTGCCAATATCTTTCATTTCAGGGTTTTTCCGCTTTTGATGCTCACCATAACACAGCCACATTTTCCATGTTGCCGTATCCCGTATCAATGTGCTGTGTTGTGATGTGTTGTGTTGTGTGTACGTGACCGATAGTGCGACTCTTTTGGGCATGTCCAAGCATTCCAAGCCGAGTAACCTCGTTCGTATAGGTAGCAAGTGAACTGTGCAATGACCGTGATGAAATAGAGAAAAAAACCACAGGCCGGGTGCCAAGTGGAGTGAGAAACTGGCTCAAAGAAATATTGGCACTTGGCAGCATTTCTCAGCTGCCATTCACATTTGAAGATTGTCACGCATCCGGCCAGCCCGCCAACCTCTCTCCCAAGAATGGATTCCTCTGGACTTCTTGGCGTGAAATTGGCCTGTCCTTTCCCCACTGCACCGCTAAGGAGGACCGCACCGGGTCGCACTGGGATCCCGGGCATAGGTACCTAGTGTAGTGCAGCATCCATCCAGCTTCCCAGTTCTCTCTCCACCGCACATCCACTGCCTGAATTGACTTGTACATTTGCCCATCGGCCATCCTGCCCACTCCAACGCCGGTGATCCATCCACTGCTGCTCACTGCGCTGTCCACTGCCCTGCCTTGCAGGTGTCCATCCAGTCTGTCCCACCCCGTCGTTTCCATTTCATCAACTTCGGGAATCCACATCGCATCCATCCATCGTGAGCACCTTCGCTTCGTTCCACCATCTCAACGCGTGTCTTGCTCCCTTTGCCGGAAACACCACACAATATCGGAAAACCACACCATCGACAAGTATCTCGTCGTCGAAAGGGGTCAACAGCACCAAACACCGTGCCTTTTCCAAACCTACGATTTGTTGGCAGATTTCACTCGCTACTATCAACAAAACTTGGTTTCCTGCCTCTCCGCCAACTCGTCCGAGTTTCTCGTCTCTCGTCACTCGCTCGCCTCTCCTGTCGCTCCGTATAACCACCAACAACCCACTCACTCCCGAGAGTCCTCTCACCACTACGCAACTCTCGACGACAAATCCCATTTCGGACGTCGCTCTCAATTGCCAGACACGATTCGAATACCGATACGTTACGATTTCCACATCCGCTTGATACGATACCGCTGTCGTTTGTACATCCTCGATTACCTAGGCGTTGCGAATCTCCGAATTCCGATCACAAGAGTTGGGTGGTTCAGTACGATAATGTTGGATTTGTAAAAAAAAAAACAAAAAAACACGAAACAAGGAAAACGACTATTCGGGCATTGATCGACCATCAACCCTATTTTTGAGCTGGGAAAGTGGGAAACTTTGGACGGATTAGAGTAGGACGAAAATCACAAAACCGCCGACGACATGAAGCTTTGGTCAGCACGACCGCTTGCGGTCCTCGCATCGCTCGCGACACTGGTCGCCCCCTCTTTAGCTCGCGATAGGGAACTACATTCAAACTCGCTCGCCGCCTGCCAGGAAAACTCGGGCTTCACGGCCAGTCTCTTCGATGTCATCTTCTTCCCCGACAATGGAACAGTCAACATCAATATGCTTGCCACCTCGTCCATCCAGGGCTACGTTGTTTTCGACATCCGTATCTTGGCCTACGGCTACCAAATCATGCACGAGGTTCTTGACCCGTGCAATATTGGCGTTGGCCTGGGCGGTTTGTGCCCCATGAACGCCGGCAAGATGGGCAATCCTTTCAGACTGGAGCTTGGCCCGGAGGTTAAGGATAGAATTCCAGGCATTGCCTACACCTTCCCCGACTTGGATGCCACAGTCAAGGTCTATGTCAACATGACGGACGGAGAATTGGCTGGAGAAACTGTTGCCTGCATCGAGGCCAATGTCTCCAACGGCATGACTGGTAGGTTTAGGGGTTGCCCTCAATAATATGCAGAAAAAGCGCTGACTTGGCCTTGTCTAGTCGATCTTGTTGGTGTCAAATGGGCCACCTGGGCTGTTGTCTTCTTGGGCATCCTGTCCTCTGCCCTGCTTTCTGGTCTCGGATACGCTAACGCTGCCTCCCATGTGGCTTCCAACACGCTGTCGCTCTATGGCTACTTCCAGGCCCAGGCCATGATTGGTCTCTGTGGTGTCCATCTTCCTCCTGCTGTGCGAGCTTGGACCCAGGATTTCGTATGGAGTATGGGTATTATCAGAGTCCAGTTCATCCAGGATATCCTCACATGGTATCAGCGGGCTACTGGTGGTACCGCGTCCACCGTGCTCAACTCGCTCGAGACCGTGTCCGTCCAGGTCGAGAAGGTAAAGCGTGCGCTACCGGCCGAATACGTCGATCCCGCTATCAACCTTTTCAAGCGGGCGACCGCCATGTTGCCTCGTGCCGCAGCTCATGTCGGCAGCAGAATTGCCAAGCGAGCCAACGTCCAGACTTCTTTCGGCAGTTACATTGTCTACGGTATTCAGCGAGTTGCGTTCCGCGGTAAGATCGAATCAACCAACTTGTTCATGACCAGTTTGACTTTCTTCTACATTTTTGTGGTATTCACTGCCATCCTGGTCATTTTGTTTAAGCTTGGACTAGAGCTCTTTGCCAAGTTGGGTTGGGTCAAAGGCGACGCCTTCTCCGAGTTCCGCGCGGGTTGGATTACTGTTCTCAAGGGTGAGTTACCTTGATTATCACGGTTAAGTTCCGTTAAGTACTGACAATTCCGTTAGGTATCCTTTACAGAGTTGGACTTGTGGGGTTCCCTCAGGTTACGGTTATGTGCATGTGGGAGTTTACCCAAAATGACTCTCCTGCGGAAATGGCCCTCGCCGTCTTCTTCTTCTTTGGTCTTTTGGCTACCCTTCTTTGGGCGGCCTGGAGAGTCATTCGGATTGCCCGCCGCTCCATCTCCCTTCACAGGAATCCCGCCTACATCCTGTTCTCGGACCCTCAGGCCTTGAACAAGTGGGGTTTCCTGTATGTGCCGTTTCGCGCTTCAGGTTACTACTTCATTGTGCCTATCCTCTTCTACATTATCATCAAGGGCATGTTCATCGCCTTTGCTCAGGCCAATGGCACCCTTCAGGCTATCGCGCTTCTGATCATTGAAGCTGCGGCGCTCATTACTGCTTCCGTCATGCGCCCTTGGATGGACAAGAGCACCAACACGTTCAATATCGCCATTTGCGCCATGAACTTCCTCAACGCCATCCTCCTCTTCCTCTTGACGGACGTTTTCGACTTCCCGCCCTTGGTCATCGGTGTGGTGGGCGTGGTTCTCTGGATCGCCAACGCCATCGTTTGTTTGATCCTCCTTCTCATGCTTATCATCACCACCTCGATGACGCTGCTCCACAACAACCCGGATACCCGCTACCAGTCCATGAACGACGACCGCACCTCCTTCATGAAGTCGAACCCGCAGCTGCACACTCAGTCGGAACTCGAAGCTTTGGGTGTCACGGCGCGTGGCGAGAGCAAGCTTTACACCAAGTCTCCCCTGAGCTTTGAGGATGACGATTCGGCCCTCTCAAGCCCAAGCAACCCGATGAACCGTCCAGAAACGGCCGATTCCAACGCTGGCAACCCTCATTTCCACTCCAACAGGCATTCTGGGCGTTGGAGCAACGACCCGTCCCTCATGAGGGATGAGCCGTTTGTGCGACATAGGCCGAGCGGAAGCATTCAGACGCCGAGTCCAATGACGGATTCGGCCTCGAGTCTGCCAGGAGGGCAAGCATCGACTCACTCGATGGTTTCAGAAAAGAAACCGCACAACACAGCGAGGTACGTTTGATGGGGAAATGGGTTATGTGCTATGTTTAGTTAGCTAACTTACGACAGTCCTTGGCAACGCGGTGCCGGATATGAACCAACCAACAACTAGAAGGATAAACACTTGCGACGGAAGGAAACACCCCCAAAACCTTGTGCACGAGGCCCCGGAATCTATACCCAATTATCTTGGCTACCTTAACCATATTCCCCCACCAACTCTTTTTTCTTGTACATTCTTTTATAATGACGGTATCGTAATGTCTAGCCATGCTATGAGCTAATTGTTGCGTTACGGTCTCGAGCACACACACACACGCACACGCGCGCGCATCTTATCCTTCTTGAATTATCATCTATAACACACACTATTGTCGGGTTTATGGTGATAAAAAGTGGGATTGCTTTGCTTTGATATATTGGTACCATGGGCATGCTCTGGGATACTATGTAACTAGATGCCGACATGGGATCTTTTATTTTTGGCGGTGGCGGCGGGAAATGGATGGGTAGAGATGAAGTCCATTCATTCAATTTTGGTTGGTGTCATGGAAGGTAGAGCGAAACCCTCATTCGTAGGTTTTTCTTGTACAGAACAGATATGAGAATAGACAGAGGTACGGATTGAACAGCGTCACAATATCTCCAGTCCAGAGGTTTGTAAGTTGAGGTTCGTGAAATTGAGATGGTTCGAGGTGGTCGAAGTAGTGCAAAGAACTCGCAAATATGCCTCTAGGTATGCAGGCACACACACACACACAGGGGCAAACTCTCTTATTAAATCGCTTCGTTCACCCGTTCACCTGCTGTGGTAGTATATGACTCTCTGGTGGCTGTGATTCCAGTACCTACACTATGGTATATTCCAAGATCGAATATGATTCGCTGTGGTTACCTATAAACGATCAAAAACAAGGATGAAACAAGACCTACCGACATCAACTGAAGAGAAGGCCGAGATACCCCACTTTGGCGCTGTCGCAAGAAACCCGACGGGACCTGGAGCTGTCTTTCAGGTACAGGGGCGGGCATTGGGGCAGTGCTAGGTCCCCTAGGTTCCTTCTCTGCTGGCCACTGGTGAATGGTTCGTTATCCGTGAAAAGGGTCCAACGAGGTCCATTTCGTTCCTTGGCCAGGGCAGCAGGGCAGCAGCAGCAAGTGACGAATGTGACGATCCCCCGGACTGATGACGATAAACCTGTAGGTAGGTCCAGACCGCTCCGCTCGCTGGGCTGTTTGCCCTTGTCCTTGCCCTTGCCCTTGCCATCTGTTGCAGTGTCTTGCAACGACGAAAGCGCGCGTCTACGCCACTTCCATCCTATTGTAGTGTAGCACGCGGGTACCTGTTTTGGATACCTGACTGAGGTGACTGGATGGAGTAGCGTAGTCCCCGGGGGAGTGAACTGGTCGCTGCCCTGGACGGGAGTCCTCAGACAGATGGAGGTGGCTGGGTTTAAACTTTATTTCAACTGCCGATACCGTCACCTTTTTCGCTGTCCTTGATCTTGCCTACAACCTACCTATCTATCTGCCCGACCTTCTTCACGATCACAAACCAACCTCCTACCAGCCACCTTGACAAACGAGACGAAACTACTAGATTGCTGAATCGTCACCACCTACCTACCACCTACGAAACCTTGCTCTGGAAGCTCTCTTATCGAACCGAATTTATTGATATTTACAAACCTGAACCTGCGATCTGCGATATAGTACACTATTTACTGGCGTCGCGTCGAACGACAGAGTCTAGATCGATATCATCTCCCGAGAGACAGAGAGAAAGAGAGAAACGAAGAGAAAGAGAAACGGAAAGGAGAAAGAAGAACAAAATGGTCGCTACCACCAGCTCGTCGATGGAGTCGGCCTCCCAGGTCAACAACCTCCCCACAACGCCCGCTGCCGCTGTTATTTCTGAACAACCTGTGAGTTTATCCATCACCATCCCCTCACCACATTACATCCCTCCTATCGGCGCGCAATACCGTCGCACATTCCCGTCACGCTCCCATCGCAGGCAGGCAAGCAGGCAAATTGAATCATGAACACATGCTAACAGGTACATTCCTCAGAAACCAAATACCATGCTCCCCCTCCCTACCACCACCACGAACAACACCAACAACCTCAACCAACTCGACATACAAGAAGAGCAGGAAATGGGAGTGGGACTCCGAGGCGGCTGGATGACCATCGGCAAACACTTTAATTGCTGTGGACTTAACTGCGGGTTCAGCAAGACTTTTTAGAGAGATCTCCGTTGTTGTTCTTGTTGCTGCTGCTGCTTTGACGAAGGGTGTGAAAGGGGGGATTATTGGAAGGGAGATTGGAAGTGGGATGCGAGGATGTGTGCGATGCCGATGGCGGGTGGGGTGTTTACTACTGCTGGGGGTAGGGATGGGGGTGGGCTGATTTGAGACGACGACGACAACGGTACGATCATGGAGGGCTATGATGGTACGAGTCCGGGAGGATGGGGATGGGGATGGAGTTGCAAGAAGGAAAATAAAGGAAAAGGAATAGGGTGAAGGGACAAGAAAGGGCGAAGGAAAGGTGAAGGAAGGGTGAAGGCGAACTGAAGCGGAAGAACACATGCCCGCGCTGCGCGTTGGGGCTTAATGCAGTGACATGACATGGACGAACAAACCGAATGCGACGATGAATAGGAGGACCGGATCGCAACAACGGAGGAAAAGCCTTTGATGATGACAATGGATACTTTTCTTATTGGTGCGGGCACGCGATGGATTAGGTTCTCTTTTCTTTCCAACTTTATGCGGCGCGTTCTGGATGGTTGGATGATGGAAGTTGATATACCTTAGGAATATGATGAATGACAAATTGGAGAAAGTTTTGAACTCAGTTCGATCTTGACATTTGATAAGTAAGGCCTCCAGACTGAGCTGCGGTTGAAAGGCAGTGAGATTTGTAAACATTTGTGTTTGGATGAGGAAATGGTGGCCTTGAGAACGTCTACCAGTGATTACGGCCATCTCGTCTTCGATATGTGACTAGCACAAGGAGGCTGCAACCGACGGCGTTTTTAAAATGCATATCGGTTATTTCTTGGCTTGATTCCATTTAAGTTTTCTTGTTTTTGTGAGGGGATTCAAGCAGTCTTTGATGTTGAATGTGCTTATGACAGCTGCGGAATCCCAAGATGAGGTCATCGGCTGGACTTATAACAGTTGTTAGGGCGATACAGGGTTAGGGTCAGTCGTTGAACCAGCAAGAAGCTCCAGATCTGAAAAAAGCAACAGCTTCGTCGTGGAAAAAAAAAAAAAAAAAAAAAAAAGACTACGATCCGGAGCTAATGGATTTTACTATACGACTTCTCTCGTTGTAAGCCCTGGATCACTTTGTTTGTATACAGTTTGTCACAGCAAGAAAAGAAGATGCAGCCCCGCACCAAACAGGTGCGGTCCTGGCACACCCGCAGCATGACGGGACCTCGCTCGGTCCGTCCCCTTCCACTTCGGTTTTCCCCAAAAAGTCCAACAAATATTTGCGTCACTGCACGAAAATCGACCATAGCGATGTCCTTCATCTTCTACAATAACTTTTCATATCCTTATGACACTTTGCAAAAACAAACACGAAGAATGAAGTATCGCACGAGCGGATTCGAAGGAGGGAAAATGTCGAAAGGGTTGGTGAGAACGAAAACGAGGACAAAGACAATGACAATGACAACGCCGAAGTTGGTGATGGAAAACACTATTCATGCTCCATGACCGTTTCCTTCTGTGCCTCCAGCTGTCTACCTACCGAGCCGCCGAATCGAAAATTTGGGGTTATTCCTTGGATACGTTGCTACAGACCATTTACATTTGCCTTGTCCTGGCGACGATTTCTACATCTCGCCTTTATGTTTCTTTTCTCATCTTTTTCTTCTTCTTTTCTTTTCTTCATTCTCTGCGGACCGTGGAAGTAGTCCGACAAGTATTTGTCTCCAGAGTACAACATTGCAACGATACAGGGGCGGGTATGGTGATGCATACCGCGGACCTACTAGCTGGCGATGGTACCAGGAAGAGCAACGGCCCAGATGATACGACGGTCCGACCACAAGGAGAGAAAAAAACACAAACGGTTAGGGGTTTGGACGACTGGAAGAAACACAGAGATGAATCAACGTGGAATGGACATCTTTTTCAAAGATAGGTGAACTCGAGTTCTCGGTCATCTCGAGGCCTACCTCCCCCAACTACGTGACGGGAGGACAAGTTCTACGACTGGCAACGCCAGAATCGCGCGCTGCTCGCTCAAGCTGTACGTCGACACTGTCTATACCTCCTCCTCGTCTTCCTTTGACCCAGCAAGCAGAGACCTGAAATGATGTGCAAATGTTTTCCTATTCTATTACCTGATACGTGGAACAAATATCCGCGAATGAAGCTTCGATCTGAGATCTGACAACTGGTCCTCTGTTCACAACTTGTTGCTTTCCCGAGTCACGGACCACAAAAACACCTTTTGATGAGCAGTGTTCTTGCTAACTACAAGCCTGTTTGCAGGACCAGATGCAATGTTTGTGTGTTGAAGCCTCTACAAATGGGTAGTCCTTCTGTATACGTCTGTCTTGCTATGGGAGAAGTGCTGACCATTGGCGGAGGGGTTGTGATTCAGAGATTAACATCGGGCTTCCATTCTTTGCGACACAATCCTCCGTGTCTTGAGGTGTCAGAGCGGAGAAGGTACTACTCTTTACCTAATCGGCTCGGTACCTGCGTATGCGGGCCGGTCGAGAGATGAGAGTGTCCTCCCTGTCTTCGATTTACCCCTGGCATGACCATGCGACGAAGCACGCCGCGAAGATCTGAGATCCAAGGGAGTTTATTTGTTGGATCATGAGAAAGCTGAATCATCTTCTGCCATACTGACAAGTCTCGATGGACGTTCCCAAACCATGTCAGGATGGGCCATATCTGCGCACCAGTCTTGGAGAAGGGAGATCGAAATTCTCATCCCACGATGATCCTCAGACAGTTCCAAGATTGAGCCATTGCACTTTGGCCCCAGGGAATACCTCAGAAGAGAATTTGGTTTCAGTCACATCTCCGCATTTGATGACTGGAGGCCAGTCACCCATTGCTTTCTGAAGCAGATTTACCAAAGTGACGAGTTATTCGTCTATCACGGGGTTATATGCATATTCTTAGTAACACCAATCGTTTTACCGTACTCGATCAGAGCAGCCTCAAAACCAGTCCAGAAGCAAGAAAGTCCGGATCCTCGACACTGTTGGACTTCTTGGCCCAATGACTGGCATGGGGCCGGGGAATCAGCGTCGAGGGTGCTCGTTGCTGTTGCTGTGGTCAGGCATCGTCATGGTATGGGGTACGGTGCTGGTGGTCCTGATATAAAGCTTTCGAGGGGCCAAATCGTTTCTTTCATCTTGCACGGTCAGAGGTGTTGACACTGCAGTGGTGCTGGTGTAAGTATTGGTGCGGTATTGGGCTCCAGTTTGTTCAGGTGCTCGTTCCGGTTTGCCACCTTCGTGCCGCCTCTGGTAATCTCCGATGAAGAAAGAGCGGCCTTGTGTGGCTGTGACTTCCCGATTGTATGTTTTGCCAGTGCAAGACTGCAACACGGGACACTGTCAGGAAAGTGCCCGCTTGCGGTGTCGTATCTCGACACCCGCGTCCTCTTCCTCTGCGCAACATTGGGGTCTTTCGCGATGCTCTTCAGGGCCAGGAGTTCTTTCTCGCTTATGGATCGACTCTCGAAGACACCATCACGCCATGTACGGTATGTCCGCTGCCTACCGCCCGACATGAGATGCGGCCCCGCCTCCTCCTTCCTGCCTTTTCCATCGATCGCCAGGTATGGCTTGGGGTTACGCTCGACGGATCGCCGGGCTGTCAAGTCTCGGCCGCTAGCTCTAGGTAACAGAGACCCTCACTATCCTACTTCGTCCCTCAGGGGTCTTGGACTATGTGATAGGTCCCCTGCGGGTGAAGGTCCCGAGTGTGGCAGGTGTGGGGGTGAGCTCTAGAAATAGTAGGAAAGGGAACTTCATGGAGCTCGACCAGCCAGAGACGTGACGCTGCCGACCGGCGATGGCTCGTTGCCGAGTTGCGCGTTGTTCTCCGGTAGTCACAACAATGCTTGCTGCCCATCGTACGTCCGTCGGCCTCGATTTGGGCGTTGTTGCCAATGATCCTGCCCGTCGCGCCTCCACTATCTCCGCGGGCATGATCATCAGTCTCCCTCATGCCGTCGTTCTTTACGTTCGATCCCCCTCCATGCATCTAGCAAGGCAGCTCACCACCGCTCTGATGCTCACCTACTGCCTCATAACGGAAAACCCGCCGGATCGGACTTCGGTATCTTCGGGGCTCGCCCACTGACTTACAACCAGGGGCAAGCAGCCTCGCATCAAACATGAGTATCTGATGATCAGCCCGCCTTCCAAAGATGCGCCTCGAACACATTTGTCAGAAGCACTGGCAGGAAGCAGCTTCTGGCATGATCTACTACCTGAATAACATGGAAGGCATGCCATGGTCTAAACCAGGGAAGAGCAGCGTGCTGTTACGAGTAATCTCCTTAGAGTGCCGCAGACGGAAAGTATAATGGAAAAGAAATGATACACAGCAACAGGAGGCACCGACTGCTGCACATTTCGAATCCTGTAAGGAGCAATAGATATGCTCGTCATTTCGTGAGCTTCGCATGTTCCGATCAGTCATAGCTAGCCTGTGCCAAAACACAATCCATTTTCTATATAATCCATCTCTCTGCCCCTAATCCTCACTCTCTTTTCTTCTTCTTCCCATCATCATCACCATCATCATCTTATCCTGAATCAGCACTTACTACCATCTCTTCAAGATCCAAAGCTACCTACTTTTATCTTACACACCATCTTTACACAAGCCATGTGTCAGCAATCTTCCAACACCAACAACACTGGGACGTCCCCGGCCTCATTCAAACCCGAATGATCCAAAATGGCTCATTCCCGTCCCAAGCCCGAGGGTCGGTCGGCACCGGCTAAGAGAGTCGTCCATCGGGACGAAGATGATTTCAGACCTTCAGATCATCACAAGCGAATGGCAGGAGAGCAAGCTCCTCTTAGGCCCCGAAAGTCTCGGAGACTGGAGAGATCTCAGGGGAAGAAGTACGACAAGGAGGCGCTTTTTGGAGAAGGTATGTTCCGTCTATTTGATTTCTATTCCAGCTGCCCTTTTGAAGACTGCTGCTTTTGCATCGTCAACATCAATCCAAGCCACGGCCCCTGACTTTATCCTTTCGATTAGATGAAGTTCGGCCTTTGGCGACAAACCTGCTGCCAGCGAGGTCGAAATTCCAACCAAGAGCGAGCACGTCCGAAAGGCGAACAAAATACAACACAAAGCGTCAAAGTCAGGTCCAATCCCAAAGTCTGAACTCAGCAAACTCCAAGTCGAGACGGGAATTGCAGGTCCATCTCGAGAAGGTATGTCCCGTTTATTTGAGTCTATTGCAACTGCCAGTTTCATGACGGCCGCTTTGGCAGCGCCAGCATCGGCAACAGAACTCATTCGTTTCCTTCGTTGTCTTTTTGTTCCTTGTGGCTCTCCCTATTTGTCCATTTTGTCATGATCCAGCTTGTCATCATCCATCATCATCATTTATATCATTGCCCATTATTATCGTCCATCACCCACTTAACACGGCCGACCATCGTCTTCCGTCATCCTCTCCAATATCTTTGTTGCTGTCGTCCTCCCCTTCGGTCCATGCCGATATTTTTTTTGTGTGCTGGTGTGGTCAATGGAGTGTAATGTGGCTGGATCAGAGCTGACCATCATAATAAAGAAGGACATGCCATCACCTGAGCGAAGGCGCAGGATGAACGCCATGGTCGAAAACCTCAGGCTCCGAGAACATGTCGAGATGCCAAAGCCTAGAGGTAGCACATCGACTTACAAGGCTGCTTGCTGAACGCGTCAAGTCTTTCCAGCAGAGGATCCCGAAATCCTCGACTCGCGACCCTCGTCACCCACCGCCTCCCGACTCATCCTCCGACTCAGGACGACAAAGATGGGAACAAAAAGGGTTCTCCACTACCCACTTGCGGCTCAGGTCTCCTCTCGCCACCTGTCCCCGACTCCGTCGCTTGATCCGAGTCCGGCCCGTCTCCTTGGGTTTGTTCCTGCCCATCGATCCTGTTCCCGTGCCGGCTCACATCAACACTCCGGGTCCCCTTGCTCGTACCCCAACTCTTGCCCCAACACCTCCTCCTGCTTTCTCTGCCCCCGAGCCGGCCTCTGTGCCCGCCCCTGTGGCCCCTGTGGTCCCTGACAACAATCCCATCGACCTATTGGTGTTTATGGCGATGTTGATGTCGGTATCGACAACCCAGGCCCAGGCACAGAACCGACCGACCCTGCCTTCCCCGCCATCAACGACGACGCGAGCTTGATACTTTCGGCAAGCCCGTCGTTCAGGATAAGCCCGCTACCAAGAGCGAGTAGACGGATGAGGTCAAGCGCCTTGCCCAGCAGATGGACAAGCACGGTCTCTCGGATCGTGTCACCATAACGGTTGTTGGGAAGTTCAGCAGCAGCATTCCAAACGCCACTTTTTTCGGGAAGCGATGGCGGCGCATCATCCCAGGGGAGGCGGAATGTGCGCGCCGTGCATGCCTCGGTACGGAAATTGGTTTGATGTGCCGATGGACGAGGACGAGGAGGAGATGAAGTTGTCGTTGGTCTCTGCCTTGGATTCAAGGGTGGGGGACGGCAGAGGCTTTTGGTATCTACTTTGGTGCTGGACTCAGGACTTCTTCTCCCCCAACGTCTCTGGTCTACCCACTTCACCCAGTCGTTCATCTAGCCGACAGATTCTCGACCATGCAAAGAGGGTGGAGTATATCAAGTCCTGTACCTCTGCCAGGGATTATATTTCTGGGATATCGGTATGGTTGGGACTAGGTCTATGAGGGATGACGACGGGATGAGTGGTGTTCTGGGTACAGAACAGTTCTAGCGATGCTTTTTTGTGATGTATTGTTGTCGGTCATCATCGGGTCAACCTCCACGACCTGACGATTATCTGCCCCTAAAGATGTCGGACAACGCAAATACCCACGGCCTTCCGCTGTACGCCCTCGGGAGTTATGGGAGTTCCGCAGCCAGCCGCCGGACGCCATCTCAATGGGAATATACGGGGTTTATCTCGGTACGGCTTCATAGGCCGTATCGTGATACCAGAATCTTCAAAATTCCCAGACCCGAGAGCTTTGAAGAGCTTAAGGTAATGGCGTGCGAAAAATGTGGGGTTCTTGCCCGACCCCGTGAGTTGGTGTTCTTCACGAAGCATCAGACTCAACTGGGGTCGGGGCAATATGGATCTTTGAATTGGGTCCGGCTCGAGGCGTGGAATTAGGGGCGTTTCCGAGATTCTTTGAGCAATTCCGCGACTACCCCTATGCTCAAGATTTTCTGGCAGCCCAGCCGGGCAACTTTGCGCGATCTGCGTGACACAACGGCACTTTGTATCTATTGTTTCTTTACAAAGTACTTGCAAATGAATAGATTTGGTGCTCTTCTCAATGATCTCAAACATTTTGTGTGGTTCGATCAAAAAGTCACACAACATGTCGTGAATGCGTGGCGACTGGACGTATCGAGACTGGGCTGAGTGCTGGCTTGAGCCTGGAAGATTGACGGAATGGGAGAGAATGGGGATGTCAATTGCTGGTTCTGTGGTACAGCAGGATTGGAAGGTGGAACGTGAGATGAGATTGAACTTTGCCCCATTCAGCATCATCATGATGGGAAACCCTTTGTGTTACGATGAGAGACTGTAAATGGAAGGTTACATACCTGCAATGTAAGCTTACAGTCAACCTCGAGTATAACCAGATCCCGGCGGTGAGATGACTGGAAATGGAAGCATCCAATATCCGTTTGACCGAAGGATCGTGAACATGAATACGAATATGCTTAACCGAGATCCTATACTACTTGTCTCAATGCCGCGGAGAAGTTAAGTGAGCTGCCAATGCCTCCTTTCTTGAGGAGTATATAAGAGATGTCGAATCCTAACCTTGAGTACGACGAACACCGGCATCATCACAACTTGTACATCTTCCACAATCACTCACTACTTGGCAAACCGCACATCAAAGTCTCTTATATACCTACAACAGCCACCATGGTCGCCATCTCTCGCGCAGTCCTCTTCGGCATGATCGCCAGTTTCAGTGCCCTCGTGAGCGCAGACAACTGCAAGCCTCGTCTGTTTTACTGCGGAACAACCCTTTTGCGTAAAGGTATGTCCTGTTTACCCGACTGTACATGTTTTAAGCGTCCAAGAGAATCTGCTTGCTATACATGCCCTCTCATCCATGGAACCTAACTTGATAGCACGACCAACTGGTCATATGGCCATACATATGTATACAAAGCTGAGCTGACAGTTGGAGCAAAGGCAACTATTACGACCAAATCGAGGGGGCCCTGAAGGCTAGTGGGCAGTCGACCAATGATGCGCACATTCACAATGGCTTGTTCTATTGTACTGGAGGACCGAATGGCGAGATTACCTTCCAGGCCTTTTGTGGTAATGGGTGTGTGGATGGTGGGAATGGGAAGAGTGATCATTGCTAGTCGCTGCTCGTGAGATGGAAAGGTTCCATCGGATATTGATCGGAAACGGACAGGTTGTGTCTTGAGATTGATCGGATTTGGATGTAGGCGAAATGATGAACGTGGTTGGAGTATCCTTCCTTGGTGCAGTGGGATAGGAATGTGAATGTTGGTTCAAGGTGTAAATTTTAGTTATGGTTCCCCGCCATGACCCAAGGATCTGGATGGGTGGTGATCTACCGTGGCTATGTGAGTCTGGGTTGGTTTGAATAAAACTTATGAGATATAAAAAACCGCGACAAGTGATGAGGTTTCTAGCCTGGATACTCAGCAGGGATAATTGGATGGCGGATGTGAACAAGCCAAGGACAGCAATATGTATCTTGTATGCTGGAGGAGTATTGATGAAACTACACTGTTAGTAAACCATCTTGTGCTTGTTATTGCTCTTCGACCGCGGAAGGCATCCGGGGCTGTGGATTGGTTCCACAACGGCGTTGAAAAGATGTGATAGCAACAGCGTTCATCCTTGTTTGTCACCACCCATCACTTCCGCGATATCGTTGGGGATGAACCGATGGTTTGGGCTGGCTAGGCTGGCTGTGAGGTGTGGTGTCGTTCCAAGAGGCGGGGCTCAAGAGACTGCTGTGATGCAATGCCGGTGTTGTGCAAGGCGAGAGAGAGGCTGTCAACTGCCACTACCGTTGATGCCGAGCTTCGTTGGGTTGCTGTCGTGATGATGATGCATTCGTGCCTTGACATATCAACGACTGGAAGATGGAAGAAGCAATCAACAAAGAAAGAAAAAGGACGCATAAATCCCCAGTGACCAGTGATTCCTGGTTCTCCAAACAGAAAAGCTAGTGTAGTGTAGAGTTGCTCTAGGCTGTTTCAGATGGCGTGAGGTGGTGGGTGGGAGGCTTGGCAGGTACCGGGCGATTGTGGAATGGAGCTCCGGCGGGGCTTCATTGGTTGGAAAGCTTCAGTGATGCATTTTCAGATGTCCGTGCGCTGCTGAGTGTTAGTGGGTGAGTGGGGCGTCCCTTGAGCCTACCAACCGCTCCATCCGCAGCACTGGCTTTTTTTTCCTCCTTGACTTGTAGGTTGCCTCTTCACATGCAACTACACGTGTAGAAAGGTCAACACCTGACGGATGACAACAAACGAAAACACCATGAAGCGCTCACCGTAGTCACCGCGGTTAGAGTTAGCTCACCTACCTAGTGAGCGTCAAGACCATGGTGAATCGGTCGAATACACACCTTGGCGCTTGTGTTGCCGCCGCCGCCACACATGGCGTAGCAACACTATTCTAACCCCCGGCGACGTGCTCCTTGGCTCGCGCTTGTTTTAGTTCAACACCAGCAAACCGGTGACTGCCGAGAAGACCATCACACACCAGCTTTTGCCGCGAGAGCGGATTCCCATACTTCTCCACTCACCAGAAAAAAAAGAAGTCCACCTCAACACCAGGTTTGATCCGCACCCCTCAATGATCCCCCCTCCCCTGACTGCCCGGCACATCGCACATCCACGCGAGCCCCGGAAAGATTCTAGACTTCTCAAACACCACCACCAGTTCCAAGCCATCGACTGGACATGGGCGCCCTGTTGCGCCAATGCTACCTTGTTGCTTGGTGTTTCATCCTTGTTACTCTCCCCAATCAATGGCTGAGTCTCGCTCCTCGCTTAAGGACGACCCTATTGTTGTCACCCACTGCCACCATTCATTCATGCTCCGCTATCTGCCATCCCATCCGGGCCAGGTCAGGTACCAACCATATCCTATTGTAGTCACCAATGGATTCCTATTCTGGTCCCTCCCCATGTAGAGGTATCGCCAGGGTATGTATGTAGTATCCCAGGGGGTGGCCAACTCGATACAGTCTGCAGAATCTATATATCTCTTCATGCCTTCCCGTCCGCTGGCTGTGCCTTGCTCTCTCATCATCCTCAAGATATTTCGTTGCCGTTCTCTTCTTACGCATTCCCCTTTTGGGACTTTTCCACTCTCTCTAACCTGCCTGGTCTGGTATTTGTTTCCTTTTCGAACTTGCTATTATACATTCCTTTCAACAGTGTTCCTAGTGAGCCATTACCTTCTCTACACTGCTTGACGTTGTTGTACGATATAAAATACAACATCACGATACTTTCGACACTCCTTCATAGCAAGTCTATCGAATCGGATCTTTTTCACTTTTAACTACTACGACTCCTTCACGACATCGAACCACTCCATTATACATTCTGGTCATCACCAGCTTTTGAAACACCATAACGAACCATATCTTGAAGAACGACAACTACATAACATCACTCAAAATGCATTTCTCAGCTGCCACCGTCACCGCCTCCCTCTTCACCTTCCTTTCCCTCGCCTCGGCTGGTGCCGTTCCCGCCTACCCAGGCTACAAAGTCATCTGGTCCGACGAGTTCACGGGTGATGCCGGCGCTACCCCAAGCCGCTCCAAGTGGAACTACGCCCTTGAGTAAGCCTCTTTCCTCCCCATCCTTACTCTTGTCCATCAGAAACTAACAAATACCCTCCCACAGCACCAACACCAACAACGAACTCCAAGCCTACACCACCTCCAACCAGAACGTCCAACTCTCCGGCGGAAACACCGTCCAATTCGTGCCCCGCAAGGACGCCTCCGGCAAATGGACTTCAGGCCGTCTCGAATCCCAAGCCACCTTCACCCCGTCGCCCAACCGCACCACCCTCGTCGAAGCCGCCATCCGCTTCGGCGACGCCTCCATCTTCCAAAAGCGTGGTCTCTGGCCTGCCTTCTGGATGCTCGGCGACGCCATCCACCACGGCACCCCGTGGCCGCACTGCGGCGAGCTCGACATCATGGAGACCGTCAACGGTCTGATGACGGGCTACGGCACCGTCCACTGCGGCGGCGACGTAGCCCTGGGTGGGCCATGCAACGAGCCCGTGGGCATCCCGCATACCGCGCTGCTGCTGGATTACGGATGGCACACGTGGAGCTTGTCGATTGATCGCAGCAATCCCGGCGGCGATTGGCGGGCGGAGAAGATCAGTTGGATGTTGGACGGCCAGGTGTTTGGAACCCTGACGGGCGCGGAGATCAATGATGAGGGTGTGTGGGCGACACTGGCGCGGAGTCCGCTGTTTATCATTTTGAACTTGGCGGTTGGGGGTGATTGGCCGGGCCAGCCGGATGCGAACACGGCGGATGGTTATGGGAATATGATGGAGGTGGAGTATGTGGCTGTTATGGAGGCTTAGAAGGCTTTATTGGACCATGATGGACTGCAGCAGAACTCGACTTCTTTGGCATCTAAGGGAAGTGGGGATGAGACGTCGTCGTCATCGTGGAATGGCGGGCGGAGCTGGAATCAGACTTCTCCGTCGGACGTCTGGTGCAGATAACATTGGCCATATCTACTGGCGTGTTGTTGACCAGGCTCGCCATCATTGAAGAAGAAGAAGACGATGAACATGAAGAAAGAGGAAGGAGGGGAAAACGGTCGCTGGCGCTTTGGAGTTTTTGGGTTTCACATCACACACTCTTTTTTCCTCACTGCTAGATACGCAGAGATGGATAGATGGATGAAGAAAAATGACGGGTGGAAGTTTGCTCGTTTGGATGCGTTTTTGCACCCAACATATATTTTATATATCTCACACGTACTTACCTAGCCATGATACCTCTTTGTCATTTACGCACAACTAACACTACTTTTTTTTTGGATATTCACATTCACATTCACGTGCAATGTCAAGATAACGCTTTGTTGCCATGAGTTTGTTCAAGTAACCGGCCGTACTTGTTTTTTTTTTCTTCACTTTCAAATCCCAACCAAGCATTGAATGCCAGTCTTTACTTCGCCACGACCGCGACTTTATGTTATGTTCCATTACTCACACAAGGCTTCTAATGCGTATGATGGTGACTTACTCTCTTGCCGCGTGATTATTAAAGAATCCCTTCCTTCCTTCCTTCCTTCCTTCCTTCCTTCCTTCCTTCCTTCCTTCCTTACTCTTCATTTCACGGCAAAACACGGCAAAACACGGAAATATCATCCAAATGGAGATTGATCTTTTGCAGTCTGCAGATGATCCGGTGACACTGAGAGATTTTATAGTGTAATATGTGCTTACACCACCATCTCGGTTTATCATATATAACTGTAACTCGGACTTTTCACTATATTAGGTCATCAACAACCATGTAAACAAACCATGCTCGAGGTATATATGGGTGGGATCCGAGTATATATCGAAGGTTCCTAGGAGCATTTGCAAGGGCGGCAGGGGAAACGTTCAAGTGTCAGGCTGTCAACTCACGTTGCAACGCTTGTGTAGTAACGATCATAATGTCTTACAGTCTCGCGATATGTACTGCATGCATGCAGACTCACTTGTGCACTTTAATAGGACATGAAAAGCAGTAATTAGCAATTGAATTGAATTGAATGAATAGGTACCTAGCCATCCAACGCCCAGATCCGTCCATCCCGGCGGTGAGATGATGATGAGTAGGTAGAGATTGGAGAATTGAATTGATTGATTTCTCCAACAACATACGACGGATCGCGGTGACTGAATGGAGGACCGGAACTAGGTAGGTGTTATGAATGCGTCCATGTTTTTCCTTTTTTTTTTTTTTTTTTTTTTTTTTTTCCCATCCGACTCTAACCACTCGTTCCACAATGCCACGGAGAAGAAGTCCTTCATTGCGTACACCTATACTGGAAATGTCGATGCCGCCGACTGTCTCGTCTCCGGGGGAAGCTTCCTGGCTGATTACGCCGTGGAGCATCAAATGGAAATCTGTCATGATGTATGTAGAGAGAAAGAGGAACGAATAGAAGAAGAAAAAAAAAAAGAAAAAACTAGAAGCGACGAGTCAGGCAGCGTCAGGCAGCATTTGCTACGAGTACCAGGGAGGCGAACAGATCGTAAAAAGAAAAAGAAATACAAATGATATCCAAATACCAAACAGAGATGCTAGAGGAAAAGGGAAAAGGGAAAAAGAACAGCAGATGAATCAACAGGAACAAAAACCATGAAAAAAAAAATATGATCAGATGGTCATTCGTGCGACGTGGGCCTGATTCGAACAGACGCTCCCGAAGGAACAAGATTTCTAGTCTTGCGCATTAGACCACTCTGCCACCACGCCGAGTGATTGTTGTTTATGATTGGCATGAGTTTAGCGCCTATTACGGGACACTCCTAGGCTGTGGGTACGTCCTGGCTTTCTTCGCATCGCACCGCCATGCTCTGGATCCCAAACCGAACGACAATCAACAAGCCAATGCTTCTTCGTTCCTTTTATCTATAATTGTGGATAGTTAGTGCTTGACATGCCAAACCCCAAATCCCTACTTGCTTCGAGATTGGAATCTGTGCATCGGTGCACCTATGTCGCTAAGACGACCGTTGTCCACGACCCTAAAGATGCCCACTGCCAACTCCGAAGATCATAAACACCATCATTTGCCCTTCATCTTTCATCAGCACACTATTCCCATAAGCAAGCCCTTACTCAGCATCAAACCACCCACCAAGCTCAAACCTCTTTTCATCATACACACACATCCTCCTCGCATCAGGATCCAGTCCCCCAGCTAGACACCGAACCAACCGCTTCATGTCCACCGGTTTAGGCATCCAGCCATCGAATCCAGCTTCTTTGCATTGCTGCTCTTGACCGCGACGAAGCATGCCCGACACCGCAAAGATGGGAGTCCTCCCGCAACACTGCACGACGCGCGACGGCGTCGGGTGGCTGTACTCGTGATCTCGGATCATGCGGATGGAGGCGAAGCCGTCTACTACTGGCATCTTTGGCCACAGGGCGGGTTAGTCAGAGTTCTTGGTCGCAATAAGGGTACAGAAAAGAGACTTACGTTTATGTCCATGAGGACAAAGTCCACAGTCGAGCGATTCGAGGCAAACAGGTTGAAGCATTCTTGACCATCGCGGCTGACCAAAACACAATGGCCCAGCTTGGTAAGACGTCTTTCCAAAATCTGCACGTTTATGATGTTGTCGTCGGCCACAATGACGATGTAATGATGAGGGCTCGGGGTTTGAAAATCCCTTGGCGATGTATCAGCGGTGCTCGAGCCCGGGCGTATAATTGGGGGAGACGGCCTCGAGTTTCTCGAGGTCCCAAATGTACGGTCGGATGGAACGCTGCTGCCGTCTCCGAACGTTAAAGGTCCAGGCATTGTCAGCACCGGCAACGGAGAGGCATCCCGACGTGAAGCTATCGATGAGCAGTGGGATGATACCCCAAATGGAATCTCGAGGGTGAAGGTCGATCCGCGTCCCTTAGTCGACCTCACTTTCAGTTGTCCATTCCGCTGCTTCACAAAACGAGCAACGAAGACCAATCCGACGCCAACGCGAAGCACGTTATCCCTGGCAGCATGCGTTTTGGAAGTTGCCTCGTCGAAATCTTCATCGGGAACCTGCTCAAACTCCTGAAACATATCGTCCAGCTCACGCTCCGAGAAACCGGGCCCCGTATCCGTGATGGAGATGTGTATCACGGTGTTCTCTGGGTTCATAACCGCCTCATGCCATTTGATAACGACTTGGCCGCCTGTAGTATGCTGGATTGCGTTGGCGACAAGAATGGATAAGCTGCGTTGTAGACTTGTTGGATCCCCACGAACATACTTCGTTGGCCCATTAGATGGGATCATGATAAGTTCAGTACGCTTCTCTTGACCAAGCCGCCTTAGGGGACACAGCGCCTCTTCTAAACAATGCGCAAGATGGAACGGTTCGTCCAGCAATGGGATGGATCCTGTTATGCTACCGGTCAGGCTCAAAAGATCATCAATGACATAGATCAGAGATTTTGATGCAGTGTATGAAGTTGTCAGAACCTGCTTTGTGCCATCGTCCAGGTGCTTTTCCAAGGCTATCTCAAGACAGTTTATGACAGCGTTCAAAGGATTTCGTACTGGAAAAAGAATGCGTCAGCTGGTCGATCTGAAACATATGCATACATTGTTGCTACCTTGATGTGATGCATCGTGCAAGAGTAGTCGCTTAAGTCGGGTATCATTGATGGCTGTCTCCTTCTCTCTCCAAACCTGTATGAAGCTGCCGTAAAGCAGCTGAGCCATTGCTGCTAAATTGGCTGGAGCTGGTGTTAGCGGTATTGGCAGAAACTCGGTTGAAGAAGTGAAATCGTACTGTGTTCTATTGACCAGGCCTTGCTCGTGCCGTCCACTACCTCTGTCCATTTCTTGAAGCTGTTTCGAGGCTCCAATCTGCCTATCTTACCCGCCAACGAAGGCCTCCCTGCCCAATGTACTTCTCGGATCTGGTTTTTGCGGTAAAATACCACACATTCATCTGTGGTGCTTGACAGAGGTATGTAGAGGACGCCTGCGATGGCCTTGAACCCGGAGGGGAAATGGAGATCTTTAAAGTCATCTCCGATGTTGTGTGAAAACAGTATCGTGCGCGATCCCCTGAAGAAAAGATATTTGAGAAGCGTTATGGCTTCGATATAGGAAGATAGCCGCCCAATAGTCCTTGCCTCTCCCTCGATGACCAAAAAGCCATAGTCGCAATCGAAGAGGTTAAGTAGCTCGTGGGACGAAGAAGTAATACACTCGTCAGGACTGCCTCTCCCTCTTAGTGTTTCGATAATTCGATGCGCCTGCAGCCTTTCGGAGTTAAGCAGCTTTTGGAGGCACGTAGATGCCGCCAATCTAACAAAGAATGATAACTCTCGGATCGAGAAAGGCACTCGAGTTGCAGTCGGTCCATACGAGTGGCAGACGATGAGCCCCCAAAGCTTGCCGTCAGACTCGAGAGACATGGACATGGATGACCGTACCCCCATATTGGACAGATACTTGAGATGCACAGGTGACATTGCGCGCAAGTAAGCATGAGTTAGATCGAGTGGAACATCCATATCACTGACATCTCTGCCAATGAGCCTCGAGGTCCTCTGGCTCCTATCAAACAATACGCGAACCTTGTTGATCATGTAAAGCTTCCGGGCTTGCGGCGGTATGTCACTTGCGGGAAAGTGCAATCCCCTGTAGACATCATTGCTTACTTTCGGATCCATGAGCTCAGCGACGACGGTGCCGTTATAATCCCGGTCAAACTGATAGACCATCACACGGTGGAAACGGGTGACCTCCTTGACTATCGAGACAATGGTCTCAAGGAGATCAGGCACGGTTGCTGCCTCGGAGAATTGCGTTTGTATCTTTGTAGCCATGCCAATAACCTCAACTGTGGACGTGCTTGGGTCGAAGCCCTTAGAGAAGAGCTCTGGATTTGGGAATGCCGGTTGGACCTTGGATTGTATACTGCAGGCTGTGGCAAAATCCAAGTGGTCGCTACCGAGAGTGTCGATAGGGTTCTCAGGATCAGACATTGCTGGAGTTGCCAACGGATGCATCGAGTAATCTGGCTTTTCATTAGAGGGGTCCGTCTTATGAGATGAATTCCTGCTCCCTTATTACGCACCTTGCAATTCGAATTCGCATATGAACAGATTAGTGTCTCCCCCTAGATAGTGCGCGGCACACCAACACGGAATCAATCGGCCATCTGGATCGGAAAACGAGAAAGCAAAGACGACAGGCTCTTGTTCTTTCTTGGTGCTGTCATATCCTTGACGGATGTGGCGTAGATGGACATCGAACAAGTGACGTTGAAAGATGGGCATAACCTGGTAGAAGCTGTCGAGAGAAAGAAGCTCGGACGGCTGGTAATGGCAGACGAAACCGCTGTTTTCGCTGCAGATTCTAGGGAGGTATCTAGAAGGTCCAGCAACTCGTTCATCGACAAGTTTCAATGCAACAAGCATGCCGTAAGACTGAATAGCGCCAGGTATGTGAATCGGTTCCTCATCGCAAGTAGCAAATGCGCGGCGGGCTTTCTGGATGACACCATGAGATCCGTCGGCCAGGATCGCATACTCGAAGGTTTCGGAGAGTAGCGAGTCATCTCCGCCATTGCCTTTGTTGAACGACGATGGGCATGTAGAATTATGAGAAGATGCAGCTGCTGAACTGCCTTGCCGGTCGACTGCTGAAGGTGCTGGTTCACAACTAAATCCATCGGACGATGGCGGAGATAGATGTTGATTGGAAAGCTGCTGAGTAACAGGAACGACGGAAAGTATACTATCTGCGTCTGCTTGGGCATGTTAGCATCCAACTTGCTTGTATGGAAAGAGATGAAAACACATGGTGTGATGGACCCTACGTACCGGATACGTTTCGAAGAAAGGGGGAACTTTCAAGAATGGATAGACGTATGGGGAATACTCGTTCTATGGGCTGTGACATTGGGTTCATGACATGGAACTTGTGGCCTTTACAGATCAGTTGTGTAAACGGTAGGGAGGAGAGAAAAGGGGATAATAAGAATGGTCAAGGGACTAATGGTCCAATGTAGTCGGATATGTTGTGTGCCCAGACAAGTGACTCGAAGGGCTGTTCGCGGTTCCATGTAGATTGGACCAAGCCAGCGTCCCGCGGGAGTGATCAAGGATCAAGCTGGGTGGCAGAAGGGCGGAGAAAGGAAGAAAACATGTCCGATCGCGAGACATTTAGGACATGGGGATTCGCGATCGAAAATCAATGCACAGAGAAGAAACATAACACCAAGACCCCCAGATGACACATGATAGTCCGAGGTTGGGTCTTGGCGAGACGAAAGGAGTGGTGATAGGGCTAGTGACTTCAAGCTGGTACAAGCGGTGGCAAGTCTCTGGGAGGAAAAGTGAAGGAATGGATTGACGATTCCCAAACACTGCCGTATTGAGCTCGTTGTCTGTCTTCTGCTGTGACCGACTTGCTAGTGATGGGTTGGGCTCGGTGGTTGCCGAGTGTCCAGGAAACTCGACGGCCGCAATGAGGTTGGGTTATCGTGGGGCATGGTGTGTTCAGTCGGTGCGTAAAGGCATACACAGTATAGGTAAAGAGCGGACTGGGGTATTGTCGGTCCTTACACAGACATCAAGAGTCGTGGTATTAGGGTCTAGACTTCCATCGCTGCAGTGTTCAACCGACTCTGAGACACCCGACCATCCTCCACATCGAGCCCCAGAAGCACGGCATGGTGATGAAGAGGGGAAAGTATGTGCGGAATGGACCGGCCGAGTGGTACAGTTGTATGACTGCACGTGTTGGACTGCGTCTTGAGCAGGGGCGCTGAGGAGATCAAATAGATGGTCGATGCTGTCAACGTGAATCGATGGTAGCGAGTTAGTGACAATTAACTCGCTATAACATACGTCAAGGAGAATTGAATTGAAGATAGCCTCAAGTTCCAGAATGTAATGCCGTCGACTTTTGGATGGTATTCGCTTCATCGGCTCGACGGTGCTCGAACAAATTGGCACAAGTTGACCGGTTTGAAGTTGTGAATTAAAAACCGCGCGCAGAAAACTTCATTTCTCCTTGGTTTAATCCAGGACCATCTTGAATATATCCACATTGATCGGTCACCCTTTCCACGTTTGCGGTCCCTTTGTCGTTGTCCAGCTTGAGGTTCATTTGCAGACGAGGAAGGCACGGTTAGACGCGTCACACGCCTAATCCCGGCAGGCTGCAGGCCCGGGTCATTATATCTCTAAAATCAGTAGTCATTCAGCTTCGCAAATCTCCAATTGAGAATGTCCATCAATTCACCATCAAGTATAGAATGGGGATGGAGTCAACCGCCAACGCCAAAGATGTCTCGATGCTCCTCAATAAGCACCAAGGACACCCCTACTCCCAACACCCTCGGCACATGTTGCTAATTCCATAGAGAGAAAACTTGACAAGAGTGTGATATCCAGCTTCAATTCACACACGTTTTGTCGTCTGGAAGGACTGCACGAGGTCGCGTAAGCAGGAGAACGGAGGAGGGTACGGACATAACTAAGTCTACTGGCTGTGGTAAATCGATCGACCCAACTAGCAAGATCAGATACAGGAAGGGCACGGGGAATTTATTAAAAAGTCGAGACAGAAAAGCATGTTTAATGCGTGATAGCTATCTTCTTGTCCTCGTTATTTTTTTTTGTAATGCGTGTACTTGGCTGTACTGAGCGTATTTATCGTACAACCATCCAAGGGACATCCAGGAAATGACATCCAACAAGAATACAAGCGGCGTCCATCAACTGTTATGCTTATGAACTCCTCAAGTATAACCACCACCACCACCACCACCACCACCAAATGCCCAGCCAAACCAAGTGGAAACATCGATGCACAAGACATAAAGTAACTTTGAATGCCAACCAGCCAGCCAGCCAAATACCTCGCTCAACCTCAAGGAAGGAGAAACATTGGTGCCCATTTGCATTGCATTTGCGCGCGTAAGAACCAATCGATTTGATAATGTTCCCGTCTCATACAACGACCTGGTGATACCCAAGATAAGTTTTGCTGCAGTGCGGAGAAAACTGAATGAAAAAGGAAAATTCGCAATGGCGTGAATAAAAGTTTTAAGTTACACAAGAAAAAGAACACAAGCTGACGAACAAAAAAAATCCGCCAAAGAAGGTAGTAAGTAGTGGTAACCAGGCCTAATATAGAGAGAGCAGCACGCGTGCGAGCGAATGAGTCAAACATGGAAGGGGACAACGAAGAGAAATTGTAAAAGCAAGAGGTTTGTGGAGTAACAAAAAGACAAGAGGGTACCAAAGTGTTCCTCAATCCCCATCTATGAGTCCTTCAATATGACTGGCAAAATGGGTGGTGGTATAAATATCGACCCCGGTTCCAATCCGCCATATCCTGTCCCCATAAGGAAAAACCTCTAAAATGTCCAGAGAAGCCTTGAAGAGAGATGACCACACAAGAATGCCAACTAGTCATGCTGACCCTGCGTGAGCGTTGAGTCATTCGAGAAACAACGGATTCATCTTATTCTTCGTTCCTCCTCCGTCTTTTTTGTGCGAGCACGTCGCTTCCACCAGATTCATCGCCGACGAGCGAAATTAGAGAAAAAGCGGTAAGTTATTCCGAAGAGCGTATAAGACCAGACGCAATTCAAGAGAAAAAGTACCAAGTAATACCCAGAAGCAAGAAGCCAAACCAGCTCCAAAGCCGCGACTCATCGTCTCCATGAACGCCTCAATGCATGTGTCCATAATGAAATAATGCGCCTGTCGATGCCAGAAACCCCGGCCCGCACGGATCAGGGAGAACCAGAAGGTAAGACGGAATTCTACTCCGTCGTTCCGATCTCGTTGCCATCCAGAAACACGCCGGCATTGAAGTCGAAAGTCTCTCCGCCGTTGTCATTATCGTGCAAGAAGGAGTCGAAATCAAAGTCGTTCAGAACATCGTTTGACGTGAGTGGGTTGGCAAACTCAACATCGAAGTTCTGCAGCGTGCTGGTTAGCACCCCCCGCTGGGTAGTGAACAAAGGTTCCGGACTTACCATCATTGGTTCGGCGAAATTGTTGTTCTGGGTCGGGTCCGGGTGTGGCGGGGCGGCGACCTGAGGCACAGATGGCGGCGGGACCGGGGCGGCCGGCTGTCCATTCTGTACAACCTGGTTACCTACTTGGTTCTTGTTGAAGCTAGCTGGGTTGACTGGGGTGATTGGAGTGGCCGGCGCCGGAGGCTCTTGCGGCTGGTCGGCGTCTGCAGCAGGTGTAGCACCTGCGTTGAGGTTCTGATTGGACTTTTTCTGCGTAGCAGCCTAAACCGGATCAGAATCGCAACTCAACAGGGGACGAGAGATTAGTTAAAAAGGGGGGGATTCCATACCTTGTTCTTAGCATTCTTGGTCTCCTTCTTCTTGGGTGCCGGCTTGTTGCCCTGGTTGGGGGTTGGAGGAGCAGCGTTGGTGACTTGAGGAGATGACGTCGCGTTCCTCGAGTTGGCAGCGTTGGTCATCGCCGCTGCCGTTGGGGGAGCAGAAGGTGGCGGCATAGCTCTCTGCTGCGCTGGACCCTGAGCCTGCTGAGCTTGAGGAGGCTGACCAACCATCTGGCCATTGGGTCCAGGCTGCTGCCATTGCATATTAGGGCCCCCTTGATTTTGCTGCTGTTGAGCCGCTTGTTGCTGCTGCGCTTGTTGGGCTTGTTGCTGTTGTTGTTGCGCCTGCTGCTGAGCCTGCTGTTGCATTTGTGCTTGACGCTGCTGTTGGGCAGCCATCATCTGTGGGTTCATCTGGCCATTGAAGGGCTGTCCTGGGTGTGCGTTCGGTGGACGCATACCGCCTCCCATCTGGTTGCCCATGTTCATGTTCATGCCGTAATGGGGCTGTCCTCCGTTGGGATCCATGTTGCCGCCCATAAAGATTGTGGGATTCGGTGAACTGCGGTTCTGGGCGCCATCCGGAAGGGGGGAACCCATGTTCTGGGGGTTGTTCATTTGCTGATTGGCACGCTTCATCTGCTCCGAAGGGTTAGGTGATGCTCCATTGCGCTGCCCAGGTGGCGAGTTGCCTTGGAAGCCTTGAGGATTCGGTCCCTGAGGTCCGCCTGGACCGTTGGGGCCTTCAGGTCGTGGCATCCCATCCTGCTCCTGTCGAGCCATCATCAGACGCTTCTTGTTTTGTTGCTCCAGGAGCATCAGCTGCATCTGGTAGTCCTGAAGGGCGTGGTTACTTGACCCATTCTGACCGTTACCAGGCCCAGCTCGCATGTTTCCGGCGCCCATTTCCTGGTTGTAAAACTGGTTGATGTTCTGGCCATCGGGTCCCTGCGGCAGCATAGGAGAGCCCTGGTTTTGCGGACCGCCAGCATTCGCCATCGGGTTGGTGGGCATCTGTTTACCGTGGTGCTGCTGGAGGTTAGCGGCGTACGCTTTGAGCTGATTGGGATTGGCATTGATTAAGGCCTGGAGTTGGTAAGGAGTTAATGAGTTTGGGCGGATTTGGTTGATGAAAAATGCTTGTGCTGAATTGGGGCCACCTCCTACCTGCTGCTGGCCTGGCATGCCTTGCATCTGTCTGCCATTGGGCACCATGACACCCGCGTTGGGGTTGAAGGGGGCCCCCTCGAGACGTGGCCGCTTGGATGGGGATGGCGCGTTGTCTGCCGATCCTGGCGATGCCGCCCTCACTCGGTTTCCATCCATATCCGAGGGATCTCGCTGCATTTGAGCAGCTTTCTGTGCCTGAAGCATGTGCATGGCTTGGGGACTAAGAAGTGTACAAGGGTCAGCTTTGAACAAACCACATGGTAAAGTGAATACGGGACTTACTTTTGGCTGTTCGCCATGGCTGCCCGTGGCAGCTGGTTTCCGGGCTTCATCATGCCGCCCATACCATTCATGTTCCTCATCATTTGCTGCTGATATTGGACGTGGGCGTTATAGTCAGGACGCATTTGCCGCAGCATCTGTTCCTGGCGCATGCGGGACTGGTTCTAGCGTCGCTGTTAGCTAGGGAACAAGCTGCCACATCAGAGAAGGCAGTTCTTACCTGGTTGTGTTGCACGTATTGGTTCACAAGAGCAGGGCCCTTGCTCTTTTGGCTATTGAACATATCCCAGAACAGTGAGAACCAGTCGAGCAGAAAGGGGTTGTTGCTTGTCGAGGAATTCGGAATCGCAGCTGGGGGTAGGTCGTCGGGACGCTTTTGGTCCAGGTTGTCCTTTGAGTCGGTATCCATGGGATCGTCACCCAGGCCATTCAAGTTCTGACCAGGGCTCGCAGATTTGTCCGTCTTGATCTGAGGGTTATTTTGTAGCATTGTGCGGGCAACGTCGTACATGCCTTGGCGGATGAAGTAGTCGTAAATGTAGGTCTCGAGCAACGAACGGCCGCCATCGATAGCTCCAGCCCCGAACTGCATTTGCTGCTGCTGCTGTTGTTGCTGTTGCGGTTGGGGTTGTGGGGGCTGCTGAGGACGGACGGGCATTGCGCCATTATTCATCATTGGCATAGGGGCGCCGCCGACGGGACCGCCCATGGCGTTCATCTGCGCCATGTTACCCATGTTGTTCATGTTCATGGCTGATTATTACGGGCAGACAGACAAGTCTGCCGGGCGAAAAGCGGGATTCGCAAGAGTTGAAAGCAATGGAGTTGGGTCGTGTGTATAACGACGGGAGCCTGAAAGCATGAAGAAGGGTTAGTGTGTCTAGGTTCATGTAATGTGATGGAAATTCGGAGAGGGTTCGGCGCAGGAGGGCACAGCTTGCCAACCAGGTGCGTACAAGTGCCACGACTGCGCGATGCGCTTAAACCCGGCAGGCGGCGGACGTGTATTGAGATCGGGGTAAAGTGATGGCGAGGTGATTGCCGGATAACATGTCAATGGCGTCGAAAAGGTGATGCGGTGGCAGCAGAAAAATACTCTGAGACGCCGACAAGCGACGGCACGGCACGCGTTGGGGGGCAGGAGATAGATAGATAGACAGACAGACAGACAGACAGGGGCAGGCTGGTAAGAGAGATGTCAAGTACCTCGATACAGGCGGGGGAGCCTGGGCTGTTGGCGCAGCAAGTAGCGTGTCGGTACCGATTAGACGGATGTTGTGCAGAGCGTGGAGGAAGTACGGCAGCCAGAAGAGCGAAACAGTCTAGAAGTATGTTCTAGCTGAAAGGCGGGTGAGGTGCAGCTGGGAGAAATTGCAGCGACCGAATCGGGGGCTGGGCGACCGCGGTGAGATATTCCGGGGATGAAGATTAGTGTGTGTGTGTGGCCGGAGATGCACGTGGGTGCAGCGATGAATGGTCTCTGTTGCACGATCCCCTTTCTTGGTGAGTGTCTGCGTGCGTGGTGAGAAAAAGGTCACAGAGACGAGGAGGCGTTGGGTCAATCTGAAGAGTATAAAAATATGGGCGTGGGTGTTTTGTAGAGAAATAAAGGAAGCGAGGCAAGGCCGCGAAACGGGCTCGGATTTCGGTGCACGTAGACTTCTACCGCAAGCCTCAGGTCCGTAGATGTACCGGCGCACTGGCACTCGAGCACGCCAGATGGGAGAACGGGGAGGTTCAAGCAATAGCGTAGGTAGGTAGGTATGTATGGTACCTTTTGAAAGCGCGTTTGACAAGCGATATCCCCGATGTCCCGTCGCAGGCCGGTGCTCGGTGTCAAAGGCGAGATGCAAGGTCGAGGCAGGCAGCCAGATCTCTGCCCGGCAAGGCTGGATCTCAAAAAGATATCGCGACGGCGGCGATGGTAGGTGGCGATGGTGCTGCTGTTGCTGCTGCTGCTGCTGAGTTCACGGGAACGGCAAGGCTTCAGTTGCGCGCGGGTGCACTCCCGTCCCGCTTTCCAAGGATCCAACAGCCTTGGTCGTGTAGAGGTAGGTTGATGGTCGATTATGTGCCAAATCGTCCCACCAGAGATTATGTGGCGGTATATATGGTGTCGTGTCGTGGTGTAGAGTCCGGAGAGAGTGTTGTCGTGGTTTGTAGGTGGTCGCCGCCTGGTTGCGAGGAGTGGACGTCGAGGTTAGAGTGAGGCAAGGTGGTGTTGGTGGTCCAGGCAAGTAGGTAGTTGGAGAGGTGGTGGGAATGATGATCCGGTCCACGTCGCAACAGGAAAGCGTGCAATGCTAAAGTAGTCGTAGGGATGGGAGGAGGAGATGGGGAACGGGGGTCCGGGCAAGTCACAGTGTGTGGTTCTAGCTACCGTGGTGGTCCTCTTCAGGCGCAGGCGGCGGCAGGCTGGCTCTCGCTGGTGGTGGTCTCGGGGCCGGCGACCGTGGGATCTCTTGTGGGCCAATCCGCTCAATCTCGCTGGTGGTCGGGACGGGACAAGGGCGATTAGGACGTTAAAGTGGCGTGCCGCAAAAGAGGAGGATTCCCGACACGAAACTCAACGGTCGTAGGACGCAGAAGAGAGGAAGGACGGGAGGAAGATGGGGGGACGGGGGTTGGGGTTTGGGGACTTTTTTTGGCCGACTGCGCTGCCTTCTTTTGCTTGGTGCTCACGCCAAATCGTATTGGAATTTGGGGGGGGGGGGGAAGTGGAAGCAGCCAGGAGCCGGGCCTGGGGGTGATGGGCGATGGAGGAACCGCGAGATGGGAGACCAAGCTTCACAAGCCTGCGCAGTCTGGAGCACGCAATCGCACCATCCGCTGTCTTGGCATGCGTACATCTCAGACCGTCTCACGTGTTGCCTCGTTAATCAGGCATTTCAGGCACTCTTGCAGCTCAAATATGCACCTATGCAGCAAATGACGGCTTGGCGCCCCTGTATCTGCCACCAATCTGCCTACTTCAGGATATTTGGCTTGTTCCAGCGTTCTGCAATGACAGTCATCACCAAGATGGCTTAACAGCTGCCAACTCTTTACTTGGCGAATTGCTTTTGTTGCAGCCTCACTTCATCTCATTATTTTGGGCAAATCAACAGAGGTGTGAATTGGCCGTTTTGTCACTTTTTTGAAAAACCATCTGTCCACGCGACGAATCGGTGATCTAAGCGAGGAGAGCCTCTCCGAGAGCCTCAGACATTCACGTTGGATGTCTAGTTGGATCAAATCTGTCAACCTCTCTTTTTCCAGTCTTTATCGACCGGATATTTGTCGTCCCTTTCGTGTCTGTACGTTGGGCGTCACGCTGTCGTTGGTCGTGTGTTTTTAAACCAACAGAACACACTTGGTGCAGGCCAACTCGTATCCAACAGTGATACCTTGCCGAAAGCTCCGGGAGTCCCCAGACTTCTCGTGTGGTTCCCAGCCATAATCTCGACCCATACCCTCCCGCGTGGTAGGCCTTTGGCGATTGTGCAACAGCTTAGGATGAGCAGCAGGTGAATGGTTACCAGTGTTCAGTTAAATAGGTACTGACATGCGCAAGTGAGATGACTAGCATGTCGCCATCCACATGGCATGCGACGCGAAAGAGTCCATGGCGTTGGACAAGGTCGTCAAGACTTTAATGCCACGTTTGGCAGGGATCCGGCGCAATATGGTTGGCAAAGAGATGATGTTGGGCATCTCCGACTCCCGTCTCCTGGGTTTCTTTCTGCTGAACACCTCAGTCATGACGATTCAAGAAACACACTACATACCTAGGTAGTGTGCCAGAACCTTCACTGAAACCAGATTACTCCGTCCTCTCCTAGGCAATGGCTCGACGAACTCATTGGTCAGATGAATCATTGATTACTCGAGATCACCAGATGGTCATCGAGATTCACCTCGTGTGTATGTACTATTTCTCCGAGCTCAGCTGTACCTGATTACATAGCAAACCCATATGACCTACCCTAGGTTGGACTGCAAGGCGACATCGCGATAAGCATTGGCCTTGTGGGCTCCAAATCTCCACAGGGTCTTGGGCGCCGCGCTAAGCCACTAACAACACGATCTGCCGGGTGGCAGATCCAACGCCAGGGCAACGCCAACAACGGGCGCCAACCCTCAAGAGACCCTAACCCGTCGGTACAACCTCATACAAAGTAATAGAACACAATATCGAGTTTTGAGGGCATCCTGAAATTCACGTGCAGCCCAGTATACGTAACAGAGTGGCCAAAAGCTGTGCAATCGAAACAAAGTGGTACCAGACGTACATAGGTATCGTCGAGGTTGCCGCCCTCAATGAATCTGTCATGTCGTGATGCGCCGCTGCCGCAGGTAATCTCCAAGGGTCCCGTTAGTGGTTAGTGCTGCCCTGGGCTGTCACGGCTTCCTGGTCAGTGGGACCACAGCTTCGGGAGTTGCCCAAGGTCTCAGGGTTGTTGCTGTCAGACTGGATCTGCTGGTCAGGGTTGCAGCACCGATATGCTGCTACCTTACCGTTGCTCCGTCCCGTCTGGGGATAAAATAACAAACCCACAAAACACAGCATACACCGACCGGATCACGTACCTGCTGCACCTGTCAATCATCATCCTGCCTCGTTTTCTTCATAGTTTCATTTACTACCCAGGCAAAGTGACATAGGTCTTGGTGCGCCACAAGTCAGATAAATGCAGCGTCCCTTGCATTAGCTAGGTACGGCAATACGCGCTATAGCCGGGGGTGTGTTGTTGTCGTGGATTTGCTTCGTGGATCGCGCTGGGGATCTTGCGTGCGGCTTGCTGTTCGCAGGAAGCCTCGTTGCGGCCCCTGCACCTGCGTTTAGACTGAAGGTACAATCAATTCCACAAGAGTCGCTTCTTCTCCAAGGAGCGCCAAAGCTCAAAACTTGGCAATATGAAAATTCACTTTCACCCTTTGATGAATTCCGTCCCAATGTCTTGAAATGAAATACAGAGAAAATGACGCCAAGTCATGTCGCCTTCAGGGGATGGAAGATTACCTATTACCCAAAAGGCTTGAAGAATTGGAGGGGCAAGCAATGCCACAATGGCATGGAAGCGTGAAACTGCTGGCACCTATCATGATGAACTGCCCTGCCGAGCCACCAGACGAGCCTACCATGGCCGCCATGACATGATCTACGGCGCCATGCAGCAAACGGTTCTCCTCTCCCGCCCCAGTCTCATTCAGCCCAGCCAGCGGGCCAGCGGGCCAGCGACAACACGCAAGGCCGCAATCCACACAGTTAGAATCTGTTCATGGAATGGAAAGATGGAACGAAGGGAACGGGTACTATGGCAGCTGGCTTGACGCCGTTAGACGCGGTAGAGCGGGAAGGATGGGATCATCAATTGACACTGCCGTGGCAAAGGGGGAATGGGCACGGGCCACATCAAGGGCTGCTGTCGTGTAAGTACTTGTACAATTAATCGATGCCCCCAAAAAGATTGACTCCTCGCCATCGACCGACACACTTTCAATTGCATCAAGTTCAGCATTCCAATTCTTTTTGTTGATCTCAGAGATGCCGACAACCACCACCGACGGCGTGGCCGCATCTTGACATCCTACTTCATGTCATATACTTTCCAAACCCCGCGTCACATCCCGACACACTGACTTTTACCGCTCCTAGTCAATTTCGACAATTTTCCCCGAAGAAAAAAGACGAGGGCGGCAGATCGACAGCCTTTTTTCAAGACATTTAAACCTCGAAAGTCTGCAACAAAGGTTCGAGACATTCGTCAACACAACTGGAATTAAACGAGAGACAAAACACCCCGCCATCGTTGCTCGCATGGCCTAGCATGGGTGAGGTTGAGAGGGTTAGGGTTCTTTTAATGATCATCCCCCTGAATTGGTGACCATGAGGTTGTCGTCAAGACAAGAACGACAAAACACGATTGAGTAAGAATGTGGGAGTGAATCATTCTTACTATAATTTCTCACTCTAGGAATTAGGTTTGGTATAACTTCCACCCACATGAAACTTCACAAGGCGACGGTATCGCCGAGTGTCCGCGCAGCGTTCTTTCCCTCTTTGGCACAGCATGCCGAACAAAGCAGGGCAGGTACCACCGACAACTAACAACCAACGGTGGTGACCAAACACCAATGAAGTTCCACACGCCACCAGGAACATATCACAAGACACATCCGATCAGATACCCTCGCTCTATGTCGGGATTCCTATCTACTTTTCTGGTGACCATGAGCTATCGCCAATTCCCACCGTAACCTCCGTTCCCTCTTTCCACTCTCCAGATTGTGTCTATATTTGAAATTATGGGGAATCATTCACGCAGAAAGTGAGAAAGACTACCTCGTTACTTCGAGCTGATGCTCTGATTGAGGCTGCCACTGTGGGACGGCGAAGGGAATGGTCAGCATTGATATCAATTGGGAAATTCACATATGTCATCCCGAGTCGTGTTGAGGCGAACAACTGATTTTTTTAAAGCCACCTTACTAGTTGTAACATGCTCAGTTTAATCTGACAAAATCATTCAAAAAATATGATACAAAAGAAAAAGGAAAAAAAAAAAAAAAAAAAAACAAGTATGCCATTCATCCTACACGTCACCATACCCCTATACTAGTAATTCGGAGATTCTTCAGGGATCCAATGACTGTGCGTACTCCCTCAACTCTCTCAGATCCTCCCTTTTAATACGCCCATGAGTAGGTCGATTCTGGATGCCATTCCCACCTACCGCGGATGACACACTCTTCCGTCCGACAGACATAATTGTATTCCTCCGGATAGGTACGGTAGGTATGTTTGCGCACAACGGGCTGGGTGCAGACAGACTTCATGCGTAGTCTGTAAGTCTCCGGCCTCGTCACCTATGCACTCGACCCTCCTCCTATTGCACCCAAGTTGATTGTAATTGGATGAGGTTGGCTATAGGAACGAGAAACAGGGGCCGGGGGTTGTTCCGAAGGGAGATTTTATGCTCCATATTAGCACATAGGTATAAACGATAAAATGATGTGAGGGATGAAGAGACTTGCCTCCGTCAATTCTCCGGCCGTTGAATAGTCAGGCTGTGGAGGTGCCTCGTTAATGTTAACGGGTCTAAATAGGTAATGATGAGATGAAGGGAGGGGTTGACTTACCTCGTTTATCGCAGGCTTGGATGTACCGCAACCCATTGTGGCTTTGGTGACGTATGATCGTGGAAAGGGAATTGCTTTCGAGGTTTTTCGCCGCAAAGATTTGAAGCTGGAAATAGTCGTCTACGAGTGAGGTGTGCTGGACTCGCAGTATCCTCAAGTAGACTGGTGGGGAGCCCAGCAGGTCATTATAACTGAACCGGCCAACGGGCTGTTGCTCATTATTGTATCTCTATACTAACTTAACGTCTTGGTTGGTAGTCTCGGCGCATACAGACGTTGGATGAAAGACGGGCGAGTATATGTAGCTACCCCGTTGGTAATTGGATGTTTGCAGAAACGCCATCTGCGTTTTTCTACTTCTAGGATTTTTGTATTCTCTTTTCGTGTCTGAAAGCTTTAGATACCTACCTACCGTATCTCTAGTGTTTAAACGCTGATTAGCGGGTCGTTGGGTGTAGTGAGGAATCAAGAAAAAGGAGTGGGTGGCTGCCCTTGAAGAGCAGCGCATACAACGAGGTGCGCGACTTGTTGGAAATTATGGTTGACCCTGTGCGAGTTACGAGCACAGCGGCACGAAAGAACCAAAACCGGTGATAACAATTATTCGTAGAATTAGAAGCTGTACAAGTAACCGTAAATCTTGTTCCTTAGGTGATGTTGTTGCTGGCTACTGCGAGGGAAAAAAAAAAAAAAAAAAGCAAAACAAGACCGTGACAAAGTTCGAAGACGTACGCTTCCAAAGATCATTTCTTGACCAATACACCATTCGCTTTTCTTCCAAACCAAGCACCAGCTCAACAGGCCCTTTCCAACTCACTTGATTCTCTCCATCAGTCCTGTCTCCTCTTGATCGAGTGTTGATCGGGTGAAAACTCGTTCGGCATATACCGCCTGGACGGAGCTTAGGTAGAGGTACCCTTCACAGCACCTACCTCTAGGTAACTATGAAATCCTATGCCATACATAGGTCTATCCCCCTGAAGCCGAGACCTTACCAAGGCAGACTTCGACATTAGCCTCTGTAAGCTCTTTCATGAGCCCTCGTAACTCTCCTACGCCAGTTTTATCCGACGGTCTATCCCATATTTGTACTAGACCCGCCTTTTCCGAGTACTCCTTCAGAATATTCCTTCCCTCATTATTCCACTGACAGAATGAACCACGTAACTCCAACCCGCCAATCACTATTCCTTGATTTCGCTGGGGAGCAGGAAAAACTTGCGGGTGCGCGCGCATGTATTCCTCGTCGACGGACATCCACCGCTCTCCAAAAGCTTTGGCCCAGGGGCACTTGTCGCGGCAAAGATCGCAGCTGAGTCCTAGTTTGATGAAGGCGTGTTCCTATGTGTGTGAGATTTGTTAGCTGATTGTTGATACCACCATCATTTAGTAGTTAAGGCAAGTGTGTAGCGTACTTACCTTCTTGGACTTTTCCCGGGAAAATTCTTGTGTGCTGACACAGCTACCCATTGTGATGCTGTGCTATAGAACTCTCTACCTCTAGTCATCAAGCCTCTCGCTTCCGTAAGTTCCGAAACTGATTGGTAGTCGATGTGCTAGAGGTCTATAGTTTTATTCCATGGAGTCAATCTGGCGAGGAGGGACCAAACCTCATTATAACCACCTTTAGCAAGCAGACTGCCATCTACAAGTAGGCTCGTTGCGCGCCATAGGTACCCATGTTCCGTTTTTGCTGTTCCGCGTCAGATATCTTCGTTGGTTGTGTTGGCGCATGTGGATATAAAAAAAAAGGGGGCGAGAGACTATCGTGTTGGTAATTGGAAAGCTGGGCGGCACCAACTACATTTTTTTCTTATACTTCGTCTTCCTTGTTACTGTGAATTTTTGTGGTTGAGTGATGGCCCAAGCCATTATCACGAGAAGAACAAAGAAATCGTGCTGCGGTACTTCTCGGTATGTATGTACAAAGGTAACTCATTGAATCGCCCGGACTTGATGGATTTCTTTGACGTCCGGTAGTTGGGGGTCGGTTTCGAAGCTACCCTAGGCTTGAAACTGTTAGGTCTACATAGGTATCGAAAGAGGTGATGGGTTGACAGGGGTTAGGAATGTGGGAGCGCTTACATTCAAGGAGGGATTAGCCATACGGCTTTTGGGATGTTTGTGCTTTTCAACCCCATCAAGATACCTCTCGGAACTGAACTCCTCAGCCACAAGGTGAGCGAGGAAGCCCTGGGGTTGATATAGGCCCTGCGACTTCGATTCTGCTGCTATCATACGTACATATGAGATCATATGCTCCAAGTCCGTCACCATGCTCCCAAATAGTGAATAAACTATCCGTTGAACTACCACACGTATCTACCTAGTCTTCCGTCCAGCGTAGCTAATAATCTTCAGTCCTAGGTTGGATGACAAAAATCATACCTCTGTCATCTTCCTTCCACCACGTCTGAACACTCCGAATTCGATACCCCATCATATCTTGTACCAACCGACACGGACTCAACGAACGGTTTTCGTTGTCCTCCAAAGCCTCTGTTATCACGTCCTCAACGTCCTTTTCGGGTCCAGGATACTCATGTCGATCTTTATGTTGGAACAGAGCGCAGAAATTACCTTGCAGCTGAACACGCAGATTATTGTCCGGGTACTTCTCAAGGTAATTCTGGAACTCCTTCATCCCATAAACTTTCCTCTCTATCGCTAGCTGTAGGGCACTCGCCGATACCGAAACCACACTTTCCCGCATCCACTCATGTCCGGGTTGGTCGGAACACTTGTATCCTTGCCCCTTTAGATAGCAGGCGGTACAATGGGTAGATAGCGTCACCCCGTACGTGTAATCCGTTTCCTGGGTGAGGATGATGGGCTGCGGTTCTGGCTTGGGTATCGATTCGTACTCGGACTCTTGCTGCCACGGGGAGGTGTAGTGAGAACCGTGAGAGATCAGGGGCTGCGGTTCTGGCTCGGGCATCGATTCGTACTTGAACTCTTGCTGCCACGGTAACGTGTATTGAGAACCGTGAGGGGTCAGGGGCTCAGGTTCTGGCTTGTACATCGGCTCGTGAAAGGGCTTGTGATGCCACGTGCTGTTCGTTTGTAGGTTGGGGATGGGTGATCGAGATTTTGGCTCGTGCTGCCATGTGTTATTCGTTTTCAGGCTGTGGCTGCTGAGCTGAGGTTTGGGTTGAGGTTTTGGCTCGTGTGGCGGCTCGTATATAGGCTCGTAATGGCACGGTAAAGTGTATTGAGAAGCGGCAGGGGAGATGGGCTTCGGTTTTGGCTCGTGCTTCGGCTCAAACATGGACTCGTGCTGTCTCATGTTGTTCGTTTTTTGGCTGGGGAAATTGGGCTGGGGTTTTAGCTCGTCCATAGATTCGGGCTGCCTCGTGAAGGTGTATTGAGAACAGGGAAGGATCAGAGGCTGTGGTTGAGGTCAGCGTCAGAGGAAACCGCGCTGGTGACCGGGACGTTCGCACAGAAAACACTCACATCTTCCTCATCCTCTTTATAGTCAATAGTTGACATTCCACTGCTCATGGTAGCTTTGGTAGTGTAGGGGTAGCAATCAGGGTATGCCTTCTTCTCTTTCTCATCCTCTTGATATTCAGTTGACATCCCACAGCCCATAGTCGTAGTCTCTGTAGTGTAGAGGTAGCAAATCAAGGTACGCCTTCTTCTCTCGTAGTGTCTTGCAGCGGTCTTGAGTTGAAACTGGTCGGTCGTCGAACGTAGCCTGGCTTCTCCAACCAAGAGGGGTAAAAGAGCAGCAAACCCATTATAAACTGGTAAGCTGCGTGCTAGTACGCTCACCAACTCTGACTCCATTGTTTAGCGGTTTTGTATTCTATCGTGACCATAGTCTTGTTGGTCATCTCGGTTTTTCGAACCTGAAAGAGGGACGTGGTGTGACCATCATCGTGTTGATCATGTTGGTTATCGGAACAGAGCAAGGCGCTAACGATGTCTCTCCCTCTTTTCTCTCTTTTCCCCCTGAGAGTGTCATATGACATGGCGTTGGCGAGAACAACAGCGGGCGGTAGGAAGGGGGGATGTTACGATGTCAAAGGAATCCTCTTCGAGTAAGCGCCCGGACTCGTGATTCCGACAGCGACTGGAAGCGGCACCATGCTTTCTTTGACACGCAGGTACTAACTCATCCGTCAAATATGTGCCGATGCGGTCACTTGAGCCGCATCTAAAAGAACTACCGAGAACAGGGGCTAAGGTCTATCAGATAAAGATCTGGTACCAGTAGCTCTTGTTCATGGGCGATGCGAGCTGAGCCTGGGAGAAGAGGTATATGTATCGCTATCATTTGTAAAACATTATAAGCCATTGCCTGATTTCGCTCGGGATTTGTGACTGAACGGACGCCCCAACTCCATCCTTCCAGAGCCTGATATGCTCGTCTATTAATGCTCATACCCTTCGCTCACCATCATTGGTGAATATGTTCCTCATTTTTTCCTCATCCAAGCCCCGAGCCGCAGCTTAATGGTTGGTTTGTGGAACTGAATGGGAGACTCCTGTGGTCCGAGTTCCACATCCTCAAAGACCTCCCCTCGTGGGGGCAGGATTTGGGCATCGGTCATTCCAGGTGGTTCCTGCTGATCATCCGTCTCGTCTCCTTTTTTGGTGCCGAGGTCCGTCAAGAAAGCCAAAAGAGCCTCTGCCGTCACCTCGTCTGCCGTGACCGTGTCAACGCTTTCGGGCGAGACTTGGCGGGTGTCGGCTACTTCGGTGCTCGCATCCTCATGGACCAACTCCTAATCGTCATTCGATTGTACGCTCTCCTAGTCGTCCTCGGGAGGAAGTTCATCGTCGATGTAGCGTACGAGCGTGACGCGCATCTCGGTCGTATCGTGGCCCCTGAGCACGTCGCTGATGAAGTGGGTCTCGACTTGCATTTGTACCATCTCGAGAGCACCGCGTAGCACACCACATAGGATATTCGAGAACCAGAGTTGGTCTTGAGCCCGGCCGTCATCGGGCAGTTCGACAAAATCGGCGAGGGGGTTCTCGTCGAAAACAAGGGAGAACTGCTTGTTGTCGCCTGTCCAGTTTGTGATTGTCGGGGTGACGTTGAGGAAGATCTTGAAGCCCACCTGCGACAGGTAGTGTTAGCAAGAGGCAATGTGATGTTGACACCGAGGAGGTCTTGCCTTGGCGATCATCTCTGCGGTTTCGCGAAAGTTGGAGCACCGGCGCATTGTGTTGGACTTGGCCAGGTAGTCCTCGATCAGACGGAGACCAATGTTGTACCCCATCCTATCCAGCTGCTTGTTGACTTCGGCATAGTCGTTCTCAAAGTCCTTGCATATCTGCGCCACTATGGTTCCGTAGGTGAGGACGACTAGTTCGGCGTTAACTTTTTCGATCCTCGTCCTGCCTGGCAGTTAGCACTGCGAGGGCATCTTGTTACCGAGGGGTTAGGGGCGATCCTACTTCCAGATCCTGTAGAGTAACAACCGGCCGTTAGCAAACAAGAACACACTGCCCGGTGTTGGTTGGGACCCGACTTACTCTTCCCCCAAACGGGATGCTTTGCTTGCTGACGACATTGTGAATGTTGGAAGTCAGAAGCTCGGGGAGCCTCTGTATGATTATACCGTTCTCATAAAACAACGGGGTCAATCGGGGATATAATCGTTGCGCGGACCAGTGCTTCAGACACGATGGTAGCGACAAGACAGAATGATGAGCGATGATGTTGTTTTTGTTACAAGGCGGTGGGTTTGTACCGCGAGACAGAAGACGGGATGGAACTTGGGGACCTCGATGGAACTGAAGCTGGAGTAGGTGGAAGCCGCGGGCGATTGCCCCGCTGACACCTTCAGCGATGTGTCTGCCCCGGGGCAGGCACCACAGGGCACCGCCGACGGGAGCTCTGGGCGCCAAAGAGAACCGCAAGGGTTCGACAGCGGGAGCTGGGGGCCCACCCGCAACATTGTGGGTCCACTCGCCCGGGCAGTCTTCTAGCCTGATAAGGTTTAGCCTCATAGCGGCTTCAAGTGTTGCAGCAGGGAATTGCCCGACGTGAAGTCAAAATCGCCAAGTTCCGTCGCGACGGAGAGCGGGCAATCAAAAATCCACTTGACGTAAAGGTATCGCCAATTGCAATTGCTTTGCTCTGACATCAACCCGCCTGTCGTCTACCATCCCGACTACTGCTACGATCACCCCGAATACCACGATTCTGAGCCACACACCATGTCCTCCGAAAAGAGACCTGCTTCCGATGACCCCAGCGGGGGTCAGCTCGTCAAGAGACCCAACCTGGGCTCGAGTCGCGCCCTCACGAGGACCGGCGCGACAGGCAGCAGCGGCGACCTTATCCAGACAGCTCCCCGTACGAGCAGCCTCCAGGCTCCGGTGATGGAGCTGTCCGGCCACTCGGGCGAGATCTTTGCGGCCAAGTTCGACCCTACCGGCAACCTTATAGCTTCTGGTTCCATGGACCGTACCATCAGTACGTCCAACTTTACATCAGCTACCGGCATTAACAGTTGGGGACAGTTACTAACAACTGGCTATTACAGTGCTCTGGAGAACCTATGGCGACTGCGAAAACTACGGCGTCCTCAACGGCCACAAGGGTGCCATTCTCGACCTCCACTGGTCGCGCGACTCCGAGATCCTCTTTTCCGCCTCCGCCGACATGCACCTCGCCAGCTGGGACCTTACATCAGGCACAAGGATACGGCGATATGTCGGACACGAAGAAATCGTCAACTCACTCGACATCTCGAGACGCGGCGAGGACCTGCTCATCAGCGGTAGCGACGACGGGACGATCGGTATCTGGGATCCGCGAACCAAGAACGCCGCCGACTACATCGAGACCGACTTCCCCATAACCGCCGTGGCCATGTCGGAGGCCGGCAACGAGATCTACTCGGGAGGAATTGACAATGACATCAAGGTCTGGGATGTGAGGAAGAAGGCAGTCGTGTACTCAATGATTGGACACCAGGATACCGTCACCACATTGCGGGTGTCGCCAGATTCGCAACAGCTGCTCTCGTACGCCATGGATTCGACAGCGAGGACATGGGATATCAGGCCGTTTGCTCCTGCCGATAGGCACATTCGCACCTTTGATGGCGCGCTGTTTGGCATGGAGCAGAACCTCATTAAGGGAAGCTGGGACAAAGATGGCAAGAAGATTGCGGTGGGCGCGGGTGATGGCACCGTGGTCATCTGGGGCAGTGACACTGGCAAGCTGTTGTACAAGCTTCCGGGTCACAAGGGAACGGTCAACGTAGCCGAGTTCTCTCCTGGCACTGACCCTCTTAGTGAGTTCATTGCATTTTGGTTGTCATCTGCAGTAACTAACCATGTTGTAGTTCTCTCTGCGTCGTCCGATAGGACCATGCTGCTCGGCGAGCTGAAGTGAGGAAAGAACATGTGCATGGGCCAGCTCATGGGGCTCCCCATAAAAAATGAGGATTTTTCGCACCCAAACCCGGGGAATCCCATCATCTGTTGCAGTCTATGGCAAAAATCACCATTAGCCGTACAGCTGCGTGCAAAATATTGCCGGCTCCAAGCTTGCTGCTAGCAAGACGTCATGGGCTGGAGGCCGGTGAATTGGGAAGAAAGAGTCTGGAATTGGATAAGGGTACAGCGCTGGTGGTTCAGCGCACCCCGATAATGTCACAAAAGGAACAGGTCGACGGACGCATGGCGTAAGGAGTTATTTATAAGTTGCATTCATTTACACACAACTAGATACCCAGCCTGAATGGAACTGGAAGAAGCAAGGAAACATGGCTCGACTGAGCGGCTTTGATCGTGGCAGACAACAAGGGACTGGATATATTTGTGTCGACTGGCAACGTTGACCTTTATCAACCCGAGGGCGGCGAGCTCTGGGTGCATGACATTCTTCAGCTGCAAACCCTGTGGCTCGACAATCTATCTGCCTCGGTTCACCCGCGCCGATGCCAACCGATATACATAGGCTATGAACCCAACTATGTATCCCAAGGCTCCCTCAGTCTGCCCATCAACCAATCTGAAACGAGCTTTGGCACTCCCCAACGTGCGCCTGAAACGCCTCACAGCCCTGACCGTCGGTCGCCCAGTGGCCGTGGCAGTTTGGCCTAAAGACTTGCAGGAAAGCTCCCAGCCAATCATTTGCCGCTGGACTTACCCCTTTCTGACGCTTCCAGGGGTCCATATTGGTCCGGTCGCAGTCTTGGCTTATACGCCCCTGGTACCGTCGAAACAAATCATTTTGGGAAGAGGGGAGGCATGTCAAACTGGTGGGTGGGTGTGAGTGGTAGATGCAGGCTGTACCATAGTGTATGTAAGGTACAGCTTTTTAGTGTTACTGTTGTTCCTGCTTCATTGTGTTGCTGTGATTGTTCGAGGTAATGTACTTATGTATGTACATGCAGCAGCATTTTATCACGGTTTTTTTTCTGAGTGGTAGCAGCAAGCCCAATGACCGTCCTCAACGCCTATCCCGAATACTTGGTTGGTTCATATGTCTTGTTCAGCTACGACCTTGTCGTGCAACCCAAGCCAACACTTGTGGTCCAATTCAGGGACTTGGAAACTGATATGTAGACTACACTACAAACTTTATTATGGTCCCTTGACCACTCGTTCATCCGTCTGGGCTGTCAGTCGTTGAGGCCCTGAGACGGAATGATAGCCACCATGCAAGGGAAGGGAAGGCGTCACATCCGCTTCCACACTTTTTTTTTCCCCGTCCTCCTCTTCCCCAACAAAAGCTTTCGACCCAAACACCTAATTCAATGGATTCGATCAGCGCGTCCCTTCTTTCGAGTGTAGATTTACATACTATTCCTTAGGTAGGTAGGTACCCCTGCTGCATGATACACACATAAGTAATATCCCTCGACCCTCGACCACCCCTGGCTGGCTGGCTGACTGGCCCGTCCGTTTCGTCATACCCAAACGCCCGTCATCCATAGGATGTCAAGCACACACACAGCCTTGTACTAGTGTCCATACATAGTACATACATATATACATAACCCATCCATACCCATCCATCGGTTCCCCGTAGTCCGTCACCCACATGGAGGCTCCATAGGTACCTAAAGTGTTGTTGCCGTTGTTTCTATCCCTCCTGAAACAAGGCACATCATTCGCTGTCGAGGTTTGAAATTGGAAAGGGGACTCGGATTGTTGGTGTTAGTGTGTTTACCACGTCAATTGTCTGTCTGTCTGTCTGTCTGTCTGGTTGTCGACATCCACGGCATCCATCCATCCACCCACACTCACTTACACTACTTCCTCTCGGTGATTTTTGTTTTTGTTTTTTTCTCTCTCTTCTTCGAGTCACTGCACACACTTACTTCCTTGACGTTGTGCAACCAACCCACCGACACCGGCAAATCCAGTCAGTCATCGAGCTGGTCACACAACACACTGCAAGCTGTCAACCTAGGTACCTACACTAGCTGGCTAGGAGGGGAGTTTTTCACAGCTTGTCAGGTCCATCTATACCTACCCCGGATTCCTACAGTCACTCCTCCTCACGGGTCGCTTCTTCTTCTTCTTTTGCTCGTTTCATCTTCTCTCTTCTCTTCTTTTCTCTCCCTCCTTCTCTATTCTCTTCTTCCTCTTCACGTCGCACACTCTGCACCTCCACCTCCGCCAGGCGCAGTTGTTCTGTTCACATCCACATTCACATTCAACACATTCCCTTGTTCTTCGTGGCCAGACACCGAACATCGACTTTTTTTTTTTCGAAAACAGTTCGCCTCACCCAACCGTCTTATCTTGATTCCCTTGAATTTTATCGGATCTGGAATTCGATTAAGAATCGTTATATCCATTCTTTGGTGGGAATTTCTCGATATCCTTACGACACAGAACGACGACGACGACGACGACGACGACGAATAGCGATACAAAGTTCAAGCCTGGAGCCGGACATTTGGTTACCTTAGTGATACCCCAAAGAGAGAGAGAGAGAAAAAGAGACAGAGACAGAGACAAGTACGGGAAAAGGCGTGTCGAAAAACAAAACCGAGGAAGTAAGACATATTTACAACAACGATAACGAACCGATCACATCATGAACAACCAAGCCTAAACGGCGCGACGATCCCTACCTACTTACGCCACTTATACGTCCTTTTCATGAAGCCAAACAATAGGTCAAACCAGTTCGGCTCAGTTCAGTTCATTCTCCACCATCGCAACAGATTTCACAATTTACACAACTTACCCAATCTACGGACCCAAAAATGGACCGCTTCAACTTCCTCCCTCAAGGTCTACGGCGGAACAGCCCTGCCCCTCCCCCTGCTGCCGCCGCCGCAACCACAACCACAACCACAGCCCCAACCGGCACAGCCAACGGCACAGCCGCCGACCACACCAACACCGGACAACCCGCCCCCCTCCCAGCAGTCTACCACCAAAACCAAAACCAAAACCGCACTCAAAGACCATACAACTACCCCGAATCCGTCTCCTCTTTATCTTCTGACGACGAATATGAAGATGAAGACGACGACGACCTCTACGAAGACGAAGAAGTCCGCTCCGTCTCTTCCCAATCTTCCCGCGATTCCGACACTGCTCCGCTATCTCCCAGGAATCGTCAGCAACGAGCACAATACCCATCCAGCAGCAGCACTCTGAACCGACGCTCCCACCATAACAACAACAACATGGCCACAAACATTCAGGATGATCTCTACTGTGACCTCGAAGCCCAACTAGGCATCCACCCTGCCCTTCGCGTCCCGCCGGGGCCCGGGAACGTCCCAGCTAATTTTCCGGCACCACCACCCATCCCCCAGCAAGAAGAAATGGCAGAAGTCGAACGCCGGTCTTCCTCGCGCTTCTTTCTTCCTAGAATGTCTTTTCGCTTTTTAGGCGGAGGCGGTAGACCTCGCCCGGCATCAAGTCATTATTCAGGTGATGGGCTGCCGCCCGCTACCGAGGTGAATTTCCCGGTGTCGCCCAAGTCGCCGGCTTTTCGGATTGGGGAACAAGAGTTGCCGAGTACGAGGCTGCATGTCCCTGGTGTGGAGAGGACTTGGAGTAGGGGGAGTAACGGGCCGCCTACGAGGGATGAGACTGGTACTAGGGATGGGTCTTCTTCTCATGGAGGAAGAGGAGGAGGAGGAGAGGCAGCGGCAAGGGGAGCTTCGAGGTATGGGTTTGGGTTATTGGGCGGGAATCGAGGCGCGAGTCGAGATGGGAGGACGGTGCGAGTGACTGAACCCAGGAGGACAGCTACGAGACGGCATCGGAGTGAGAGGGATGGAGAGCGTAGTGAGCGCCGTAGAGAGGGAAGTGGCAGGTTGAGGTCAGGAGCTGGAGCTGGCTCTGGTCATGGGAGTCGGGGTCATCGCTCGAGGAGAGACCATGGCAGGTCAACGACGACGGGGAGACATAGACATGCGCGTGATGAGGAGAGGAGAAGGAGGAGGAGGAAAAAGAAGAGTAGCAGCTCGAGAAGGCATGAAGGTTCCGGGTCGGGATCTCACTCGAGATCGGCGAGGACGACTGCTGCCGGAGGAGGACACTCGGGACGGAGGAAAAGAAGAGCACCACCGCCGAAACACTTCCTCTTCTGTTTCCCGTGGGTGAGGTCGCGGACAAAACGGAGGCTGATTCTGCGGTCTGTTGTTTCGGGGATGATTCTGGCTTGTTTGCTCATCGTCTGTAAGTTTTCTCCCCCCTCTCCCTTATCATGTTTTGTTTGGGTCCAACCATACTAACAATTTTCAGATCTCGCCCTTTCCGTCACCCATAAGGTCCAGGGTAGCGGATTCACCATCGCCATGATCCTGGTCGTCGTCTTGGGAGCTATTGTTTTCTTGCACAGTGCCGTCCGCCTCATGATGCTGGCATTCAAAGGCGGACGCAGCAAGCGCAGAGACTTGGAAAGCGGTCTGGCACATCATGAACGAGATATCCACGCCCCCCAAGGGCCATACGCCATTCCGCCCACGCCGATCCGTGTTGTTCTGGCGCGTGATGAGGAGGCTGCTGGCCTTCCGAGTGCTACGGCCGTATCGAAACCGCCCGAGTATGGACAGTGGCGGGAGTCTGTGGTAAGTGTGACATACCTCTCCCCTTTCAGACAGATGCACGAACAAGATTGCTGACATGGTCATTCTAGCGAGTCGATCCCAACCGCATCTACTGGATGCGCAACGAAGGGGCTGTTACTCCCGCGCTTCCGGACGAGGAGGCCAGTTCCGAGGGTGCTCGGTCCAGGGCTGGCAGCAGAGACGGTCCGAATCCGGGAACTCTCCGCCGGCCTCCGTCGTACAGCTCTGATGACGGCGTTAGCTATGTGGTTGAGGCACAACCGCGGTCCATCGCGCCGGCCACTGATGTACCGACCGGCGGCAGGGCTGGTAGGCGGTTGGCATGAGAAAGGTGTAAAACGACAGATTCAGGTTAGAGTTGGATGTATGATGGTGCTGAAACCGAATATGAGAAAGGATTACTTCGCTTCAAGGTGTACATAATCTTTCATGTCGATATTGTTGGAGTCTTGAGTTGGTAGAGTACAGACGAGCTCACGATACTAGTCGGATACCCTTGGTCTGTGATTGGTTGATGCCGATTGGGCAGTCAAATTATGTAAGCTGGCCGTACACTACACAATGTCCCGAATCACCGCAATAGCCATGCACCCATGGTGATGATTGCTTCTCGAGCAGCTTCGGATCTTGTTTGAGGTTCCATGTTCTGATGGTAATGCTTCCGTGAAACCCTTGGTTATACACGTCTCGCGCCAGCAAAGGCCTCCGCGTCAAGGTTAACCGGCGCGTACGCACCAGGCAAAGCATGAGGCGTACCAAAACGCGGGGAACTGGCGAGAGCTCGGAAGCTGATGCCGAAGCTTGAAGCCACTCTTTCACGTGGCAACCGACGCGTTGATGAGAAATCAAAGAGGCGATGTTTTGAAAGTCATTTCCCACTTGGTAATGTAGACTCTTTGTGCCTTGATGAGCAGATCCTCGAATCCCGTGCTATCGCCGCACTCTTTGGCGGTTTTCCGTGGGATTTCCCTTCCAATGTGTCTTCCCAGAGTTCATTACCAATCGCCCTGTGACCGCAGTGCCCTGCATGTCGGTTACACCACACAGCTGAGCTTGGTAGTGTATCACAGACAAGACTGGCAGGGATGGTTTTCCCAGCTGTCCAAGGACCTGCAGCGGGGTTGAGTAGGTGGTCGTACGGGACAGAATGGTTGCCGGTCGTTGTCGCAAACTGGTCTCCATTCGAGTCAGTCCAGCCCAACACCACCAACACGTCCACTTTCCACTTGAAGCTCCGAAAACATGTGAATGTGTTGAATCATCAGTCGACTTGGAAAAATGACATTGCCGTGGGTAAGATGCCAGTGCTGTACTATCTGTTGAAACTCGAAATGGCTCACTGCTAATTTGCTGCTCTCGACATGTCTGTTAGATCGATATTTCCCATTCGACGATGAGTGGATCAGCTCTTTTTCCGTTCTAGAAGATGCGATCATGCAAACTGCCTGCCGCCAGCCGTTGTTTCCTATCGGGCTGTTGCCGTCGTCGACATGCCTCGAGGCCCAGATGATCCGTAAGAAAGAAAGTGATCAGCAACGTGCTGCTGGATTCCTTTTCTTGGGACATCCGTCCATGCCATCCAGTCGCAGGCAATGGCAGCCCTCCATCCGAGCAAACACGACAAAAAGACGTGGGATGGGCTCTGGCGGGGAAAAGGGAAGCCTACGTGCAATGGGCGCGTATGATTCATGCCCACCCTTGGCTGTCTGTGGCTAGACTGGTGGAAAGACCTTCCAGGCGCCGGCCGGGCAGGGCATCGTCGGTGCCATGCGACGCGACGACAGGAAGTGGAATTGGAGACGAAGTGATGGGATGGGGCTTGGCATGTTCCTGCGACTGAATGTCGGGCGAGTGGAGCTCTCAGATTCCGAGTTCCCTTCAAGGACTGCAGTGGTCCGGACCTCCAGCTGCCAGTGCGCGCGGAGCAGCAGCAGCAGCGAGTCACTGTCACTGGAGAGGCCACCACTGCAGCAGCCCAGCAGCGAAGGGAAAAGAGGCAGAAGTGGAGCCTGCCAAGAAGCTCATAGAGTTTTTTCTTTAGCGTGTGGTTTATCAGTGGTGACTGTTGTGTCGAGGATGTTGATTTGGAACCGAAAGAACATGATTAGGTTACCCGTGGACGTGATCCATGACTTCCTGGGTACATGTGGTGCTGGAGGGTCTTGGGGGGGTAATCAGTTCTTGTGACCGCAATTTATGGACAATGGTTGTAGGTTTCCTTGATCCCTCTCAGAAGACGACGGGGATTCGATACTTTAGTCTTCGAGGAAGAGACAACCAACAAAGAGAAAGGAAATTGCAGAGGACCAAGCTGAAAGACGAAAGGAACCTAAGCAATCGAGACTCGGGCCCACCCATCTCTCCGAATCATCGGATGCCCGCTGAAGAGGAAGGAGAGGACCAAGTCGTCACAGCTTCCCCAACCACAGTTAAATTAGATAGTCAGCATGAGATACGGGGAAACTGTGGCAGAGAGAGAGGCGCCTTCCCAAAACCGAAAGCTAGGTACTAGGTACCTAACATAATCACAACTCGAGGCAGGGGGCATCTGGGTACCTCGTCTATACTTTGCCTCTATTCACCATTAGCCTGGTACGAGACCCATGCTCTGCTTAAACCCGCGCACAAGGTAACGCTGGGACTTGGGAGGAGGGGGCGGGGGGAGAAGCACAAGGTTTCTTTCAAGTCTCTTTCAGTTGAGAAAGGCCTCGAGTGAGGTTCCCTGTCTGCAGTGCCTGTCTGGCGTCAACTGCTGCTGCTGGCTGGCCAAGAATCCTGAGCGCATGAGGCACGCACTGGAGAGGCTCCATCCAGTCTTCTGAGGTGATCCAGCCGGGCACGCAGCGGGCAGCCGTGGGTGGCCCAGTCGTCGTCTCCTACTCGTTCCTAGTATACTTGTGTGTTCCGTGCTTTCCGCCCCCTCTTTCTCTTTCTTTTCCCTTCCTCCGTCCAGCATCGCTCCTTGATCCATAATCACCAGCACAGGGTACGCTCGCTCCCGGTTTTCTCTTGGGTTTCTCTCTCTTGGTGTTGAAGTTGGTGAGCCGGTTGAAGAAGAAGTTGAAGTTGAAAAGAAGTTTTGTTGCAGGTTGTCAGAGAGAGTCTCCGAGTTCTTGTTTGGGTATCTGTCTTCTTTTATCAAAGGTCAGTTCAAGCTGCTTTTCTTTTCTATCCCGTCACGCGGTGTCACGGTGTGTTGTGGTGCCTTCAAGTTGGTCTTCAAGTCTTGCCGCCATGGAGTCTGGTTGCCCTGTCTCAGGTCCCCCGTTTTCCCCCGCCCTCCCTTGTGGTACTGCTCGTCAAGCACGTTGACGACGACGACGACGACGACGACAACGACAACAACAACAACAACATCGACAAGACATATCAGAGACGAAAACTGGCCGACAAACATGCGCACACAATCAGCTTTGCCCTCGCTCCCTCTGGTTGTTGTCGCAAATCATGCGAGCACCATCTGCTTACCAAAACGACGGTCCAACCCCCACTTTACCGCGCATTATCGCATCATCGGCTAGCACCTTTTATTCGAGCATGACTGCACCTTGAGGCTTGAACCTCTGCCTTTCATACGCCACCACGACCACAGTCGGACATGGGAATTCCATTGCGCAAGCTCAGGTAACCGGTGTTACGCAAGACTCGATGCCCTCACGGTCCGCGAAATGCTGGGGCTCCCTGCTTCGCATTGTCCCAAGCAGCTGCTATGGTTACCTCGGCTGTCGGCGGCATTAATTCAGCGCATCCAACCGTTCAGGCGTCGAATCGGCAACTGAACCGTGACGGGCAGTGGTGCGACCTACACTGGGCACGACCATCTGCGTGCACTGTTCGGCGCCGGCTCGGACTTGAACCCTTCTTCCGGCGAGACTTGATATGTACAACGATGAGGGCTGGGCGCGGGGCACAGAAACTCGACCAAAAGGCGACCTGTCAAGATGCCGCCACAGCACTATTTCAACGGCAGCCAGATCTTCTCTAACATGACAACTTCGCAGACCCTCTATATATACATCAACCATCACCATGTCTTCCCTCTCTCGTCGCGCGTGCTACAAGTGTGGTGAGCTCGGCCACCACGCCGAGGCCTGCTCCTCCCCCCACAGACTCTGCTACAACTGTAAGTTAAACAGCCCGACCCCTCCTCCCGTCCCGCTTTTCGAACTTGAGCTAACACTGTGACACAGGCAAGCAGCCCAGTACGTCATTTCTCCGTCCCTGATTGGTAGCCTTATATCGCGATTCTCTAACCTTCCACCGGCAGACCACGAGTCCAGCGAATGCCCTCTTCCTCGTAGCACCGAGGCCAAGCAGTGCTACCACTGCCAGGGTCTCGGCCACGTCCAGGCTGACTGCCCTACCCTCCGCATCAGCGGTGCGGGTTCTACCAGCCGCTGCTACAACTGCGGCCAGCCCGGTCACTACATGGTACGAAGCTCGTGATGTCCGGTGACCCATCGTATGGCCCTCTAACCATGTTTTCTTCCCACAGCGCGCTTGCCCTAACCCTCCCACTGGCATCCCCCGCGGTGCTCCCGTTGGCCGTGGCGGCTTCGGCGGTTTCGGACGTGGTGGCTTTGCTGGCGGTGCTCGCCCCGCTACCTGCTACAAGTGCGGTGGCCCTAACCACTTTGCCCGTGACTGCCAGGCTCAGGCCATGAAGTGCTACGCCTGCGGCAAGCTCGGTCACATCTCCCGCGATTGCACCGCTCCCAACGGCGGTCCCCTCAACACTGCCGGCAAGACCTGCTACCAGTGCAGCGAGACCGGTCACATCTCGCGTGACTGCCCCAACAAGCCCCACACCAACGGCGAGATTAAGCAGGACGACCTGAACGCTGGCCACCCTGGTCAGGGTCTCGCTGCTGCCCCTGTTGCCCCTGTTGCCCCTGTGGCTTAGGAAGCTGAACAGACCAACGGTGACGGCGGAGCTCACACCAACGGTGACAGCGGTGCTTACATCAACGGTGATGTCGTTATTTACATCAGCGGTGATGACGGTGCTTACATCAACGGTGACGACCGTGTTGCAGTGAACGGGTTCTCGCACTAGCCATCATCCTTACCAACTTGTTATATTCCCTTCTTAATACGCTTATGTATGCCTTTACGAACGAATGAAGCGGTCAAAATCTCGGCGTCCACGGTTCTCGATATATACACCATCGGCTTCATGCTCTTTCAGCACAGAGACGCGACGGCACGGAAAACAAAACTTTCGGAATTGGAAGGTTTCCTCCACTTTTATGTCAGCTCACGTAGGCACTTCACGGCACGGTTTTACCTCTCACTTGGACACAACTTCATGATACCCCGAAATTGACGAAGCGGTGTGGGTCGACAAGATCAGGCCACTGCGGAGGATGATCTCGTCGTCAGTAGGTTGTTGGAAGGTGGCCCATGTTTGGAGGGGCGAGGGCTGGCTCGTTGGAGATCCTGTTGGTGGAAACGGCCAGCTCGGAGAAAATCAAAAAAGAGAGAGCAGAGCTTGAGGATGGAAGGCAGCAGGTTTTAAAGCAAAAGCCCGATGTGTGTGTGTTATCTTGGGTTACTCATGGGCTTAGGCGAAGAGATGTCAAATCCAGACGTATCAAACTACCTCCCGCTGACGTTATGTGTGTTGTGTGTGTTGTATGTGGTGAAGAGAGATGATAAGGGTGTGCAATGTCGAAGCGCTCGCTGAAGGTTTCTAAGCCGGAAACGGTTATATATGAGAATCCGCGGATTAACGAAGCACAAGACGATTTCGAGTTTGAATCGCGTTCGATCTGTCATTCACAACGAAGGCCCGTATCTTTCGAGGTGCGGTTGGTTGCCGTAGGTGTTGTGCAGCTAAAGAGACAAGAAAAACTATGGATTGAAGCACGTCGTCGGTAACACCAGAGAATGGTTCTTGAGTCCAAAGACAATTAATTAACTTGCGGTCGAAGATATCGCTATCTATAAACCTCGGTCTTCCAGCATCCTGCAATCTCGCAGGACGAGGACGATAGGCAAGAAAAAAAGACAAAGCTTTACGTCTATACATCTACCACGGGATGACTGCGACATTCGTAGCTTTATATTACCAAAAATAAGTTCAGAACTGTCCGTTGACTATCGTGGCAGTACAAACTAGCTCTTGTTTTCCCATAACCCAATGAGCCTTGCTCGCAGCAAAAAAATCCTTGGGAAATGAATTGTCAAAAATGGAAAAAAAAAAAAAAAGTTAGTTTTATTCATCACCATCCGTGATCGAAAACTCGAAAAAAAGAAGTTTTTTGGTGAATGCCCCCACGCGGGATTGAACCGCGGACCTCATCATATCGCAAATGTGGAATACGAGTGATGCGCTCTACCACTGAGCTATACGGGCTTTGTTGTTAGCATCATGTAAAACTCAGTAGTAAGTACCCATGCACACTAACTTTTTTTTTGGTTACAACACAACGTATGGTTGTGCACCCGGCAGGCAAGGGAATAACGCAACATCGTCCGTCAACATCAAGCCTTTTGTCCTCCCTTTCACAAATTTCTTATGATCTTGTTGTTGTCGTCGTGCTTTACGCAAATATGCAGTCAATACTTCTAACTTGATTGAGGACACGTTTGAGATTGGAAATTCCTTGACGACAACAGCAGTCTAGCTAGAGCATACATCTAAGTGTCTATCATATCCGCTGTTCGTCAGTTAGGTACCTTATCATGAAGGCGACAGCGGCGCGCCTAAAACAGAGCGTAACTTACCTAGGTACCTACTTAGACATCAGTACCTGGGTAGTACTACGGAAATGCGACAACATAAAACACCGGGCAGTTATAGCATACACATAGCCTGCCACGTACTCGACATGGGATGGAACTCAACAGCTGATTTGATTGACATGATGAATGAACGGAACTGCGTCCGAACAGCAGTACAAGTACCCAACGAGTGTAGGAATTACCCGAGCTGAGATTACTTTACTGATAAACCCAACCTCGGACGGACTGGTTCCAAACGGATCAACTACCTAGGGTTACAACAACAGAGTTATGAGCCGCTACGATTCGGATGGTGATAAACGTACCTACCTAGGAAGGTAGCTTCGGTTCGCCGCGCATGTGTACTTCTGACCTTTTTCCGGTGAAAGGGGACGAGGTCTTCATCTGGTATCATCTACAGACAACCTAGATAGTTAAGAATAATGTGCTCCTAGTAGTTCCAGGACCGGAATCGTTCGTCGGTGTACTCGCTAGGTATTTGAGGCTGATCACAGTCAATATCAAAGCTAGACCTGACGAATATACAAGTCCCAAGAAAGGTCCTCAAGTCGAGATGTGAGCCTTTCCATACATTCAGAACAAGCCGAATCAATTAATCATAACTTTCGAGCCTCAGACGAAGATAGGTAACCACCTGTCTCCCACTACCACCAAAAAAAACCAGATCAGGGAGGGGAAAAAAGGAGGGAAAAAAAAAAAAGTCAATGACAGCTAAGTAACGGATCTGGAGTAGGTGATGATGCTTAGACGCAAAAACACTTGCTACCTCGGAGGAGAAGCATCCGTCAAGAGTGAGTGAGTTCCGTCCGTAGGTATCCTACCACTTCGTGTTTTCATCTCCCTCGATACCGCTACATCTCCTTCCACTTCCATTTTCACTTCCACTTGCACTTACACTTCCACTTCCCACCCATTAATCCAATACATTTACGTACTTACTTAGGTAGCAACCAACGTCCAGTCTCTGTCAGATGTCGATGCCCAGCTGGACACTTCCGTTCAGTGTTCCATTGCTAGAGGTACCTATGTGGATCTTCAGAAAATGGATGTTTATAGGATTATTGGTATTTACTTTACAGGTAGGTAGACAAGAAGTGTCCCATACCAGGAACAGACAGATGGTGAAAACACATGTTGAATAAGGTAAGGCAAGGTAAAGTAGATGCTGATGGGGTAGGTCCTGTCTCTCTTATTGACTGATGTCTTGTACGTCTCACACTAGAGCGGTTTTTGATATTGATATCTCAAGCTCTTGCCTCGTGCTTCTTCTTCTTCTTTATGATTCGCGCGCTGATTGTGGGGTTGTGAAAATAACAGGCTTCATTCACTTTCCGTTGATACCATAGTATAGTAGGCAGTAATGTTTTGAATGAATGTCATATAATGTTAGTCTCCCAGATCTCTGATCTTGATTGAGTATATGACCAGGGTACTTAGATATCACTAACACTCCTGTATTGCAGGGGGTAGGAAGGAACTTATGAGCAGACATACCAGCACCATAATGCAGTATTCAAAGTCACATATTATATATGCCATTAGCACCCAATATTCAAATCACTTCCTCATCAAACCCCAAAGCATCCCACAAACCAACACACCAACCCCTACTCAACCCCCCTCTCAATCTTCAACGTGCCCCCCTTCCCATCCAAACTCCCCTCCTCCGCACTCAACCTAACCTTGACATACCTACTCTCCCTCTTCTTGGCCTCCAAACTCCTCAAATCCTCAAACCGTTCCCTCGCATCCTCATCCAAGCCATGGAACAACATGGCCAGCGCGCTCGTCTTCCACAAGCTCGCCCCGCTTCTCTTGGTCTCCCAGGCCGCCAACCCCAAGAACACCGCCGCGAGAATCACCGCCGTGACAGGCAACGCCACGAAGCCCCACCGCACGGAAACAAATGTTTCGTAGCTAAGCGAGGTGCCGTTGATGGGCACGGCAGTCAGGGTTCGAAAAGTAGAGGTGAGAGCGACGGCCAGATCGGACATGAGCATTTCTAGACCCTTGGGTGGGGACGAAGGGGAGGGGTATTCGTAGTAGTTCCAGTAAAAGGCCTGGACGATGTCGGTGTCGAAGAAGGTTTCGCCTGAGGAGATGCCGACCGTTAGGTTTACCACGACGTTGGGGGAGGAGTTTAGGGAAGGTAATTTGGAGATGGTCTGGTTGATGTAGTTGGGGTTACGGGAGGCGGTGCCGTTGGCGAATAATCGGGAAAACCAGGATTGCATGGCCAAGATGGATTGCATGGACATGGAGTAGGTGAGGGAAGAGTTGGTGGGGGATTGGATGGTTAGAGGCTCAAGGGCGTTGATGCTGCTGGAGAGGGAGGACAAAGAGGGGACTGTGTCGTTGGTGATGGGCTCGCCGAGATGGGATTCGTGGAGGAAGCCGTTGGTGATGTTGGAGGTCAAAGTTTGGAGGCAGACGGTAAGAGAACATTGTGTTGCCCAGGGGGCGAGGACGCCAGGGCCGGTGGCGTTGGTTTCGGTGCCCATGAAGATGAGTTTCATGATGGTGCTGTAAGTAGCGTCACCTGTGGCAGAGCCGGGAAAAAGAGAGGTCATGCCGAAGACGTGATCAGAGGAGTTGAGTTTGGCGGCGCCCGAAGGTAATTGCCAGCCGCAGTTGTCTTGATTAGAAATACCAGGAGGGCAGTACCGCGTCATGTACTCGGACATGTCGACGCACTTATGGCATACACCTAGGGTCTCGATGGGCGGAAATGTGCAGTTGCCTGTTGAACACTGAAAGGGCAAACCCATCCATGGCCTACCGTCCTCGGCGAAGAGACCTTTATACACGGCCGCCTTGATGGGCAGGATGGGAACAAAAGCCTGGCCGAGCTCTCCCTTGCCGTGAAGGGCGAGGCCGTACGTTTCGGTGCGGTAGTTGACTGCTCCGGACGGGTTCTCGACCATCCGCGTGGGAAAAGTAGCGATCTGCTGAGCAAAAGGGCTGAGAAACAGCGCAACGATCATCACCACGGCACCAAAACTACCCGCGAATCCGCCCCGCGCGCGGACGAGCATGTTCACGGCTCCGAGGGCGCCGCGGCTCGCGTCGTCGTAGATTTCCATGTCGCTTAGAGGGGCCCGGCCTTGCTTGAAGCGAATCCATTTTAGCTGTCCCAGCCCGCTTGATAGCGGGACACTCATGCTGGCTGTGGCGACGGTGGCTAGGATGGCAATTACGGCGTTGAGAGTGATCCAGTGAGGCCAGGAAGGAAGGGGTTGGCCGTCGTAGGTGGCTAGGACGGCGATGATGGAGGCGACGGCGCCCAGGGCGACCAGCATGCTGATGGTTTCGTAGGTCCAGGTGCCGTTTTTGGAAAAGATGGCTGAGAGCTTACTGTCGGACTTGGAGGAGGAAGTGCTCACGTTGGACTGTCGGTTGGTGTGCTTTCGTTGTTTCTCCCAGGAGGCTGGGGAGGCGGACATGGGAGAGACGGCGAAGGTTGCTGGTTGTTTGTTTGGAGAAAAACCATCTTGGGTGAGATATTGACCTTCGAAGGGCACTTGTTGGATCGGAGGGCTTTGGTAGTTGCCATTGTTGTATTGGTAGTCATAAAATTGCTGCTGGTCGGCGTATAGAGACTGTTGAACCGGGTGTATCTGGTCTGGTTGTTGAGGAACAATGCCGGCATTAGCGGCTTGCATGTCGTTGATGTTTACATATGGGATAGACTGGGGATTGTTGTGATTGTCATCCCCTGCTTGAGGCTCTATGGCCGCTGTGAGAGGAGTCAGGCTGTCTGCGCTTATTACGCGCTGATGACGAACTGGTTGATACGCCATTTTTTCGGTGTTGTTGTTGTTAAGAAGAAAAGGAGAAGAGTTGAAGAGGTATGGCACTTGGCAACCTCTCGTGGGACAGCAGACCCAACCGTAAACAACCGTTCCTATCAAATAGGGGTGTGTGTAACAGAAGAAGAAGAAGAGGAAGAAGAAACATCTTCTCAGAAAACGGGGAGGGAAGGACGGCAGACCAGACCATGGTTTTTGTATCCCATCCACTGTGCCCCCAAATGGGGTGAAGAGGCACACCATCAATCCTGCATCTTGGCAAGTAGCATCTTGTAACCCAAGCAAGCCATCGTCGATATGGCTTCACTCTTTTCGTCCTTGGCTGTCACCCACCCGCCACTCCTGGACTACCAGTTGAAGGACTCGAAGGGACGTTGTCAATCTTTTGTTCATGATGTCCCCCCATTTGGAAGGGAAGGCCGTTGATATCCCGCTTGACCCCCGCAACAGAGTGGTATCCAGTGGTACATACATATCCAACCGGTCTCTCGATTGAAATGATAAAAAAAAAAAAAAGATGGTGTGCCCGATAAAGTGAACGACACCTCTAGCTTCCCGGTTCTTGGTTCGTACCACAAACCCGTCCAACCCTACAGCACGTAAGACTGGAAGCTAGGTAGGTAGGTGGTGCGATGTGGTGGCCTTGAGGAGCTGGAGCTCGGTGGCCAAAAGTGAGGGAGGGTGTGGTGAGAAAACACATATGTCAAGGTCAGCAAGAAAGTGAGGAAAAACCGGGAATTTGGATACCTGGTTGGTGAGACTCGAAATCGCACACAATTAACGAATTGGAGGCCCGGCGGCGGCGGCCTGACGACCTACGAACGGCTCGGCTCACTCCGTTCTACCATTTGTGCGGACTGCCGGGAAACTGCGCCCCGCAGGTGCATCTGGGCTGCTGCATCGCGGCTGCCGTCGCACGAAGAAAGAAGGCAGTTCAGTCAAGGATGAAGGCTTCGCTCGCTTGCTTTTCTTCGTGATTCGATCGCCCAAGCGGTAGGTAGATTTAGAACAGGCGCGCCAAGTCCGGGGCTGAAAATAGCGGCAAATTTCTTCATGATGTTGTTGTTGTGAAACGATACCGATAAACATCCAAATAAAACATGCCGTCATATGAAATGGGCAAATCTCCGCCTCTAGTCTACCATATTATCTCGGTGATCTCGAATGACCGACTTGATGATTGTCGAAAGAGCAAGGCCACCAACCACAGCCTGGTACAATAACCGATCAACTCCATCGTCCTACCCCGTCCTACAATCTACCTAACCATCACCATCATCAACACCATCAATTCGACCATGAGGCCAGCCACTCACAGCCTCGAAGCCCAAGTCCCGTCCGCTCCAGTCTAGACCAACGCCGCAAAACCTTGTGAGCTGACGACATCATTGCACTACCGTGTCCCCCATCGGTCGGCTCTTTTTCGCCTTTCTAATGTGCTGCTGTGCTGCTGTGCAACTACCGCAATATGTGCCCGTCTACGTGGTGAGAGGTTACACGATGTCTCTGCTTCTTTGGATACCTTCACTTATCGTAAACCTTACCTCTACGTTAGGGTATTGGTGGCAAATTGGAAGTTGATCGTAGGTAGTTGTTCATAAGGCTGGCTGGCTGACTGGCTGGCTGTAAATGATGCCTTCATTTCCTTCCCTTCCCTCCCCTCCGAACATTGCTCTCACTTCACTTCCTACTTCTGAGGAGAATGAGATCTGAGCTGAATGAGCATACCTAGTAACAAGTGGAAACACGGTCATTGAAGCGACTGAATCTTGCGCCAAGAACGAACAAACACCCGGTTGCGAAGAAAAATGCCTGCTTCTGCTCCAAAGCTTCAAAACCGGACCTCAGGTGTCCAAGTTCATATAACCATCCCAACAGATCATCATCATACACCACATTACACCACATAAAGCCATGTAGTTGTTAACAAGACCGAGTAAACCCCTGATTGGACGGACACCCCTTTCAAAAGCACAAGAAGAGGGCCGAATACATGGCGTACATACCTCTACCGAGTAGTCTAGAGTAGAGAGTTATTTATAGACAACAAGAACTGTGTATACCGATTATGATAGGTCCACACTGGAATTTGAAGCTCAAGCTCGACGGAGGGACGGAGGAGGGTTACACAATATGTCATTGAGGCTGATTTTGTTGATACCTATACCCAAGAGCAAGACGAGGTGTCAAAAGAGATAACGAGTGCGTCGATCAGTAAACTGTTCATCATTTCGAGCAACGTAACTCTCTTGGGTTGACCTGGTATGCTTGTTGCGTGAGGTAGGTACGTGGGTACAAGCCACTTCGTCAACGTATAACCACCAAGGGTACCTACTTCCATGCCGATGATAACTTTGAGGGGTTCCCTCGTTTGATTTGATTTGATTTGATTTGATTTGATATAGCTCAAAGACCCAATTGAATCTGATATGGCTTGATAGCTCAGCTGAATTTGATATAGCTCTATAGCGCGGTTGCCTTCTACACGACAGGTTCAGCCAGCGAGGCTTTCCTCATCTTAAGATATAGCCGCATGATACCATCAAAGTATCCCAGTCAACTTTTCCCCTCAAGCGCCTTGGACTTTTTGGTCCATATCTTCCTCTATAGGTAACTTGTACAGTGATATCCACCATATGTCCATATGATGTGGAATGGAGTTCTAGTATGACCATATGACCATCCATCCACGTGTAGGTATCCGAGATACTTTTGCCAAAATGGTGTGACAAATCAAGCTGAAAGCAACAAGACAGCAACATGAATCCCCTGTCTCCAGTCATTTTTCAGACCCTCCTCACTCTCAAGCCTGGCTGGCGGCTTGTGTCTAAGCAGCAACCGTAACACTCGAAGCTGTAGCCGCCGCCTTCTCCCTCTGCTCCATCGCAATCGTAAAAATGCGCTGCCAAACTTCCAGCCAGCGCTCATGCTGCGCCGTCGGCAGCTTGCCAGGGTTCTTGAAGCTGCGCGCCATCACCTCCTTGAGTCGGGTCCTCAGCATCTTGACCACCAGCATCGTCTTCCAATCGGACACGGCAAAGCGGGCACGGTTACCGTCGAGCACGAGCACGCCCGAGTACATGTCAGCGCGGACGTCACCGCAGAGGAGGGCAACCGCGAATGGGTCCACGGCGGTGGTCTCGTGGGCGTTGTAGACGCTTCTGTTATCCAGTAAGTTAGCATCTGATAAGTATGGAGGTCAAGAGAGAAGAGGATGATGCAACGTACCCTTTGGTTTGCATGATATTATAATAACTCAACCACCGCAGCTCGTTATGGCCCTTGTTCACACTGCTAGGATGCAAGCTAATGTTCTGGTTGTTGCCCACGTTGCGCAGGCCCTTGCTGCCGGGCACATCCCTCACCAGGAGCTTGGGGTAGAAACTCCACGCGATTACCGACTGAGCAATCAGCTCATTGTCGCTGTTAATATTGACCCGCTGAGGGACCTCATAGAAGGCTTGGTACCGACGCTTTCCACCAAACCGGAGCCTGTTAAGCACCTGTCTCTCTTCAGTCGTAAGCTGCAGGAAGCCAGAGTCGGCAACCGACACGAGAAGTTGGCCCTTGAGATCCTCAATGTTCGCCAGCGTCTGGGGCGAGAGGAAGTTCTTCCGGCAGTACTGAAACTCGGCGCCACCGCTGGTCGACGACTGACAAACACGCTTCCAAGACTGGTATGCGTTGTAAACGGTCAGAAGGTCAGAGTCACCCTTGCGGAATCCCATCCGGACGGTGTTGGCTTGTTGACGCTGTCCAAACGGCGCAACAAAGGGGGACTTGGACGAAAGAATGGCGGCCACGGTAATGGCCATATCAAGACACTTGAAGATGGCGCCGAGAAGGATGAGCTTGCCCAGGAACACGTCGAGCGGTAAGCGGGCCAGCTGAATACCGAGCGGCGTGAGCTCCTCCGATGAGGCGGTAAGGGCACGAACATCGACAAGGGCATCAATGGCACGGCGAATGTTCTTTGCCGAAGGTGGGTCGAGCGCCTCACCCAAAGTCTCTTCAATACCACCAATCTTGCAAATCTTGACGCGAATAGCGAGATCCTGCAGTGAAAGACGCAGCATTTCGGGAGTTTGCTGGTCGCTCATGATGTTGTCATGGCGGTGCTTGGTGAACATGTGGAAGCAAAGACCCTCCTGGACACGACCGGCACGACCACGACGCTGCTTGGCGTTGGCACGCGAGATGAAGGTATCAATCAGTCGGGACAATTGTCGCCTTTCGTCGAATCTCATCTCACGATGCTTACCAGTGTCAATGACGCAGGTGACATCGGGAATGGTAATACCCGTCTCGGCAATGTTGGTAGCCAAGACAATTTTCCTCATACCGGGAGGAGGAACGAGGAAGGCGGCTTCCTGGTCCTCGGTAGCAATGGTAGAATGCAACGGGTACACCAGCCAGTGATCAGCAAAGGCTTTGTCACCGAGCAGCATGTCGTTGAGTGTCCGGATCTCAGCGATACCAGGCAAGAAGACCAGAATGGCTTTGCTGAAATCGACATAGTCAGGATGAGTGGCAATCGTAGTGATCAGCTGGACGATCAGGTCAAAGTCGATCTGATACTCGTCCATTTGCGCCAGCGTATTGCGAGTTCTGGCAGAGTAGTTCCTGAGCGACTGGATCAGCTCAGGTTTGGAAGACGTGTCAACCTCGGCATCCGCCTCGTCATCAAGCTCAGTAAGCTTCGATGCGACGGGATTCCGCTGATCGAGGGTATAACCCGTCAACTCAACGGCATCTTCCAAGTAGGCCACCTTGACGGGGAAGGTTCGGCCGGGAACGTTCAGAACTGGTGCTCCGCCCAGGTAGTTGGAGAAGCGCTCGGCATCCACGGTGGCTGACATGAGAACCACCTTGAGATCCTTTCTCCGAGCGAGCAACTTCTTGAGCACGATCAAGAGGAAGTCACTGTCGATGGAACGTTCATGCACTTCATCGAGAACCAGATGGGTGATCTCGTTGAGGTCATTAGAGCCCTCCAACATACGCATAACAATACCCGTGGTAGCGTAGACAAGGCGAGTTTCCCTCGAGGTGTTTGCCTCAAGACGGATCGAATAACCCACCAGAGACCGAGGTGTACCAAGGTCACCTCTACCTTCGCCAATTTCCTCGCTGACTCTCTTGGCCAAAGAGAGAGCCGAAATACGACGAGGTTCCGTGCAGTAAATCTTGCAGTTTCTGCCCTTCATGAGCTGATCCTCCAGCAGGAAAGAGGGGACCTGTGTACTCTTTCCGCAACCAGTCTCTCCGCAAATGATCACCACCTGTTCTCTCTCGACAGTGTCGACAACCTGTTGCCGGAACTGCCACATGGGAAGCTGCATGCGAGACGCCAGCATTTGCTGGAACCTAGGCGTGCTGGCCTTTTGCAACCAGATTCTCTGGTAATACTCGGGGTCCTGGGCGTTGCGCTTTGCCCGCTCATGGTCCGATTCCGAGTCTGTCTGAGTCCGGGACTGGCCACGACCCTTGAAAGCACCCTGAATAATGACACCGTCCTCCAGTTCCTGGTCCATCCGCTTCCGAACCAGATCACGCAAGTGTTTCACGACCGCGCGGTCTGCCTCGTCAGCCTTGCTCTTCCGGGCTTCGGCCATTTCTGACCAAAGATCCTTCCAGGCGACAGGCAGCCTCATGGCCACCTTTTCTTCCTTGGCTGAAGAGCTAAAAATGAGGAACAAGGCGATAGTGGCAATGTATGCCTCGGACTGCTTCGCATCAGGCGTGGCGATGGACACCATCTTGAACACAAACTGCGTGGGCGCCGTGAAGACCTCGATGTCATCCGAATCCGGAGGAGCGGGGATCTCCTGGGGCTTGGACCAGAGAATCTTGACGGCATGTCTGCTGGCAAAGGAAACGTCCGACAAAACATGATACGAGATCTTGACAGCATTGTCCCTAGACCGACAAGCCTCCTCTAGCGCACGCATGGGGCTCACGCCAGTCCACTTTCCAAAGTCCCTGATCTGAATCCTGGAACCATCGGCATTGTTCATGACCGTGTTTGTCTTTCCGGTGGTGGGATCAACCTCATTTACGGGAAGGCTGGCAAACAGACCGGCAAGAGCCTCGTCATCATCCTCGGGGTTCTCGGCAAGAAGTTCTGCGGCCATGCGCTCCGCTTCAGCAGCAATATCGTCCACCTCGGTTGACGCAGGCGTTTCCTCTTGGGCCTGTTTCTTTTCCTCTTGTTCCTCCTCCACTTGCTTCTTCTTGTTGGCCGCATAGTCCTTTTCCAAGTCGATCTTCTTGTCTCTCCATTGTTGCTCGGCAACATACTTGTCAAACAAGATATCCTTTTCGACTCGCTCGATCTTGGCCAGCAGAAGGGCCTCTTCTGGATCACTCGGGTTTGCCTCGGCCTTGCCCTTCTTGCCCTTTGCGGTGTCCAGGCGGGGGCGTTGGATTTCGAACAGTTTGGTCTTGGTTTCCAGGTAGAAGGGGAGCAATTGATCGGGCTCAATGTACTCGTCAAAAACCACCTTTGATCGTTTCGGAGAAGGGGCTCGGGATGACCGGGAGGTTTGATTGTTCTTGGCCTTCTTGCCGCGCGGGCCTAGCTCGGGAAGTTGAGGGGTGACTGCGCCGGACGGGAGAGGTGTTTCCGAGGGGGTGTCTGCAGCAGGAAATTTGTTAGATCAATAACAGGAGAGAGGGTGCGGATGTGTTGGTGTCCACGTACCTATCTGGGACTTCTTTGCGCGACCACTGTAATCAGGGAGCTCCTCCTTGGAACACTCTCTTGCTAGCCAATCCAGCACTTCGTCGAGACCCCAGACGGAATCGCTCTTAACCGTGGAGGAAATATTGGGAGCAATGTCCAAGGCAAACTGTAGTGCGGGCTGGATCCTTTCTTGTGGGAAATCGGCGCCCTCGAGAGTCTGTTGGAGGGTCCATAGCTTGATGATGAGGTCTTCCTCTGGGGGCAATCTGCTAGTTGCGCCCTCGGAGGTAAGACTGGAAGCAGCAAAGCGACTTTCGGCCTGGATCAGGTCCAGGACATGGTCCATCAAGTCTTGAGGCAGCCACTTTTTCGCATTGACGGAATCGGCCTGGCCTCGTAGCAGACGTCTGTCGGTTTCGAGACGGGTCTTTTGGCGCAGCGCATCTCGGCGCACCTTGGGCGCATATTTCTCGACCAACAACTGTAACTCGGACTCTTCCAGCTGGCGCTCGAACTCTTCTGGGCTCAAGGTCTTTTCTGGGGCAGCCTTGGCGGCCTCTGTGGGAGCGGTCGTTCCGTTGGTCGCGGGGGCATCTTTGGATGCTTGGACATTGTTCTTGGTGGTATCGTTGTTGTTGCTGTTGTTGGGTTTTGGTGGCACAACGTCTTCGGCGGCCTCTCTCGGCTTGGAAGGAAGGGACGTGGTAGCAAAACCACGGGCTGGGTTGGCCGCGGGCTTCTTGGACTTTTTCTTGCCAGCCATGGTGCTGCCGTACTCGGTATGGTCTCTTTCGGGTCTCCTTGTAAGGTGTAGGCAGGTATAGGTACGCAAAGGCGTTTGTGTAGAGGTAGTTCAGTTGGATATCAAAGGCGGCGGTGGTGGTAAGCCGAAGGGGCCCGGTCGATAAAAGATGCAACAGTCGTAGAGATGGCCCAAATAGTAGTTGGTTTTACTATGCAAGGAGAGAGAGGGTCAGGTAGCGCGACAGCCCGGAGGACAACGGCATGAGAAGAACTGGAGCCCTGGGGGGCAAGATGGGCAAGTGGAGGTTTCCTTTCAGTTCTTTGCTGTTTCGGCTTTGGGGACTCGGAGTCGCCCCAGCCTCGGTTCGGGATGAGGTACCTCTCTCTCTATTCTAGAGGCGGACCTTAACGATGGACGCTCTGCGCAAGGGCCTGGCGTTTGCGAGGGGTGTATTGGAGTGACTCGGGAAACTGAAGTTGCTGATATATGTAGTCTTCAGTCTTGAACCCGAATCTGTGGTGATCTGGCGATCTGGCGATATTCAGGTGGTGAGCCCAACCTGACGTTGAAGCTGTCGTCTTGTACTGTTTGGGTTGTTGTGATACTTGACACAAAGTACCGACTGTGCTTGATTGAAAAAGTGACAGCGACGAGAGACAACTGAATCAGTCACTGTCCACAACCCAGTGGTTGTTCCCCAGTCCCGCTGTCGTCAGCCCACTGTGGGAGCTTAGGTAGTAGTGTAGGTTCCTCCTGGGCCCTGGCTGACAGTGGCTGGGCAGAAAAACATCGACCGCCTGCAGTTTTCAGAGAGCTGACCCCGCTATGTCCATCACTCAGACAGCGGCCTGTTGGAGTGAGTGAGATAATCTGACAGTGTTCAAGTAGTGTACTTCGGCGTGTGTTTGACAAGGAAGAGGAGTGTCCCCCTCTGCAAGAAATTGGGTTAGATTAGCCCAAATGAGCAACCAGCTTTAAATTGAGCTTAGCATCAGATCTTTGACGGATTAAATTATCCCTTGCTTTGTGAGCTGTTGTTGTGATGGTGGGAGCTTGAGCCTCACTTGCTTGGTCGTGTCGAAAGTTCAGTTGACTTCAGTTAGGTTGTCTTGGTACACAGACAAGATGGCAAAAGAGGAAGGTCGGATAGTGGCAATAAGCGACGGGACGGAATGCTCTAGTAAAAGCTTCTTCGCTGAAAAGAAAGGACGACAGGGGACTCTGCCGCTGAGACGAAATCCATGGCCAAAGTGGAAGTGGGGTCCCCTCAATATTTTCTGGGGCAGGCCACCTGCAAAAGTGGAAACCCCAATCGCATCGCAGACTGCAGTGTTTGGTGGGTGGAGGACGGGACTGGAGCCGCCCTCACCACCAACGGAAAACAGTTCTACGCTACGTCGTGGGTTGTAGATTGGAGCTCTGCCAACGACTGCCTCTTCCAGACCTTTTTTGACAGGTACCTGCCTACCTCTCTACCTACCTCTACCACCACCACCACACCTTCATACCTACCTCTACATTCTTTGGTCAGGTACCAACTACCCACTTCAACACCGACCGGGCACTACGACCTCCCGCGGGCCAGCAAAAGAAGAGGAGCGACACTCGTTCATAACTCCGGTCCGGTCCAGTCCATTGTGTCGTGTGTGTCGACCACATCGATCCTCAAGGGAAACGACGAGACAGAGGTTTACGCTGCGCCAACCCTCGACGACGAGCTACTACTCATCTACCCTCCCGAGTCCGAGCTGCCCGACCATGTTCCGTTAAGCCTCGACCCCCACATTAGAGACTTCAACAAATAATACTTACCTCTACCCACCCGACATCATGTCTGAAGACGCCGCCTCGCCCGCCGCCGCGAGCACCCCCAGCAATGCGCCCGCCGACTTTGATCTCGTAGCCGCAAAGGCTGCTCTGACCTCCTCGTCCACCTCGGCGCGGATTTCCCAGTTACGCTCCATCGAGGAGAAGCTGTCCCAAAAATGTAAGAGAGAACTATACCTTTGGCAGCTAGATACTTTTTAGCTACCTTGAGACTTGAAAGATCAACAGGCTAACTCTCTGCTCCTGCGCCCTCTCTCCCACCAGCCCTCGACCGACCAACAACTCTCGCCGTCCTCAAGGTTCTCTTCTGGACCCACGACTTTTACCACGATCGCCCTTCTCGTGCCGCCGTCCAGAAATGCTTGGTAGCGCTCGCCCAGAACGGAGAGCCCGAGATTCTTACGCCTCTGGTCGCCGCCATCGGTCAGGAAATCAAAAAGGGTGCCATTGCGCCTGGCAGCGCCTTTACCTTGGTCGAATGGTGCAGCCTGTTGGTTCAGAACTTGGCCAGTACTCCCATGTGGGAAAAGTTTGGAAAGGATCTCACCCTGTCCCTTGCTGAGGTGCTGGAAAAGTGCTGCCAGCCTACTTCCAGGGGAACCGTCAGCAAGTCCGCCCTCGTCATTACCCGCCGCGGCTTGAGGAAACTGGCGGCTGGAGATGACAGGGAAAAGGTCATTGAGGAGGCTGTCAAGGCCCTTGCTGCCAAGGGAACCCAGCCTACGGCCAAGTATGCCGTCCTGCTCGGTGTCATTGCTGGTGTCTGCTCCAGGAAACAGGAAGCCGCCCCCATCATCGAGAAGCTCAAGAGCCAGTACTTTACCTTTTATACCCGCGAAATTGTTGGTTCCAGGACACAGGTCCCCCCACACCAGGCTGCTGCTTTGTCCGATTTCTTCTCGAGCTTCGTCACTCTGGAGGATCTCGACAAGGAGGTCTTCCCGTCGTTGGAGAAGGGTCTGCTCAGAGCCCCTGAGGTGGTGCTCAACGACCTCATCACTCCTCTTGTCGGCGCCCTGCCACAAGACTTTGATCTTTCCGCTGCCCTGCACGGAAGGTTTGTAAAGCCTCTGCTCAACAACGTCAAATCTTCCAATGCCGTCATTCGCAGTGGCGCTGTCACCGTTTTCAAGGGCCTCGCTGCCCGGAGCAAGGACGTTGCCCTTCTTGAAAAGGTGGCTGATGAGGTTCTTAACCCACTAAAGACCGGAAAGCTCGCCTCTGCTGACCACAGAGTACTTCACTCCGAGATGCTTGTTGCCTTGGTGGTGTCTACGGGTATTGCCAACAAGATTGCCAACGGCCTCCCTCTGGTAACAGGAAAGGAAGGTAACGAGGCAGCCTTGAGCGCCGAGACTGTTGCTCTCAACGCCAGCGCAGTCTATCTTTTGAATGCCGGCGAGGAGGTACCAAAGCCTCTTGCTGATGCCTACGTCAAGGGGCTAGGCGAAAAGAAGCTGCCTGTCAGACGCACTTGGATTCTTCGCGCTGGTGATATTCTCTATGCCTTCAACAAGGAGAGCCAAGAAACCCTGCCGGCCAACTTCATCAAGTTCGCCGAGGCTATCGTTACTCCCCTGGGAACTACTTTTGCCGAGGTTGTCGCGAACCCTGCCACTGCTGCTCAGAACGGTACTGTTACCGGCGCTCTTGTTTTTTGCGCTGTCGAGTCGCTGATTCGGAGGGCGGAGAGCTCCACTTTTGAGGCCGTCTACAAGAAGGCCAATATCCAAAAAAACAGCTTGGCCGTTAACCCCAAGCCGTCCTACCTGTTCAACCCCAGGATATACGGCAAGTTTGCCGATGAGGATCTCAAGTGGCTGACAAGCGCCTTGTGTGCTGTTGCGCCTTTCCTCAACGGTGTTGGTCTCCCGGAGAGGGTCGCTTGGGCCCAGGCCTTTATCTACGTGATCAGCTCGGCTGCCACTGGCCCCGAGGTCCGCCGCGATGCCATTGACGCTCTTTCCACCCTCTATGCTCAGTCCTCCGCCAAGGCCGAGGGGCCATCAGCTCTCCTCACCGAAACCATTGTCGAAGGTCTTTGGCACTGGATTGAGGCGACCGAGGCAGCTGACAAGGAAAGTGCGGCGGCTTTGGCCAAGACTGGAACCTCCAACCTCCACCTCGTTCTCAAGGCTATCTGCTTGAAGCCCGAGGAGTACCAGAAGCGTGCTGGTGCGGAGCCTGACAAGACCAAGCTCGAATCCCAAATGTGCTCTCTGCTTGTTCTCGCCAAGTCGCAGCTCATCCCCAGGGCGAGCTGGATCGATCTCTGCTTGAAGGTGGAGACCGATCCTGGTGGGCTTGCCAGGAAGTACGAGCAGCGTTTGCTTGATGAGATCGTCAACAGGACACTCTACGAGCAAAAGGCCGAGGCTGTTAGGCTGGCGGCATACAATGCGGCTGCCGAGCTTGTTTTCGTCGCCCCTGAGACTATGACTCCTCGCATTGTCGACCTCATCCAACAGAACCTCAAGGTCTCTGAGGTCCAGTCCGTTGGCCCTCTCGAGGCGGCCATCTTCCGTACGCCTGAAGGAACCGCCTTCGTCGATGTGCTGGCCAAGAAACAGAACGTCGTTCCCAACAAGAATGATCCCAACTACCACACTCTCAAGTGGGAGGAGGAGCTTCGTGAGCAGATTGCTCAGAAGAAGGGAGTGCAAAAGAAGCTCACAGCGGAAGAAAACGCCAAAGTCAATGCTCAGCTCAAGAAGGAAGCGGAGATCCGCGAGAGCGTTAGGCACGTCGCGGCCAACCTCTTGCGTGGCTTTGGCATTGTCAAGGCTCTCGCTACTGGTCCTCCCACTGATGCCAGCCGCTGGATGGGTCCCGCGGTCAAGGCTACCCTTAGTGTCATCGATGCTGGTGCAACTCTCATCACCGGTGAGGCCGGTCCTCTGGCTTTCATCTCTTGCTCAGAGTGCGTCACGTCTCGTGTTGGCCCTATCCGCCCCTTCATTGGTGTCGCTACCCTCAGGGCGCATAATGTGTCCGCGCTCCCGGAGAACCTTACCGAGGAACCTTTTGACGATCTTATCACTCGTGCTCTCTATCGTCTCAGGTTCGCCGGTGAACAGCGCCCGTTCGATGTTATCTCACTCATTTACATGCTCCCGCTCATCCTCCTCGTCCTCGAGAAGGGTGGCTTCGGTTCCAATGCCGATGATAAGGATGCCACGCTCGTCCTGGCCATCGAGTTCCTTTCCTTCCACACCGATGTCTATGCTGACGAGGCCACCCCACGCGCTGAGATTCTTTCCACGTTGATCACCTCGATGCAAAACTACAACCAGCACTACAAGATCATCAAGGACTGCTTCTCCGACATGGTCCGCTGCATCGCTCCCAACATTTCTGCTGAGGAGATTGCCGTTCTTTCCCGCGGTGCCATTGTGCCTCAGGTCGCCGTTCGCACTGCGGCTCTGCAAGCCATCAGTTCCGATGTTGACATGAGTGAGCTCTCCACCTCGGAAGAGATTTGGCTTGCTTGCCACGACGATGTTCCGGAGAACGCTGACCTTGGTCGTGATATCTGGGAGGAGAGCGAATTCCAGGTCACCGAGGAACTTGCCTTCAAGATGCTGCCCTACTTGGAAAGCAAGGATGGCCAGCTTCGCCGTGCCGCTGCTAAGGGTCTGGCTGAGGCGCTCGGGCAAAACCTCTCAGCCGTCAACCCCATCCTTGAGAAGCTGAGGGAGTCCTACACTGAGCTCGCCAAGCCTCGTCTTCCCGAGCTTGATGAGTTTGGCATGCCCAAGAAGAAGGACCTTTCTGACCCCTGGGAAGCGAGACAAGGCCTTGCCCTAGCCTTCCAGGGTATTGCACCATTGCTCCAGAAGAACCAGCTCGAGCCTTTCTTTGCCTTCCTCATTGACAACGGCCCCTTGGGTGACCAGAACGGTAACGTCAGAGCCCAGATGTTGGAGGCTGCCAATACTGCCATCGAGATTCACGGCAAGTCCATCCTGGACAAGCTCATGAAGACTTTCGAGAAGACCCTTGAGGCTCCCGACAAGGGTACTGCTTTCGCGGATCGTGTCAACGAGGCTGTCATCATTATGTACGGTGCGCTGGCCCGCCATCTGAAGCACGGCGATGCCAAGATCCCTGTGGTTATTGACAGGTTGATTGCCACCCTGAGCACCCCCTCTGAGACTGTCCAGTATGCTATCGCCGAGTGTCTCCCACCTCTTGTCCGCACCTGCGGAGACAAGTCCAACAAGTACATTGAGCAGGTCATTGAGACTTTGATGACTTCCAAGGATTACGCTGTTCAGCGTGGTGCCGCCTACGGTCTTGCCGGTCTTATCCTTGGCCGTGGTGTTAACTCGCTCAAGGAGCACCGTATCTTGATCACTCTCAGAAGTGCCCTCGAGAACAAGAAGGAGGTCAACCAGCGCGAGTCTGCCATGATTGCTTTGGAGCTTCTGTCCACCATCCTAGGCAGACTGTTTGAGCCCTACGTCATCCAGATCGTTCCGCAACTGCTTGCTGGCTTCGGTGATAGCAACCCAAATGTCCGTGAAGCCGCGTTGCATGCTGCCAAGTCTTGCTTTGCCAAGCTCAGCTCCTTCGGTGTCAAAAAGATTCTCCCTACCCTTCTCGATGGTCTTGACGAGGACCAATGGAGATCCAAGAAGGGTGCTTGCGACTTGCTCGGTGCCATGGCCTACCTTGATCCCCAGCAGCTGGCTCAGAGTCTGCCGGAGATCATTCCTCCCCTTACCGCTGTCCTGAACGACAGTCACAAGGAGGTCAGACTTGCCGCCAACAAGAGCTTGAAGAGATTCGGCGAGGTTATCGAGAACCCCGAAATTCACAGCCTTGTCGACATCCTGCTCAAGGCTCTCAGTGACCCTACCAAGTACACCGACGAAGCCTTGGACGCCCTCATTAAGGTTCAGTTCGTCCATTACCTTGATGCCCCCTCGCTGGCTCTTGTCAGCCGTATCCTGCAGCGCGGTCTCGGCGATCGTTCCAACACCAAGCGCAAGGCTGCGCAGGTCATTGGCAGTCTTGCCCATCTCACAGAGCGCAAGGATCTCGTCGCTCACTTGCCTGTTCTCGTTGCCGGTCTTAAGATTGCCATCGTCGACCCCGTGCCGACTACTCGCGCTACCGCCTCCAGAGCCCTCGGATCTTTGGTCGAGAAGTTGGGCGAAGACGCTTTGCCGGACCTCATTCCGGGTCTTATGCAGACCCTCAAGTCCGACACTGGCGCCGGAGACAGACTTGGTTCCGCACAGGCCCTTTCCGAGGTCCTCGCTGGTCTGGGTACTTCCAGACTCGAGGAGACTCTGCCTACCATCCTGCAGAACGTCGAATCCTCCAAGCCTGCTGTTCGCGAGGGTTTCATGTCGCTCTTCATCTTCTTGCCTGTCTGCTTCGGAAACAGCTTCGCCAACTACTTGGCCAAGATCATTCCTCCTATTTTGTCTGGTCTTGCTGATGATGTCGAGACTATCAGAGATACTGCCCTCCGTGCTGGTCGTCTCTTGGTTAAGAACTTTGCCGTTAGAGCTGTCGATCTCTTGCTGCCCGAGCTTGAGCGTGGTCTCGCTGATGACAGCTACCGTATCCGTCTCAGCTCCGTCGAGCTCGTTGGCGATCTGTTGTTCAACCTTACCGGTGTCAAGGTCACCGATGGTGAAGATGAAGAAGAGGATATCGAAACTGTCAAGGAAGCTGGTGCTTCTCTCCGTGAGATCCTCGGAGAGGAGAAGCGCAACAAGGTCCTGTCCTCGCTCTACATCTGCCGTTGCGACACCTCGGGTGCCGTCCGCTCCGCTGCTGTCAGTGTGTGGAAGGCTCTTGTCCACAGTCCTCGCATTCTTAAGGAGCTTGTGCCCACTCTCACTCAGCTCATTATCCGCCGTCTCGGCAGCTCCAACATGGAGCACAAGATTATTGCCAGCAATGCTTTGGGCGAGCTGATAAGGAAGGCTGGCGATGGCGTTCTGGCGACACTCTTGCCCACTCTCGAGGAAGGTCTCCAGACCTCGAGCGATGTTGATGCCAGACAGGGTATCTGCCTTGCCCTCAAGGAGCTCATCGCTTCTGCCTCTCCCGAGGCCCTCGAGGATCACGAGAAGACGCTCATCTCGGTTGTGCGTACCGCGCTTACCGACCGCGACGAAGATGTCAGAGAAGCCGCCGCCGAGGCCTTCGATTCCTTGCAGCAGATTCTCGGCAAGCGTGCGGTCGAAGAGGTTATGCCCTTCCTTCTCACCCTTCTCGCCAATGAGGAGGAGGCTGAGAACGCTCTTGCGGCTCTGCTCACCTTGCTTACCGAGACTACTCGCTCCAACATGATTCTGCCAAACCTCATTCCCAGCCTCATCAAGCCTCCTATTTCTTCTTTCAACGCCAAGGCGTTGGCTTCGTTGTCCAAGGTTGCCGGCGCGGCTATGAACCGTCGCCTGCCCAGCATCATCAACTCGCTTATGGATAACATTATCAACTGCACTGACGATACCCTCCGCGAGGAGCTTGATGAGTCGTTCGACACTGTCATCCTGTCCATTGACGAGTACGACGGTCTCAACATGGTTATGCAGACCTTGCTGCAGCTTCTCAAGCACGACGATCACCGCAGAAGAGCGTCTACCGCGTTCCACCTGTCCAAGTTCTTTGCTTCGGCCGATGTGGACTACTCGCGCTACAACCAGGATATCATCCGCTCTCTCCTGCTCTCGTTCGATGATAGGGACATGGACGTGGTCAAGTCTGCCTGGAGCGCGCTTAGCGAGTTCACCAAGAAGCTTAGGAAGGAAGACATGGAGAACTTGGTCATCTCTACTCGCCAGACTCTTCTTCAGGTCGGCGTTGCCGGCGTCAACCTGCGCGGCTTCGAGCTGCCCAAGGGTATCAACGCCATTCTCCCGATTTTCCTGCAGGGTCTTATGAATGGCTCGGCAGATCAGAGAGTGGCTTCGGCCCTTGCCATCTCGGACATTGTCGACCGGACCAGCGAGGCCTCGCTCAAGCCGTTTGTCACGCAGATTACCGGTCCGCTCATTCGTGTCGTTTCCGAACGCTCTACCGAGGTCAAGTCCGCCATTCTGCTTACCCTCAACAACTTGCTCGAGAAGATGCCTACGGCGCTCAAGCCCTTCCTGCCGCAGCTGCAGCGTACTTTCGCCAAGTCGCTGGCCGACACCTCCAGCGACGTGCTCCGCAGTCGTGCCGCCAAGGCTCTGGGTACTCTTATCAAGTTTACTCCCCGCGTGGATCCTTTGATTGCCGAGCTGGTGACGGGCTCCAAGACTTCCGACGCCGGCGTCAAGACGGCCATGCTCAAGGCCCTGTACGAGGTCATCAGCAAGGCCGGCGCCAACATGGGCGAGGGCTCTCGCACCGCCGTCCTCGGTCTTATTGATACCGAGGCGGACGAGCGCGACGACACCATGACCATCACCTACGCCAAGCTGTTTGGTGCCCTTGTCAAGAACGTCTCGGACGAGGTGGCTGCCCAGCTTCTCAAGAACAGAGTCCTGACCAGGGACTTTAGCAACTCGAGTGTTCTGGCTTTGAACGCCGTCCTGCTGGAGAGCCCTGAGACCCTCTTGGATTCTTCGTTGGTGGATGACTTGCCTGAGCTTTTGTGCCAGGGCATGGCAAGCAAGAACGTGAGTCTTTGTTTTTCCTTCCCACCTCCCTTTCCGTCTCCCCTTCCATCTCCCTCCCCATGCAAGCAAGGACCCTCACTAATTCATCTCTAGACCTTCATAACCGAAAACTTCATTCTCGCCACCGGCAAATACCTCCTGTCCCCCGTGCCCAAATCCTTCGAAGCAACCAAACCCCTCTTCACCACCATCTCCACCCTCCTTCCACCGGGCCAACCGACCGACTCGCGCCGTCTCGCCCTCGTCCTTGTTCGTACACTGGCGCGCACCAACCCCGACCTCGTCCGTCCCCATCTGGCTCTACTCGCCCCGCCCGTCTTCGCCTCGGTGCGCGACATGGTCATCCCCGTCAAGTTGGCCGCCGAAGCCGCTTTCGTCCAGCTTTTCGCGGTGGCGGATGAGGAAAGCAAGGTGTTTGAAAAGTACTTGGAATCTCAAGAAGGAAATATGGCGCCGAACGTCAAGAGGAGCATGCAAGATTACTTTAAGCGCGTGGCACTTCGTTTGGGTGCGCAGGTGCGCGAGCGCAGAGAGGCCGAGGGTGGAACGGGTGGATTGGGATTGAGCAATGATGAGGTGGAGGATGAGAAGGAGTTGATGAGTGTTGGACGGGTGGATGTTGCGGGTGGGGGGGAGATGTTTGATTAGTTTGTGGAAGAAGAAGAAGAAGGAGATGGAGTAGAAAAAGGAAAGCGGAAGGGAAAAGAGGTGAAGGAGGAAAAAAAAAAAGGAAAGCGAAAAGAAAGCCGGATGGGTAAAAAGTGTTTTCTTTATATCTCTCTGCTGTACATTAGATAGAATTGTTGTGAAATAAGCGGTATGAAAAGTAATGTTATGTCTTCTAGCGTGTATTTCGGTTGATGATGCCTGCAAGGTGTTTGGTTGGTTGGATGATCTTGTTCAGGAGGCGGTGGAGGATGATGCCCCTGAGTGAAGCGAAATGCGAAATGGCGGACGGTTATCGTGCGGTCTGATGATCAGCGTCAAGCATACAGCATGCAGTTGAATAAAAGAATTGATAGCTTAAAGCTAGATGTGTACACTACCTTGCGTACGCTACACTTGTTGAAGAAGAAATATGTGATGATTTGGATGGTGTGCTGTTGTGGTTGATGTTGATACATGTGGTTACCTAGCTAATGTACTTGTAGGTAGGTATATAGGTAGGTAGGTAGGTATGAACGGCGCTAACGATGAACGAGGCCAAAAATCGCCTCTATAGTAAGGCATCCCAAGGGGTATGAACATCATCAAGCAGACAGACATCAGAATCACTTCGACCTTTCTTTCTTTTTTTTCTGGGATATTTTCTTTCATTGCATCGTCAATTCCATCATTGCTTTTGTATTCATTCAACACGTTACCCTCTTTCTTCCTCTTATCTATCAAGTTTGTTGCTCCATGCTTACCTACCCACGTACCTTCACACTAAACAATCGTTACGATATACAAACTTCTCTAGTGTACTATGCAGTAGATCATTACTTACTCGTGTCTCTTGTCTCTTGAGTTTCTTATCTCTCGAGTCTATACAATTTCCCAACTACTTTTCCCCCGCAGTGCAGTAGTCCTGTCTACTTACCTGGTAAACTAGCAGGTAGACCTGCGCGTGCTGCAGCGTTCGTTCGTTCGTTCGTCGAATGTTGACACAAGGGATACCTACACCACAACATATAGCATATCATAGCATAAGCATCCGTTAAAGTTACTGGCTGGCAACACGCCCTAATGTGCTTACCTCGGTAGTGTTGTATTTTTTTCCTTTTTTCCCACATGCTTCGTGTATAGTATGGAAAGGCAGATGGCAGTGGAGTTAATTCAGTTGTTGATGTGTTGTGGTTGATAGAGGATGAGGATTGGAAGTTGAAGGGAGTTCACGAGATGCCCTTCAGTTGACAGAGCGACATCGTACTGGCAACACTTGGGTAATGGGAGTTATCCATCCTACCGCTTTGATACATATGGTCGTAGTTATGATTCTCTCACGAAATATCACCGGTGGACCATACATAGGCTCTATATAGTTCGTCAGTATGGCCTTCATTGTTTTTCCTGTCTTCTTTCGGTCTTGGTTCAAGGGGCAAAGCCAGGACATCTAGCAGATGCGTTCTTGAAGAATGTTGTCTTCCGGTAAAGCCAACATGAAAACCAGCAACTCTGATGGCCAGTCGCGCCACTGACATCGGATGTACTACTGCTGGGCGAGCTCCTTTTTATCTTTTTCCGTAAGGCCGGTGGACTGCTGTATCAAACACAATCATAATGAATCATCATGAGACAAATGTGCTGCTGGTCCAATCGCTTCCAGTTGGTCCCGTGATGCCGTATAAGTGGCAGACCAAGTCGCATGCAATCCGCTAACAACAAGTGCTGAGAAGTGCTGCGACACTTGCTAACGGTCTGCACAACGCTACTGATTTTGCCACCCGGACATTAACGACCGGCAAAATTACCGTCACGCCGACACTGCTGTCAGGTTTTGAAAGCAAAGGGAAAGTACGAGGCAATACACGGGCAAAGTGAAGGCACCGGGAGGCGTGGAATGATGTTTGGTGTTTGATGAGTGAATGGCAATTACAGTCACTGCAGTTTCCGCTGCTGCTGCTAGAGTCCGTTCAGTGCACGTGACCCGCCCCGTGACAGCCCTCACTAACCCTCGCCAATGGCAGGCATCGCTGGGTCCCCACCCGGCGAAACCCACAAACTGGTGGTGTGAGAAATTCTAAGATTCCGACCTTCCCCCTCAGCCCGTGGAAATTTCAATCCATCGTCAACCAGACCCGACCATCCACGCAGAAATCCGTCAAGATGTGAGTAGCATCGTCATGCCGTCCCGTTCGTTCGCGAAATGAGAAAAATTGGCTGCCGGGACGAGCATTTTGGCGATTCTGAGGGAGGAATGAAGCCTTTCCAACAAATGAACACAAACGAGGGTTTCTTTGTCGTTTGCGTCAGAATCGCCAAAACTGGTTGTCCCCGGCAGTGCAGTCCATGATGCTCATCACCATCCATCCATCAATCACCACCACCACCACCACGCTGCGCCATCAAAACCGACAAAAGCGACACCATGACCGCAATCCGGACAGTTTCCCAAGATGCAGTTGGCTGACTTTTTTCCGCGACTTTCAGGGTTAACCTGAGGACCCAGAAGCGGCTCGCGTCCTCCGTCTTGGGCGTCGGCCAGCGCAAGATCTGGCTCGACCCCAATGAGGTCTCCGAGATCAGCAACGCCAACTCTCGCCAGACGATCCGCAAGCTCGTTGCCGATGGCCTCATCATCAAGAAGCCCGTCACCATGCACTCGCGCTCCCGTGCGCGTGAGCTCAACCTTGCCCGCCGCATTGGCCGTCACCGCGGCTTCGGTAAGCGCAAGGGTACCGCCGATGCCCGTATGCCCGAGTACGTACAACCCGAACACAAAAAACCCATCATTACGACCAAGACATTTGGCAAGAGGAGGATCATTATCATTATCATTATCATCGCATGGGACGAGTTATGGGAGGCTACGCTTGGGCCTGGTGGAGGACATGATTGAGAGACGGAGATAATGGAGGGTGGCAAATGTCTTGGACCGACAAACTTTTCTTGGGGAATATCTTTTGCTGACGGAGGGATTTCTACGATTACAGGCAGGTTCTGTGGATGCGCCGCCAACGGGTCCTCCGTCGTCTGCTCGTCAAGTACCGTGCTTCCGGCAAGATCGACAAGCACCTCTACCACGAGCTTTACCACCTCGCCAAGGGTAACACCTTCAAGCACAAGCGTGCCCTCGTTGAGCACGTACGTACACCCACCACAACCCGAGCGGAGGAAGGCACTCGGAGGACGGATATTGACGTTTGTTACTGCAGATTCACCGTGCCAAGGCCGAGAAGGCTCGCGAGAAGGCCATCAAGGAGGAGATGGACGCCAAGCGTGCCCGCACCAAGGCCGCTCGCGAGCGCAAGCTCGAGCGCCAGGCTGCCAAGCGCAACGCTCTCGCCGGCGAGGAGGAGGAGTCCAAGTAGATTACTGGGATGATGACGTGAATGGAAGAAGACGGACATATTGGCGGCCTTGCATTCGGAGTAATCGGTTGGGCTTCTTTTTCTGGTCGCAATTCTCTCTACATCTCCAAAATCTACGCGTGGAAATCCGCTTCTGGTCGTCCGGTTTTCCCTAGTTGATGGTGCTTTCACTTCTGTGGGAGGTATTGTTGGTGATACCACACGGGCGACAGCAAAGGATGGTGTTGTGGGCGTTTTGCATGTCGTCTGGCGCATGGCGACAAGAAATGTCAGTCAAAGAACCACGATCTAGCTGCGTTTCCGAGCAGAGATATTCATCAGGCTCTTGATCGCCGCGCGCTCATGGGACAAGAGGCCGAAAGGGACGGGATGCAAGGAGACAATGCGATTACGTCGTTGTTGAGCACAAAGCTGCTGTTCTTTTCAGATTGCTTTCATGTACCGCAGTGCGTGCTTGACTCCATTTGTATGATACCATTTTCCAGTTCACGCCTTCTCCATGGAACCTCGACTCGTGATGTTAAAGAGCTTGCATGCGGTGATGTAATTTCGTGTGTCTGGGTAGAAGCCCGACGCCGACGACCCTCCCTTCGCAGGAAACATCACTTCCATGATGGATGAATGACATCGTCATCGAACTTGCAATGACACGAGGACTGTCTCACCTTCAGATGTGATCTACAAAGCGAAAAGCATGGGAAGAGCATGGGTAGCTTAGCTAAACCACCACAAAATCACGCTCAGCACATCGTGATCCGAGCAGATAGTCAAGCGCGCACGTAGACTACTGTAGCTTCGAACAGCAAGTCCACGATGGCAATTGACAGACATCAAGAGCCATCAACAGCCATCAGATCAGGTCCTTGAACCAGACCAGACCAACCATTCATCCACCCACGTGGCCGGCTTCTCATCTTTATCAACACCTATCTTCCTCCACCAAAACCCCCTCAACGCCAACTATCTATAGGATATATTCAAAAAGAAGTAGAAAAGAGAACAAAGCACAAGGCCTTGCTATGAAACGACCGCCTACAGCGAAAATCGTGCATCAACCAAACCCCTTTTCTTTCTTTTCTCTCTCGAGGAGAAGGAAAAAGTTGGGTCAGAGATTTCCTCAAATTGTCCCCTTTCAGAGTGGTGAGTTTTGCGCCAGGGCATATCAGCGAAATGAATCGTCCCCCTAAGAAGATCCTTTCTTCCGAAAAAGAGAAGATCCTGGAGGAGCAAAAGCGCTGGTGTTCTTAGCGGGCTCATCATACCCAGTTTAGTTGATTGAAGAAGAAAAAGAAGAAGAAGAGATGGGAACAAAAATGGGGGGAGGGGAGGAGGGGTTTTTGAAGCAACCAGGGAACGGAACGGAGAGCAGTGGGGAGGGGGACAAATGGAATTTGTGGGGACTGGGGGGGGGGGGGGAGCAAAGTTGGGGCAAGGGTTTGCTTGTCCCGTCACTGCTGTGAACGAGGGAAGAGGTCGGACTAGATCGGAGGATGGGGAGTGGGGATGATGGTGTGGTAGCGGGTTTGGGTGTGTGAAATGGGGGAGCTAGTTAGGGTGGTATCGTTGGGAAAAGTGCTGGGCTATGGGGGTGGATTTGGCAAGAGCTCGGGGAACAAGCCGGGCTTAAAGGTGTGAGCCTTCGTCATGTTTTTGGTGGGGTAAAGATAGCCGGTCGGTTAGGTTCGGGTGACTCCATGTTTCTGTTTGGACGAATTCAACCTCCGTCGAGTTGTATACTTTAAAGAAAGAGAAAGAGAAAGAGAGAGAGAGAGAGGAGAGGAGAGGTGTGATACGGAATCATCAAGGTTTTCATAGCTTGGCTGTGGTGATGAGATACCTTATGCTATAACTGTAGTATTATCGACCACGACGAAGACAGGTAGCGATAAATAAGTTGACAAGGGCAGCATAGCATAGCATCATCGACCATCACCACCATTACCCGGGTAAGTTGACTAACACCGAGGACTAATTACATAACTCTTTCTTCCCTTGGGAGTCATTTCGAAAAAGAAAAAAGAAAAGTCCAACATCCAAGCGAATCCGTTTTATCCTCGCCCTGGGGTCTAATAAAGTAACAAGAAGTGTCTGTCACTGTGGATTGAATGGGATTGGCTGTGCAGTGAAGGGTACCGACAGTAACTTTCCCATCCCGTCATTTTTCTTGTCGTTGCCGATCCCGTATGTTGCCTCGTCTCATATCATATCCGTATCTAGCCATCTACGTAACATTTGACTGACCTTTTCCTTTTCTAATCTACCATTCAGTCAACAACAACAACAAAAACAAAAAGTCATGTCGAGCTTCCAGAGCACAGCTGCTGTGCGCGCCTGCGCCCGCCGAGCGGCTTCTACCACCTCCGCCGCGACTCTGGCCGCCTCGACGACATGTCGCGCCGCCGCTTCCCGGATACAATTGCAGGGACAGAGGAGCGCAGGGCTGGTACCCAAGAGCTGGACGAGGTTCTCCTCGTCTTCGATTGCCAATGACAATCAGCAAAAGGTGCGCCGCCTTCCTTACCAGACGGAATGGTTGGTGGTATTAGTGGTTGTGGTGATGTCGCTAACCCGGTGCGCAGATGCTCGCCTCCCACTTGCAGACGGCCGATCCCGTCATGTACGATATTATCGAAAAGGTGATCTCCCCAGTGAAGCAATTGTCTGTCGCATGACCGACTAACACCATCTTGTTTGGGCCATGTAGGAGAAGCAAAGACAGAAGCAGTTCATCAACCTTATCCCATCCGAGAACTTCACATCCCAGGCCGTCCTCGATGCGCTAGGAAGCCCCATGCAGAGTACGTTCGGATAGAGAGAGAGAAAATGGGGAGAACAGGAGCTGACATTTGGATAAAAGACAAGTATTCTGAAGGCTATCCGGGAGCGCGTTATTACGGCGGCAACGAGTTCATCGATGCTTCCGAAAGGTTATGCCAGGACAGAGCCCTCGAGACCTTTGGCCTGGATCCCAAGGAATGGGGTGTCAACGTGCAAGGTGAGTATCTCGCTCTACAGCTTCTCTGTTCAAAGAATGCGCCAGGCTAACATGGCCTCTCCAGCGCTGTCCGGTGCTCCTGCGAACCTCTACGTCTACTCGGCCCTCATGGACACCCACGACCGCTTGATGGGCCTCGATCTCCCCCACGGCGGCCATCTTTCGCATGGTTACCAGACTCCCACCAAAAAGATCTCCTTCATCTCCAAGTACTTCGAGACCCTTCCCTACCGTCTCGATGAGAAGACGGGCTACATCGACTACAACAAGCTCGAGGAACTGGCCATCATCTACCGCCCCAAGATCATCGTCGCCGGCGCCTCCGCTTACAGCCGCCTGATCGACTACTCCCGCCTCCGCGAAATTTGCGACAAGGTCAACGCCTACCTCATGGCCGACATGGCCCACATCTCCGGTCTCGTGGCCGCCAAGGTCATGCCCGGCCCCTTCACCCACGCCGACATCGTCACCACCACCAGCCACAAGTCCCTCCGCGGCCCCCGCGGCGCCATGATCTTCTTCCGCCGCGGCGTCCGCCGCACCAATAAGAAGGGCGAGGAGGAGCTGTACAACCTCGAGACCCCCATCAACGCCTCCGTCTTCCCCGGCCACCAAGGCGGGCCCCACAACCACACCATCGCCGCCCTCGCCGTCGCTCTCAAGCAGGCCCAGACGCCCGAGTTCCGCGCCTACCAGAGCCAGGTCCTCGCCAACGCCAAGGCGCTCGCCGCCCGCCTCGGCCAGCCCAAGGACAAGAACGGGCTGGGCTACACCATTGTCAGCGGTGGCACAGACAACCATCTCGTCCTGATCGACCTCAAGCCGCAGGGGATCGACGGCAGCCGCGTCGAGCGCGTGCTGGAACTCGTCGGTGTCGCTGCCAACAAGAATACCGTCCCCGGCGACAAGTCGGCGCTGACGCCCGGCGGTTTGCGCATCGGCACGCCCGCCATGACTACCCGCGGGTTCACGGAAGAGGACTTTGCGCGCGTGGCTGACATAATCGATCGCGCCGTGACCATTGCTGTGCGCATCAACAAGGCGGCCAAGGAGGATGCGGTAAAGAAGGGCAACGAGAAGGCGGCGAACCGCGTCAAGACTTTCATGGATTACTTGGGCAATGGCGAGACGGACCCGGAGATTGTCCAGCTCAGGAGCGAGGTGGAGAGTTGGGTGGGCACGTACCCTTGCCCTTGGGACCAGTCGTCTTAGGGGGTTGACGGACCGGGTGAGGTGCTGACCATGATGGTGGCGAGGTTGAATGAAGGAAGTAATGGGAATGGGAATGCGGTAAGGGCTAGAGGGCCGACGTTGATCGAGTTAATGGGATCCACGGGTATTGTTGAGGGTCCTGGTTCTATTACGTCTATGTCTACATCTCCGCCAGCTTCGAAGAAGGAAAGCGAAGGCAAAGGCGAGAGGCGAGCTTAAAAGGAGCGAATGCTACTAGGGAGGGGAAAAGGCAAAGGAGTGAGTTTAACAGTCACTTCTCTTGCCCGTTTTGTAATTTCTGTTTTCACTTTTTTTTGGTGTGTTTTTTTCGGTCTATTAACTGGCTGGCTATATGGGACTCCATTGGACGGGGTGGGATGGACAGAGATGAGTTCATGTATTTGCATACCTTTTGTGTTTTTCTGTTGTTAGCTGCGCGCGGCCTTTCACTTTAACATTACGGGTACGGCGTCAGTCAGTTGTTGTCGATTTATAAATATCAAAATGGTTTCAGGGTCATCATATACACACACAACTCAATCCTCTTCGAATTGACACGACATGTTGTCTTGGGATAACTCGGAAAATTGCCAGCGTATTATTCTTATGTGTTTCATCTCATCAGACAAACCGTGAATTGGTCAAGTAAAGGTGAGAAAAAGAAAAAAAAGAGAAGAGGAAAAAAAAAGTAAACACACTTGGAGAGAGAAACGAACAGAGCTAACGAAAGCAGAAAAGAAAGATACCTACTCAAGATAAAGCGAACGGCGAATTCAGTCTTCCTACACAGAAAACAAACCACAAGACAGATAGAAAAATAACGGGAGATAACGAAATAATCATGAAAATCAACATTAACGTACTTCAATTTTACAAGACCTACCTATATCTACATAAGACCTTGGAGTATACAAAGTCTGAGCAAAATCCACTCAACCTTTTTCCACCATCACATAACATTTTCTCCTTTGCATACCTTCCACCTTAGGTGATACCTCAGGCAGGAAAAGAAAGTTATATATCCGTTACTTACTGGTAGGGATGAGGCACCTACCTACCATATTATTATTATAAAGAATAAAATGGCAATAATCTCAACCACGTACGCGTTTATATAATTAATCTTCGCCACCACCACCACTACACACGAGTGGCACGTCACTACCCAACTAGTTTGATACCCATAACGGGCCGGGGATATGATTAACTGGCAGGAGGGGACACCAATGACAGCCAAAACAGAACTGGAATCAATGGGTATATGAAACTTTTAGAATATCAGTAGTTGGCATTTGTCAAGATGGTATATCATACCTCTCTCTCTACATGCCCTAGATTCCCGATTCAAGTAGGTAGGTAGGTAGGTAGGTACCTAGGTAGGTAGACCTTCCTGATATATCCTTCCTCTCTCAACTACCTACAATGATATATACATACCTTACCTCCTCTCCCTTTTTGACTACCTAGGTACTTCTAGGGTCTTCACTTCTCCTCCAGTCCTTACTTTCACCTTTTTTTTTTCCATCCTTTTTGTTTAAGCAAAACCCCCGTGCCTCCCGTCCTTATCCATGTCCTTATCCTTGCCCTTGTCCCACATTTCTGATATCATTTCCATTCCTTCCTCAGCAACAGTGGGAGTACAAGTACTCTAGTTGTAACACCGCCTTGTCTACTACTTACTAACCCTCTCCATCGCCAACCGGTTCTTCTTCCTCCTCTTGCTTCTCCTCATTACATAGATGTATTTTCTTCGACCTTATCGACAACAGAGACACTTCCACTTGTCTTGTTGATTTCCACCTCTTCGCCAGGCGAATCTGCTATTTGCTTGAGGCCAGCATCGAGATCCACCACGGTATCAAGAGTCTTTCTCAGAGGTACCTCTGCAGCAACAATAGGAGCAGCAGGAGCAGCAGGAGCAGCAGGAGCAGCAGGAGCACTAGGGGCGGTATTCTTCTCCTCAGTATCAGTAGCAGCGACACCACCACCCTTTTCCCCACCACCATCACCAGAGGCAGGACCAGTATTGCCACCGCTAAGCACCACCTTGGCAACAGCACTCCTCTGCTTGAAAGCCATGTAATACTTGGCTAGGTAACCCTCCCCGATACGGAGTACCTCCGTGTCACCGTCTACGTAGGTGACTAGCTCATGCAGAACGGGCCATAGGGCGTAGTCCGCTGGGGAGGGAGCCTCGCCGCCGCAAATGTAGAAAGGGGTCAGGTGATGCTTGTCCTGATCCTTCGCTGCTGGTTCTTTTGGCTGGGTTTTAGTCTCTGCTTCAGATGCTGTTGGCGGAAAATCTGTACTGTCGGTGGTTGTCGTCGTTGCCGCGACAGTATGAGCCTCTTGTGCATATTCCTCCCACTGCTTCAACAGCGCCTTCTTCTCCCTGATTGCTTGCTTCACCTTCTCCGCCCCAGAAGTGCTGCTGACCTTGTCATCACCACTCTCTTCCGTTTTTGTCCTATCCGACCTCTTAAGCAGCCAACTCCAAGCCGTCCACAACTCGTCCACCTCCTCCAGCCTCGCGAACCTCTTTGCCACTTGGGCTGGTGTCATCTGATCGTACCTCCTGCCTGCTCCATACACTGCATCCAAATACCTCAGGATACTGACATCCCCAACCACCTCGGTCCGCGCCGGATCGTTATCCACGAACTTGACTCCGACCTTGACCTTTCTTCCTCTTCTTTCAGACTGCTCCTCCTCGTCCTCACCCGAACCACCAGAAGCGTCAATAGCCCCCCTAGCCACTCCAATCCCCATATCCGCCAACGCCAGCGCCACCCTCGTGTTCTCCACTGTGCACGCCCTCCCCTGGACACTACCCGCAAAGAACCTCTTCGGGCTGCCCATATGCAAAACATTAAACCCCGCTCCATAGTTCTTCTCCCAATCAAACTCGGAAACATGGTTCTCATGCCCAAAAGCCTGCAGCATCCTAACCGCCTCGTCAGTTTGGCCGTTCACCACCGGTTGGGCTTCCTCTTTGGTTTTCCCGACGGCGCCCTGGCCCCAAATCATGGTTTGAGAAGCGTTGAGGAAGGTGCCGATTTGTCGAAAGGTCAGGCTGATGCGCGCGCCCGAGTAGGCCAGCTCGGAAGAGGACTTGTCACGGTCGGAGCGCTTGTCGGGACGAATGGCGTGTAGCCAGCGCATATTTGTTTGGAGGCCCATACGGAGGAGGGAGTTGTGGGGGAGAGGGGCGCGTTGGATCTGGCGTTTGGTTTTTTCTGCTGCTGATGGACTCTCAGAGGTCCCTCCTGCTGCTGCTGCTGCTGCCGGCGTATCCTTCTTGTCCTTGTCCTTGGGTGGTCGCTTGGTGCGGAGGACCATGGTTCGTTCAGCGCCGAGACTGACGTTGGCAATGTAACTGCCGCGGACAATGTCCAGGGTTTTGTCGCTGTGCTCGCTTATGTAGTCGCTGCTGTTACGGTAGTGCTGGATAAGGACGTGGTTGAGTGGATGGCCGAGGTGCTTCTCGATCTCGTTCTTGATAGCAAGGACAGTGGGAGAGAAGGGGAGAAGTGGTGGTGACTCGTCTGCTGGATGACGGTATACTGGCATGTTTCCTTCGTCGTCGACAGCACCCTGAACTGCGATGCGTCGTGGAACTTCACCACCCAAGTGGGACATGCCGGCCCAGCTGACTTCTTCCAGAAGCCGCTCAAAGGCATGAGCGGCGAGATCAGGCGAGAGGGCATTGGTGATAACAGTGGTGTCTCCCTCACAAAGCGGTTCAGAGACGGTCGATTTTTGATGATCTTCCATAGTGGTTGTTGATGACGTCTTTGTATGAGTTTCTCGAGAATTGCTAGACGACTGCGGGGTGTTTGGATCTGGCTGATTTGATGTTGCTGGGGTTGAAGGGGTATCCTTGATTTGTTCCAGCGCTTCGGCCGAGTCCCGATCTTTGTTATCTCCCTGGAAGTGGGACGGCGAACTTGATGATGAGCTCGTTGAGGTTATGTCACGTCGAAATCGTGGCTTAACGGCTACTCTTGTAGTCTGTGAGGATGGTGAGGGATCAGCACCATCAACTGGTTTTGCGCCGAGTACGCCTGGAGAGCCAGATAGCGATTGACTAATTCGTTCCACGTTTCGACGCTTGATAGACAAGACCTCTGACTCAATGTTGTCCATGTCAGCCTCGAAATCAGCTTCCAAGGGCGCAAGACTGTCGGCCAAAGGATTCGATAGATCTCCATGGGTTACCATGGGCTGTGTAAGAGGTACATTAGCGTGCCTGGTGGCTTGGCGTGGTTGTGGCGTGGTAGAGCTGCCTGAATTTGTGGTGCTCCGTGATGGAGGAAGTGGTTCGATCGGAGAGATAATACTGAGGTCTATTGACACCTTGGCCATTGTTGGTGAAAGTCCCGTCGAGTGATTTGTTGAAGCCTTTGGAGGGGCGGAGGAGACTCTGTCTCGGTCCTGTTTGCTCTCTTTTGCCTTTCCAGGCTTCTTGACATCCCTGCTCCCGCTCGACGGCTTTGTCCTATGGCCGTGTTTCGCCGAATTTCTGGGCTGAGTGGGCTGTAACTTGTCGATGAGGGCTGGTGAGTCCAGGAGATCGCAACCCGTGAGTTTCTCTAGTTGTTGGACGGCATTGACGTGTCGTGCATATGACCGATAGCCGCAGCAATCCTCCACGATAGTGATGTCGTAGGCATGTTTTCCAGCTTCCAGGGCGGTCGCAAAGACGCCTACATTGGTAAGGGAACCACACACGTACATATCCGTCACAAAACGCATTCTCAGCTGTTGAACCAGCTGCGATTGGCCCGGAGGGAATGCGCTGTAGTGCGATTTGGTGGTTATAAAGTCGCGACCACGCATGATGGAAGACTCAATGTTGGGCGGAAAATTGGCGCCTGGTGTGCCCTTCCGGACGCATGCCGGTTTGGCAAGGCCGCCAACAACGGTCAAGAACGCCTCCTCATCAGCTCCCATGAGTTGTTCGTCGTGATCTTTGGAGTTGGCACGCCTTCTTGTGGGTGAAGGGCGCATTGGTATATCGGATGCTATAATGGTGTCTCCCTCGGTATCTAGGGCGCGATGTTGTTCAAACTCGCTTCGAACCCATACGACATCGCCGGCACCGGAATCACGGAAGACCTTGACCAGTCCCAGAATGCGATCGACAAAACCATCTGGTTTGGTCACGGGCAAGGCACCGTCAGGAGATACAAAATCGTTTTGGAGGTCGACCACTATCAGTGCTTTTCTGGTTGGGAGGGCAGGCATCGCTGCCACGTTGATGGGAAACATGGCGGCAGTAAGTGAAAGCTAGTAATATATGTTGGACGATGATTGATGTAAAGAGGAGATTGGATGATGGGTAGTTGATAATTGACTAAATTTTCGGGACATGTCAGCACAACACCGGGCTCATGAGGTCAGCGTGGATGCCGTGACCGGGGCGGCACGGAATGGTATGATGCCAGCGAGAGGAGGAATAGTCATTACCATCATGTCTCAAGATCTAGCAATCCCTATGGGCTGACAAAGATATAATGGGTGCCGACAAGCATTCCGGTCGAGCCCGCTTGTTGCTGTTGGTAAATCTGCAAAGGTAGAATGTCGGTTAACAACTGACTGAATGGAAGATGGTGGTTGTTGTTGTTGTTACACCACATAAGTGGTGCTGAATGTTGATGGTTGGACTCGGCCGAGTAAAGAATGTCGAGTGTTGATTACCTAGATAAATAGAAGAAGCTGGGAGTGTCGGAAGAGCATAGATGACTAAGTATAGGTGTTTGAGTTATTGAAGAGGGTAGAGATAGGAGACTATCGTTGGTCGCCGGTTATCCATATCCGGGCCGTCACCACCGACATACGACCGACCACATGGCCGGCCGGGGGAGGACGGGTAGAGGTAGAGCTGTGGAGGATAACAAGGCCACTAGTGTAGAAAATAGACGTTGACAACTTTAGGTTGATAGTCTCTGGACCATGAAGATCAAGGAGACCTTGGAATATACACAATTGGCAACTTCACATCGGATAGGGACCGTGGTTCATCAATGAAATGCCGTGGGTTGCCCAACACTGGTTGCGCCTGGAGATGTTTAGGTATTGGTGGGTGTGAACGAAACAAAAGTCACCCGCAGAATTGAAGATGGACTCGACTCTTTTTTTGTTCAAGTCCCTCGCGCCAAGAATGTGTAACGCGTGATGAAGCTGGCGTCTCTGGTTGGGCAGAGCTGGCTTCTCAGTAGATGGGAGGAGTGAAGAGTGTGACTTCTTTCCACTTTGGCTTTTGAAACTCGAAGACGGAAGGGAGAGAGAGAATGTTTAGTTGGCGATGCGGGGTCCTGTCACCTCGATGCCTTACAGGGGTCGGGGAGCACTTGCCGGACCAGGATGGATGACTTTGGTTGCAGTCTCGGAGTTCTCTGCAGGGCTGCCGTCAAGGCGGATTGGACGGTTTGGTGGGGGGCAGAACCATAATGGAACAAGGTAAAGGAGCAACCTCCGTCGACCAATCCACTCCTTCCATTCTGCCATCTTTATCTTTTTTTCTTTTTTTTCTTTTTTTTTTCCATTACTCTTCTTCTTCCCTCCTAGTGAGCTTTCCTCTGACGTTTTGTCGTCAGTTCCGCAAGCACAAGCAAACCAACGGAGCAATCCATTAACCGGACAACCTGACTCCATCGGCAACTTCCGTTCGTTGCCACCACATGCACAACATAGCTTGATGATATCGGTGCCTACATATATATCCGACCCTCGGTTGGCGGCTTATACATGAGACTGAAAAAAGAGGTTGTCGGATACGGCTATTATGTACATAGCTGAGGTCAATGAGCTATCTGCGAGTGACTGCTTGCCACTGATTCCTCTCAAAACCTATTCAAATTTGAGACAACCCTCAGAAAATGCAGCTGAGTCCTCTAATCGCTTCAACAAAGGTGCCGCCAAGGAAGCAAGCCTTCAAGATGGGCATCTGTGTGGAGCAGGTGAAAAGACTCCGGCGATGGACAGAAAGCAGCAACTCCACTGAAGTATCAAGATATGGACTTTGACCACTCGGAAACAATCGCCAACCTAGTATTTGTCGACTAAATCGAGGACCAGTCGCTCTTGTTCGGTTGACGGGGACATCGATATACATTCCATTGCTAACTCTTTCCCCCAGAGCCTCTACACCATTGATATCAAGCGCCTAATGGCTCCATAGGAAGCCTGGCAAAGTCCTCTCATTGAACTGTCCCTGTCCATTCCTCCTGGTCGACCTTCGGCTTTTATTATCGTTGCTCCAGTCACACATCCATCGTGATAGTCACGACCAATGCAACCACTTGGCAAGCATGGAGTCAATATTTCCCATACTCTCATGATTGACTCCCTGTTTCCGCGTCACATTCACGCACACTTGAGCAGTCAGTGAACGTCGATCATGCTGACGTGACAATGACAAGAACAATATTGTCCAATGGCTTCATGCAAGGAAATCAACATTCACCCACATGGCCATGTTTCCTTGCTTGGTATGGATTTCAATTGCTCGCTCGCTTGTTGTTACACAAAAAAAAAGAGGCTATTCGGACCGGTGAGCTCATAGCAAGGGTAGATGTGACGCTGTCTGTGCAGGACTGAAGCGGTGTAAATCTTGACAGAAGGAAAAACAAAACTCACCATGCGCAACCAGCGGACGAGATCAGAGATAAAATATGTTTGCAAGACCCACAAACACCTCGCTTAGCTGAGGTTGGGAATCGGAATCCGCATCATACCCCGGAAGCCAACCAAGTCCTCCAACTCCACCGCAATGTCCTCAAACGACGGGCGCGAGTTAACTCGAGGGTCAGCGCACTGCTTCTGCAGTTTCTCCAGCCCTTGAACGATGGCCTCCTCTTCCTCTTCTGTGAGTTCGCTGCTGTCTCTAAAGGCAGGAGGAGCCGCATCGGCAGCAACAACAATGGCAGCCTCCGGCTCTGGGGTCTTCGTCGACTTCTTCTCCTTCTCCCTCCTGATCAAACCAAGCACATCCTCCAACAGATGCGCAAAAGCCAACACTTCCAACTTCTCCATGCCAGCATAGACCTCCTCGTCCGTGCCATAGATTGTAGCAGCACCAAAATCTCCCAGCAAGGCATGTCTGTCCGCCTTGCTCGCCAGGATGTTGTGCGCATACAAATCTCCATGCGCAATTCCCCTCTGATGAAGATGAGCAGCCGCTCCAGCAATGCCCGTCAACATGCCCAGCACCTCCGCCGCGCTCAGCGAGGCATCCTCGGGGAAGCAGTCGCGGCTGCAGGTATCGAAAGAAGGCGGCAGCCCCAAAGCCGCGTAGTACTCTGGAATCAACTGCATCACGATCCCTCCCTGGAACTTCTTCTCCTCCCCTTCAGCAGCAACAGCACCCTCAACAACCTCATCAGGATGCCCAACCACCTTCCCCAAGACCGTAATCAACCCCTCATGAAACCCCGCCGCCAGCACCGCCGCCATCTCATCCCTGGGCGTCCCATCGCTCGTCACGCCGCCCTTGAAAACCTTGATCGCCACCTCCTCGGCATACTCGGCGCTCTGCTTCCACAACCCCCTAGAAATCACCCCCGACGCCCCCTCGCCCAGCGTCTCCTGCACTTCCAAGTTCTCCCACTCGATCTTTTCCAGATCAAACCTCGTCCCCGCCTTGGCTGTCGCTGCGGCCGTTTGCTTCTCGACACAAGGATTCCCCGCAAACGACAAGAACGCCAGCTTGGGCAAGTCAAACAACCACTCTGGAAGCGTCTCGAATCGATTTGCGCTCAACCTTAGCAGCGCCAGGTTCTTGCATCCCGTGGCCATAGACTCTGGCAAGCTCGATAGCTGGTTCCCAGCTAACATGCACTTTTCCAACTTCTCGCACTTGCCTAGGTCCTCGGGTAGGGTGGAGATCTGGTTATCTGTCAGGATCAACCACCTGAGTGTTTTGGTCGGCAAGGAACCTTCCGGGATGGAAGTCATTCTGTTGGAGCGAAAGGCGATCATCTCCAGGGAAGGGCATTGTGCCAGGACGGAGGGAAAAGTGGAAAAGTTGTTGGAAGAGAGAAAAAGGATGCGCAGGTTGGGTAGAGAGGTGCCGAATTCGGAGGGGAGGGAGGAGAGGCCGGTTCCGGAAAGGTCGAGGCGCGTGAGGGTGGCGCCGAGAGTGAGGATGGCGGGGGGCAGGCCCGAGGGGAGCGGGCAGGTGAGTTTTAGGTGGGTGGTGGAGGCGTAGCCGCCGGTGTTGAGGGTTTCGAGGTCGTGCATTATTCTGGTGGTGGTGGTGGTGGTGGTGGTGGTAGTGACCTGGGTGGAAACGAAAGGATTGACTTGGGTAAGTAAGTAGTGTGATGGTTGTGGTGGTGAATGTTTAAACACGAAAGAGTGAAGTGAAGGAGTGAACTGAAGGCATTCACAAAGTCAAATTGTTAGTGTGAGTGTGATGCATGGTGGTGTCCGCTTGGTGGAACGCATTTTCCATCTTGGCGGATCCATCGTGGCCCAGAAAAAGATGCGATAACGATAAGAGGAGGTCCACATTGAACGGCGTGAACTACGACTTGAGATGCATCTTATTGAACAAAGTAGACGAAACCACAAGTTCCTATTCTTGGTTTTAGTGATGCTCTTGATGATCTTGTTTCTTCGTCTCTGTCTGGAATAGCAACCGCCGTCGGTTCTCCAACTTCTTGCTTCAGTAAACAGATGCTCCCGGCAGGCAAGAACCCAAATCGCACTAGCGCCTGGCCCAAGCTGCAAGGCTGGTTTGACATCAGCTTGGCCTGTGCGTGGGTGATCCCCGACCGTTGAATGCATTTCCCAATTCAGCTCTCATGCAAGTTGAAGGTGCACCCGCGCCAGGTCTCATCGATTCGTCAAGAAGCTCAGTTCGCGACTTTCCAAACATCTTCAACCACCAAATCAACTTTCCACTTCATCACCCTCCACACGGCCGCGTCACCATCTTTTGTCAACACGGGATAGCGACCGATATCAATACCATCGACAAAACGTATCATATCGCTCCCGCGAACAATAAGCCATTAGCCATGGCGACCGACTCGCGCAAGAGACCTGTGGATGCAGAGGGAGCGCAACCGTCACAACCCAAACGACCAAAGACCAACACATCAATACGAACAATTCTCGCAGTTGACGCCATCGGAAATTCATCAAAGGCAACGACAGCACCCACTCCCGACGGGCTGGCCAAGAATGGACTGAGGCGGAGCATCGCGCTGGCGCTGGAGACGGTCGGCTTCGACGGTGCCACGTCCGAAGCAATAGAGAGCTTTACCATCATGACGGAGACGTGTATGCCGCCTGCGCTGAGGCTGCCCCGCGTCACCTTGCTTTTATGCTAACCTCACCTTGGCCAGACCTCCATTCGTTAACCGAAGAAGTCAAGGTCTTTGCAAACGCCGCGCGCCGCTCCTACCCGATACCCAAGGATTTCGAAAACACCTTGAAGCGTTTCAACCTTACACCCACAGCGCTCTACTCCCATAGAAAACCCCCGATACCGAAGAAGCAGCGACAGCCAGTATGGGAAGATCTCCCTCTAGACGCCGCCATCCCTACCGACCTTCCTGTTCTCGATCCCGAACTCGACGGCGCCGCAGACAAGGCAGCCAAGAACTACATCCCGAGCTCATTCCCCTCCTTTCCCAGCGTGCACACCTACAAGTACACGCCCGAAAGCGTCGAGGCCGCCACGACCGCACAGCACAGCATCATGACCGACACACAAGCCACCGTCACCATGACCCAGACCCAAACGATGGTCGAATCCCAGGCAGCAGCAGCAACAGCAGCAGTCGCAGCCCAGCAATCCCAGTTGCCAACCAAGATTCCCCAACGACCACTGGCACCCGACGAGATCCCCCGCGGCGATCCTAAGAAGATCCGCGAAGCCGCCGCCAAGGAAGCCAAGGCCGGAGAGCAGGCGCTGCGCCGTCTCATGCGCGCCAGCAAGATCGCGAAGCAAAAGGACGTGTCGGCCACGGCACAGCGGGACCCGTCTCGCAGGGAGCGGTACGCGCTGTGGGAGGCGGCGATGCGCGAGCTGGTGGAGGACGACACCAAGGCGAAAGGCAGGGAGGTGGCGCCCGCGTCTATGCATAGTCAGCAGGGCCGGGTGGAGATTGCGGACCACAGCATGATTGTGAATGCGGAGAAGGGGTATTATCGGAAGGAGGTGGCTAGGCCGGGGGTGAGGAAGTTGGCGGGGGAGTTGGCGGGGAAGTAAGGCGTGAGGTGACCGCAGGGCAGTGGTGATGGAGATGCTTACGAGGGAAGAGGTCATCAGAAGGAGTGATCTCTCTCGGTAGATCAAGGATGACGAGTTCATCATGAGAGAGTTGCAGACATCACGGTTGGCTATGGTTATAGCCATGGTTGTGCGAGATCAATGCACATGAAGGCCGGATAGATTGGCATGCGAAGAGAAAGGTGAAGTGATCGGTCACGACCAGTGTCATGCTCACGGTTCTACGATCCTGAACATGGCACAAAGCTATTATTGCTTGATTCAAAAGGCTTGGGGAGTTATTGGGTTGGTGCATCATTCAGAGCATTAGCATTTGTCGTCATTCTCGAGTTTATACAAGATACCCATACAAATATAAAGATAGACGGACAGTGGTCTATACAGCGGATGTTGAGTGGTTCCGAGGATACAACATTGTGTAGAACTTGTTATACTGTTCTTCCACTAAGAGAACTTCGATCCAGTGATCTGCGCATTGTTCTACACAAATTTCGAGTGAAGTCATATCTGAACCTTGGTGAATCTGTTTGTCATCGAACGGGGACGGGTAGTGAAGTTCTCAAGTAGGTACGTACTTGTATACTTGAACGCTGCCAGCCTTTGCCGGGCCGGCAATGGCACAGTGCACTTGAAGTGACGACACCGCAGTTTCGGGCAGGCCTGGGCTGCAGTCGGTGCCCCCAAAAGCGAGTGAAGGACAGTGTGAGCCCGCCATTTCGAGGCGACAGCGCCAAGACGGCAGCCGACCCCACCGCCCAGCGACCGCAGTTGGCTGTGTCGGCCGACCCTATTTTCCGCCGCACAAAAATTTCCGGAATTCCTCGATCTCGTCGCCTGTCTCCGCATTGTGCCTTTGACGATTTCTGACCCGCGCAGAGGCACCGTGAAAAAGCTCCCCCATTCTCCCATTGATCCTCCCCTGATCAACCAGAAAGGAACTGCAAGATGGCTGAGCAACTCATCCTCAAGGGCACCCTGGAGGGCCACGTAAGTTTGTTTTATTTCTTGCCCGTTCGGTTCGCCCCCGTTTCGCTGATGTTGCTGCTGCTGCTGCGGTTGCTGCCATGTTGTTATTGTCAACGTTTGCGCTGGTGGGTGGGCTAAGGAGGAGCGCGATGGGCGCAAACTGAAAAGGGTACTGCGAACGACGAGAAACAAGTTGGACGGCGACGATGATGGGGACATGGCAGCAGAGAGCAGACAGCAAGCACAGCGATTCGAAAGAGAGAGAGATGTGGTGGAAAAGCAAACAAAGCGAAATGCAGAAAACTGACCACATTATCTTGGACAGAATGGCTGGGTCACCAGCTTGGCCACCTCTTTGGAGAAGTACGAAACCACCGAATGAACCGCATAATACTCGCGCGAAGATCATGAACTTACAAATGCTCTCGCAATTAGCCCCAACATGCTCCTTTCTGGTAGCAGAGACAAGTCCCTCATCATCTGGAACCTCACCCGCGATGAGACCTCGTACGGCTACCCCAAGCGCCGTCTCCACGGCCACTCTCACATCGTCTCCGACTGTGTACGTTAAATACTCGACATTGGAGGATTGTGTGGATATTTTGGAATCGCGGGCAGTTTGACTGATTGGCGCGGCAGGTGATCTCTTCCGACGGTGCCTACGCCCTCTCTGCCTCGTGGGACAAGACCCTCCGTCTCTGGGAGCTTTCCACCGGCACCACCACCCGCCGTTTCGTCGGCCACACCAACGACGTTCTCTCCGTCTCTTTCTCCGCCGACAACCGCCAGATCGTCTCCGGTTCCCGCGATCGCTCCATCAAGCTGTGGAACACCCTCGGTGACTGCAAGTTCACCATCACCGAGAAGGGCCACACCGAGTGGGTTTCCTGCGTCCGCTTCAGCCCCAACCCCCAGAACCCCGTCATTGTCTCCTCCGGCTGGGACAAGCTCGTCAAGGTATGTTGTACAACCTGCTTTACTCCCCCCCAAAAAATCCCGACACCATGATGCATGCATATTTTTCTCAAAATAGTATTTGCTACTTCAGAGCCCTCGGGCTATGAGACCAACATCACACGCACTGATTTTCTCGGAAATCTTTAAATCCTTGTCACAAACTGCATGAGATTTCGAGAGGATTTGCGACTAACAGTCTCAACTCCATCAGGTTTGGGAGCTCTCGTCCTGCAAGCTCCAGACTGACCACATCGGTCACACCGGCTACATCAACGCCGTCACCATCTCCCCCGATGGCTCCCTCTGCGCCTCCGGTGGCAAGGACGGTACCACCATGCTCTGGGACCTCAACGAGAGCAAGCACCTCTACTCTCTCAACGCCAACGACGAGATCCACGCCCTTGTCTTCTCCCCCAACCGCTACTGGCTCTGCGCTGCCACCTCCAGCAGCATCATCATCTTCGACCTCGAGAAGAAGAGCAAGGTCGACGAGCTCAAGCCCGAGTTCCAGAACATCGGCAAGAAGTCCCGCGAGCCCGAGTGTGTCTCCCTCGCCTGGTCTGCCGATGGCCAGACCCTCTTCGCCGGTTACACCGACAACATCATCCGTGCCTGGGGTGTCATGTCCCGCGCTTAAGCGGAGACGTCGGAGCCGGGACTGGTTGGCTAGGGGACGTTGTGGACGGGAGGCTGGCTGCGCGCAGGTTGTCGGTAGTTGTCCGTGAAGGACGATGCCGCACCAAGCGTCGTGCGGCTGCTGCCGCCGCTGCTGCTGCATCAGGGCAATTTCGAAGGATTCCATGGTAAAGGCGTATTCTCGGAACTGCTTTGTATCGTCTTTGCTTTCTTTCATTTTAAAACATACCAAAATGAAAGGACAACTGGGAGCTATGGGAATAAGTTGCATTCTAATGTCACTGCGAAAGAGCCTCTACGTGCAGCGTATTTTTGGTCCACCATATGGCAATGAATGATAATGAAGGCCAAGATGAACCATTTGATGTGTCCGTTTGCGGTGATGTGTGGTGTATGGTGTGGTGTGATGTGTGATGTGTGATGTGTGATGTGTGATGTGTGATGTATTCGGGGTCATGTTGTTTGATGCGGTGAAATGGTATCAACGTTGTCCCCATCAGGACCTCTTTGAGTTGTTAGTAGTTTCCTAAATATGTATTCTCGTTCACACCCCTCTCAATCACGTCGTCCTCGTCGACATTCCTAGCTACTCAATCACCTTGAAAGTCTCCTTGACCATTTATTAAAAATACTTACTACCCTTTTTACTCCCCCAGCTAACTCATCTACCTCATTCCCCATCACCGTCCACTTCCCCTTCACCTCCTCAACTAACCTATACTCTCCCTTCATGTCTCCCTCCCAGCGCCCATTTCCATTTCCATTTCCTTTTCCTTTCCATTTCCACCAATCTCATCCCTTTTCCTCCTTAGAGTACTGAACCCATATCCTTCCCTCTTTCCAATCCCTATCTCTTTCCATCCCCCTTTTCCATTTCTTCCATTTCCATTCCCGGCCTCAACTGGCCATACACCTCTTTACTACACCCTTCTACCCTCGAAACCCTCGAAACCCTCTTTAGTAAATCCTCCATCGGTAAGCGGGCGCTGGACTCCATCAACAGGACCAGGAACCCAAGAATGATCATGGCATTCTCGTTCTTCGAGATCTCTTTCTTCGACATCTTCCACCTCCCGTCGTTGTTGTCGTTCGAAGCGTTCTCGGCGCTGTCGATCTCGCCACCACTGTAGAATACACACGGTAATAAAGGTAATCAAGACAAGAACGAGAACGGTGTCGATTATGGCTGTTAGGGTGGGACCTTCGGTTGGGGAGAAGAGGGGGTTGGCGTCGGGGTTGGCGTCGGGGTCATTATTGGTGATGGCGGGAAGGGATTGGGAGGGTTGTTGGTTTGATACGAGGCCGGATGCATCGGTGGCAGCGGTGGCGGTAGTAGGTGTCGAGAAGAGGCTGGAGTAGGAGGAGTAGGAGGAGACTGTGGTGGTGGTGGTGGTGGTGGTGGTGATGTTGAGGTAGTGTGGCTAAGTTGTAGAGTAAGGTAGACGGAAGTAGAGGGTTAGCTGGAGATGTAAACTAGAATACCTAGGTAGGTAGGGATGCTTGATAATCTGGGTGTGTTGTGACTGTGGTGGTGGTAATGTTTATGATAGATGGATACATAAGGTAGATACTATAGTAGTAGGATAAAGGAAACGGGTGTTGAGTTTGTGAGTACCTAGTTGTGCTGCTGGACGGCGGGGACGGCGGGGACAAAGTGAGAGGTCTAGGACAAACCTGTATCATTGCATCTTCTTCTTCTTTACCTTTCCTCGTCACCTTCCCACGTCACCTAAAATGACGCTAAAATCTTTTGGCTTTCACCACCTAGACTAAGACTAGGTCGGTAGATGTATCATATCGACACCCTGGATGATACTTCCAGGGGCACAAAAAAATTCTAGGTAGACAACAAAAAATGTCTGCAAGGCCCTCCACCCAGTTAATGAACGACCTCCAAATTTTGTGAGTGGGCGAGTCTGAATAATCCGAAACAGGATCAAGCAAAGTGAAGAATCGCCGCTGGTGACAGATATAACCATCCAAGTTAAGACGGACTGATAGGAGCATGAACAAAAGTTTCGAATAGAAAAAGAAAAAGAAAGAGAAAGAGAGAAGAAGAAGCAGGAGAGAAATCTTCCATCCTGGATCTGAACTGAAATGCGTACAAGTAGAAAATGGTCCGCACATGCGTAGGTATGGTAACCCCCAGTTTGTCTACCTATCTGAGTTAGTTTGGGCTGTCGGCTTCAGTCTGTGAAGTGAGATACCATAGTTTCCGAGGTGACACTCCATTACTGACACTCATCTTTTTTTTTTGGAAACCTAACTCTAGAGAGCACCCAAGAATAAATGCCCAGTTGCTTCCTCCAGAACATGTACAAGTGACACCACCCTCGTAATATATCCCAAAAGTGTCCACTGTGTTGTATCCCTTGTGTTAAGTCCAATGCCTGTGTTTGCTTCCCGACGTGCACCAATGGTGTCTTTTGACGTAGGGCAACGTTCAGTTTTGTGTTCAATGTTGGCAGCCCCAAAGTTCGTGGTAACCATCTTTTCTCAGTTCAAGGCCTGCCCACTTTGGTAGTTTGTAACATGGATTGTGTGGGCTGGCTCCCTGGTAACCTAAAATGCCGAGGACTCTTAATGAGAGCCCTGTAAGCCACAAGAGAACTCTCTCTTCTTTAAGCCAACTTGAACGTTCCAATCATGAGTGAAAGGTTGTCTCCATAAGCGAAAGGGCAAGTCAATTACCAATTCTTCTCATTAAAATCCTGTCAAGTAATTCCAAACGCTGTTCTGTCTATGCCTGTCTCCTATCATCCTATTCCATAAAAAAAAAACCAAAAGTCGCTGATGATACCAAAAGAGAAAACAATATCAATCCCACCAACTCCCCGGGTTTCTACATTCCGTTTGTTTCAGTCCCGTTTCTCCAACACTTATTCCTCTTGTGGCCTTTCCTCCGTTCCTGTGGTTGTATCACGTTCCCTGTTGCCATGATCTTGTACGTGTCTGTCCCGCTGTTCGTCACCGCCCGGTTCGTCCAAACGTGCAAGTGACTCCCTCAGAAAGTCTCCGAACCAGGGTGGCTGCTCCGGTGATGTTAGATGTTCAGCGTCGGTGGAGTATCGGTTGTCAGTGGAGTATACGCTGCTGGCTGAACGGCATCTTCAGCATATGCATGTCGACTGAAAACACTTCCTGGAAAATAAAAGAGGAAACAGATAAGCCGCTTGAAACCACAGGAGAGGTTGTAACTGGCGAAGCGGGGAGAACAGAGGGGGAAACGCCGAGATAGATGCCACGCTGAAACGGATGTGTGTAGTGTGTGAAACCAAACAGAGACGCCTGGGGAACAACGGAAGAGAAGAATGTAGAAAGTGAATGCAAGCTCAGCTCACCTGGTCTAACACTCGGTTGGATCGAAGAATCACTTCTGCCATCTCCTTCACCTTCTATTACGTCGCTGGGTTCTTCACTCTGATTTATTAGCTTTCTCATTAGCTTGCCTCACGATCAGGCCACGGGATGGGCTGAACTTACCTTCTCGAAGATGCGACGGTCCTGTCCATCCACTGGTTGCATAGTTGTTGCCAGTATTACCAACCGTCCCGGCGGTCGCAGCACCCGTACCTCTCTCATTTACAAACGAAGAAGACGGCTGCGCTGGTCTGGATAAAGCTCCAGAAGTACTGTTGGCTCCGGAATATGTAAATGAAGGTGGCGGTGGTCTGATCCCAGAGGATGAAGCCTGCGCCCCGCCCTCAGACGTGGAGGACTGAGGCACCGAAGTGGATGATCCCGCGAGGAAAGTAGAAGATAGAACGTGCTCGGGTGGCTTGGGAGTACCAGGAGCATCGGGTGCTGGTACAGCTGGTTGGTCTTCGGCTTCACGCTCCGCATCACGGTCCGCTGCACGCACAGGCGCGCGGCCACCTTCTTGCTCTCCACGATTTTGCAATTCTATCCTTTCGCCTGCGGGTTCTGGGTTCTCTTCATTCCTTGGCCTTGCCACGTTCGGCCTTACCGCGTTCGGCCTTGGGTCATACTCGCCTGGCCCCTTGGCCCCGTTTGGTACCCAAAAGATCTTGTCAATTCGGAAAAGGAAGTAAGCGTACACGATGATAGTTTCGATGGTGAAGTTGAAGACGTAGAAGGCGGCGCGGCTGTGGTACCAAGTTGGGTGGTCGATTGGACGTGCATCAAAGTTTGTTCCAAGTTTGAAGCCGGCGCCCAGACAATTCAGGCACGAAGTGAACAGCAACAGCAAGGTCTTGGTTGACAGCGGTCCTTCTCCAAAATCCTCAAACGGAACCCGATATGCTTCAGCGGCGGGGAAAAAAACCGGCCTGACAACGCACCACAGGAGGTATCCAATGATGACAATTGGGAGAAAGGCCAAGATGGTTAGCCAAGTGCTCATAATGAGCAGCAAGATACGCTCACCCTGGCGTATGTCGGCGTTAAGGGTATAGAAGTAATGCACCGTTGTGGCGATGATGATAATCAGGGAAGTGAGAATGCTTCCGATGATGATCTTGTGGGCCTTGCTCACATGTGGGTTCTAGCCCAAGCGTGGCTCAATCGCGCGGAGGAGGCGTTGTGCGAAGAAGAGATTCACAATGATGATAATCACGCCGCCCAGAAGGAGAAAAACAGTGGCAGCAATCTCAAGGTGAGGGTTATCCGGCTGTGATGCCCAGGCAATACGCATCGAGATTGCGATGGCCCGGGCCGCACAAAGGACAAAGAGTGGCATGTTAAAAATGAACTTGTGGTCGCGGCGTTTGTTGCGTTGGAACACGGTCATGTGTATAGCGGCACCCATACCGAAGAGTATAAAAAAGAGACTGCAGGGGATAATATCGCGAGCATCCATAGTGGGTATTCCACCGACCGGGGCGTACGGAGGGAGATATGGCGGCGCGGGGGAGCTTGCCTGATCACGATTATTATTAGCATCTGTGTTGACAGCGTGTAATTCGGAGGTCTGTTCGGAGTAAGAGATCCCTTACCGCCCGTGTTTCCATTCGCCATTCGTCTGTGGACGTCGGAGCCATGTTGGATGTGTTAAAGTGGCCAAGAAGGCTGATAGTGATGGCGAATCGAATAAGTATGGATGGGTTCCAAACGATAAACGGAGATGGGGATGGGGAAGAAAAGAATGTAAATGTAACACTTTCAAAGTCCACGCCGGATCCAAAGAACTGACTGAAGATTACGAGAAGGCGAGGAAACGGGATGACAAAAAGAGCAGTTGTTCAATAAATAAACTTGAGAACGTGAGGAAGGATTTGCGCGGCGACACATCACTTTAGAGGAGCGACTGCCAGATGCTGTTTTCCACATGATCCTGTTGAGGCTGTAAAGAGCAATGCACACCACATTGCCTTTGACAACTGCCCGTCCTGTCCCTGGATATGAGTAGAGGAGACCGGGCACTTTCCGTGGTAATCCCATGTTTCCTTGAGAAGAGTAGCATGAGACAATAAGACCGTGAAGATGGAGGAACTGCTTGTGCTCAAGGGAAAGAGAAGTCGGACTTGTGAAGAGGAGCAACTTCCCGAGAGATCACAATAACAGAAAGTAGTGATACCGAATTAAGCTCCATGACCCGGTGATGTTACAAAACTACCTCTTGAGTGATTGACGGTAGAGTGTCCCAGAATAGCTGTGATCATGACAATGCATCTCGAGGGAGAAAAGCTCGCGCAAAACCATGACGTTTTCTGACATCTCTTGCGGAAAAGAAGAAAAGCATTGGAGAAGGTACTGTAATTTCTATAATGAGAAGAAACCATGGTCCATATGGTGATATGTAGGGAAGGTTCATTGATGAGAGGTCTGGGGCAGACACCAAGTCCCATCAAAGTGGAAGTTGGAAGTTGTCGAGTTGAAGTTCAACAACACAATTGCCAAGACTTGGGGTTGGACCTTCTGGGCCTTATTAGTGGGGCTTCCCTTCACTGCTGCCCTGCCCTGCAAGCGCTGTTTGCCGTTCTTCGGGCAGAGGCCGCTCGTTGCTTGGCCGCAGAAACGCGGAAAGCGGAACTTGCCGTCGAGAATTTTGTCCCACTTTCTCGCTGCAGCGAGTCCCAGTCCGGCCGACCACTACCGTCCAGCCCGTCCGTCGTTCGTCGCGTCCCCCGATCCGAGCTCCGTCCAGTCTTTCTGTTTGGAGAGAGAGAGAGAGGCCCCGATTGCCAATGCCATCCACACCGGCACCATGAGTCTCAATGTGCCGTCCAGGCGGCTCCTGAAGAGCGGTTAGCCACCACCACCCCTCCTCCCCCATCATCGCATTTCCTCTTACAATATCGTCGTTGTCGTCGTCATCGTTGTCGTCGCCGCCGAGTCCCAAAAAATCCAAAGTAAATTCAGAAAGACTAACATTCCGGCTTGCTGCCGCGCAACATCTACAGCCCCCTCCTCCGCCAACGCCCTCGTCCCGGCCCTCCAGTCCCTCTCCATCAACACCCGATCCATCCACACCACCCCCTCCCAACAATGGAGTCTCTTCGGCTGGGGCAAGCAAAAGGTGGAAGAGCGTAACAAGGTCAAGGAGGAGCTCAAGCAGAGCGAGCTCGCTCGCACCCGGAAGCCCACGCAGGAAGAGATCTTTGAGCGCGTCCGCGGCCGTCTCGAAGGCGACTCCATCTTCGCCGACACCACCCCTTCATCCGAACTGGCCGCCGAGCAGGACAAGCACAAGGACTGGGCGACCGCCAGCGCCGAGAAGAAGCTTGCCGCCGCGCACGCCAAGGACCAGACGCCGACGGGCATCTCGCTGAAGAAGGACCACCTGGTGCGCGTCGTCGACCCGGACCCGCGCTCGCGCGTGCGGTGGGAGCGCAAGATGGTGATCCGCAAGCTGCAGCGCGGCACGGACCCGTGGAGCGTCGAGCCCAAGGCGGAGCGCATCGCCCGCACCGAGCGCAAGTTGGTGTACAAGACGGGCTACTTGCCGACCTCGGTCAAGAAGCTGGTGCACCTGTCGCGCCAGATCCGCGGCAAGACGGTGTCGGAGGCCCTGGTGCAGATGCAGTTCAGCAAGAAGAAGATGGCCAAGGAGGTCAAGACGGAGCTGCTTAGGGCCGAGGCCAAAGCCATTGTCACGCGCGGTATGGGCTTGGGCAAGGCCGCCGCCGCCGCTCAGAAGGAGACTGGCGCGGAGCCCGTCAAGATCCAGACCAAGGACGGCAAGTACCTGGAGATCCGCGACCCGACGCGCATCTACGTTGCCGAGACTTTTGTCAACAAGGGTTTCATCAGAGGTGTTGAGCTCGATTATCGTGCCAGAGGCAGGGTGTTTAAGATGAACAAACCTACTACGAGTGAGTCCGACCTTTTCCCCCCTCCTTCCATTAATTTTTCCCTCCCCCTCCCATCCTCAATAATAGACAACTAACACCCCCCTTCCAATAAAGCCATGACCGTCGTCCTCAAGGAAGAAAAGACGCGCATCCGCGAACACCAAGAACGCGTCGCCAAGAAGCTTCGCCAGGGTCCCTGGGTTCACCTTCCCGACCGTCCCGTTACTTCCCAGCGCCAATTTTACTCTTGGTAAAAGCCTCGCTGCAGTGGCTCCGTCCCCGTCCCCTCCCGTCGTCCTGTGCCGTCCCATCCAAGTGTACACACCCCACTCCCACCTCACAGCCCGGGACTGAGTACCTTATGTATGTGTCGGTGGCGGCTTCCCTGCCGCTGCCTTTTGGTAGTTGCAGTTGCAGTGCAGTACAGTACAGTACAGTGCAGTGCAGTGCAGTGCAGTGCAGTGCAATGCAGTGCAATGGGTAGCAGAAGAACAAGAAATCCATGGATCGATTACAGACAGCACTTCTCCTTCCTTTCCACTCACTTTCGCTAAATGCAGTGGCCCATGTCCCACCCATCGATGTCCCCATATCAAGGAAAAAGAATGAAGGTGTGGCTGATGGGAGGGGAGGGGAGGGGATACAATCACATGATGGTGATGGTGGGAAGAAGCAGCGATGTGTTGTGTGTAAATGTGTACGAATAACAGGCAGGCAGACAGGCAATGCTTAAGCGAATGAAAGAAGAAGAAGACGGCGGAGGCCTCCAGCCAGCCCTTCTTCCCCTCGTTCTTTTCGTTTACGGTACCCTGTCATTTTGTAAAATAGATTGCAATATACCAAGAAAGCCACTCGACTGCACCGACCCATGGGTCATGACGGAACCTGGTACACTTACCCGATGGCTACCTAGGTAGGTAGACCACGCAAGCCACTCTGGCGCCCTACCAGGAGCTTAACGTCGAAGACTGTCCTTCGTGTCCCGACTGTGACTGCCAGTGGCGCCGACATGTATTGGTTCTTGGTTTTCCACTTACTCAGTCACTTGACCCATGTCGAAATTCAAATAGCTTGCTTGCGACCAACTGCAAGATGTCCCGCAAGTTATCAGGATAATCATGTTCATTGCAGGGAGTCCGCCAAATATATACAGAGAAATCTCAAGCTAGAACCCAAGCAACATGTCCATCGATGTGTCGACACCCGTCTACAAATCGCCCAAGACTTTGGTCATACAAAGTCCAGCTACATATGCCCCTAATCTTTGGTCGCCTGCGCTCGCTGTGGTCTTGTGTTCTTTTTGATTTTGCTTCCAGTCTTTCTTTATTTTGTTCATCATTTCTCTTCCCATACATCACTTGAGCACTACCAGTGCAAGTTTACACCATGTTCCTTGGCTGCGCTCTAGGCACCATGTCCTCGTACCTATGAGTCTTCAACTCCAACTCGTTCTCGCTCATCATGGTCATGCCGCCGTGGCTTGTGACTTTCGAGAAATTGTTGTGGTTGTACGGATCGCTTCCAAAATTGCCCCCACCCGCCACAGGATCGGCGATCTTGATGTGGTCCTTCGTCGTGCTGCGCTTGCGGAAAAGCACAAGGGCGACGGCGATAAGCAAGACCAGGGCTCCCACTCCGATGCCTGCACCAATGCCGGCTTTAGCACCTGACGAGAGTCCACCAGCGGCATGATCATCCTCGCCATTGCCGTCAGAGGTTGGCGCCGGGGAAGAAGCGGAAGTGGTGCCGGAGCCCTCAGTAGGCACGGGGGCGATCGCGCCGGCACCAGTTGATGTTGCTGATGCGGAGCCCTCAGTAGTGGAAGCGGCACCCTGGTTTAAAGGTTAGTATTTCTTGTTGATGTAAGATGTAAAAGGTCGTCTACTAGCTTACTGTTGATGGGGCCGGCGCAGCATCCGTCGGGACAGAAGTAGGCGCTGCAGAAGGCACCGCAGAGGCAGCAGCACTAGATCCGGGTACCGTAGTACTCGCCGGCGGTGCCGCAGCATCGGAGTTTGCGGGAGCCACTGATGTTGCGGGTGGTGCGCCAGCAGAAGCCGTCGCGGCTATTGAACCATGTCAGTTGCATCTATTCAAGCTGTTTCCTCTACGGTTCCAGGTTCTGTTTCAACTCACTTGCACACACAGCCTGGGCTGCGGTTACAGCAGAATCAGCGTACCCATTGGCGTCCGCGCCGTACTCAGCCTGGCAAGCCTGACTCGCACAGTCATGAATGGCGCTGAAGAAATCGGTCTTGGGGCAAAGGCACGCCATGCTACCCTGATCAGCACCAGTACACTGCGCAAATCCATCACGAGAAGAGTAGTAGCAGTTTTGCTATATAGAACGGTCAGTCAGGCTTCAGACACTGAAGAGCAGAAAGTGATGACAGTCGCGCTGTCATGTTTATACATGGATATCGCGTCTCTTGAATATTAGGTGATAGGGTGAGCTAAGGGTGAGAGCACTTACAGCACACGTGGGCAGACTGTCAATGGACTGTCCAGTCACCAGAACAGCTGCGGCGAGCAGCGCCAGAGACTTGATGACCAACATGGCTATCTATCGATGTGGTTGAAGTCGAAGGGAAAAGTGAAAGTGGTGTAAGTTGAAAACGGTTTGGCGCAAGACGTTATGAAGTCCTGATGAAGATGGAAGCAACACGCGGTGGTGGCGACCGTGCTGTAGCGTGTCTCTCCTAAGACGGTCTGAGGTGAAATTGGTGACGACGTTGTCTGAGCCAAGACCCTCGAAATTCCTTGTTGATGCCTTCAAGCTGAAACGGAAACCAGGGCGTAATTGGAGAGAAACGCGACGAGAGATATAGATGAAATGACGTGAGTCGTGAAGGAATGTACAATCTTTGAAGATAGGAATCGTGAGCTATTGAAGAGGGAGGACCCGTCCGAACACCACCGGCAGTATCGGAGATCAGGTGCTGTAGAGAGCGACTACGAAGTGAAGGTTGAATGAATGAATAGATGAAGGAATGGAAGGTGTAGCTTGTGATATCGCCGAGCGTACTTCGTGATAAGAAAAAGAACGGAAATTCTCGGGCGTTGTCGGTGCCGATACTATGTAAGTCACCAGAGACAGATGCAATCGCTCACTCGGTCAGATTGCCATCACGAACAAAAAAAAAAAAAAAAAAGAGAGGAATGACAACTTGGTATGGAGAGGGAGGGGAAGGCGCAAATAATAAGAGAGAGCCAAGCTCAACAATATCGACAAGGGAAAATGAAATACTGTACCTACTTTAGGTAAGGAAGGATGGGGTCCTTCTCCTCGTGGCTTCCGTCTCGAATTCGCGGGCGGGAGTTCACTTCGTCGACTGACAGGGCTACCTGACGTGTACACGCCTGGTTCATATCCACCCTGGCCACTCCTGCCATTTCTGGGATATCACGGCAACTAAAGCCTATTGCTCGGGTCCGATCCAAACATTTCAGTTCCCCGTACAAGTAATGTACCTACCTTAGGTGATGCGCAAAATAAGTAAGGTACCGCTACTGTATGTTCCAAGCGGTATGCCCAAGGAAGGCGCACATACTAATCTGAATGTCACATCTGGACAGACCTTGGAATGTTCCCGCTCATGTGTGCCGATCAGGGATGGGAAGCCAGATGCCTAGCAGATTACAACGGAAGAAGACAGCAGCAGTCATGCCTGGTGCGTGACAGCAAGTGAAGGGGACGGAAGGGTGCCATACAGAACGTTACCTACTTTTGCAGAATGAACCGACAGAGAGGATGTTGAGGCGGGAGAGAAGACGGGCGGCTTGTCATTCCTCTCAATCTTTCTCAGCCCCTCTCCACACAAAAGTGCGGGTCCAAGGGCAGGATATCCCTGCAGTTCTGTAGCAAACCCCTGCCAAGACTTTGAAAGTGGATACACGGACGTTAGCGACGCTTTGAACCACGGCCGACGAATTGATTACTTTGCGGATGGAGTTCATCTCAAGTCCCTGGAATTGACGATGCAGCTGACATATTGACATTTTTGTAGCGGAAATGGCAGCCATTACATCACAGCGTGGTAGCAAAGATCTATCTTTGAATTGATGGCTCATCTAAGGCTGACCTGTAGTACTGTACCACTTTTAGACGCGTGCTATAGACCGGGTTTTGGCCATATCTGGAGCGGCTGAAGGGCTGTTCCGTACAGTACTACATATGTGAAATCACCGGTTTATTTATTACTTTGCAAGGATGAGAAACTGAGAATGGGAGTGATCGGAAAGTGGTACTCTAACCATTTCAGATCGTCAGTCGCTCCGCATCCACCACGATGGGAATAATACCTAGTTGTCGTGCAGGATGCGCATCGTGATGTTTGGTGTACTCGTCAATACAGTCCGAATTGAACCTTCTTCAAATTAATACCTCTCCGACTCATGCCGATAGTGTCCTCCCTTCATCACATGTGTACCAGACGATCCACGCAAGGATGGGTTTTGCAACATCATCTGACCTTCAACAACACGATTCCTGGTTGTCTGTCAATGGGTTCGCGGCTATTCTTTGTCCAACAGTAGTTGTATGTGACGATACGTTCTGCAATGAGCTACAAAAAGACCTCCAGCACAAGATATTACTGGCGGCTGCAAGCGACGAATTGCTTCCCTGAGCTTGGCGATCGTCGAGAAGCTTTCCCGTCCCGTAGTTCACCGTCCGACGCCAATTTTCCTCACAGAGCCCACAAGCCCAGCGCTTCAGAGAGCGGCAAGAGCGGGAGAGCGCTACATGTAACGGCGGGGCCGGACGCTCTTCTGTAGTAGCCATGTTTCATGATTAACAGCGCTTGACCGTTGCGGGGAAAGCCTCATCCCCGCCCCCACAGTTCTCAACTTCTCATGAGCGCCCGTCATCACACGCCTGTAACGCCCAGGGTTCAGGTCGGTCTGGGCTGCCCCGGGACGAACCCTTTCCCTTCCGTGCCGCGTAGGCCCCGTGTGCCCCCCGAGAGCCCCGAAGGAGAACAACGCCCCGACGACCTTGATCTTGACCTCAATTGTACGGTCAGATCAAGATGTACGCAAGAAGACCGTGGCTTTTTAACATCCGGCGCCACAAAGTCTTCAACGGCGCTTCTACCCCCCGAGCCCTGATCGAGTGCATTGACGTGTTTGCTCTTTTTGGTGACTGACGGGGCTGCTTGCACCTGGCAAGACATTAACTGTTACAGAAAGAAACAGGAGAAGCAGTTTGCCCCATCTTGATCAATGCCCTCGCAGATCAAATCGGTGTTCGACTTTGGGTCTCATGGGAAGCGATGGGTTTTGTGAGTCGTTGTTGTTTTCATAAATTTGGGATTACGAAGAAATAGGTAGAGGATGGAAACGAAGTGATGAACTGTCTTGAAAATCAAAGGCCCGGAAACTGTGCGACTTTGCGGAGTGATGCACTGACCACAACGAAGTGTCACGGTATATACCACCCTGCAGTACTCTTTATGTATAAGTCTTGCAAGCACCCTCAACATCAGGCGGACTGGCCACGCAATCGGATTGATAACCAAACATAACCATGAAGAAAACGGCGAAGCCTGGAAAGGAACCAAGTCTACCACAATACGATAAAAACTCGGGCTGACGGGGATGGATTACGAGTCTCCATGCTCTGCTATTCTTCGTTTCTTGTCACTTGGGTCTTGAAGCACCTGCCCGAGACAATATCACCAAAGAGAATTTGCGAATTTGACTGACAACGTCAACAACGACTGTTTCACCAGGTGACTCCAGACAACAATTACGAAGCCGCCACAGTCCTGACGACGATACAGCTTTGGAGTGTCCCGCTCATTCATCGGTGTTGAATTCTACCGGACTGTATCGATCTCTGGTTCGAATTTCGATCCCATCTTCGACACAAATCTGTTCCTGAGCAACACCGCCATTTGGAACTTGAAATGACCAGATGTTTCACAAGTTTCAGCCCCAACATCAGATGCAAGAAAACGAACTTTGAAGGTCTGGAAAGATTTAGATATGAACACCGACACAGGGTGACACTATTTCGAAATCCGTTTTCCGTTCATGATTGGCCATACTAGCGACCTCCAACTCTCAGAATGAGCAGGCGTATACATAGTCGAAGATCATCCATAGCGGACACGGAAGGTAATGGTGCGCAGGAACACCAATTCTGAAGGATGCTTTGTGGTTGAAGCTTCATAACAAAAGGATACTGAGACCTGAAGAGAGCGTATAATGTTAGAAAGACATGACAACACTCAACCTCGTGCATCTTGCCGTCCGCATCTGTAGAGAAACATGAACGTCATCGCAACTGGAAAGGCTGTCACCTTATCGATAAGCTTGGAGCAGCTCCCCAGCCTTACGTAAGCCCACTACATACGAAGGGAACGGTCCGTGATCCAAGATTTGCCGAAAACCCGCAGTTGCCGGCGCTCGCAAGCTTCCGTTCAGCAGCTGCGTCATCACGTGATATGAAGCTTGCAGCTCCCGTGCAGCGAAACCTCAGGTCATCCATTCGGGACAATCTTGAAGCTCCATTTTGAGAGAAGAGAGTTCCAAGCCGTCAAACCGCGCACCCTTCGCTACGATCCGCCCTTTTTCGCAACCACCCAACCGGAACCAACCCTTTTCGTCAAAATGGCCGCCACCGCTGTCAGACCCATTACCGGTGTACGTGATTTCCGAAGCCCGCGCAAGGAGGACGATCCAATGGCTGTTCGCGACGATGGATGACGGAATTGCGCAATGCCACCAGCGATCGGGACAAGCTGGACTGGAATACAGGAGGACTAGGGGCTGACTGTTTGGGTTTGCAGATGCTCCGCCGGGGCCTCATCCTCGACATTGGCATTGCCCTTGGTGAGTTTGGAATTTCTGAATGACAAAGAGGTGGTTTCTGAAATAGGGCGAAGACGGGAGGCGGGACACGGCGACGGGAAGAGCACAAGAGCTAGGTCGAGCTTCGGCCGGCCGGTGGGCCGTGAATTGGCTACGCGCGCCAGTTACCTAGGATTGCCCACGGTCTCTCGTGCTGTCACCCCGCCATACCGACTTCCCGGAAGCTACCTCCTTCGTTGTTCTTTACCTTTATTTATCACAAGTTCCCGTTAAGCTGACCCTTTGTTTTCTTACTTTTTCAGGTGCCGGCTTCGTTATGGCCAACGCCTACTGGTACGACATTTCCTCGATGAATACTTGACTTTAGTTTGCACGCGACCCGAACCGAAGACGAACTCGAACAATCTCCCTCCCATGGCTTGACTCGCGATATCTAACCCCTTCCACCACCCGCAGGTACGGCTACCACATGCCCCGCACCAACGCTCGTGACAACTACTACAAGAAGCTCGAGGAGGAGCGCGCTGCCCGCATGGGCGCCTAAATCGAATCACGGACTGGGCAACCGATGATGAAGAACGAAGACGACCTCGATCGATCGCGGAGATGAAGAAGTAACGCAATACTTGGAGCGATACCTGAGGAGGAGGAAGAGGGGGGAAGGAAGAAAGAAGAATTGCATGTTGTATATCTACAGACGAAGACGGATAGACAAACATCGGCAATCGAGTCAGCCCGACCGACACGTCTTCCTTACTTTCTCTTCTGCCTTGTGATATGAGGACGATTTATATAGGCCAGATGGTGGCCGGTTAGTTTATAGACGGGACACGACGGGATGATGCAATGCAAAGCAACTGGAGATCAAGAACGGGATTCTCCCCGTTGGACACAAGACTAAAATTGTAAAAGGATGGGTATTAGAATAAGACATCACTTTCTGTTCCACCATCTATCCTCCTTGTCGTCCTCCCTGCCCCATGTGCGATGATCGATCTGCTGCTCCTGCTCGGCCAATGAGCTTTTGTTGCTGGCCGATGTCGCTTTGGCTGCTGTTGCCGTTGCTAACGATGACGATGACGATGTCGTTTCTGCCGCAGCCGCAGCCGCGGTGCCCTCCCAAGCCGTTGTCTCGACCGTAAAAGGCCCATTTTTGTCCTGGCATCTAGATGTTTTGGTGCCCCCCACATCAATGTCAACGTTTCTTTTTCCTTTTCCTTTTCTTCTTAAAATGCGACAAAGGGAATTTCCCCCCCAAAAAAACATACCTGCGAAACAAGCGCTGCACCGGCCAACACTCAATCTGGCTCTCCCTCAACTCCGGGTCGCGTACCTGGCAGTCATACTGCAACAGACCAAAGAGCTCGCAATCCCGAAGCAGATCGATTCGTCGTCGACCACCGTCTTCCGTCTTGCGAACACGCTGATCGGGGCCGACTTGTATGTGGGTGGGCAAAGCCTTTGCTTTGAAGCTTTGACACGGCGGCGTCATTTTGTCTGTTTGTCTGTGGTGTCGTCGAAGGAGGGGTTCTAAGGTTTGGACGATGCGACGCGACTCGGAAAACAATTGTTGAGGAAGAGAACCCGCGAATCCGCAATGCAGAGGGCTGCTGTCGCTTCGGTTGTTGGGGCGCGGATGTTGAACGAGATTGAGGAGGGGAGTCTCGAAGAGGTAAGGTATGCTCTAGCTGATTGATGATCGATCGTCGTATCCCTGGATTCTACGCTTTTGTTCAGCTGTTTGCGCGCGGGGCTCACTGGTGTCAATGGTTTTCGTTGTTTGGGTTGTTGGAGAGAACTCCATGGAGGAGAGATGCCATCACGTAATTCCCGTCTTCCACCTTTTTGGTCCTTATCGCTGATACATGGTTAAAGTAGCTCGCGCGCGGCTGTCCGGACGACGCGGTTTCCATTCTTCCCAACTTCCACTTCTTTTCTCTTTCGTCGATCACCAATTCCATAATGGCTAACGATCCTTACCGCATCACCATAATAGCTCCTAACATCGCTTCGCACAAACTTCACAACCCTCGCCAACTCCGACTTCAATGACCATGCTGCCACCCATGAGGACACCGACACCGACCACAACTCCTCCCAAAAGCTGGTGATCGCGCCCACAACCACATCCAACAAACCAGAACCGAGACACTTCCCCATCCCCTTCCTCAACGAGCTAATCCAGCGCCATTTCCGCGCCACATCCACCGCCACCCTCTCCATCTCCGGCCGCCATCATGAACTGCTCTACCTCTTAGTCGCGACCTTGATCGCCCCTCCGCACCGCAAGACTGTCGCTATCCTTGACTTTGACGGTCGATTTGATCCGTTGCGACTACTTGCGACGACGACTCCGTTCTGCTCTACCTCTACTGGTACCAGTACCCCTAGTACCCATCGCCTCGACCCGTCCGACCTCGACCACGTCCACATCCTCCGTCCTCCTCCTCCTCGCCGCGCCACTAATGCTCCTGTCCCTCCTCTGCATACGTACCTAGTCGGGATGGAGGAGTACATGCTCTACGCCCCGCATAAAAGTCGGGAACGCGAATGGTGGGGCACTATAGTTATTGGAGGCAGCACTGGCAACACCACTACTGCTAGTACTACCAGCAGTAACAACCACCCCGCGGCAGCCCAGGTCGCGGTAACAGCAGGCCGGCAGGGCTGGTTGCGCGTGGACAGAGCTGAGGTGACGACGACAGGGGCAGGAGCTAGTTGGACTTTCTGGAACAAGAGTGCGGAAGAGGCGAGGGCGGAGAGAGAGGAGAGGGATAGGGCGGTAGAAGAGGGCGGGTGGGTTGCTAGTTCGGCTTGGGGGACTTTTGTGTTTGGGTCGGGGAGTGGCTGAATTGGCTCACGTGGTGCGGTGCGTGGGAGGGCAGGAAGACGGATGACTTAATGGCAGACATGTTCGAACGATGAGGTCGCCAGACCGGCAGCGGTTGTTTTGATTTCACCCGAGTCTTGTCTTCCTTTCCTCCCTTCCTTCATAATGGAAGCAATCATGCCACCGCACCCCGAAATGGCGAGGACATCTCGGTCTCCCTCGAACGGATGTGCGTAAGAGCGGCTTTTGTACTACGCCTGTTTGCTTACCTGCTTGACAGGCAAGCCAGGTCAAGGTAACAATGTCCCCGGCCAAAACTTATCCAAATCCTTTGTTGACGACAATGCAATGAATCCATGGACGGGCACCGAACAGGTGGTATTTGGGGGATATTCCAATCAAGTCCTTTTGGGTCCAGTCGACCGGTCCATTCTCTGATCACTTACACTAGCGACTGTGGCCGAGTTGCCCGAACCACTGGCGATGAATGGACTGATAACATCCGATGGTGTTGGCTTGTAGAGCTTGTCAGGATACTTGTCAGATGTGTCCCAGATACATTTCACATTTTATGTTTACAAATCCAATTCACACTGGTCCGCGATTCTCATTGCCCTTTCAGCCAAGCAGGACCCTGTGGCGTTGATAACTGCATTGGCAGGGTGGGTGAGCCTCCGATATCAAGGCCGTCACCGCCTCCGGGTGCGCATGTTTTCAATAGCTCCGAGTCATGCAACCGGCGCCGAGACCGAAGTGTGACTGACGGACCTGACGGACGGGAACCGGATTGGATTGGATGGGGAGTGTGGCCGGTCACGGACATGGCGTCCCAAGGCGACCAAGATCATCGGCCGGGTGTGACTGCTCTCCGATGTCTTTGGTCCGGCGAAGCGGGTCCCTGTGTCTAATATGCTTTGTCTGTTTCTTTTTTTTCGCCTCCTTTTATGTGATTATTTCCGCCGTGGTTGTCACTCGACCCTATTCACAGCTCTGACACTTCGACATAATTCTGGTATACCCTCCATATCAGGTATATCAACTCAGCTGTTGGTCCGATGTTGACGTCATTGGGGATCGGCATTGCGTCCGTCGTCCGAGGAGAATGTGTGTAGTGTAAGCATTGTCAGAGGATAAAGGATAGGATGGCAAGGCATGTGGGAAACCAGGAACGAGCACGTCAAACTTCATGGCGAATATGCGACTGCTCGGGATGCATTTGATGACTTTTCTCCTGGACCCCCAAAAGCCATCAGGCCACCAACACGGATAAGGCGATCCGTCTTCACCCAATGGGTTTTGATATCTAGGATTTCCGGATTCTCTGTGCAACCGATCGCCCCTCACATCTATCTTCTTATGTCAGCCTCTACCCGTATCTGGCTGACTTATCATTGACTTATCACACATTATCCGCATAATAATTGTCTTTCACATCCAGTCTTTCATCTCGGATCGGTCAAGATATGTTCACCGTCGTCAAACCACAGACAGTATCCAACAATACCGGCCAAGTGGGGGCCTTTTTTCGTTCGCTCGATAACCGTTGGGACCCGATCACAATCTGGGATCCGACAGTTAACAACACGCACAAGTGCCCGATTTGTTGGCGCTGTGCTGATCAGCAACATGTTTTCCCTTCCTTTTTGTTCTCTGGCATCAAGCCGTCTCTAACATATGCTTGAACGGGAAATCGCCTCCGACATTCAAGCCCAAAATAAGCTGTCTTTGAGGTTCCAAGAAACAAAACTTCCTCAAGTCGACAGAGTATTACTAGTTTGATACTAGTTGCCTAGACTGGGGACCTTATCTATCCGCTATGCAAGACTGATTCAGTGGGATTGATATTCGAGTCTTACACCGGGGCACAGGCTACGGCCGGCGGACAGTCCCTTAACACAGCCACATGGTTACGGATTCGGTCCCTGGGGAAATCAATGGAGATTCTCAATATTCCTCCATGATAGCGAACAGATAGTGGTGAAGCGTACTGGGGGAAGATTTTGACGACTATGGAGCCAGGAACAACGGGGCAAGCAGCATCACTCTTTGTTTCTATTTGCTCGATTCCCTGAGCCCTACTGTCGCCTCATGCAGTTTCTCCATTTTCCCCAGACCTACCGTGTATCCACCAAAACCATGTGTTATTGAAGCTGTTTCATGCATGGGAACAATGGAGAATACTCCACTTTTGACCTCTTACCTCCCTCCTTTGCTTCTTGGGAAGACGGCTGGTTAACTGCTGACAGCAGCTGATGTAGGGTCCGGAAAGTGTATAAAAAGGGACGGCCCACACAACTATCGATTTGTCAGATCTGATGTAGTCGACCAGCTCACCTCTCCATCATCATTGTCCTTCCTGTCTTTTACACTCACCACTTTCACTAGTTGGTGGCGGAAAGCAATACCTGTCTTGTTCAACTCTAATCTTCTTCCGAGGACAGCTTCATGCAAGACATCGGTTCCATCCCTCTCTTCTTTACCCCCTGCCATCCGTACACAACTTGAAAACAGCCCAGCTCATAATGTCTTGTTCACTCGCACCTCAGAGACCGGGTATGCCCGCCCGTCAGATCTCTGCCAGCAGTTTCGCTGAAGAGTTTGACACTGCTCGAAACCGGCTTACGAAGCTGGACTTTGAGCAAGAGCATAAGCCAGGACATGAGCACGAGGACGAAAGCCCCATAGCCTCACCCTCTTTGTCCTCAAGCGACTCTCTCACTTCCGAGGAGCCATCTCCTCTCGGGAGCGAGGACGGGGATGATGATGCCACTCCCTTCACCCCCATGTTGGACCCGGACAGCGACAACGTGGCAGACAACTTTGCATTTGCCTTTGACATCGACGGCGTCTTGGTGCGGGGCGGGAAGCCGATCCCGGAAGCTACTGAGGCGATGAAGGTACTCAACGGTGAAAATGAGTACGGTATCAAAGTGTACGCAAGTTTCCAACACCCCCCCCCCCCCCCCCCCCCTTCGCTTCTTACCCCATATGTACCGTACCTAGGCACGTAGAGGTAACTAACGAAACTACATCCAGACCTTACATCTTCCTCACCAACGGCGGCGGCAAATTCGAATCCGAGCGGTGCGCCGACCTCTCGCGCCAACTCGACATGACCGTCTCCGAAGGCCAATTCATCTGCGGCCACACGCCCATGCGCGAGCTTTCCTCTCGCTACCGCGATTGCCCCGTCCTCGTCGTAGGCGGCGAAGGCGAAACGTGCCGACTAGTCGCTGAATCCTACGGGTTCCACGACGTCATCACGCCCGGCGACATTCTCAAAGCCAACGCCAGCACCGCTCCCTTTCGCCGCCTCACGCCCGCCGAACACGCTGCCTCGCGCGACCTTTTGTCCAGCCGCCGCCGCCGCCGCCGCCCGGAAGTAAGAAAATTAAGCGACATCGTCATTTCCGCTGTCTTTGTCTTTGCCGATAGTCGTGATTGGGCGTCGGATTTACAGATTATCTTGGACATTGCGCAGTCGCGCGGCGGCAGGCTGGAGACGCGGTCGGAAACGTTTGATGAGGGCCCGCCGATCTATTTCTCGCATAGTGATGTGGTGTGGTCGGCGGCGCACGAACACGTGCGGTTGGGAATGGGTGCGCTGCGCAAGATGGTGGAGACGGTGTTTGAGGAGACGACGGGCGGGAAGAAGTTGGTTACACATGCGTTTGGGAAGCCGCAGGTGGGCACGTTTGAGTTTGCTGAGCGCTTGTTGAGGCAGTGGCGGGCGGAGAAGCATGGGCTTGGGCTTGGGACTTTACACGGGCGATCCCAGGCGCCGGCTGTGAGGACGGTGTATTTTGTGGGAGATACGCCGGAGAGTGATATCAAGGGGACGAATGCCATGGATGAAAAGAGCGGGAGGGAGGGGACGGAGTGGTATTCGATTTTGGTCAAGACGGGGGTGTATCAGGAGGGCACGGAGCCGAGATACAGGCCGAGGAAGTTGGTGGGAAATGTGCTGGATGCGGTTCATCATGGGATTAGGAGGGAGATGGCGAGGAAGAAGACGGCTACGGAAGGGAGGTTGTTGTCGTTGGATGAGGATGTGTTCAAGAAGGTGGGGGAAGGGAGGATGCCGGAGATTGTGGAGAGGGTTGGGCCGTTTTCTGAGCAGTGATTGGGACTTCCCGTTCTTGTGATACCTTTGAAGATGACTATGTAGTCATAACAAGAGGGGTTCAAGTGGTGTCTTCTTCACGAGACTCGGAACAGATGAGCAATGAATTGTTATCTTGCACTTCGGAATCAACATCTGTAGCATGTTTTGACAGGTTAGGTTGCAGGTGGTGGCTTATGTCTTTTGTTAGTAATTTCGCCATGCTATAGCCTTTACACTAACAAATCGGATACTAGCGCACGTACTCCCTATCTCAATCCATCTAAGTCATGAACCCCACCGCTTCACCACCGTGCAACATGTCACGATACTGCCATCCATCGTTTCTTCCCTTACAGTAGTGTAGCTTGCCAAAAACACCAAACGACAACACCCCTCACTTTCAGTCGTCTCCCCGCAACGTGCATACGGTAACACTGGGCCTGGAAAATGGCCGTGCAACATTGGAATGTGGTGGTTTCCCCGCATAGCATGACCACTCGGATCGGCATGTCTTGGATACGGAGTTTCTTATTGCTCCGCAAGACACGCGATCGTCATCGGCCGGCTGCAAGCCTCCCGTCGTTAGATTGCTTGCATGGGATTCCAAGGAAGGGAGCTTGCAACTGAACATACCATCTGGTATGGTTGAGGTGTACAACCATCCAGGCCCGTCTTCTTCGAACAGAATCTCTCCCTTTGCCAGCCCGAAGAGGAGCGGATGTGCTGGGAACTAAGACGAACTCGGGCCCCGAATAGCTTCACTCCCAATTCACCACCACCACCACCACCACCACCACCAAGATGAAGGGCCTATCAAACCTCATCACCCAAATTCTGGGCTTTGTTCCAACCCGCCAATCCTCACCGCAACCACAAACCCAAGTTCAAGCCCAGATCCAACCACCCTCGTACTGCCCCGACTACTCCTCCTACGCCAAAACGCGCCATGAACCCTTTTCGACCGGCCGCCATGCCCTCCCCTACCAACGCCCTGCTCCCTCATGCCGAACCTTCAACTCCTCCGTGATCGAGTCCTTCATCAGCAACATGTCCACCATCATCACCGACCCGGACCTCTACCGCTTATTTGAAAACACATACCCCAACACCCTCGACACCGCCATCAAATGGCACGGCAGCGCCGCCAACAACTCAGCCGAGGAGCTCACCTTTATCATCACCGGCGACATCAACGCCATGTGGCTACGCGACAGCGCCAACCAGCTCGCTTCCTACCTGCCCTTCTTAGCACCCTCTTCCTCGCGCGACTCGCTTGCCTCACTTTACCGGGGCGTCATCAACCTCCAAGCGCGTTACCTGCTCACTTCACCCTTCTGTAACTCGTTCCAGCCTCCTTCCGAGTCCGGGATTCCGCCCGCCACGAACTCTGCTGCTTCGTCGGATACCGTCTACCCGCCCTATGACCCGGAAAAGGTATTCGAGTGTAAATACGAACTGGACAGTCTGGCTTCCTTTCTGCAGATCTCTGCTCAATACCACGCCGCGACGAACGATACGGCTTTCTTTGGCAGGTTCCAGTGGCTGGAGGCCGTTCAGACGGTGCTGGATACGGCCAAGGCGATGATGACGCCTACGTATGGACCGGAAGGTCAGGTACTGGAGAGTCCGTATACGTTTACGCGGATGACGACGCGCACGACCGAAACGCTAGCTAACGACGGGCTGGGTAATCCTGTAGCGAGGGATATCGGACTGATAAGAAGTGCGTTCCGACCAAGCGACGACTCGACGATTTTTCAGTTTTTGATACCGAGTAATATGATGTTTGCCAAGTACGCTGGGGATGTCGCTTCCATCGTCTCCTCACTTAGTTCCCTTTCCGGTACCCAACCTGGGCTCAAAACCCCTCCAGCAAATCTATCCACCTCCCTCTCCTCTCTATCTACTTCCCTCCGACAGGCCATTTCGAAACACGCCATTATTTCTCTTCCTACCCTCAACTCAACAGAAACAACAGAAAAAGTCTACGCCTACGAAATAGACGGCTACGGCTCTTTTTCTCTAATGGACGACGCCAACCTCCCCTCGCTCCTCTCCGCCCCTCTCTTCGACTACTTTTCTTCTTCTTCTTCCTCTTCCAATTCCTCCTCCGATCCGGTCTACCAACGAACCCGCTCCCACCTCCTAGGAACCAACACCAACCCCTACATGATGCATGGGCCAGTCATCAACGCCGTTGGCGGACCGCACGCAGGACCCGGGATGGCGTGGCCGATGGCAAGTATCGTGCGAATCATGACGAGCTCGGACGACGAGGAGATCTATGCGGTCCTGAAGGAGTTGGTGGGGAGTACGGATGGGTTGGGGCTGATTCATGAGAGTGTGAATAGTTTTGATAGCCGAAAATGGACGAGGGAGTGGTTTTCGTGGGCGAATGGGTTGTTTGGGCAGATGGTGTGGGATTTGGTGAGACGGAATAAAGGGAGGGTTTTGAGGAGGGGGTATCAGTAGGTAGTGTCAGTAGGTGTCGAGTGGGTGGCAAGGAGGCCAAAGGCTATATCGCGCGTGGTATTTGGGCATGATAATGCCTTCACCTTCTATTCGCCTCTAGTTCTACGACCCTAATAGATCGAAAAGTAAAATGAAATTACAACGTATATTCCAAACATACAAGGTACAAGATAGGCTCGACGCTCGTATATCTTGACCAAAAAAGTCTCCTACTATGTACAGTACCATACAGTTTTCCTTGAGATATCAGTGAGTGCACGCATAAGTGTAACAAAAGAAGGCGTGATATACATTAAAGATCATGACAGGTCGTCAGGCACTACCTCCCACTCACTCACTCACTCACTCACTCACTCCCCACTGCCCACTACAAGTCCACCAAGTCACGGTCGATTTCGTGAGACCTGATGAGTATTGTACTTGGCATCCCCCGCTACCCAGCACCCCGTTTGCCTTCATATTCATCTCGCCTTCCCAATCCCCCCCGTCAAACTCTCCCGATTAATCCTCACCACCGTCCTCCCCTGCTCCTCAAAGTCGACATAATGCGGCGCCGGCACCGGCACCGGCCTGCTCGGCGTCTTGGTCAGCGGCACACTCGGACTGCTCGTGCTCGCCACGCTCGGGGGCATGGGCCAGTTGATCTGCGACGCCGTCATCATGGCGCTGTGCACGCTAAAGGTGCTGACGCTTTCGATGCTGGGCCGACGATGACCGAGGGTACCGATCTCCTTTTCTTCATCTGACAATAAAGGTGATGGTGGTCCCATTACCGCTGGCGAGACGGTAGAAATAGGCGAGACGGCGCCAGGAGCAAATGCTGAGCTGATGTGCGTGGGCGGAGGGGTTATCATGGATAAGCTGAAGTTGCTGGAATGTGAGGAGGACGGCGGTGGAGGAGGCGCAGGGCGAGGAGCAGTGTAAGGTGCTGTTCTGGATGGTGATGATGATGATGCTGGGACGAGATATTGTGAGTTGTTGTTTGTCTGCTGCATTGACGGTGATTGTTGTTGTTGAGCGGCAGGTGTGTTGCGCAAGGCGGCCGCAGCCGAGGAGGAAGCGTCTTCAGCTTGTCCATGTCTATGTCCTCCACCAGACCTGGCTCCTACAGCGGCAGCACCGGCGCCAACGGTGGCGGCTAGTCCATTATCGAGCAGAGAGCTGCTGGCTTCTTCTGGATGGTGTTTCCCGTAGGGAGAGTTGTTGCCGCGGCGCGCGAGCGCGCGTTTTCGATGGAAGAAGAGGGCTACGAGGGAGATGACGAGCACGAGGACAACGCCGACTGGGGAATTTACGGGTTAGTTACAGTTTGGTATGATAATGGAAAACGGAGAGAGAACATACCGATGATACCGGCTATAGTACCACCTCCAAGCCCACCATCTGCACTCTGGTAATTGGCCGTTCCGTTTGCGCCTCCGCCTTGTTGGTAATTTGAGGCCGAGTTCAAGTTGTTGTTGTTGTAACTTCCGGCGCCTGATGTCGGCAGAGGCCCTGATGAGAAAGTAGGGGCATGCGTGTCGATTGCCAATGTGTCATAGTCGGTGTACCTGGTTGCAAACGTCGTTTCGCCCAGGACGACAGTCATGGAACGAGTTGAATCCGAGATAGTCGTATGAGCTGGTTGCCCTCGGTCAGGTTGAGTCGGTTGTGTTCTTTGTCCGCCATTGTCCCCTTGAGCATATGTTGGTTGCCCTGGTGCTGGAGCCTGTGTCGGATAGTTTGTCTGTTGTCTTTGTGTTGTGTTGGGACCGTTTGCAGTGGGATTCGTAGTCTGCTGAGCAGTCGGTGCTGGTCTGTATGTGGCTGTCGTCCCAGTGTTGCCGCCGTTGTGATCCTGATTTCCTCCATTGTCTCCCTCCCAACCACCATCTGATGCTCCGTTTCGTGGATTCAACCTCGGATTCTGATTCCCGTGACCTCCATGACCAAAGGGCCAGGTTCTTCCTTCATGGTTCTTTTCTCCCATTTGCCTTTTAGCCGGCGTTGATTCGATATACGTGTGTTGGTGAAGTATGTCTTATTTCCCGGCCATCCGTGTCGATTCGTCTTTGTCAAAGTTGCCGAGTTCAAATGACGTCGTCCAAACAATCGAATATTCCAAGTCGATAACACAGCGTCTTTGTGTAATATGAAGGAGAGAAAAAGACAAAAGGTTAAATGGGAGGGATAGAAGCTTCTTAGAGAAGCCAGGGGAGCAAACAACATTTGAAGGCAGCAAGGGTAGGAGGAGTACGACATGAGTGTTCGGCGAAAGAAGAAAGGAAAGAAGTTTGATGGACCGGGGCCGGGGTCGGGGATGCTCCCTTGGTGTCCCCTTCATCCTGGTGGGAAGCCATTACATCGTCAGGTTTGGCGCATGTTTGTTCCGGATGGTGGAAATGGACAAGATCTGCCCTGCTGCCGTCTACGGAAGGATGGGAATAGGAAAGGTGAGGTGACACTCTGGGTGGTGACAGTAGCCGGCCTCTCTCTAGGCATGCTTTTGGCACCTGCCTGCCGGACTGTTTATCCCTAGCACACTAGTTCCTGCAAGGTACTGGACAGGGACCTGGCACAGGCTGCCAACTGACACCTGCCCCTGCACAAGCTGCGGGGAAGGGACCCGACCCCTGTGCGACCCCAAAAAAAAGTCCGATGGTTATTTCGTTTCAAGCCCTGTGGTTGACGTGTTGGTCTCTGCTTTTCCGTCTAACAAATGATCCGGACTTGTCTTCCGATATCAAGGGAAATCTCTTTTGTTCTTTTCTTTCGACTTGTTCTTCGGTATCCTCCGTCATCTCATCATTGTAAGCCCCAAATACACTACTTCCATAGTTCCTTCAGGTTGCCTTCCTCAGCCGTTGGATTGTAGTATGGCCGGCTCTATCCACTGCAGATCTTCATATTTTTTCCCGTCTCTGTGCCGCTCATTCTGTTGGCAGGAGGTAATCACTATCCGTTAGGTTACACGACTGCAACGCAGAAGGGAAAGTGGAATGCAGAATTGGATGCTGTCGTCAGCTTACGGCAATCGGCAGGAACTACAAAGACCACCATCATGGGGGGCATTGGCGCTAACCAAACCTTCAGTGGGGTCCATCCGCAAAAGTTAGTGTAATGTAGTGTACCTACTATGTTACACTAAAGGGGCCGATTTTAGCGCATCTCACCCGGAATGCTGCTAAGAATATGGAAGGTAAGGAAGATACTTGTTCAGCGGTGATCATGATCGCCAGCGCCAAACCCTATGTGGTTCGATATGCCGGGAGATAAAAAGACGGTTGAGGCTTACGAAATGCAGGTGCCATCACTTTGAGACATTGCCCTTTTTATATGTTTTTTCGGGGTTGAAGCCGAATCGCGAGACTTCATTTTCATACTCTTACAGTGTCTAAAGTCAATCTCTTGACACAAGGCGGCACCCTGCTCTGTTAAGGTAGTAGTGTTCCCTTGTACACTGAAAGGGGCTTCGCTGCGCCCCTGCCTGCCGACCAGGGCCAAAATCCCACATGTTGTTAGCACATGACTTGATGTTGCTTTATCACTCCATTTCTATATCTACAACACTCATTTGATCCCTGGGAAATAACGTAGGATTGATGTAGATCCGTTCTTCGACCTGTTTTCCAGAATGATTTGAACCGAACCGAGGCCTGGGAGTGCCTCTGTACCCGATCGATGCGGATGATGCCGGTATCTACAAAACATACGACACCAACACAGAGGTAGTACTTAATCTCCCCCGGATCCCCAATCTCGTTTACCACATCTCGACAACGCAGAACTCCAGTCACGGGATTCCAGTTGTGGAAGTCGGAAGCTCTGATGTCTGGCCAACCGTTCATGAAGGTAAGATCATTGGATTACAATGCTTAGTTGGTTTGGTTCTGGAGCGGAAAGGATGGGGAAGCCCTGAATTTGGCCATACCTTCTCTCGCTACCTATCACTGGCCTATTTCCTTCACGCTAGATGGCTTCCTTCTCTGACTGATGATAGCCTCTTTCCTGTAACGGGGGTTGCCTTCCATAGCAATGGGCCTTCCTGCCTGTAGGTCGTCCAACTTTCATGCGGCCACCACACCACACCCGCCGGCTCCCCGGCAGCTGGAGATGTGTAGAAGCCAAAGAAGGCAGCATCCAATGAAGCATGCATGTTCTTGATGCCAAATAGAGGAATTTGATGCAAAATACTTGGAAATGTTGGTCCTGCCACTTTGAGTTGACTTTCGGACTTTCCCCAACGCCGGTCCGGGGTATTTGAACATCAACAGAACGGCCAAAACCTGCACACAATGTTCTCCTGCTTTGCTCATCCAACTCATTTCATGGCAATCAATTTTTTGATCGTTTGAAAGCCATGCCACACGCATCCAACATGGGCAAAAGTCCCAACGACCCCCGGTACCCCAACGGGTGGCATATGAACGACAGGATGCCCCATCATGACTCGTTTGAGCAGCTGTGGGAGACCAAGTGGAAAGATCCGGTACGGTCATGTCTTCGATATTCTATTTTACCTACACACGTTTGGTAAGGTATCTACTGCGTGGTAAATTGCTGATGCGGTACCTAAAAAGTGCTCCAAGGGCATCTACCCCTTCATGTTCGGCTCCCTCGAAGACTTCCAGCCCATTGTCGAGCACATCATTGCCAAAGGCCTCAAAGAGCCCTACAACTGGGACGAATACGCCAGTTGTTTCTTCGGAACCGCTGAGAAGCTCGGCCAGACAGCAGCGGTTGCTCTGCAAGAAGGAGACACGGACAAAGCTCGTGATTATTACCTGTTAGTAGTCCCTCTTCCTCTACCTGTATCATCCCAGGGTCGAGCAAGACCCAACGAAGAACATATAGTGACATGATAGAACACCCTAGCCGCGCCTCAGCAGTCTACCGCATCGCTCGCTTCCCCGCCCCTCGCTCCCCTCTCCAGCACCAAGCCTGGAAAAAGGGTAAAGAAATGTTCTACGCCGGCGCCAACCTAATGGAACATCCCATCCACGAAGTCCTCATTCCGCACACGCACGCCTTGGCAAACTCCAGCGAACAAAAGTCCTTCATCCCCGTTAACTTACTCATCCCCCCTTCTTCTTCCTCCCTTTCTTCTTCCTCCTCTTCCTCTTCCTCTTCTTCCTCCCCTTCTTCCTCTGGCTACCCCCTAGTCATCATAATGACAGGCCTAGACGGCTACCGCACCGAGCTGGCCGTCTGGCAACGTGGATTCCTTGATAAAGGGGTCGCCACGCTCGTCGTCGAAATCCCTGGGACGGGAGACTCGCCTGCTTTGGCTAGTGATCCACAGAGCGCTGATAGACAGTGGTCATCTGTGCTCGACTATGTTGCGAAGGAGCATGTGCAGGAAATCGATAGCACCAAAATCGTGGTCTGGGGATTTTCCACTGGGGGATACTACGCCTTGCGCGCGGCGCATACACACCATGATCGACTGCTGGGGAGCATCAGTCTGGGAGGCGGGTGTCATCACATGTTTGATGAAGCGTGGTTGGAGAAAGTGAATAATTTGGAGTATCCCTTTGATTTGGCGGATACGTTGGCGTATAAATTTGGGTATGGCAGTGATGGAGTGGAAAGGTTCAAAAAGGAAGGACAATTGAAATTCTCGCTTTTGCTGGATGGCACGCTTATGGGGAAGTGCTGTAGGTGTTTGGTGGTGAATGGCGAGTGGGATCGCATCTTCCCCGTGGAGGATCTGGCGCTGGCGCTGAAGTGGGGGAGGCCCAAGGAGGCGAGGATCGTGAGGGAGAAGTGGCATATGGGCGAGCCGGAGAGTTTTGTGGTTATTCTCAGGTGGATTCATGAGTTGTTGGGGCTGGATTGGGATTATATGCATCATTTGAAGTTGTTGGGGGGTAAGGCGAAGTGAGTACCTGACTGGAAGGACTCGAACAGAGTTAGAGGTATTCATTTGGAATGGAGGTTGCAGGGTCAAAGATGTTGAACTATCACGTTTGTTTTCGGTAAATCCATGAGCATCGAAATAGAATGGAATATAATACAGGACTGGCAAGAGATTTCACACATGTTGCATTAGTGGTGACTTCCTCTCGGCATCTGTAGAGGTATGCTGAACCAAGCTACCCCTATGGCAAACCCTTCCTCCAAACTAATCTGAGTTTCTCAAATTCTGCGGTACGTGCTCCTTGACGCCCGCTTTCGAATAACTCGAGTCTTTGTCGCTTTGACATTGTGTTACCAACTTGTACACTCCTGGCTCCTTGAAAGCGACGTGTCTTGAAGAAGCAATAAGAAGCAAGATATTGAGGTTTCCTCAGAACTGTGAGAGCATCCATCTAACTGACCCCTGAGTTTGGCCAACTTTGTACTGACCGGGACTTTGTAGAGGCAAGCGCAAGTACACTTCAATCCACACACACATAACAGTTTTTATGTGCTTCAGTTACCATCGTGGTATACAGTCCCCTCCAGCCATCAAATCGTATTTTTTGCAAACCCACAAACATCGATGCAGTTCACAGTTCACTCCTCTTTGGCCTCGCCGCATTAAAAAGCAGCATACAACCCTCCACATGCGTCTCCACCACCTCGAAATTCTCCCTCAGTCCCTTCTCGAACCCCTCCCTCTCATCCGCCCAGTTGCCAAACACTCCCGTCGCATTGTACCACTTCATGACCGTCCACGTCATGCCCCTCTTCAAAATAGAAGGTTTCTTACTACTTGTACGTCCCACGCCCTTCCTCACCACTCCCGATCCCGATCCCGTGCCGGACGAACTCGGACGAGACGGATTTGCAATGTACTTCCGTCCCAGAATCGTGCAACCAACCAGGACACCATCATCCGCTAGACACGCGGCGGCAAGTTTGAAGGCGCGGTTTTTGATTTCTTGTCCCCCTTGCGCCTCGGGAGCAGCGGGAAGACAGTGAAGCAAATTGAACATGCTGACCGACTTGAACTGTTTCGAGATTCTGGAAAGCTTACTACCTTTGGGCAGGAGGACGAGTGACTCATCCAACATGTCGGCTTGGATGGTGGTTACGTTGACAGTTTGACTAGTAGATGCCACGTTTGCTCCATGTCCATGTCCCGATTGCTTGCCGCTGCCGCTGCCGAGGACGTTGCCGTGGCCACCTGCTGCTCTCGCCTCCTTGTTAACAACCCCCATGACCCTCCCCTTTGCTTTTTCGAGCGCCACTGCATTCAGATCCATCAAGGTAATCTCGATCTTGGGCTGGACCAGTTTACTATCCTGGTCCCTCTCCAGTGGCATGAGATCCTCGTCCTTAGCAAGTCTCTCGGCCAAAGCGTCACCGACAAAAAAACCCGTGCCAACGCCAACGTCGAGGTGTTTCTCGGCACGAAAGTTCTGCCGGAACAGGGGAATGAGGATGGTTTTCGAGGGACAACGCCAGAGATGGGTCATGCTGAATCCAAGGACATATTTGTCGTACGCGGTCAGCATGAGGGGCTTGCCGTAGATGCTGGCGCCCGACTTGGTGTTGATCTGGGGAACAGAGATGAGAGCGGTGCTGTTTTTGGGAGTGGTTGTTGTTGTCGCCGTGGGGCGAGGAGGTAGTGTTTTGGAAGAGTTGGCGGCTTCTGTGCCGCTGGTGTTTCCAGCTGGCGAGACCATCTTGAGAGACTGCCTGGTGGTGTAGATCCTTGACGAACTGTCTGTGTTTGGTTTAATGGCTTGATGAGTGAGACGGAGTTGAAGGTTTGTCAACTTCCGCCGGTTGTCGAAGCTGTCACGGCTTGCTGAAGATAAAAGAGGACGTTTTTGTGCGGTTGAAAGATGGCATACCACGCAGACGATGACTGAGAAAAAAGCGAGGCGAAGAGGCTAATTCAGAAATGCGTAGACTATATATAGATCGCCGCAGATTCGGTTGATGCAATCTCGAGACTTGTACCTATGTCTGGCGTGTATCCCAGTTTCTTACTGCCGAGAACCCTTCCGAGGGAATCTTGACAAGCACCACGAGTCTGTTTGTGCGCAAGCCGGTCCGCTCCTTGATCGGGTTTAAATCTCAACGTGTCGATAAGCGAATCTCGACGGGTAACACGTCGAACAGGATAAAAGGACACGCGGAAATAGGGGAACTTGGCCTATGAACGGAGTTAGTGAGGTTGACGAGAAGTCAAACATGTACGCATGCTCTATCGGCTCCGGGTTACCAACAAAGTTTCTCTAGGTCTCACCTCAGTATCGGCAAGAGGAAGTTGAATCAGACAAGAGTCGAAGTTTTTGGGTGGCGTCTGCTATCACTTCATCTTCTCGAGTTAGCCAGCTAAGTTATAGAGCAAGCAAAGACGTGAGCACAAACCAAACTAAGACGGCGGGAGGCAGATGTCTGGGTCTACCCAAGGTCTTCACCTCGAAAAAAAAATGGACACAACTGAGGTATACCTCGAAGACACTCGCGAAGACTGAGGCAGTATGATGTTCGTGGATACGTTTGATTGAGAGGTGACAATGATGTGTGAAGGAGTAATCAACGCGGCGATGATATTGACAAGTGGGAGGGGGAGACGCGACCTTATTCAAATTCCCCTGAGCTAGAAACAATGTCTAGAACCAGTCATGAGGTACTCCCCCTCATGTTTGCTCGATATTCCCATCTCGGTCTAGCGCGCCGACTCAGGAATCGAGCCTTCCTTTCACCTTCGTGGCTGTAATCTCTCCCTTGCATTTCACTTCTCATAATCTCCACCGACCGCTTCTGCCCCTGTGGAGGTACCTACCTCTACCTTTAGATAAGGTACGCCTCTATCTTGTCCAATCACGCCATGATGCGTATTAGATTACAATTGAAGAAAGAACAAACCTCTTGTAATCGAATGAAGTGAGGTAACCAGCAGAGGCCTGAGGGAGTCAAAGAACCTAGAATACCGACATTGCTGAGGTTGAAAGCTTGGAGGGCGAGTTCTCATACCACACCAGGCAGGTTGGCGAGATTGTTCCTTTTGCTTCCTAAAATTCTTCAAGGTTTCATGACCCATTTCAAGGACAAAGTCCATCATGATTCCTCCCCGGAACCGATGCTGTATAAATTACGATCTTGTCGCACCTTCCTCCAGTAGAGGTAACTTGGGCCAACTAAACAAAAATCTGCACCACTCGTCCTCGTCACTCATGAAAGGAGAACTGGCAGGAACTATAAAAGAGCATTTGGGGCGTGAAGTCTCAAGGGGGGCAGTCGGTGACGTAGGGAATGGTGTCAAAACTCCAAAATTGAGGGTAAATTTCAATGACTGAATATCACGAGACTGCTTCCAGGTGATGTGAATCTTGAATTCTTCCTCTCTAGACACAATAATGAAACAAAAGCGTAGAAAATTCGAAGGAATCGCTGTGTTGGAATACCCGAGTGATGTGTCTGATGACCAGTGATCTCCACCTCTGTCTGCCCTTCCCTTTGTATCGCCGCACTGATGTCGTCGCTTTTCGCAGTCCCCAAGTTTACATAACGACGCAGCACCCGCGCTGCTCCAACATTGCTCAACCCATTACCCGCTGACAGTAATCTTGACAACAACGCACGCCAGACAGATATTTTATCTTATCCCAAACCGACCGCCATCCACCTCAAAGTCCATCCACCCCTGGCCATATGCCACAAAGGCCCACCGCTATTCTCAAAACACCCAACCATGTACACGAAAAGGCCCCTGTACCCAGACACCACGCTTAGTCTCGTAGACGCCACCCCATACGATCTGATTTTCAAGTGTTGACAACCCCTTCACAACGCTTGAGACTTGTTCTCTTCAAACTAAGTGGTCTCACGACACACATGGAGCTTTAAGAACAAGCCCCAAGCGTTGCAAAGGGGTTGTCCATCCGGGACTCGGGAGTGCAGCAGGGCAAGCAGCCTGGCCCACCGCTTACGGCTGGTAAGGCGCAGGCGCAGGCGCCGCGTAGGGATCCGGGTAGTGGTGAGGAGGCGGGAAGTACTCCTCCTGGGGCGGCGGGTGGTAGTACTCCTCTTGAGGAGGCGGGTAGTAGTACTCCCCATGATGAGGAGCCGCGTCAGGAGCCACGGGGGGAGCCGGGTAGTGAGGCTGCGGGGCAGGCGGAGGCGGGACGTCCGGCGCAGGTGGAGGAGGGCGAGCCGTGAGCGAGATCTGGGCACCCCGGCCCCATTTGTGGACGGCCAGGGCGACCGTCATCCTCGCCAGGGTCTGGTCGCCGTGGGCCTTGACATGGTGGTCGGCGATCCAGGTTGGGCCGTCGGCTGCCTGCATCGGGCCGGCGCTGACCCAGAACAAGCACGAGGGACCCATCTGCCTGACGGCCAGGGTGATGAGCGGGCGGATGATGTCCGCTTCGCCTTCGGCAGTGATGGACTGGTTGAATGTGGCAGCGTCTATGGTAGAAAGACCTGAGTTAGTTGTTCTGCTCCGGGAATGACGTTGAGGAGATAGCTCATGTGTGTGGGTTGCTTACCGTAGTCGTTCTCGGGAACGGGGCGAGCTTCAGCTTTGGAGACAAGTTTAGTTAGTTCTCATTCACTGTGGGTGAGAAGGATGAATCGTTTATTGCTTACCAAGAACGCGGTTTCCAAAGTCGACTTGACCCCAGCCCTCAACGTGGCGGATGTCAGCTGTGGAGGCAAGCTAAGTTAGCTCTTCTTCTCGATGATTGAGGAAGATGGATCTTCCACGACTTACCCGGAGCAGCAGGAGCGCGGTTCTCGTGGTCTACGAGACCCCGGTTCTCAACGTGATGACCGGCAGCTGTGGAAGAAAGATGAGTCAGAGGTAGTTCTTGTTGTCGTTGAGTGAGATGGATGGATTCCTCAGGTACTTACCAAGGGGAGAAGCGCGGTCCTCCACGCCCGCGGGGTTCGCAACGCGACCACGATTGCGCCTGCGGTCACGAAGGCGGTTGTGGTTGCGGTTGTGGTGGTGGTGGTGGTGGTGGTGGTTGTGGTGGTGGTGGTTGTTGTTGTTGTTGGCGTTCATATTGGTACTGCTGTGTTCTTTTGGAGATAGAGGTATGTGTTGCAGAGCAAAGTACGAGACGACTGCAGTTGTTGCTGAGGAAATAAGGCGGTCGATTGAGAGAAGAAATTTCTGAGTCAAGGACAAGAGGAAATCTGAGGACCGTTTTATGAACCAACGGGAGATTGTTGGGGGCACGGACCGAGAAAGGACCTCGAAGGCAACAGTACAGGTACCAGGAGAACAGAAATCCATGAAGTTGGAAGGAGCGGAAATACAGGTAGGGAGGAGGCAGAGTGACGTTTTCTCCCATTTCTGCCTGGCGCGGCCTGGTTTGGCTGCCCCGTATTCGTAACAGACTTCATCCTTTCTCTCTCTCCTCCACTCCAACCGGGTGTCAGTTTAGGTCGAGGTAGCCTTACACTATCTCGTATACATAGAACCCATTGCCTTCATCTTGTCCCAAATTCTCGTCCGGGTTGTCGCTCTCCCGATTGTATTGCGCTGCTGTTTCCAAGTAGTCAAGGAACTTCGCAAGATTGAGGTACTGCTCAGGCTCAAGCTCAGGAGAGTAACGGTCTTTCAGCTTGGTATTCAATGGGCCGTTTAGATACGGATCAGATCTCAGTAAGCTCATCCTCTCTTCCTCAAGCCCACAAATCAGGCTTAAAGAAAGTCGATCGATGCTAGAGGTATCGAACATCAATCTCTCAAACAGGGCATCATAGAGACCCAAGTGGTCCTGGTTCGCGAGATCAATCTCTTGAAACATCTTGAACACTCCCAGTCTTTCGAATTTTCCTTTCCTCAACGGAGATGTCAGCGCGGGCCTCAAAAATAGTCCCTCAAGGTGCCAAGATGGCCACTTGTTGAACTTAACTTGGAGAGGCGCAAGGTAAATAATCCCTGACTTATGGGATTCTTGTTCATCCCACGACAGTTCCAGATCTGGTAGTAAAGCCCGCATACCACCCAGATCGCATCTCCACTCTGGTTGCAAAGTCGTGTTGATCGCAGGACAACTAGCTCGTAACAATGGGCCTCTAATCCTGACCATTCCGCCACTCAGTACTTGGCCAAACAAGTGTGTTGGTGTGACTGGAGAGACTATAGCCTCTAAGACTTCAGCAAGGCTGTCCATCTCCTGTTTCACGTAGCTCCATATCCTAGGTAATTCACATTTGGCGCTCAATGAAGCCCAAGACCAGGAAGGAGCTATATCAGTATTTCGTCCTTTGCTCTGTTTAACATCCAGACATTTCCACAAAAGGCTCCCTCGAAGACGGTAGGACCATAGGCCGGCAAGGTAGGTAACGCCATCCCATCCATTGCGCAAATGCTCTGCGAGACCCGAGATGGCCACAAGTTTGTCTGACTGCTTGGTAAGTTTCCTACCGGAGTAGTCACTGACCAGCGATGCCCAGGCCTCCAGTCGTTGAGCGTCAAGAAGCCGCTCGCGTTTAAATAACTCCATTGGAGGAGAATTAACCACCCCACTCCCTGAACGCGCCCATGGGACTGAATCTGGAAAGAATTCGCTTGTTTTGCTCATAGAGCAATCCCAGTACAGCTCCTGTCGCCCAGAAATAAGGGTACGGCGCGGCAAGATTTGCTCTTGGAAAACCCAGCCTCTTGTATATAGAATAGGTGTATCTCTTATATTATACGAGCGCTGCCCCTGTGCTAGGATGATGTTCGGAGCTAGCTTTATGGCACAGGGTACGAATGATAGGGGGTGCCTTGGGAAGAAGAAGCCTCCGCTGGAGTTTGGCGACACAGCGGCGGCTAGATTGAGGTACGTGTTCTGGTAAACAAAACGCATCTTGGCAGATTCTGCTTCCCAGTCGTCAAACGAGTCTTGAATGATACACAGGGAGTCGATCCACAAGAACTGTACGTTCAGCCTTTGAGTTAGTAGAATTGCATCCTGGAAAGTCCTTGGTAACTCGTCGAGCGCGAACCCCTTCAACCGGGAGGCATAGTTGTCCAGGAGAAGACGAGCCGGTACTGAATCGCCCCAGCAATGACTTAGTGTCATGTATCTTTGCTTCTGAAAGTCCATTCCGGTAGTTTCTGTAAGCTTAACCGTACGGCTGCTCCTACATCCTACATCAAGGAACCGGGCAGGATATTTCCCTTGTGAGTTCTCATTGACAACCTTGTTGCATAATGGATGGTTGGACAGACAGTTCTCAACCCACCGGAGTGCTTGATCTAAGCTTGCTTCGCTCCCCGTGTTTAGACTGGTTGTTAAAGCACCAACCCGATGAACTGAAGAAAGAAGCCCATCAGTAAGGTTTGCTACGTTAAGGGATGCCTACTAGGTAGATATGGGACACAGCTTATCAAACTGTTCCTGATGATGAAGCAATCGATAGTATTCCCAAGTGGTACGCACAATGAGCTTACCATCTTCACCCACAACATCGAGATGTAGATGAATATCCTCCTCACCAGACTTATTTTGGCTGATCCAAATATACCCGGAAAGCAACACATTTTTATCGCCTCCGGTAGTTGATGTGTCGATGGCGGGTTCGATCTCTATCCCTAAAAACATTCCTCGCGACACGACAGGTTGTAGAGATGAGTGAACTTGCTCATCGGGCTTCATGTCTCGGCCTGTGGTGAAGTGGGCGCTTTCGGACACTAAAACTTGAGCAGCCAAAGAACAACAAAAATGGCATTCACCCTTCGATGCCGAGTTGAACAATTCTTTCAAGGTGCCAAAGGGCACATTATCTGTGTCCAGACGGTCATAATCACGGGCAATCTTGACACGTTGATATGCAAGCGCGATGCTCTCGAACATGCTGTCGCATCTTTCGCAAAAACGATTGAACGCCTTCTCTGAAAGGTGTAGGTCGCCCGACGGTGTCGTATAAGTGAGAGGCATCTTGGTTCCCTGAGAGCGGTCAGGTCGTGAAAAATCGATGGCGCTGTTCGGATGTCGAGTGTTGACGAGATCTTGGTCGCTCTGGAGAAGGCATCAAGAAGTGGTCAAGTGAGAATGAAAGCGGGGTAATGGCAAGTTGAGGCTGAGATAACAAGCGGAAGTTTAATCTCTAGTTGGCTACTAACAGCCCTTCGGAAAAAGGCCATTGCAAAGTGTTTGGCCATTAACTGCATATGCAGGTCTCTTCAAGGTGGTTGTAGACCGGCGAATGGCTGGTTCGTGATTGCCATTCATCATGGAATCACACTGCCACAAAAACTTTCGGGAAAGAGCCAATGAAATCGAATCTCTGCAGGCAGCAGCAAAACGACTCACGGGCTTTATGCCCCCCCTGGAACTGCGCTGATGATGAACCAAACTTCAAGTCACCATCTCCCACGTCCTGCCAACGAAACCGCTGAATCCCAATCCATGTTATTTACCAGGACTGAGCCTTGAATATGGGTAAGGTGAGAAGTCGATATCCGCAAGTCAATGTATGTCTAGGAACGGGATCCCACAGACCGAGTGCAACCAGTTGTTGGTGCCAATGCCAGGGTTCGTTTGAGGTCAGAGGGTGGTTGATTGGAGAAGGAGGAAGACTACCTCCAAAACAAAAAAGGCCCAGAAAGACAACTAGACACAATCCCGCTAACAACTAGAATACCATTGCACCTTCCACGAGCCTCTTGAACCCATGCAGCCTCCAGAAGACGAAATCGTGCCTTCAGTCGCCCACCTATAAATCAAAATGAGCTACCTGACCACCGAAATTGGCTGCCTGACTCATACCTCATACCGAAGCATAACAGAGGATCAAACCCAATCGTGTTAGTATGTGTCCAATGACCAAGACGGAGACGTGGCGCAGTGGTACCACTACCACTAGACAGTCAGGCGTCCACTCTTGTTTGTTATTCACAGGTGTCTCGTTTGTGCCATTATGCTATCACCGTACAACATCTAACCTGCGACGGACCGCATGGCTTTGCTACCTGCTATCGGCCTTTTCTGGAACACTGCTTGACAGGGCAACATCAGTGCCAGCAAACACTTCGGCAACGATGTGTCACCAGAAGGACCAGACCAGACTTCGCTCGACTCAATGATGACAGGAAGTGTATCGACACAATTCCAGACCAAGAACACGGACATGACACACCGCTGACAGTGTCACTCTCAGGCACCACATAGCATCTACCTCACCGGTTTGCCAACATCCTGAAGAGTGTCACATGTACAAACAATCCGGCTAGAGGGATAAGTACCTCTACTAGGCAACATTGATCATGGCCTTCTCAAGCGAGAGGATACACACTGCTTTACAAGTGAGCCCACCACGGCATTTGTCGAAGGAACCACATGTGAAGAACATGTTTGGTGCCAAGGTAGCACGAAAGCGGTAACGGCATGCATCTGGGTTTCGCAATGGTGTCCGGCTCTCGGGGGGCTCTGCTGTTCATCAACCTTTGAAAGAGGACGTGATGGAGAAAAAAAAAAAAAAAAAAAAAAAAAAGAGACACACACCAGCACCCTTAAACATCACCTCCCCCATTTGCATGCAGCTTGGACTATAAGCCAGACCTGGACCCCTACCAAGCACATACGACCATACCCACTGGAAAACTCGGGATCCCGTCCGCTCTCCCATAGATAAGCCAGTGAGGGCCAGACTAGTAGTTGGGTCGGTGACGACCAGCGAATCCCTGGTGTTGTATGTTTCTCTTTTTCCTTTTCCTTTTTTTTATTTTACAAGCTGTCTTTCTCTCGCTTTCTGCGCACTCTGTGACCTCTGTGAGACTGGAGTATGCCTCGCCTTTGTGCATATTTAAGGTTGAGCCGCATGGTTTCAACACTTCTACTGAATAGCCAAGCATCTCTGTCCCCGTCGTGACTCCTGGTTGCACATGTGGTTACGTCCCCAACTCATATCTGTGGCTTGGGTAGGTAGGTATGGCATCACAGTGTTTGATATGTCGTGGTGGTAACGAACTCGGGAAAAAATCATTGAAGGCGTCCGTCAGTGGAAGTACAATAGTCTCTTGAAGAACGAGACCACAGCTGATCATATTCCTTGCCCTAATCTTGGTTCAAGATGCCACCCCAATATCTGAGCTTGGTGTTTCCAGCTTGGAATTCATCCATCCTCCACTCCTGCGATAACATCATCCAACTTCCATTTTATTCCTCACAAAGCTCAAGGATAGCAAATGCCAGGAACCCGCCGCTACCCCCCGGAACGAATACGCTACGCCACCTACATCTGGCCAGCAGATTGGCAGCCAGCAGAAACAACATCAACCTCAGCATCAACCTCAATAACATCATCTGATCACTACAACCTACAGCAGCAGCAGCAGCAACAACAAATCTGCGCCTGCTGCATCCCCTCCTCATACTACTACGTACCCCCCAGCCCCGAAGCTTTCCAACGCCACCGTTTCGTTCTCTCTCGTTGCGAACAGCTCGATCCTTCGCTTCTTCATCGTCACGGCTACAGCCAACTCATAAGCGACGCGACGAGCGTAGTTCTCTGGGCGATTTGGACACACCTCGTTTATGATGCAGAGTTGGTGTACATGAGCGTCGATTATTTTTGCTGGTTGGTTGATTGGTTGTTGTGGAGGGTTTATGGTTCGTTTCAATTTTCTTCCCCCCCCCCCCCCCCCCCGCCGCACGGGTTCTTCATCATGTCCTCCATTGCTGCTGCTACTGCAACAAGAGTCATTGTAAAGATCTTAGAGGTAACGATGTTATGACATGACATGATGACCTGACCAGAACGAGAAAAAAAAAACAGTCCCAACAGAACCCTTCCCCTTCACCTCCCACCCACCCACCAAAACCGGCCCTCCCTACAGCGACGTAGTTCAGTACTTCCTCTGTCGCGCTGACGGATTGCAGTGTCTGGAGGGTATTTTTGCCACCAGTATGAATGAGTTTATGAACTGCAGTAATCGGTACCACACCCGATGGAAGATGCAGCACGCTATTCAGAATATCTTTAACGGAGGACAGGTTTCCTATGGTGGGAATTGTGTCTGCGGACTTGGGTTGCCGCTGGTGGCTTCGTGTGCGTGTTTAGAGGTACCCTGGCCTGTTATGACTTGTAGGACGAGGGACATGGAGCCGGTTGTGATGGTGAGGGTTGAGGAGAGGACGAAGTGGAAGAAGAAGAAGAAAGTTAAGGAGTCGGGGTGTTTGGTTATGTAATGGAGAAGTCACAAGCCGCTGTTTCTTGTAGGGTAGGCAGATAGTGGAAGGGGACGAAAGGCTTCAGATTGAAGGGGTCACTTCCCTTTAGGTACGATGCTTGAGGAGGAACATGAGCCTTTAGGGTGCAACTGGGGCCCAGTGGAACTTCTGAAGAAGCGGATAACTATGGTGGCGGGCGCGCGTGGCCATATTCTGGGTGCTTAAGTGGTAGGTAGTAACCTCGACGGCGTGTGTGGTGGTTATGATCGTGGAGGAGTTCCACCTGGAATGGAAAGAAGCAATGGTACTTCAAAGATAATGTGAACATGCTTATAGCGACGGAAAGAGGACGTGTAGTTCAAAGCAAGTATGTACAGGGTAAACGTGATCTTAGATGAGAAAAAGAGACAGTAAGTCAACAGTAACTTCATTACACACTATCATTAACAGCTACCCAACTACGTAACTTGACGGGCGGATACATGGTTAACCGACAAGGTACTAGACCAGGCGAGTAGTAACAAAGTCTTTCTGAAGTCGTGTACACGAGGCGCGAGAAACCCAAAGCTGATTAAGTCCCTGCCCCGCCAATCCCCCCTCCTCCTCTCCATAAGTGTCCCTGTTGTAAGCATTTGATTTTCCCCAGAAACACCGCAACATCAATCCGTGTGCTTGCAAATGCATAGGTAGTTTTGCCATTGCCAACGACATGACACTTGCCCGTACTCATACACCACCTACTCTCCCCCCTTCCCAATTTTCGCTTCGCCTCGAATCGTGCTCATCATCCGTGTTCTTTTTTTTTCTTTTCCCTCTCCATTCAACAAAGGAAAGAAAAAGAGAAAATCAGATCAGAACCCCCACGAATCCGGTCTATCCCGCCAATTCGACGGACCCGCCTGCCCTTCCCTCGGCGCCATCGACGACATCTGCGTCGACAACCCCGACTGTCTCATCGGCATCGGCATAGGCTGCAACGGCTGAAACTGCATCGCCTGACTATGCGACGTGCTCGGCGGCAACGCCCAGGACGCGGTACTATTGCTGCAGGCAGTAGAAGGCGGCAGCATGGAGGCGGAAAAGATGCCGCTGCTAGCAATACTGACGCCGCCGAGCGATTCGACGCTGTTGCCGCGCGAGTGGTGGGAGTGCGTCGGCGAGGGGGGTTGCGGGAAGTAATCGGACATGCTGGTGGACACGCGTTCGAACATGCTGTGACGGTTTTCATTGGGCGTCGGGGACCTGAGGCCGTGAGCCGTGTCGAGGCCGGGCGGTGGGATGGCTTTGGTAGGGGCGCGGCTGGCGGTGGGGTTGGGTTGCGTGACGGGGGCGGGCAGGATGGTGCCGTAGTTGACGTTCTTCCCTTTCTCGGTCATGGTGGGTGATGATGGCTCCTCGTCCTCGAGCAGCAGGCCTTTGCCCATCGAGGATCGCTTCTTGTCACGCTTCGTGTAGGCGGCTACTTTCAGGGGGGTGTACTTGATGAGGAAGTTCTGGACGCGGGCGTTGCGGCGGTATTTGTAGAGGAGAAGGAACAGAACAAAGAAGAGGACCACAATGGCTGGGGGAGATGAATGTTAGTGATAAGTTCTTGGGGAGTAATGGCTGATGGTCTGACTTACTGATGACACCACCGGCAATACCAGATACAAGACCCGTGCTGCTGGTATTAGGCGAGTCCCCAGTGGGACTGTCGCTATTTCCTGTGGTAGAACCTCCACCCGCTGGCGTGTGAGTTGAGCCGGGGGTAGGATAAAGGTCTGGGTTGCCCCGTGAGGGGTCATCAGATCCAGATGCTTGCCCAGGGATGGTGCTTTCTACTGATGGGATGCTTGTTGGAGTGCCTGCGGCGATCCATGCAGTGGAGAGCGTAGTAGAAATGGCTTGGCCGTTATGTTGGATTGCTGAGTTATAGGAGGTGGCCGAAGGCTGAGAACCCTGCGCCCAATTATCCCCATCCCCCGAGGTACCATCCCCAACCGTATCTTCGCCCGACTCGGATGACTGACTCGGGACTGCCATTGGGGCGGCGAGAACAACGTTCCCAGGAAAAAATGCATTCCCATCAAAGCTGGCTGAGGTAGCCGTGGGCTGTACTGCAGTCGTATCCGAAGTCATGCTCGGTGGTGGAACGGTGGTGCTGTTGTCGTTATCAGATCCGACAGGTCCCGTGGCTCCCTTGCCAGAGTTGGATCCATCATTCCCCGCATTTCCGGCGTTACCCTTATCCGCACCATTCGAACCAGGGCCACTTCCTGATCCGTTGCCTTGTCCAGATCCTTCACCCGATTTAGTTCCAGGATTCGATCCTGATCCTTTTTCAGCTCCCTTCGTTGGCTGCGGCGTGATGCTGGCTGACGAGGGCTTCACGACTGCGGGAGCAGTAGTGGCTGGCGGTGCTACCACTACCGGTGGCTGTGTCACAACGGGAGGACTCGCGGGCTGAGTCTTTGTTGCGGCTGGAGGTGGTGCTATAACTGCAGGAGGTGAAGTTGCGGCTGGTGCCGGTGTTGTCGTCGGCGTTGTTGTCGGCGTTGTTGACTGCGGCGGCGCCTCCACTGGCTCTTCTGGCGTAGGACAACCTGGTGCCTTGGGAAAGGCCTTGCACAATGGGCTCAGAAGCTTGTCAAAGACTTCCTGGATTATCCGCTTCTCCAAGCCATGATGGAACCCATCTTGATTGTCCATTGTTTGGCTGGTCTCGGTGCCGTTCAGATCACAAAGAGTGTGATATGTGGACGTTGATTTCTCGTCGAAGTTGTCCGCTGGTCATTGGATGTGCTGATAGCGAATGTTTTGCTGCTGTCAAACGAGTGACATCCCAAACGAGTGGAGGGATCTGTTGCAGAGTGGGATGAAGTTAGGGAACAGAGAAGAGAGAAAAAGAACAGACGAGACGCATTTGGTAGCGTGGATCGGAGATCATGGACACTAGCAAGAGTTATACTAGCTCAGACGTAATGCAATCAGGTCCTGTATAGAACCCGAATCTCTCACCAGGAGTCACATCCGTTACCTCCCGAGCACAGCGTTGACGAATCATGGAAGTCGTGGGCCGGGGGAAAAGCAACGGCAGTACAGTCTTTGATGCATGGACTGCACATTGGCCTCTGTTGCTGAGCAGTTGAGCCCTGTCACTGGTATCCCTAGGTTCGGTAAAGATCGACGGAACGGCCCTTGTCAAATGGAGGTCTGTACCTGACGCTATACCCAGGGCGGGATAGCGCAATCTGCCCCCAATTTCAACCTCCCCGAGCTCCCGCTTGGCACCGATAATTCAGGGGCCACACTGGCCATGAGGCACCCCGAGCTCGACGACGACGATGCTACCCTGGACCCCAGTATCACATCCAAGTTCTTGATTATAGCCACGGCGGCAGCAGGGCAGACTCTCCGCGGTTTGAAAAGACGAATTCTGGTCGGCGAGACTGTGCAGAACAGAAAGCCCGGCGTTGCAGCGGGCTGACTTGGCTGATGAAGAGACAATTTCCGGGGGCCTTGAGTCTAGTGTACGCCAACAAGCTCCGCGCGCTAGATAACAAAAGGGACAAGGACACTTTATCCGGTCTTCTCGGCTCCTGTTTGCAACTTGGCGGTGCACTTCAAACAGTGTTTCGACTGGGATGGCATTAAGCTGCGTCGCGTGTCCTGGTCGCATTCTGCGAGGGCTTGTGGGATTGTCCGAAAGACACGACGAAGGGTAGGGCGAACAGCATTGGGCGGGAAGCGCACAGGTCATGGCAGATCCGAAGCTGATCCCATCAGTGATCCAAGGCCGATCACGCCGTCTCAACGGGGAAAGGGTCGGCGCAGAGCACCTCGTCACCCACGCTCATTTCCGTCTCTGTATGGCACACGCTGATCTTTGACGGATAAGGCTAAGGCAGGAGCCCAAAAGAGTGAAGATACGAGGTGGAACAAAAAGAGGTTGGACGAGACAGACCGTGTCTATTGTCAGGTTTGCACGTTGCAAGTCGCTTCGAGCAATTACTGGCCTTGCCATATGTACACCACATGCAGCACAGTCTTCAAGCTCGGTTTCCCTTTGAACTGTGTTGATGCGTGGGCCACCAAGATTATCTTGTCGTCGTCTCTTCGTCGACGCGGAGCCCGATCAGATAGATGGACAAGGTTCCTCGCTTGCATGGCCCTGCATGGCCCTGCATGGCGTTTTTCGGAGTCGATTGGGACGCTTAGGGACCCCCACTTTTACACTTGCTTGAAGGTACACTGAACTAAACATCACATTGGCTTGTTCGTCTTTCCTGGTCCGTGCTGCCGCCAAGTCCCACGTTCAGGTCGAAGTCAGTCACTTTGTGGTTTTTGACGAGGTTGAAAAAGACATCGTATCGGGTTGGGGTGAGGTCGATGCCGTGGTTGGGACAAGTGTTGTTGTTGAAGAGTTGCTGTTGGCCCCAGATTGTGGAATTGACCAACTTCGCGTATCTGGTAGACTGTAACAGGCGAAGAACCCAATGCTTCCGTCATAGTGCAGATGACGTTGTTGGCCTGCCATCCACACTATGAATAATATCGGGTATCACCCCCTTGCTCTCTCCACCTCGGTTCGACTCCGGCTGAAGCTCGCCATCACCAGGCATACACCGTTGGGGGTACTGGTACCGCATTTGATGAAGCTGACGAGGTGGAGGTGACGCTTGTCCCTGACGAACTTTGTTCTTCGGGGAGTTGCCGACGAGCCATACCGACAATCTCCCTATCACGGGTCACCATCACACCCAGGAAATTTGATAACCACATGACTTGGTAGTCAGGGCTGGGAATAGTGACGCTAGGTCAGTGGGTGAAACGCTCAGAAAACCAAAGATCTTTTTTCGGACATACCCGTCTTCACCCAAGTTTGCCGAGGTCCATTGGGGAGCTTCGACTTGGTCAAAACCACGATTTACCCGTACGTAGCAGCGTTCGGCAAGGAAGTAGACGGCAATGATGATTAAAACGCAGGGGAAGAGAGCGCCCATAATGTTCCATGATGATTGAAGCGAGGGCGGTTTGGACCTTGTGCTCAAGATGTCTGTTTGAGGAGAACGGTTCGGTAGGGCCAAGGCCAAGGTCAAGCTGGACCACAAACAGCTGGCAACGAGGATTCGGGTGGTGATAAGTGAGGGCATTTTCTTGTCGTACTTCATTGGGTTATTTCGATGAGCAAGTGTTGGATGGGATCCAGCTGAGCAGAAAGGGTGTTAAAGGCTTCTCTCCCTTCTCTTTTCTTTGAAGGTTTGTGACCACAGCCGCGGAAAAATTAAGATAGCAGCTGACGGTATGTAGGCCAGATAAACACTCGTCTATCCATCCGTACAACCGTATGAGAATGAGAGCTTATTGATGGGGGTTCACAGACGGCGAGTACCCAGCCATCTGTATTGAGCTCGAGTCTCCCTGTGTTTCGTCAAAGGAAATGCCGCTGAGTTGTGAAAGGGGGGGAACCGAGGATAGCACAATGTTTGAACTATGTAAGACGAGCAGTTCAGCGTCCGTTGTCATGAGGACCAGGAAGAGTATCGAAGCCAGAGGTACTACCAACGCACACAAGGGGCGCTTCTCGAGGCAGGTGGTGAGACAAAGTGCGCCTGTATCGTGGACGTCTGTCGCCATTGTCTTTGGCCAATAATTTAATTTGCCGGGCCGTATTGAGGAAATCAACCCAGCAGAGAGAAAGAGCCTCGAACAGAGTTAGCGTCTCGAGGGCACTGGGTGGCGATTGGCTCTGGATCTTGACCACAGTGTAGTTCGTTCATCGACGGGGAGCTGAGCCACGAGAGAGGTTTGAATTTGCCGGGCCGCATCTCCGTGGTAGGGAGAGACGTAGACTAGATATGTGGTGCGCCGTAAGACTTCAACATTGTCGTCGTCACACCGCCGCAAGGTAAACATGATTTGGCTGCACCGCGAGACGCCGTGCCTGGCGGTCGTCATCCATGACAAGGTAGCTGAGTCAGAGTCGTAAGCGCTGCTTAATTTCTTTCGGAAGGTCACAGTACAAGTCGGACTGCCGTGGTGTGGTGGACATATCGAGGGATTCCAGTCTGACTGGTGACAAATTGAAATGCGACTGGAGACGGATGAAGTGAGGTTATCGCAAACTTTACAAAAGTTGTGCCCTGGCATACCTCTAGGTACCTTACTGAAAAGCCCATCTTCTACTAACATCTTCTCACCTTTACTGTCACTGAAACTGTTAGCTCACGATAATCGCAGCATGGGCATTATCAATGCCGAGACCCGCGCACCTTCCGAATTGGGTCCTGTCGGCAGTCAGCCATTGGATGACGAATCGGCCAGAATGGGACGAGCGGGTACCTGGATTTGGGATTGGCCAATGGCGTTGCGCCAACTCGGTGAGCTCCATCCCCCGCTTTATGTACTCCTCCGTCACGGCTAAGCTCCTTCTTTTGTTATTGTTTGGACCTCCAAGGTGAGCTGTCCGCGTGTCGCATCATCACCCGACGACAGCACCTTAGGCTCAGGATCTGCAGGTAGCTGTAGCGCCCCTCACGTGCTACAAGTTTGGCCTTTTTCCCTCGGGTCGACACTTCAATCTCCTCCTCCAATTTCCAACCTCCTCCTCCTTGTCCACCACTCTGTAACAATCACACGACGTGGGGAGACAACGGCCGGAAAGGTTTCACCCATCAACAAAAACAAGTCACCTCAAGACCACAACAATGGACGAGAAGGGCGGCGGGCTGCCCCCGTACAGCGCTATGGCGCCTCCCCCTCCGGCATGGAAGAGGAAGAAGATGCGCCGGTCCAGAGGCCTCAAGTTCCTCGCCGTCGCCTGCATGGGCTTCATCGCCTATGCCCAGTGGAGGCAGCTCCCTTCGCGCTCAGAGCCCGTCAACGGCAACGTTACGGTCCACGGCCTGTCGGTGCAACGCTTGCACGACGACCTCACCACCTGCTCCAAGCTGCGCCAGAAACCCCAAGACCCCATCGGCGAGGGCCGCGAGAAGAACGCCCGCTACATCGATGGCCATGCCCCCACCCTCATCAAGAACGCGACTGTCTGGATCGGAGAGCCCACCAAGGGTACCTCTGCTGCCGATGCGCGCAAGGGCAAGGGCTACAGCTGGATCAAGGCCGACGTCTACCTCGAGTATGGCCTCATCAAGAAGGTCGAGTCTGACATCGCCGCCTCCAGCTTGCCCAAGGGCACCCACGTCTTTGACGCCAAGGGCCGCCCTCTTACCGCTGGCATCATCGATATGCACAGCCATGCCGGCGTAGACTCGTTGCCTAGTCTTGACGGAAACGAAGACACCAACGAGCTCTCGGCGGACATCACACCCTTTGTCCGCTCCATCGACGGCATCCAGCCCAACGACCACCAGATCCAGGTCATCAAGTCTGGGGGTGTCACCACCAGCTTGATCCTGCCTGGTTCGGGCAACAACATGGGTGGTGAGGCATACGCCATCAAGCTGGCTGTTGGTAAGCCCGACGGTCGTAACGAAACCAGTGCCGCCGACATGCTGGCTGATCCCGAACGCAACTGGAGGTTCATGAAGATGGCCTGCGGTGAGAACGCTAAGCGTGTCTACGGGCGGGTTGGAGAGCAAGGCCCTACCAGCCGTATGGGCGAGAGCTGGGAGTTCCGTCACGCCTTTGAGCAAGCATCCAAGTTGGTGCGCGATCAGGATGACTGGTGTGATGCCGCCACTGCAGTCGGTGTGCAGAACATGAAGGGATATCTCCCCCAGGAACTGAAGTGGGAGTCGCTTGGCGCCTTGTTGCGCGGACAAATTCACCTCAACACTCACTGCTACACCATCCCCGATCTCGAGGCTTTTGTCGATCACACCAACGAGTTCAAGTTCAAGGTCCGGGCCTTCCACCATGCCCATCAGACCTATCTGGTTCCAGAGGTAAGTCATGGAGCCAACAAGATTATCAGGCTATTCTGTTGCTGACGAAACGGACGACAGATTCTCAAGCGCGCCTACGGTGGTGACCCTCCTGCCTCTGCCATCTTTGCCGATAACATGTACTACAAGGCCGAGTCCTACGTCGGTTCCGAGTTTGCTGGAAAGTACCTCTGGGACAACGACTTGACCCCCATCTATGTCAGCGACAACCCGGTTCTCAACGCCCAGCACGTCCTGTTCGAGGCCGCCAAGGGCCACAAGTATGGCTTGCCCTACCACGCTGCTCTCGCCTCCGTAACCACCGCTCCGGCTGAGCGTCTCGGCTTTGGCAACAGACTCGGCAAGATTAAGCCTGGATTTGACGCCGATGTCGTTGTCTGGGACAGTGATCCTCTCGAGGTGGGCGCCACTCCTGTGCAGGTGTGGATCGACGGTACTGCCCAGTATGAGCACCCTATCGTGCTGAACAAGACCGTGCCCAAGTTGATCATTTCGGAGGAGAGCACCTCTACCATTGTTGAGGAACCTGTCGACATGAACTCGGTTGTCTTTACTGGCATCACCAATGTTCTTGGTGACGTTGAGATCCAGGGCGGAAGCAAGGACGCACAGTCCTACAGCGCCGTCATTCGCAACGGCAAGGTCACTTGCGTCGGTGTCTGTACCGAGGAGGTGCGCATGGCATCTACCTCCAAGATCCCAGTCATTGAGCTCAAGGACGGTCACTTCACCGGTTCTTTCACGGCCTTTGGCTCCCAGATCGGCCTAAACGCCATCGACGCCGAAGACTCCACCGACAACGGCGACAATGTCAATGTCTTTACCCGTGCTGAAGACGGTCTCACCCTCGACACTAAGAAGCTGCACGCGGCCTACAAGTACGGCGTCACCAAGGCCATTACGGCACCCAAGTTCAACGGCGGCCAGACCCACCACGGCACGAGCGTCGGCTTCCTCACAGGTGCCACTAACCCCCTTGCCAATGGCACCATCTTTGCCAGCGACGTCGCCGTCCACTATAGCCTGAACCCCGACGTCAAAGAAGCCGAGGGCACGCCCTCTCTGTCCGCGGCCGTCGGCGCCCTCCGCCGCAAACTTCTCCAAGCCGCCACCAAGCTCAAGAAGAACGAGACCATCGAGCCGGCCGATCTGTACTCCGAGTCCACCTTCCTGCAACAGGTGGTCAACGGCTCTCTCCCGCTCGTCCTGACCATTCACAACGCCGACATCATCGCGGCTGCCCTGCGCGTCAAGAAGGACGTCGAGTCTCTCACCTCCAGTAAGATCCACCTCGCTATCTTTGGCGGCGCCGAATCGCACCTTGTCGCCGAGGAGCTCGCCGCTGCGCAAGTCGGCGTCGTTCTTGCCCCTCTCCAATCGTTCGCCACGTCGTGGGACCAGCGCCGCGCGCTTTCGGGCGCTCCTCTGACCAACGGCACGGCTATCGACGTGCTTCTCGATGCTGGTGTTACCACGGCGATCGGATTGGAGGAGGATTGGCTGGTTAGGGACTTGGGATTGTTGGCGGGTATTGCGTATGCGAATGGCGGTGGAAAGTTGAGCAAGAAGAGCGCACTGGAGTTGGTGAGTGGGAATGTGTTTAAGATTCTGGGGGCTAAGGAGCCCAAGGTCGAGGAGGGCCACTTTGTGGTGTTTGAAGGGAGTCCGCTGAGGATCCAGAGCAGGGTGAAGGCGGTTTCCGGGGGGTTGGGGGTTGTTAGTGTTTTTTGAGTGACTGAGTGTGACATGATGACTGATGAGGGTTTTTGGAAATGATACGGGTTTGGACATGTGGGATATGAGGGATATGATGAGATATCTGACATTTGGATATAAGACGATGATTGATGACAAGGTATATACGAATTTTTGAAGATATTACTGGGCTTTTGCAAATGCCTCCTGCGCATCACGAAAGCAGATCTCCTCCTTCGCTCGCGCACCGTGATGATTGATCCCTGAGCCGTGTTCCTCGATGCAGTGGCGACTTTGTAGCTGGGATACCGTCCCCCACAATTTATAACTATATAGGCAAGAGTTTCGTAACTCAAATTCAACAGCAACAGGTCCGATGGTGTAGTTGGTTATCACGTCAGTCTAACACACTGAAGGTCCCCAGATCGAGCCTGGGTCGGATCAAATCTGTTCATTTTTTTTGTTCTCCTTTACATTTTGTTGATAACAAGTCTAAATTTCTTTCCCTCCTTTTCCAACGCCTTTCTTCCTCTGTCCAATTTTCTTCCCGTCTCCCAAAATTATGGACAAGATGGGAGCGTGTTTTGTTATGAAGTATTACTATTTTGCTTGTAGGTCCGGATTTCTTTTTAAAACATAATTGAATGGTTGGTGATCGCTTCTAAACGTTTTCCTCTATTGTTCCATTTCTTTGTTTCTTGCCCGCTCAGTCACACGAAAAACTTGGTATATCAAACCCACGAGGGCTAGAGAATTGTCGGGGTGGATGGTTTGACTTTCCAGCGGGTGGTTATATGGTCCTTGATAGTAAGTTCAGGGCAATGCCAGAACATAGTCATCGCACTCCTTCGCTCCATCTGAACTCCTCATAGTATCAATGTATGTATCATCGTTGACTGTGTGTTCCTTTCCATGATGATATGGCATGGACAAATGGCACACGATGCGGCACTCCTGTCAAGTCAAGTCAGCAGCACTTACCCTTCAACATCATTGAAGGCCAGGCCAGGCCAGGTCAGACCATGCACTCGAACTCGACTGCTTCATCTCGTCCGCCCAATGTCTTCTTTTCCGTTCCTCTAGGCGAAGAAAAAAAACATATTCGATTTTTCAATTTCCAAATCCTGGGGAATGCCTGCGACCATCATCCTCATCCTCATGGACCAGACCCTGACGATCCGGTTTATGTACCTACCTACATATTAGGTACCTCAACTCCAATCTCACTGATCTCGACCCTCGTTGACACCGACGCTATTGATGAGGCTGTGGTCTGTTGATATTGCATCCGCCCGCGTCCACATGCACAGAGAGGAAGCCACTACACTACTGCAAAAGCTGGGCGGCCGAGATTCGGTTCCTGTGTTGCGAGATTACGAGCGATAAGAATCGCGTGTTAGCGATAACATTTGTGTGTTTTGTGTTAGTGTGTTGCTTGACACATCCCGTCTCCGTCCCCTGTTTGCCCGGCGGCGCTTCCATGTCGGGTCTGATACGGAGCTGCCCTGAGCCATGCTGACTGCGGGGAGTGTGGACTGTCCTTGGCCCCTGCTATATTCATAGCGGACCTGAGGTTTATTAGTGAGGTGTAGGTAGTGCTTTGACCGCTGGCAGTGCTGGGGCTACCGGCGCTGTCAGCTGTGAACCTTCCCCCGGTGCCCCGGGCCGCGTGGAGTCCTTTCCAGTGTCGGGGGGGCGGGTGGGCATTTCGTGGGGTTAGGTGCCCCTGCTGCCCCTGCTGCCCCTGCTGCGCCCTGATGGCGTCTTTCCATTTTCACTTTTGCGTCTTTTCCACGTTTGGTGTTTCAGCCCGATGACGAGACAGACAGCTCGCTTCCTTCATTGCTTCCGCTTCGCTTCAATTGCCACTTAATGTCCCTTATCTTCCTCTCTCAATAGTGGCATACAGTACACTACTAGACGTGTAGTCGTCGGGCCTTCTTTTGGCCCCAAAACCGTGCGCTTGGAACTGCGTGTTGATTGACTCCCTTCCGCCGACGAAATGACGATCCGGCACTCGGCAGAACAATGTGATGTGCTGCTGCCTTCCGGTACTCGGAATGCTAACCTCTGAAGGGGCCTAGAGCGCCTTCAAACTGCAACTGCATCACAGCCTCAATCAACACTGGTCTCGGAACGGAATCCAAAAAAGAAAAAAAGAAAAACCACGCCAGGCGTAACATCGGTCGTTTTATTCGCATCCGGACGGACGGTATTCTAGTGTAGAGGCTTGGACATCTCTCATGACAGTCAATCAGGCACGGTACGATATTGGTTGAATCTCCGCTGCCATAGCCATCTGAAGCAGAACCAACGACGACGACGGGAGGCGTTCCGACCGGACCCGAACCACCAACAACAACACCACCACCACCACTACCAAAAACCCCGATACTTTCTATGTGTGGTACATAGAGGTCATCTAAAATGCAGGGGCAGGTAGTATTGTTACCCCGATACTCCTGGGTGAGACCCGGAACCATCTGGAAAATCATCAATGCAGCCACACTGCATCGAGTCAAGCAGCACGGGAATGCATGATGCAAAGACAGGGACTTGAAGAGTTTAGTTCATGTCAGGAACCCAAACCACAAAGAACGAGAAGAACGGAACGAACAAAAAAAATCATAATTCCCGCAAAGTATGAAGATCCTGTGGAACGCAAATCGTCACGATGTTCATGTCCACTACCACCTCGACGCACATCATGGAGTTGCGGCAACCATTCAGATGGCAGCATGGGGGTGTGGGCTGGACTCCATACACCATGACCGGGGGCTTGGCGCCGGCTCGATGCTAGGAAGCCTTCCAACTGCAAAGATAGGCCAAAAGGGAAATAGCTAGGGAACATCGGGTTAGGATGGGTCCAGCCAGTCACAGGCCGATGCAAGAGAAGGACTCGACTCGTGCAAACCAAGCCGTCTTTGGTAACCCGGCTTAGACAACCCTTTCTGGATGAGCATTGCATGCAGAATGTGACTCTATTTGAATGGTTCTAGCGCTGGTGATTACATACTTGGCTCTTGGGTCTGGAGGAAATCTCTAGCGTACTCGGGCTTCTCGAACCTGACCACCATCGACAAATGCAACTCGCTTCGGAAGCGAAGAGTTCCCTCCCGACACTCCTCAACACTTCAGCCGGTCAAACAGCCATGGTCGTCTGTCATCTTCAATTTACTAGGCCTCTTCTGGCTCACTGTCTGTGAGCGTGGACTTGACTCGGAACCGGACGACTGGACTTACACGGCATGATACACGCCCTCACTATTACATACGGACAAACTTTGTCTTTTCTTTCCCTATCTACCTTACCCACCAACGGCTCGACACTCCCTCACACTATCACCACCACCATACATATCTGACAGCCACTCACTCAACCGACGATCATTTCCAATAACTATGCCATAAACACACTTTATAAAAAACAACGACACATATCAGACAGACATGTCTATCTACACGGACCCACCAGCCTTACGGCCGTTCAGCGACGACAAGCCCATCCTGCTCGTGAGCTGGTGGCTCACCCTCTTCTGCACCGTCGTCATCATTCTCCGTGTGGTTGGGCGCTATGTGCGCATGGAAAAGCTGTTTCTCGAGGACAAGATCGCCGCTCTCGCCCTGATCCCCATGTACCTTCGAGTCGCATGTGTGCATGTGCTTCTCTTATACGGCACCAACAACGTCGAGCTCGTGAACAAGGAAGGACTGCACCTGTCTGAGCAGGCGATAGCCAGGCGTGTAGTTGGAAGCAAGCTTGTTTTGGCTACTCGTTTCTTTTACTTTACTACGTAGGTTCTTCAATTCTTCAAGTCTTTATTTGTAGACAAGAAAGGCTAACAAGTCACGACACAGACTATGGACTCTCAAATCCATCACCCTCCTCTTCTTCAACCGCCTCGTCGGCACCGCCGGTCGAACCAAGTACAACCTCACCCTCCGCTTCCTCCAAATCACCATCGGTTGCACCTTCGTCGCCTGCTTCATCAGCAACCTTTCCGAATGCTTCCCCGTGACGCACTACTGGCAAGTCACGCCCGACCCGGGCGGCCAATGCCGCCAGTCCTACGCGCATCTCCTCGTCGTAGCAGCCAGCAGCGTCCTGACTGATTTATTGCTGGTCGTTTTCCCCATCCCGATCCTGATCCAGTCGCGCATCAAGCTCAAGCGCAAAATCCTCCTCGTTTCCCTGTTCTGTTTAGGGCTGTGCACCGTCTGCATCACGCTGTACCGGGTGCCCAACATCCTGTCGGAAAGGGGATACCAAGGCACGCGCACCATGTGGGCCAGCACGGAGATTCTCGTGGCCACGTTTGTCAACAACGCGATTGCGCTGGGCACGTTTGTACGCGACACGGGCCCCAAGAAGAAAAAGTTCAAGCCGCAGCATCAGCATGAGCTGCAGCAGCATGGATATGGCAATTTCTCGCGGGCGGAGACTGCGTACAACGCTTATGGGAGCTCAAGCAGGGATAGGAAGACTGTTTCTTCGATGAAGCCTGGTGGGTTTGGAACAACAACAACGGCAACGATGAATTCGTTTGCTGAGAGAACAATGAATGATAAGAGGGGGAGTATAAGCTACCCGCAGTACGGCGTCAGCGCCGAGGCAGGGAGCGATAACAAGGCGGGTATCGTCATCAGGACAGATACTACTGCTGGGAGTGGTAGTATTGCCAGCAGCGGCCACAGCAACGACGATGAACATGTTCATGGTGGAGACCTGTCGTTGTCGTTGGAAGCCCGCGATAGCGTGGCGTCGAGCACCCTACCGCCACCACATGAAAATAAACCGCGAGAACGGGATTCCCAGGAATCCCTGATCCCCAAGCCTGGTAGTGGCGGCGGCGGCGGCAGCACAGAATATGGTGGTGGTGGTGGTCATATCGGGCAGGCCATGTCGTACTTTGGCACGGTCATGAAGACGACGGAAATCAGCGTCACGGTCACGCAGGCCAACGAGGCGGATCTCAGGGCGCAGCATGATGGGGGGAGAGTCCCGCAGAGTCCGCTTTACGAGAATCATCATCATCATCATCATGAGCAGATCAGGGAGGCGCCGAGGGTGATGACGGCGGGGGAGAGGGGTGTGGCGAGGGGGACGACCAAGTTGTTGAAGTCGTTGCCGGGCAAGGAGCACGAGGAGGGGGAAGAGGTTTGACGATGAAGTTGGAACTAGGTATCTATGGTGCTGGATGAGGTATATGGGACATGACGATGATGAAGATGATGTTTGGAGATTTAATTGGATACCTATTTTCCTTTGTCTTTGTTTATTCTTACTTGGTTACCTACCATACGGCGGTAGCATTTACAAAATACAAGCTGCTTCAAGTGCATCTCAGGTTCATGCAGTTCATGCAGTTCAGAATCATCGTGTGAGTGTGTTCTTGTTATTCCCAATTAGTGCAGTACCAGCCATGGTACATACTCGGTGTTGAATGATCGCCACGAGTCTAGACTTCGTTCAGTTGTCTGCTATCCACCACAGCCAAACTGCCAAAGTTTGCGTGAAACACACGAGGATCACCTGCTAAGACTTGCACGAACCAACTCCCAATCGGAAGAGAAGGAAGGCATTGCCGACGGTAATTATTCCGGCGTTTTGACGTAGCTTCCACTTGGCTTGCATATCTAGTGTATTCATGGTACCTCTAATACCGGATGAATGCCCCTCCTTGGAAAGGGTACTTTATGGAAAGATAGTGTAGACAACGAAGTGCTTACCGTTGTCGGCAATGGTCCTCAGCCGTTCGCCGGGTTCGAGGCCGACTACCTAGTCTACACTACTTGCCGAATCTACCTATACCTATTGATATGATGGTTGCTCGCTCGGACCTTCTGTGGCTTTCTTCGCTTCGTTGATACATTAAACTAGTAGGTAGAACTAATGAGGAGGTGATTACCTTGGTTCTAGACGTTAGATATCGGCGGTCCTGGTGTATAGCGTCTTGTTGGCCTGGGGGGTTATTGGTGACAAGGACTAGGCCAGATGAAAAGCTATTCTGGACTTTTACCATTACACTAGTAGTGTACCTAACTTGGGGCAAATTGCTTGGATTTGAGGTCGTCGCGGTCCCGACCCCGGACCGGGCAGGCCATCCATCACATCTTTCACAAAAACGTGGTTATCCAGGCCTCGCAACGGAATTAGAGCGCACACCGGAATTCCGTGTGACGAGGTAGTGTACTGTACTGTGTAGCTTCCCGTTATCGGCAGCTTTCCCTCGTGGCAAGGAAGGGGAACGAATGGGTCCGAGTCCGAAGAGGAGGAACGGAACAAGCGAAAGGGGGGAGAGAACAGCAGCCCTCTCTCGACCCCAGATCCCAGAAAGGCATGATGAACAAAAGAATATGACGCTAACAAATGTGACGACGCTGATATGCTGCTGACGATGCGTTAGCAAGTTAGGTAGCGCCTGTGCTTTCATCGAGTGTCGAATGGGCGTTGATAAAGAGCTCTGGCCCCCCTGGCTGGGCTCCCCCTTGGACGTCGACAGGGTTAAAAAATGGGCAAACCCCGGGTTCGCGAGGGGTCGAGGGGGCCCCATCACCCCCACTGATTTTCCTAAGCACAGCGCAAATAAATGGACCACAGCGATTACCCCCCAGGACTCCATGACGAAATCCACCCATCACTAAAAGTACAGATCGCCATTCCACACGATTCAGGACGAGAGGTAAACTGGGTTTGAGGGAAAGCAATTGGTTTCTTGCTGGGTGATAGATGGGCATTAAGGGAGGATGGTCGCAAAGGTTTTGAGCCATTGGGGATCCTCGGAAGTCACCGAGAAAAAAAAAGAGAAAAAAGGGCGATTTGAGTGGCTTGGTGGCGTTTGACAAGGGCGATGAAGACATGCGATCGATGTTTGTAAATCAATCGCAAAAAGTGCGCCATTCCCGTGCGGCAGAATATTCCTTCTTTCTTGTAGTGTAGTGACGGGAGGGAGCATGGCGTCGGTCCAACTTGCCGATTCTTCAGCACTTGGTAGTGTACATAGTAAATCATGTGGAAAAAAAATGACAAAAAAAAGAGGAAAAACAAAAAACCACGCACAATGAATGGACGATCAATCATGTACTATGTACAGAACACAGTCCTTTTACCCGACGAGAGCTCGCAAACGTAGCCATCTCTGTAATTAGTTTCTTGCGCCATTTTTCTCCCGGCCCATAAGAGCATTTCATGACCTTGGGATTAAATAATCTGTAGCCTCGTTAGTAAGCCAAGAGCGCGCTGCTTGGATACAAAAGAAGTATCTTGAAGTCATTGGAAGATGTGACACTTTGGTGAATCAACAACCTCATTGGCCACAAACCCCCTGTCGGGAGAGGAATGGCGCAAGAACCGGTTGAAGAGATAAGGTTGGCAGCTGGAGGCCTGATTGCTCTGGGGGACCCTTGATCACGGTCGGTCCCCAAAAGAAGGATGAAACTCAAAGCGGAAAGGTCCCTTGTGACAGACTTCTTTCAAAGCCTCAGCTCGAGCAAATCACGAGCCATTGTGCGACAATGTGACATTGTTGGTTGTGAGTGGAGACTTGTCATTTACTCTTGGCGCCAAGAGGGCCCGAGGGGCGAGGTGGGCGTTGATAGCGCGAGCTTTGGCCGAGGTCGGGGATGATTGATGTTGGAGGGACAATTGATCAATTTGGGACAAGGCAAGGGAAGGAGGGGCGGGATGCTCCTTCACACTTTTTCCCGACTTTGCAAACTGTGAACTGTGGGTAGCTGGATTCAGTTGGTGTGGGGAAATTCCACTGGCATTTCATTTTTGGAATTCGGCAAGAGTGACTGATTGATTGATTGCACTTTCAGTTTTGCCAATTCGCCCGTCCGCGGCCATCGGCTTGCCGTGTCGCCTTCAGTTTTTCTTCTTCAATTTCCAGGGAGAACCAAAGACTACTGTCAGACTGACTGGACACTGCAGCAATCCACGGCCCGTGATCCTGCCGTGCCGCGGAAAAAGAAAAAGCCATCTTCCAATAAAGACACACATACACACACACACACCCAAGCCCTATATTCAGGGGCAATAGACGTCTGACACGGAACACCGGATAGGAGGGGTGTGAACGAGTGAGAGGACTCGCAGCTCGCTTCTTCATCACCATCATCATCTGGGCATCATTGTGGAAGCTCCCGTGGAAGAGTGTCAAGAGGTCCAGCCAACCGCGTGGCTGCGATAAAAACCAGACCAGGCTAATAATTAACACATGCAGAAGTCGTCCCAGTCCAAGCCAGACTAGACTGACCACTAGGTCTCTACATTGACGCACAGCAGGGGGCGGACAAGTTCACTCTCGGGAAGGAGGGGAACCTAGAAGGCTCCCAGACACTCGGAGTTCAAGATAAGACCAGGGTCGACTCGATTTCTCCCACACACAGATACACTACACTACACTACACGCAACCGAAGACACCTCCTGCGGGGCAAATACCATTTCGAGAGAAGCTTCTTGTTGTCTTCCAGAGAGACTACTGAAGCGGACACACATCCGCGGTCCATCAGCCCTTTGTCATCACATCAACACTTGGAGGAAAAAAAAAAGAGGTAGCATTGCTTCCTACCTGCTCAAACAAGCACTCTACATATACTACATTTACATCCAGCGTCGATCCGGAACCCCCATTACAATACCACCCGATCCCACTTCACACTGGGTAACTCACACAAGAAAAGAAAAAAAATCCTCCATCCGATCCCGTCAGTTCGGTCCCACCCCGGAGACCGGAACCAGGGCCCTTTGAGGCGTGTCATAGGCACCTTTAACCCCTTCCTATACTACCTATAACCCTGCCCATTCATCAGCTTCTGGCCTGCGGTGGACAGCTGTGGTTCACGTACAGTGTACCATAGTCTGTGTGTCAGGCCAAGCGATATCTCACTCCTTTGATATTGACTGGTCTGTTCTTTTCTCACCACAGACACCATCACTCATAACATACTCCTTATGAAGGATACCCTCACGTCATCAGTGTCAATGTAACCAGCGAACAAATCACCCTCCTTTTTTATCCCCAAACATGGCTGGATTCGATCAGGATATCGAGCTCAGTGCTTACTCACACTCTCACGGACTTGGAATCAGTGGTAATGGTCGCAGTGGTCGACAGCACAGCATAGCCGAGGCAAGCAGCTTCACCCTCGGCGGCGCCTCCCCTTCTCCCCGAACCAAGTCCTTTGCCGATGTATCACCTGGCGGCAGTCATGGCCGCTCGAAATCTATTGCTGCTGCCAGTGACGGCGCGGGTGGAGGCTTCCACGGTACGATGAGCCGCTTCGTGGACTCCTTCCGCCGCGGCGACGGCACCATCAACAAAAATCTCGACTTTGACGACGACAACAATACCAGCTCACACGGCTACTCTTCCCACAGCATCTCGCGCGGCCATGGCGGCACGAGATACTATGACTTGCGCCCGGGAACTGGCAAAATAAACACGCCCAGCTCGCTGCTGGCTAGAGAGCTAAAGGGCCGGCATCTGCAGATGATTGCCATTGGAGGGTCCATCGGGACGGGTTTGTTCGTTGCCTCTGGAAAGACATTGAGCGACGGCGGACCAGCGAGTGTGTTGATTGCCTATCTCATTATTGGCGTCATGTTGTTTTGCACGATACAGGCCTTGGGCGAGCTGGCCGTCATTTTCCCCGTAGCCGGATCCTTCTCGGCCTTCTCGACGAGATTCTTGGATCCAAGTTGGGGATTTGCCATGGGGTGGAAGTAAGTCGAGCCACCTTTCGAGTTCGTCGTGAAAAGGAGAAGAAGAAAATACTGACAGACACTTTTTTCCTTGCAGCTACGCTCTGCAATGGATCGGGGTACTACCACTCGAAGTATTAGCAGGCGCCATGACGATAGGGTACTGGAATAAAGAAATCAACAAAGCCATATTCGTCACCATTTTCCTGGTCATCATCTTCATCATCAATCTTTTTGGCGCAAAAGGATACGGCGAGGCAGAGTTCATCTTTGCCATCATCAAAGTTACCGCGGTGGTAGGATTCATGTGAGTTTTCTTCCCCCTTTTCACCAGAACACACACGTTCCACTCCCTTCACCCCCGACACCCACATCAACCTAACACCCACCCCCTCCAAAAGCCTTCTAGGTATCGTCATCAACATAGGCGGCACCCCCACCGAAGGCTACATCGGCGGCAAATACTGGGAGGACCCCGGTGCCTTCCACAACGGCTTCAAAGGTCTCTGCTCCGTCTTCGTCACCGCCGCCTTCGCCTTCGCCGGCACTGAACTCGTTGGCCTGGCAGCCGCCGAGACCGCCAACCCGCGCAAATCGCTCCCCACCGCTATCAAGCAGGTTTTCTGGCGTATTTCGCTCTTCTATATCGTTAGTATGACGCTCGTCGGTCTGCTCGTCCCTTACAACGAGCCTCGTCTCCTCAACGCCCAAAACATCGCCGACGCTTCCGCCTCGCCTTTTGTCATCGCCATCGAATCCGCCGGCGCTACAGTGCTCCCCTCCGTCATGAACGGCGTTATTCTCATCTCGGTTATCTCCGTCGGTAACTCCGCCGTTTATGGCTCCTCCCGCACGTTGGCTGCCCTGGCCGAACTAGGTCAAGCTCCCGCCATCCTCGCCTACGTCGACCGCCGCGGCCGTCCCATCGTCGCCATCCTCGTTACCATGGCCGTCGGCCTGCTCGCGTACCTGGGCGACGTCCCCTCGCAGAAAAACATCTTTGACTGGCTCCTGGCTATCTCGGGTCTGTCCTCCATCTTGACCTGGGCATCCACCTGTCTCGCGCACATCCGCCTTCGCAAAGCTTGGGCGTACAACCACCGCTCGGTGCAAGACATTGCCTTTAAAGCACAGGGCGGCGTGATTGGTTCGTGGATTGGGTTTATTCTCAACGTTCTGGTGTTGGTAACGCAGATATGGGTGTCAATCGACCCGCTCCATCAGGGCGACACACCGTTGACGACCAAAGAGCGGGTGCGCAGTTTCTTTGTGAGCTGCTTGGCGATTCCGGTGGTGTTGATTTGTACGATTGTGCATAAGTGGTACTATAAGACGAAGTGGGTGAGGATTGAGGATATGGATGTAGATACGGGAAGGAGAGATTTTGGACGGTTGGGCATTATCAAGGCCCAGGAGAAGGAGGAGAGGATGGGGTGGCCTAGGTGGAAGCGGGTTTATCGGTTCATGTGCTGATTTTGCAGTGCAGTGCAGTGCAGTGGCTGCTCTGTGTGGGAGTGGAGGAGAGGGAAGACAGGCCCGGATGCCCGGTGGGCTGGATGGCAAGATACCCGCAGTTGATGTCCTGGACAGGATTTGGAGAGGAACTTCCATGTTGAGGAAGGCCGGTTGATTTGGATTTGCGATTGGATGGGAATGAACAGGATGCTTTGATATCAACGATGGGAGACGCATGTATATAGATGTAATAGTAATCACATTTGATGATGACGAAGAAAACGGATCAGGTTCATGCGATTGTGGTGATCATGATGATGTGTTGCAACAAAAAATCTGTGGTAGTCGAGTCCTTTGTGCAAAGATCGCGCTGCATCTTGACGTTCACGTCCGAGAGCCAGGGCACATTGCTCGACTTCCTTCCTGCCGAACGTCAAATCTCGTATACCTACTCGCTGGGCTCGTCCAAAATCACAATCGAGAACACCATGTCTCGAAATCGGATGATAACGATCACAACACACATGGTGGACAACTGGAATTTAAAGCCTTTCCAGAACAGACACCTGATGGTATGGGAGGACTCAGAAGGTATATAGAAACGGGGTAATACAGATGCCAAATGGAAAAGGGTGAAAAAATTTAAAATGACAGCATCGAATCGGTTGAGCGTGTGCGCTCTAGGATACCTCTAGACATCCACAAGCTGGGTGGTTCATCCCGCTGGTTTGCAGACTATGTCTTCCTTTTCAAACTCAACCAAGCCGGCTTTGCTCGACTTTGGAAACTGGAGAGTAAAGTCTTCCACGTCTTGATCAGAGGTAGCTAGCTACCTAGGAAGAGAGGCAAATGCCGGAAACCCTGTGGGACCACGTGTAGACGTCATGGCTGCTGCGTCATCGAAATTTTACTTTCCCGGTGTAAAAGCATGAGACGGAGTCAAGTCGGCGATGGCATTGAGCTTATTTGAATACCATCCAGGGCGTCGCGTGCTGTGCCTGCTCCGCTCTTGCGACTTTTGAGTGCTCGGGTACTTTCCAAATCACCTCCAAGGATTGACGAGAGGAAGCAGCCCCCCCCCCCCCAAAAAAAAAAAAAACGACGCTTTTCTCTTGGCCAACTAAGATATGTACCTTTACCTTTACATGCAATGGCGAGATCCAATGGCCCATTAAGAACACGGCCAAAAGGCCGATCAATTAGTTCTATCATAGGTACCTATCTAAGCGCGCTTGATGATGTCCTAGAAAGGAACGGAAGACATGGATATTTTTTAGTAAGGACTAGCTTGAAGAAAGAGGAAGAGAAAACATGAAGAGCAAAGAAAAGGCATTACCAGAAAAAGAAAATTTGAAAAATAAAAAAAAGGAAAATATATAAAACAAAAAGCTCAGCTTGGCCTAAACGATCCTGTGTCAAGAGAAAGCATTGATAGTGACTGAATTGTTGATGCACCAGAACACCTGACGATAGCAGCAAGATAACAGTGCAGGTACTCTACCACATAAGAAAAGAGAAAAGAAATTAAAAAAAAAAAAAAAAAAAAAAAAAAACCAAAAGGATGAACCTCAGTTCTTACAGGAATGACATCAAGACATCAGGGAGCAAGGGGTGAAAACCTACACAATGCTAACACAGCCTAGATACCTAGAAGTATCTAAGGATCTAACCTGTTCGCAGGGGCATGTACTACCTAGCAACTACACAGCTTGGGGGTTTCTCCCATATGCAGAGTCCAGCACGCAACCAGACTCATTTCAACAGGGTACGGAAATGTACCTAGGTAGGTACAGTAAGGTAAGGTAGTGTATGGTAAGCCCAAGTCGAAGTAGGTAGCAGTGAGATGCTATGGCAAGTAATACCCAGGAGTTACCTAACAGTGTGAAACCCGAAAAAAAAGACCTGCTAGGGTAGGTAGGAGTACCTACTAGTCCCCTCTCTCCTAGGCTACGGTACCTCTATGGTTCGGTATGGGCTGCTAACGGGAAGTGTGTTCCACATCGATGCGTCCCGAGACAACAAAGCGAGAGACAACCAGACGTGGGTTGAGGTAGTCTGGTTGGATGGAAATGATGCATAAAAACAAAAGGGAAGTCATGCATGAGACTAATCCAGAGGGCATGTATACCTATAATTTCAAGTGAGTGGGCCCGTAGGGAACTCTTTCTTTTTTTCTCTTTTTTTTGTCCTTGGCTCCGTCGCGAATGATATCGTAGAGGTAGGTACCTATAAAAAAATGATATGTGACGAAAGCGGAAGCAAGGTGACGCAAGGACCTAGAGTTGCGATGCGATGGTTGAGCTTTGCCGAGCGGCACGGCACGGTTCAGTCTTCTGAGTGGATGTCAATTGAGTAGAGGTATTCTAGAATACGGTACCGAAGGTAGTAGGTATGTACGTAATCTACACGTGTGCCGTGTAAGTGGCACAGCGGGTAAGGCTGAAGAAGCAATGAATGGTGGACCTCGTTCATCAAGCGAAAGGAGAAGGGGGGGGGGGGGGGTGAGATTCAGGGACCGTTGACGTATGCAGATCCTGTTCAAAAAAAGGAAAAATATCCGTGTCTGTCCATGTCTGGACGCTTTCCCCGGAGACAGTGAACATGGAAGTATATATGAGGCTCTCTTAATCACAGCAATACAACCCTTGCAGACTGTCAGTACCCTTCAACCATCCAGCGGCTTCTGGGCCCGAACTAAGCGCCACTTGAAGTTTGCATGGACCTTACACTCCTTATACTCCCTCCGCAGAATCGCAGCATAAATCAACGTCTCCTTCTCCGTCCAGCCCAACACCGTCGGGCAAAAATATGTCAAAAAGCCCTCAATATCCTGCGTTAGGAACGCGCAGTTGAAGAGGCCGATTTCCTTTTGCCGTTTATCCGCAGGCCACGGCGAGACAGGGGCAAGCAGGTCCTCCACCTCGATGTTAGTAAAGCCAGCTTCCCTAATTCCAGCGTCCATACAGCCCGAATCCACCATGTTCACGACCAGGCCCGTCTTTCTCCCAATCTCAGACCAGATTTGACCCCATTGGTACATGGCGGTATCGGGAGGCATGGTCCCATCAAGACAGACCAGATTGACCTCGGCGTCGATGTGTTCAAGCCAGCCACCTGGTTTCATACACTTATATACTTCTCTATATAGAGCGGGCCAGTCCTTGACTACGGCGGTAAGCCAGCGAATGTGGACGTAATCGAAGAAATTCTCCTGGTAGGTCCAGGGTTTGGTTACGTCCTCGATGTCGAACCGAAGGTTGGGAGGCACCCAATTGGGCTGGATTGGTGAGATGTCGGTGCCGTATACATTACAGTTGGGATGTTCATCGGCAAAGTCAATCGCCCAAAGTCCTAAGAAGGATAAATGTGGTGATTAGTTTGGAACCCTTTTTCGCCTGACTGCTGCGATGTCGACTTGCAGGTGGGCAAAAGGGTGCATGTTCCGTTCATTGTTTGTATTACATCAACTTACCGGTACCAGTGCAGACATCAAGTGCATTCTGAATGTTATCCTTGAGGGGAGCCGTATACAGCTTTCCGTCCAAGAACAGAGTCATGAAATGGTGGAAAATATCCAGCATCTCATTGGCGATCTCATCATTTGGACCCCTGTTGTTGCGAAACCATCATTAGCCTCATATGTTATCTCATACTGTTACTGCTTTTGGATCAAACATACCAATATTCTTGATCAGTTACAGCATCACTGTGGTACGTACGGCCCTGGATCGTACGATATTTCAGGATGCTGGAGCTGAGTGAGGCTGTTGAACTCGCGACATCGCTACCCAGCGCAGAGTCGGCATCATCATCAACCGGGTGTTCCTGCACGTGTGAGACAATTCTTGTCAGTACCTAGGTGCTTATCAAGCGGCCTCAAACTCTGGTGGATACCAGAAGAAAACTTGTGTGGAATCCACGAACCTGTTCCGCCCAATGTGAGCCAGCCAAGAGGCCAACGGGCTCTGAGGGCTCTGAGGATTCATCCGCGGGGCCAGGAGTGGGCGACCTTTCCTTTCCCTTCGGCGACCTTGCCTCAGGTTCAGGTGATTGCGCTTTGTTGGTTGGAGAACTCATGACTAGAGACTGTATTTGGTTCGATGTTCAAAGTTCGAGCAATGGAGGAAAGTCGATTGTGCGTCGTTATTCGTCCTCCCAGTGACGACGATCCGGTAGATATACAAACGGTTGCCCCATCACTGAGTCCATGGTGGCCCCAGTCGCTTCTGTGTTCGACTTTGAGGAGCGGTCAACAAGCGTGAAGGTAACCTCGATCCTCTGAATATGGCCTGAGCCACAGACAGAATATCGTCGCGGGGGGCTGTCGAAGAAGATATACGGGGTGTTCCACAGCAGGCAATTCACAATTGGCTACAAACATCCCATGCCACCTCAGCGACAAGTCATGCTGCGGGACTACATGTAACCCCGGCAGACCTTGGCAGACTCTGCTAGGTCAGGGCAAGTGGAATGCAGTCCACCCAATAGCGGCTACCCCTGGGGTATGTGGCTTGTACAATATTGAAAGCAATTGTCAGGCAAAGCGAGGGACTGGAGACGTGGGTTGCCGATTGAAGATGCAAGCGAAGAGGAAGAAGTCCGAGAAATCCAAGTCCATAAAGCTTTGTGGACTGGTTCATACGGCAGGGGCAAGATAGGAGGGGTACTGTACCATCGGTCCGATCTGTGGTCGCGTGGCGCTTTGTCCGCGGGCAGTGGCTGTCAACCCCTCCTTTCAGCCACCTGTTCTGCCCTAAGTAGCATGACACAGACCACAAGGGCAAAAACTCGAGTAGTGAGTATGCTTACGCTTTGATGGGGCGCAACATCGACAATGATGTCGGGTGTCGGAAGTTTGGCACGGGTAAGGCTGAAGGAAACAGCAGTGAACCTTGTTCATCAAACACTTGAACCGGACCAAACTCCGGACAAACCACAAAAAGGGACCCATGACGCTTGACGACGATCGTGATAAAGACATTGATACCTACCTACCTACACTATTGAAGACCTCGCACAAAGAAGCAGATACATGCATTCCCCATCCCCATGTTCCCTGTCACTTTCACCATACGTAACCTGCACCCACCCGCCCTGCCACCGTTATCTCACTTTGTGATTTCAGGCGTCCAACGGCTTCTGGGCACGAACTACGCGCCACTTGATGTTCGCATGAATCTTGCACTCCTTGTACTCCCGGCGAAGACTAGCGGCAAAATTTGCCATCTCGTTGTCAGCCCACCCCATAACCTGGCCAAAAAAGTAGGTGAGGAAGCCCTCAACGTCTGTCATCAAAGCTACAGATTGGTAGAGACCAATCTGTCTTTGCTTTTCGTCCGTAGGCCAAGGGGAAGTCGGGGCCTAAAAACTAGAAGTTAGTCTTCGTGGGTTTAGATTTAGAGCAAGGGATTGTGTTGCCACTGCTGTCTGGTCGGCAGGTGTAGGTCCTCTGTACCAAGCATGGCACTTTTGACTGACCACCTCCTTCGAATCATCACCACCTTCTCATTCGATCCCGCCTTACGGCTTCAACAAATTTGTATGTAACTAACCAGGAAATCTTCGATTTGGATGTTGGTGAAGCCCGCTTCCTTAATTCCATCCTCCATGCAGCCGGAATTGATCATGTTGAATATAACTCCGGTCTTCCGCTGAATCTCGGTCCATAGCTGTCCCCATTGATAGGTAGCGGATTCCTTAGGCATAGTTCCGTCAAGGCATACCGCGTTCACTTCGCCATCCATATGCTCAATCCAGCCACCCGGCTTAAGACACTTGTACGCTTCCTTGTATAAGGATGCCCAATCCTTGATTGTGCCGCAAAGCCACCGGATATGGATGTAATCGAAGAAGTCGGGTTGATATGTCCATTCTCTAGTCGCGTCGTCGATGTTGAACTGGAGGTTAGGAGGAACCCAGCTCGGCTGAATAGGCGAAATATCGGTACCAATCACGGTACAGTTGGGAAATTCATCCGCAAAATCGCTACAGGTGCCACTGTTAGTCATCTCAGGCAACAAATCATGAGTCCTGAATTTGGTCTTACATTGCCCAGAGCCCTATGTGAAGTTCCCCATTAGCGAACCGTTACGTACAACAGGTATCGTCTTACACAATCCGTGCAGTTTACTCGTTAGGGAGGAGTGGTACGTAAAAGGGAAGAATGCGATGTGAGCCCTGGCGAGGAGGTGGGTGAGCCTTACCGGTGCCGGTGCCGACATCCAGGGCGTTCTTGATGTCCTTGGAGAGCGGGGCTGTATATAGCTTCTCATCAAGTATCAGGGTCATGGCGTGATGGTAAATATCCATGACCTCCATCGCCTTCGCATCGTTTGGGCCCCTAGATCAAAGGGCTGCGATTAGCTTTGATGCCCCGCGAGATTCCCGGCCAAACTATTTCCAAAACTGACATACCAATACTCATTATCAGACACAGCATCGTTGTGATATGTCCTGCCTTTGATCGTACGGTATTGCAAAATAGTAGAAGAGATCGACGCCGTTGAGCTCTCAACATCACTATCACCTAGAGTGGAATCGTTGTCGTCAGGGACATCCTGTACGGTAAAAAATAAGGTCAGCAAAGGACATCGAGAACAATATCCATGAGCCTTCGTGTTTCTATAGGAGTTACATACCAGCTCGCCCCAATGCGCGCCAGGCAACAGTTCGGTCGGCTCGTCAGATTGGGCCGGCGGCGGCGATACGGGACCGGGCGTGGGCGAAGCCGGACCGGGCGTGGTCGATGCCGGACCAGGCGTGGGCGACTTAGCTTGTCCTTTGGGCGACTGTACCGTTGGCGACTTCGCCTCAGGTACAGGTGACTGTGCCTTCCTCTTCAGTGCGGAACTCATGATCGGAAAATGTGTTGGCTTTCGAGCTCAGTCGGCATAGGCAACAGAAGAAGTAGGTCGGGTTCGATAAATTGCGTGTTCAAGTGGCAGCGGTCAAGTAAATATGATATTTCGATGCCAATAACCCCTCCTGTCCTCTGCCCTCCCACATTCCTTTCTTGGAGCGATCAAACTTGAAGGTAACATCGATCCTTTCCTTCGGGTTGCCGGTCGTTGAGCTTCTCGATGGGATTCGTCGCTTTGATACCTTTTGGGCTAACGGCGGTTACCTGAATTCGAGCAGTCATAGTATGGTCTTCTTGGTAGTCTTTCGAGGTAGCTTGAGATACACAAACAAATGTGGTAGGACTGCGTGAATTACCATTGGCTGAACCCCCTCGCACACAGTGAACAAGCGAGTCGGCAAACGTTAGAGTCTGCGCGTATTCACACACAGACCGGCTGAATAACAAATAGTTTCTGCGACGTGTCATCGGCCCAAGCCAGATGCAACCCGTATTGAGCAGACATGATCCGATAAGAAGAAAGTCACAAAGAGGACTGTTCGCGGCCGGTCAATGTTTGCTTAAAATCCCTAAGAAGTTTTAGTCTTCAATATAGCCCCAATCTTCAAATGGTCAGCGAAAAGCTCGACGAGGCCGCAATAAAGGACAAGAAGGATCACTGAGCCACAACGAATATCCAATCAATGTGAATGGTCTCAAGGACATACCTATCAACGCCGGCAGCACAACACCCTGGATCGACCCCGGCGGCCCACACAGCAGTGCTACGTTGTTATGCGCTGCATGCAGTTTGAACAGGCTTCGCTTGAGAACCCCTGCATCATCTTTTCCCCTCTCGCCCTCCCAGCCTTGCTTCATCTTGCCGCCGTCGTTCTTCTCGAGGCTATCCAGTTCCTGTTTCAGCAGGATGTCCTACTCTGTTGTGTTTTCGTCAACAACCCTGAGCTCTGTCGGGTCATCCGGTGTCATGAGAGTTCTGGCCACCAATGCGTAGCCAGGCATAATACCGCTCCCGCCCAGCTGGAGAAATACGTGCAAAAAGCGTCGGGGGCGCCGCTCAAACAGAGGAGTGGCCGTTTCCGTGGTAGGTAATGTCACCTGTCGGCCCACGGATCTCCACTTCAGATCCGAGGGGAAGGCAGTCAAGGATATGGGATAGTGTGCCGCCTGGTTGCGAAGGGGAAGGGAAGTAGGTCTTCACTGTCAAGTCAAAGGTTCCAGACTGGCCGTCCCTCAATGAACAGTTGGTTACTTCTTCCATGGCGGCGGATTTTGGAGAAATATGTGCTCGTCTTGACGGCGATGGGCGCCGGTGTGTACACGATGCTTCGGGGGCTTGTGATAGGTCTTCTCGAGGATTCGTTACCATGAACCCGACTGTCTTGGGCTGGTAAAAGTGGTTGAGTGGGAGTGTATTGCCAAATAAGCATCCTGTCTCGAAGATCAAAGCCTATTCTGAAGTGCTGACAGGTACCTAAGCCGGGATCAGCCTTTCCTTCAGGAAACTGAAGGTATATGCGTTTGTATGAGGGAAGACTTGCCGTCTGTTGGTGAGCTTGACGGGAATCCGGCGAGTCACAATGACGGTCAGTCCATACTACTGCTAACATAATATCAGTTCGAGGATGCAAGTGACAAAGAACAACAACATACCATGTAGTTTTCCCAAGAAAAGTCATCGTGGATGCTGACAGACTCTTGTCACTCGTGGTCTCGGCGGCAGAGCCAGCCTCGGTAGGATGACGGGAGGGAATGACGAGCCCTTGACCTCCGGACGTGGCGATCTCGGGCTTTACAATGTACCAGGCCCAGAACATTACATGTTGGCTTTTCTGGCTGGGTCGTTTTGGACGCATTTAAGGCGCGGACTGTGATGCTCTTTGCTCGGAGGAGCTGCGAAACGTCGACGTCGAGATGCCGGTGGATCCAAGCCAAGAACCTGTTCCCATGTCGAAGGGGCGAGTCGGGGAACTCGCGAGTGGTGTAGAGCCAGTTGTCCTCCCCGTCGAGCGAGACTTTGACCATCTGGACCTCCGAGTTGAAGTTGTTTCCACAACAAGTTGTGCTGGGATTGTGGAAGAGGGTCTCCGCAAATCGGCCATCTTTCTCGGTGACGACGGAGGGCATCAGCCTGTTGTCCCAATTGTGGTAGTAGCTCTTCAAGTTGGTTTGCTTCGGGGAGATCCATAGCGTTGATGGAGTGCTTTTCGCCGGTGCGGATGAGGTCGGGACATCGTGGGAGCCACTGCAGTTGTCGGGGGTGTCATTGCCATGGTTCTGCTTCAGTTGGGAGACAACGTCTGTCTCGTGCTCGAGGCTGTGGAAGAGGACTGGAGAGAGAGTTCCTGCGGGGTAATCTAAGTGGACATTGGTGCTGCCAGTTTGCTCCTTCCTACTTACCTACCCTCATGCCCACGCTCTTTCCCTTTGGACTCGGAGGTGGCCTGATTGATGTGGCGTGCTGCCTCAGCCGTTGCTTCTCCTTCCGTCAGTCCAGTTGTTGGTACTATCGGCTCTCCACTCAAACTCGGGCATGCTTTCCCGCAACGCCGTCTGAGCTATTAATCTGTCCCTGAGGGCCCTTTGCTCCCAGACCGGGCGTCTGTCTTGCGGCTGCCCTTGGCCTGCCGCTTGGTCTTGCTTTGTTCTTGACCCAGTCCTCGGTCGTGTTACTTGATGTGGATGTCTCGCTGGGACTGGATGACATCGCAAAAGTTGACCAACTCGCCCATGTTGACCTTGCGCCTCATTTCCTCCAGCTGTTTCCGGGCCTCCTCAACGTCTTCAGCATGCTACTCTTCGCGTGGGTGCGTGAGTCCCAAACGCCGGTCATGTCGATTGACGAATCCAACCCGGTTCACTTCGTCCACGCTGGAACCAGGATGGTCTTGCACTCTCAACTTCCACGGGGTGGAATGGGGGCATGGTCGGCTTCCCGCTTTCAGTTGCCATGATGCTTGCGATTGCGCAACGCTCGACACGCGTCTTGAATGCTTGGAATAGTTACGCCGTCCCAAAACGGGACACAAGAAGGTGAGCGAGTGGGAGGGAACACCATCAACATATCTCATACTGCCTGTCTGATCTGGATGTGGTCGGGACCTATTGGTGCAAGGGTGCGTGGTTTTGTCTAGACCATCTGTTATGAGCTTATCTGCATCCAATGCTAATCCAGCCTCTCAATGTTAGATCAATAACAAGAATCCCTACCTCCCGCACAACACCCCCGCATACCACAGCTCGGAGCGGGACGCCCCGCGCACTTGCCGCGAAGGCTTATCCGCCACGCAAACCGAGTCGCAAAGTGGAGATGTTGCAAGTGAGGCTCTTAACATAACCGCCAAGCCCCTAGCCAACAACTTGACGTCTACACAGCATGTCAGCCTTCATCGCCATGTTTTCGACAAATGAGCTCGGTGACTTTCTCCGGTTGGGCTGAAGCAGAGTCTGTTGTATTGGGCGTGTTATTCATGAGCTGGCGGCCAAGTCGACTGACACATGACAGCCGACTCCTTCCAGGCCCGATCTTCATTCAGCTCAACCATATTGGGAACTTTTGCGCTCAGATTGTACTACCTTACAAGCAGTGCTTACCTGTTGGCGTGTGTCGTTGGCTGCTTCACCTATCTGTATCAACAAAGCCATGTAGATTTCGACCCAGCCCGAGGGGCTAATGCATGGCGAGGTGAAGGCCCACTCATTGGATACAAACATCACATCCGCTCCAGCTGTTCGTCCTTTGCCCAAGTTCCAACAGCGCCCGGGCTTAAGGAATCCGACATGTGATCGATACTGACTACTGAGCCCCGAGGACACAAAACACCCAAGTTCTTTTCCTTCGGCACCGTCCCTCAAACGCAACACGTTCGGTGCACGTTGCCCCTACCCTCTCAATATCACGACATATCGGGTTCTGCACCCGCTCGAGACACAAGATGGGACCTCCGCGCAAAGAAGAGACCTCGCAAAAGTTGAAGCGGCTCAAAGAGTTCTTCCGATCCGGTGGAAAACGTCAACAGCCTCAACCTCCCAGACGTTCGGACGAGGACAAAAACATGCTATCCCCAACACGGACCCTGTCTTTCAACAGCTACCTTGAAAAAGTGGAGGAGGAAAATAAGCGACGTCTCCAGGCGGCAGTGGATATTCGCCAAGCCATCAACCAAAACGACTATTACCGCGTCATTGAGTTATATCAGCAACATGCCGCTCTTCGTCCCAAAGACAAGAGAGGCCGAACTCCACTTCATGCGGCTGCCGAGCTGGGCCGAGACAATATCCTGCGCTTTCTCCTGGATCAAAAAGGTGTGAGCCTCGATGCCACCGACATCCATGGCCGCACTGCTCTACACTTCGCAACCATCAATAATCATGCTGATTGCGTATCCTACCTCTTGGAGAGGGGAGCAAATGCTCAGCTTGTTGATGGGAACGGCCACTTGCCATCGTTCTACGCGTCGACTGACACAAAAGCCAAGTTCGACAATCCCCCTATTGTCCATAGCAGCGACCAGTATGCCGCTACCAACAACTGGAGAAACAGGGCTGCGTTCGACACAGGACCAACACCTCCTAACGGTGCCCGAGAGGAAGTGTGTCGTTATTTCCAAGGCAGCCTCTGGGTACCCGACCTATCTACCAGATTTCGTATACTTCCGGTTTGGGAGCTGGTATACGAACCCGGTCAATATGAAGATCTTTGTAGGCGGTTTAGCATTCGCCAACAAAGCACGGTGGACAAGAAGAAATGGATCCATCTGCCAATTGCCAGCAGGGAACTACTTCTTGACCTAACAAAGAGGATTTACACTGCTTCTGGACGCGATCTACAGTCATATCAGAGAGTGGAAAAGCTTGTCATCGACATGTTCAAACAGGTTGATGTGACAGGTCCAGAGGGAAAGGTGCACTTCAAGGTATGTGTATCCTATCATACTTGTTCAGACGTTTCCATGTCGAGGCATCTGACGTTTTGTAGTTCAAGAGCTTGAAGCATAGCGGTCAACCCGACTCCGACGAAGCGCGATCTAAATCCGGAAGCATTTATGCGATGGCTGTAAGTTGCATATTCTCATACTGACCTTTACGCGCACAAATTTTGATCGCATTGCTGCTGTAGCTTCCTGTGGTCGATATTGACAAGAAAGATTACGTTTCTGTGGCGCGCGCAGCCCAAGAACAAGCGACGAAGAAAGCGAAGCCGAGGCAAGAAACAAAGTTGTATCTTGGTGATCGTGCAAAGAAGCACTTTGGCTATATGCTCAAGGCAGTGGGCTTCATGGGCCAACCGCTGCCTCGTTGCCTTGACCAATCCTATCATGACGACTTGGACAGCGATAAACTGGAATTTCTCAATAACGACCAGGTCATCGTACGGTACATCAGATATCTGAAGGCCAGATGCTCGCGGGCTGCCAAAGAAATGGGATATTCGGCTGGCCTTAACTCGGCGGATCTTGGCGAAAAGACAAGAGCTCATGCTCAGTACGAAGACATTGAGCCAGCGCCTCAAAATGAACCCGACCAGCGCCAGCAACCGACGAGCATCCGAGTAGGATCCTCAGAAAATGACAGACCTCCGGCACAAGACAATACGACCAGTCATATCCCGAGGGAACAAGGACCACAGCCATTGGAACAGACATCTTTCGAAGCACCGCGACCTCCACACAGCCCACGAAGGACCTACACTGGTGCTTCGACGACATCACAGCCGCGCCAGTTTTCGCTTCAACGCTCAGACACCGATACAAGCATGTCTCCAGAGGATGCGATGAGGCTTTTCGAGTCTCTGCACGTTGAAGCGAGTGACCAGAAGAAGCTAGCACAATCTGGGAACCCATCCATGTTATCCGGATTGGGCCCTGCTAACGCAACCCACCAATCTCCCGGCCAAACTGAACATCAGGCAGGCCCAGCCACGCCGAAGCCTGCAACGCCTGGCACCCATGGTACCTTTGTGAAGGAATCTGCGGACACTGGGGACCAGGGAAACGCGAACAACGGTGGCCCGGGACATGTATTTGCGTCTGAACCAATATCTTTAAAAGATTCAGATGACTTTTTGACTGTCCCGTATTTTTGGCTCTTCAAACTCGACGCGGGTAAGTATCACCTAAGCAGATATCATTAGCCATCGCTTCTCTAACCATTAGTTCCACATCTCTAGACACAATAGTAACTCTTTACCCGGAGAGGTGGGACATGGGGAACGAACAACAACTGCAGCGTCATATTCTGGACAGTGTCAGTGATGACCGCCACATTCACAACAAAACTCATGACAACAGCGGCGAGGACCTGGACATAGACCTTGTAACCAAGGCTATTCTGAAAGCGTGCATGTCTTTCGAGGCAAAGGCGCTTGTCCCGTCCATCAATCCGGATGCCATCTTCGATGAGGATGACGAATGTCACGGCGGAGAGCTCAGAAGGGTGATGCTTCCGTATACAGAAGCCTTTTCGGCCTCAATCGCTCAGCTTGTAGGTCCCCTTCGCTTGATGCTCATTCTTTGCTTACTTCCCCGCCGTTGTCGTGCTCAACGATTCTAACGTTTTATGTGATCACCACGCAGTACTTCCAAGTCACACAGCGCTTTGATAGGTTGAAAAGGGGAATGGGCTCGATTAGCAAAGACCCAAACAAGTTCTACCAAGACACACAGAACGAAACGGCCATCCTCATCGACATCGATGATACCATTGGCGAGATCGGGATGATTAAACGAATCTTGTCAAATCAGATCAAGATCTTTGATCGATTCCAAAATGAGGTTCGAGGCAAGAACCCCAACAAGGTTGCCAAAGTACACGAGGGAGAGATCTTGGCACGGTTTGATATGCTCGAGGATGAAGCGAACCGTGTCCGGTCCATGGTACGTACATTGGGTTAATGTAGTTCATGACCAAAAACTAAGCGCGCCGGCCGTACAGGTTACTACCTTGCTGGACTTGCGTCAACGAGAAGCAACGCTCGAGGACGCTCTGTCCATGGGTGAGCAATCGACCATGCTCTTCGTTTTCACTGCAGTGACTGTTTTATTTGTAAGCCCCACATAATCTCTTTTCGTGCTTCACGTTGTTCTAGAAAGCTGACAGACATAAACCAAAAGGCCCCTCTATCATTTGTTGTTGGACTATTGGCCCTAAATGTTGACGGGCTTCCGGATAGATGGAGCCGCTCACCCCTCGCCGAAGTTTTCGGTAAGTATACCTTTCTGTCTTCCGGCTTTAGTCTTCATTTATCCACCACGACAAGCGAGACTAACCGTTCGAAATAGGCCTCTCCACCTTGGCAACTGGTGGTCTTTGCGTGATCTTGTGGTCCATCTTCAACCGGTACTACCGGCGTGCTCATGGTCTCGACAACGACCTTGACTTCGACCCGAGTCCATCGGCTGAGAATGGATACCAAATGAAGAGCTCGGCATGGTGGAGAAGGACGTGGCCGAGTATATTTGAAGGACGGGGCCGTAGAAAACCGACAGTACGAGGAACCCCGGCTGGTTTCCATCAAGGACCAGGAGAACAAGCCTCGAACCGAGACGCCATTTTACACAGTCCTACTCGACAAGACAATGCAGGTGCAGATTCCAATTTGCAACTTGTCGGAAGCTTAAGGGGTGGTACAAGAAGAAGAAGAGGTATGAGCGGGGGGATGAGTATAGGGACAAGTCTCTCGTCACTGTCCATGGCATCGTCAAGTCGCGTATGGTCGTGGAATGGAAGACAAAAGCCGGAAGGGCTGGCGTTGGGCGACATTGAGTTTGGTGTCCTTCATGTCTGAGTGACATTGGCCTGGCACGCCTTGCGCGGCTTCGAGCTGCGCTTGATAGGGAACAGAAACAAGGAGGCGGGGGACGAGCATCAGACCACACCATCACCTGGTAAAATCATCCAATATCAGGCTAAATATTCTACGAGTCCTTGGACTGTCGACCAAAAAATTGCGGGAGTCACCCGATTGAACATCAGAGCTCAATCAACACACAGCTTTCTTGCGCGCCTCTCATATGGCGGTGCCAACCCAACCAAGCACCCCCTATCCAGATCCCCATCATCTTTCTCATGATCCTTCCACTCTGATCAACCCCCATGACATCAAATTTTCACCTTCAGTTCTCGACCCCCCTGCCTCCCCCAACTTAGGGTATACCTTATGTCCCTCCCTCCAAAACCTTGTATCCACGTTTCCACGGAAACAACCACCCTTCAGTTCCTAATCCCCTTTCTAGACCTTCACCGGAACACCCACTCCATACCCCTGAACTCTCCTCGTCTCCTTCTCCTTCTCCGTAACCATCAAATAAACCAACACCAGAGGCCACGCACTCCCACACAAAAAGGCGCCCACCACGCCCGCGAAACTGACTCCCCGTTCGCCGTGCTCGCCGGCCCAGCGCTCCAAAAGCTTGACGGCGCAGAAGATGATGCCCATGCCGTAGACGGAGCAGGCCCAGGTTACGCCGACGATGATGTCGGCGTGGCGGTCTTGGGGGGAGAGGACGACGCCCGAGGTGTCGGCGAAGGGTTCGGAGAGGGAGAGGTTTTGGCCCATTTTTGTTTTATCTTTATTCTTGTGGAAGTGGGTGGTTTGGGGTGGGAAGAGCAAAGTGGTGATATGGAGAAGTTGGAAAAGGGTGGATGGTTGATTGGTGATGGGTGTCAAGTGGTCGGGTTGTAGATGATGATGATGATGATGATGATGATGATGATGATGATGATGATGATGATGATGTGGCGGTTCGATTGGGATGCTTGTCGTACGGACGGTGGGAAGTGGATGGTATTCAGGCGATATGCTTGGGTTGGAGGAGGTATGGTGCGGTATCGCTCAGGTTGTGTTCACACTCAGGTATGTCTTCTCTTTTTCCTTCACCGGTGTGTATAAGGTAGGTAGGTAGGTACTCTAACCCTGAGGGCTGAGAGTCGCAGTGAGATGATTGACTGATAATAGACGGGGAACGATTCGCGATTTTGATCGGAATAACGATATCGATCGAGTGTAGCTGCTTTCGTAGAGTAGATGTCGACAAGGGAGGACGAGAGAGAAAAGAACCGGCCGGCGAGAGATGAATCGTAGGTATGTATCGAATGGAAAGCGAACGAATGATTTCCAGAACCGATGGAATGGAGACGACGAGTACCTATACGTCTAGGTAGGTAGGTAGGTAGGTAAAGACGGGAAGGTTTTGAATGTTTGAATCAGCGGCTCGGTACCGCTATGTACTCGAAAAGAAAGGCAAACAACAATGTCCAGCAATGTCGTAGAATGGATGGAAGAAAGAAAGAACGAAAGAAAACCCCAATGAGTTCGTTCCAAGGACTAAGGTAGCGTAGGTAATAACTTGGGAAGCCGAAAAGGAAGAGATGCAAAGGGGGAAAAAGGGCAACAAAACAGTTCAATGTGAAAAAGAGAAATCTCCCAAAACATCAAACATCAAACACCAAGGAGAAACTTCCCATTTACCTAGAGTACAGGTTTCCGATGCTTTTGGTTTGTCTCGGATGCAAGCAAGTCCTGGATGGACACACAGCACCACCCACCCCGTTGCTTCATACCAAACCCTTACGTATATACTTCCATGCTTTATTCTTCCACCCTTACAAGCATCCCCCTACTTACAATCCTTCCTTCTTCACCTTCGCTGTATAAATGAACTGAACAGTCGGATTCGAGAAAGGTGAGGGGATGCGATGGATTGTTACCTAACCCGTTCGTTACATATTGTATGTACTACACGTTCGGCAGCCCGAGCGCCGACCCCCCTTGGGACCATGGCGACCAGAACTAGCGAGCCGAGACGCAGTTATTGGTTGGCGCTCAGGGGTCTGTGACATTTGATGCTTCGGATTTTTTTTGTGTGGTGCTTTAGCCGCTCCCCCGCCCCGCCCCGCGGCAGGTTTGCGCCAGGGAAGTTCTCGAGTTAAAAAAGCCACGGCGCTTCCTGGTCGGTATTCAGTTGGAGACGAGGAGGTCTTGAGACGAATAGTGGACGTTTAGAAAAAGCAGGCTTGAAGCCGTCCGACGACATCGTTCTTCTCGGTAACGGGTCCAATTCGTGCCGTGATCAGGTGAATGACGTCTTAAGCAGTTTTGGCCGGGTTTAAACAGGGCGCTGGGGTTATCCCAGAAGGTATCTGCAGGTACAGAACCGCAGAGCCCACTGTATCTAGGTAGGTACAGCGCTGAAGGTACTGTGCTGTAATCTGGTGAACATTGTGATCGCAATCATGACCGCAAGCAGGACGAAATAGAGAAAATTGACTGCGCCGTTCTGTGAAAATCTAAAGCAGCCCATATGACTACAGCAAACGCCCAACTCCCACATTCTGTCTATGGTTACAGGAAACTCCAAATGATGTGATGTATCCAAGAACCGTGCGGGCTTGAGCCTGCGTAACCAACAGCGCACTGTTCCTAACGTGGGTACTCGTCGTCAGCACTAGACTTAGTGCCTCACTCGCCGTCCTATCAGTGTTGAAGGATGGCCGATTTCGAACTGCGACTTGCCGCTTGATGAGTATCAAATTTACGCGTCACCCTCATCAGATGCGAGTGCTTGACCAGGAAGAAACTCTTGAAGCTCCGTGCAGAAGTTGTATAAAGAGTCCCAGACATGTCCGGCGGCGGCAAGTTAAAGTCGGCACGCGCCTCTCTCAAGCCTCCAGCTGCGCTCCAAATGTCACGACTCCCATGGAATGACCTCACAAGTCCTGTGAGGGTGACCACAGTATTGAAGCCTCTGGTGAGTGTCTGGTCAACCGACTTTGCCAAGGCCGAGTTCTTTCTTGACGAACAACCACCCCCGAGGTTCGATGGTATGACAAAATCTCTAATGCTCTTCACGATGTAGCGGGCTTAGACGGCGTTGGTCGGAGGAAGGGATGCGCTTCAGTGTTGAAAACGTATTCGTCCAAGTCCACGAGATCTGGAGGGGAAAAGACCAAGTAAAAGTACTTGAGTGTCTCGGCTAACCAAAAGCTCTGCAGCACACTCAAAGTTAGTGGATGCCATTCCCGAAGAGTGCTTCACTGCCGAACAATAACCTACCTCCATCGAGTCCATCTTTTGGGTCGGTCCCTTCACCGTCACATCCGAAATTGCCGAGTAGGCCAGCTCCGTCTCTGTCGCCTTTACGATGCTTTCAAACATCTGCCATGCCAGCTCCCGCAAGTCTTCCTTGCCCGTCATGCGGTAAAGCAAGAAGATGCTTTCGATGGCCTCGGGTCGCAAGATATACCTAGTATCGCGCGCAATGGCGAACCCCTTCTTCAGTTGCTTGTTGCCGTGCGCCTTCCACTTCTCCTCGTCCCACTTGCAGGGAGCATCCCAGGATTCACAGGACACCATGGTGAAGATCTCGGGCATGATGCCGGTTGGGAAGGCATCGTAGGCCCAGCCACATCCGCGCGCCAAGCGCTCGCCGATTTTGACATGCTCTTTGACGTCGAACAGTTTACCGCCGAGCCCGAACATACCGCCTGCGAAGCAAGTGAGATGCTGTCCCTCGGGCAGTCGGTCGATACGATCCGTATGCACGTGGGCGTCACCCACAAACAAAACGTCGTGGACCTGGGCTTCCTCGGCGGGAAGCATTGGCCGGAATAGAAGGTGCTGTGTCACGGCATCCATGGCGCCACGATGCATCTTTTCGTACAACGGAGACAGACCACCCAGCAGAGCGTGCATCTTGGGCATATACTCGTACAAGGAATCGGCAAGTGCGCCGATGGTGAAGTGGCTTTCCACATCAACGCGCTCTTCACGGAAGTTGATGTTCCTCGGCCACATGCCAGGCAGCTTGGACTCGGTCTGGGTCCTGTTGAGGAAGTTGGAGATTCTGGTGATGGCATCATAGTACTTTTGGTCACCCGTCAACTGCGAGAGACGGGTAAACTCGAGTGACAGCGAGCAAGGGGAGGCTGAGGGGTCATTGGTGCCAGCGACTTGCGCTCCGCGTTTCGCCTCTTCAAAGTTGAACCAGAACCCCGGCATGCGATTCGGGGTGTCAAAGCCCATGTACAGCATATCGCCCAACTCTTGCGCCTTGTCCAACAAGGCCTTCTCGCCGCTGAGATCGTATGCGCCGAGTAGGCCGCCGAGATAACGGATGGTGGTCTCGAACATGTTGGCGGCCGTTTCGGTGGTGTTTTGCCAGTCCAGCTGAGCGGCAGCATTACCGGCAAGGTAGAAGTCGTCCCATAGCTCCATGATCCACAAGGTATCGAGCGCGTCTACAACAGTCGCTGCCCAGCCGCCAAACGTGGTCTTGCCGCCGCCGGTCACAGGCGCAAGCTCGTCGCGAAGCCAGGCGCGTTCCTTGTAGCTGTCCCAGCTGCGCACAAAGGCGTCGCGAACAGCCTTTTGACGTTTCTTTGTTTTCGCATCGTGGACATAGTCGGAGAAGTCGTGCTGGACAAGGTTCTGGGGTTTGGGGGTTCCGGTCGGAAGTGTGTACGTGATCTCGACGGGGTGGAACTGCTTGGCGGCTGTCCAGTTGAAGCTGCTAGGCTGGAACTTGATGGTACGCCCTTTCTTCGGTGGCGGCCGCCTGTGTGCCTTGTGGTGTGGTGGGATGGACGACGACGACGACGACGACGACTTGGGGTGAGTCGGCGATAATAGTGTCGAGTTGTCTGGCGTTGCGCGCGGGGTGAGGATGAAGATGAAGAGTAGGAAGACGACAACGGCCAACATGAGCCGCAGTTGCTTTTGGGTCGACATCTTTCTGCGAAACAGCCGGAGTCTGGCAAGAAAGGAGAGGAAGGAGTCGGCGGAGGAAGTCATGTTCCTTCAATGCGTTCAAGTATCTGCAAGGGCGGCTTGCCCGTGGTCATGGCTAGAGTACTACGACACACAACTTGTTGTTGTCTGGTGTCGTTGGCGCTCTGGGACCGTGAAGCGCCGGCAGTGTTGCTTCTCTTTTTTTGCGGTTCGGGTTACGGTTGCGGTTGCGACTGTGGTCCATTGCTGGATGACGGGAATCGGAATGGGATGGCGATGCCACGGTCGCGTTCGTTGTGTCCGTCATTCATTGCCGTCTGGGGCTGGCTGCTGAACACAGTGTGGGGGTGCGGTGCTCTGTTACCCCCCTGTAGTGCAGGCTCCAGGGCCGCCACCAGCATTTCAGCGCTCATGGTGTCGAAATGCCTTCCGGATCTGGTCTCGACGGAAGATGAGCACATCCACTGTCTTCGCTTCGCCTGCCCGACATGGTCAAGGTGCCCGGTCAGTCTCGACATCAAGAGGTTTCAGGCGGCAATTGTGGTGGTATGGGCTGTAACCATGTTGGCAGATTGTCAAGCGATATCCCTTGCTGTCAGGGCTGGTGGTGCGCACTGTTCGGTGGTTGCGACGGTGGTCGGGTGTCTTTGTGTTGGTCGACTGACTGAGTGTTGATCGTTGTGATGCTCAGGGGCAGCAATTGAATCAGATGAATTGGTTACTGTGTGCATTACGTAAGGAGGGCAGTGGGGTCTGGCGGGGAAATAACCCGCACCAATTGGCCAATCAAGCATTTGGGCTTGTCAGGTACCGTTGTTGATGGCCAGGCTACCCTGTGTATTTTCTTCTGTTTACATCAACAACTCTTGCCTTTTCCCCTAAAACTATCATGCGAATGGGAGCACTACGTAGGTACATTTAAGTCTATAATTAATAATCAAAACTATAATAATAATCTATTTATTACGTTCAAATCCGCCGCTACCGTTCCATTTGTATGAGAATTATAGCAATATAACAATATTTTCTATATTATAGTTACAATCAAAATCCTACTTAGTAATACACACAACCCAGTATTTAATTGTTATTTTTACCTATAATCGAAGTTACTACCTAGTGCCCAGACTAGGCTAGTTTAACTAAGTATAACCTCCTCCACCCCCTCTTTCCCCTCTTTTGCTAGTATATTAATAAATTGTTCAAAAATCTACTATTTCAACTACTAATAAGCTTCTTTAACTTACACAACTACTAACATTCTTACTAATTACTTTATTTAACTATTATTTAATTATATTATTACTATATTTAAGACTAGGGACCTCGCCCTATATTACTATACCCTTATAAAGTTCCAACAATAATCTATCCGTCTGTAACGAACGGCAGTCTAATCTACTTAAATAAAATAGCTAAAGGTAAGAACTATTAGAGTCGTTCGGTGAAGCTAAAGGGTTTATAATAAGTATATTCGTAATACTAGTCTCAATAATAATAATTAAATTATATTAATTACTATCGAATTATCGGATAATCTAAATTCTCTAATCGTCCCTTTATACTTCCTATATTGTTTATTCTATAGTTGGCTCACTTATATTATTATAATACTGGTTTACTCCGTAAGCCCGGCGTTAGTTTACTATTGTAAGCCCGGAATTAACTTACTAGCGTAAGCTTGGAATTAGCTTACTAGCGTAAGCCCGGAATTAGTTTACTAGCGTAAGCCCTATTTCTAATGCCTTTCTTAACCTTACTTTAGCTTATAATTATACGAATTAATTTTTCTAAATTATTTATACTATTAATAGTTTAATTAGTCCGTATATTTATTTTAAGTTTATAATACAATATTTCCCCTCTTTAATCAACGTCCTTAACGGTTTATTAATTCTTTACTATTATAATTTATATTTTTATATACTACGTCCTTTATTATTCTAATTATAGTAAATTATTCTTTTTCCCTTATTATTTAAGTATATTGTCCTCTTATATTTAAAAACGTTCTTCCCGGTCGGCGTTTAAATACTAAAATTTAATTATTAATATTAAACGTTTTGGAATTATTATTATACCTTATACTTACTACGCCGATTATTATTTTCTTTATAAGAAGATTTCCAATAATAGAAAGTATACTAAATATATACGGTAAATATATCTTTATAAAATTATTAATACCGATATAGAATATAAGGTTCCTTCTTATTAGGGTTATAAGTATTGCTAATAATTTTTGATAATTAATATTATTATAACTTTTAATTAGATTTAGTAAACGAAGAATAAATTTCTTTATTCTATTATAGAGCGTTTAAAATAGATTAATATTTAATAGAAGGATTTAAAAACGTAAATTACCTAATTATTGGATTTAGAGCGGTAGTAATAAGATTTAATTTTTTAAGATTGCGAATTATTTCTTTGTAGTATAATTAAATTAAAGGTTTTAGAAGTAGAGGAGCGGACGGTTAATTTAGAATTAGAGCCGTTGCTTATAGAGTAGCCGGTAGGGAAATTTACTTCCTTTCCGCCTATTAATTAGGCTTTACTAAATATATTTACCTTCCTTTTTTTTAAGTTAAGTAATTTTTTTACTCCGGCTAATCCGGGTTCCTCTAATAGAATTCCTTTAGTTTCCTAGGATAATTTAAATTCCTAATGGGTTCCTACGTATTATTTTCGGGGCTAAATTTATTCTACTTAATAAAGTATTCTAATTCTCTTTCTTCTATCCTTAAATTTAAAATTTGTTCTATATTTTATTCTTTTTCCTTATCCTTAATATTAGTTCGCGTATTAACTTATATATTTTTAAGTATTAGTTCTAGTAATACGATGTAGAATAAGTATAATTTTAGTTTTATAATCTTAAGAATATCTAATTAATATACTATATTGGAAATTTTCTTTTTAATTTTAAATAGCCCTACCCGTCGGTCGTTGAATTTCTTATTAGGTTTTTTTATTTTAAAATTCCTAATAAATAAAAGGATTTTATCCCTCTTTTTCAAGCGAAGTCCCTCGAACCTTTTTAAATTAAAATATTAATTTATCTTTTATTTAACGAATTCCAATTCTCCTTTAAACTTTTTATATAGTATATATAATTTCTTAGCCTTA